CCTCCATACTGACATGCCTCCATACTGACATGCCTCCATACTGACATGCCTCCATACTGACATGCCTCCATAGCGGCATGCCTACATATTGACATACCTACATAGTGACATACCTACATAGTATTGTAGCATTGGGACCCACTTCATTCTCCGAGACAATGGCTACAGGGAGTATCCATATCGTGTCCAGAGAGTCTTATCTGCTTGGCCTGGCTAAGGTAGTCAAGCGTATGGCACTCTTGCGTATTCGTCTTTCCCAATTGCGTATTCGCCTTTGCAGTTGCGTATAAGCTTCTTCTCAGCCAGCGTATTCGCCTTCGCCAAGTCCACAGCTACCTATTCAACAAGGCACGAATCATATTGGTCAGCCCTAGGCCTGTTATCCCTTGACAAGGTACCTCGAAGTATTTATCACTTGCCGGAAATGGAGTGGCTGTTGAGATAATACTCAATGGAGTTTTGTACATCACAGCTGACTTTGCGTTCAGCCTGCGAGAGAGAGACTATGGGGTCTATTCAATCTTAGTCATATGCAACCGATCACCAAGGTATGCTCCACCGTATCATCATGCAACACCGCAAACCCCAAGTTGGCCACCCAATTCTCGTCATGCAGCATGACGAGAGGACAGCAATTACCAGGTCGTCGGGACCCTGGGGAAGTCCTTGGCTGTGATGCCGAGATCCACAAATACTGAATCGTCCCCTGTAAGAGTTGGTTAGTGGCTGATCTGATGATGGGCAACATGAGTGAGACGTACCTTTCAGATGCTTGATTCGAATCTCGTTTTCGCCCTCCAACTTCTCCATCTCTTCTTCTGGCGGAGCATTGCCTTGGCGCTCGTCCTTGGGTCTCTGCTCAACAGCCTTGTCGTGGTGATGAGATTCTCCGATCAAGAGGAATTGAGTATTCTGATAGTCGAGATACTTGGGCTCCAACGGCTTCCAGCGCAGGCTTCTGAATTCGTCCAGCAGCTCTTGCGGATAGTCAGGGCCTTTTGGCAGACTTGCACCGGCAGGAGCTGGTTTGTTGGGGTTCTTGACGCTGGTCACGAAACTTCCTCGCTCCTGAATGCCGAGATCTTTCTGGACTTCACCAAGTTCTTGTGGGATAGTGATGTTGTAGGCGATGTGCGACTCCCGACCGGTGGATGTGATGGCATAGACACCTTCAGCAAGTGGTGTGACTGGTGGTACGTGGCTGGTTCCCTGAGTCTTAGTGGCGTATTCAGATCCAGTCATGAACGACTCCTTGAGGTCTTTGAAGCTGGTCTTGGCCTTCTCGACGAACGACAGGAATCTGTCCTTGCCGCTGACTGGGAGAACCTTCTTTGGCACAGCCAAAAGTCGGCAGTTGCCCGCGTCACCGATGGGTCCTTCGCCGAGCTTCGCGTCAAGTGGGATGGGGCGCATCACCATGTACGTGCGAGCGACATCATTGACGTCTTGCGGTTCATCGACATTGACTCTTGGTCGGAAGAAGAAGTAGATGATACCTTTCTCGAGAATGCTCGATGAGACGTCGTCTCCACGCTCGCCGGGGTCGACAGCGTCGCCATTGGTCTTGACTTGCTCTGTGTCTTCTTTCTTCTCTGATGGCTCTTTCTTGGCTGGCTGTGAGTCTTCCTCTTTCTTTGCTTCACCATCACCAGTGCCGGTCATCTTGGTATCTTCAGCATCTGGCTTCTCATCCTCCTGCTTGGACTCGGTCTTGTCGCCAACTTGTGAATCGGGCTTTTCCTCCTTCGCTTCTTCAGCGGGAGGTTGACTGGTGTGCTGTTCGGCATTTGTTGTGGCAGGTTCTTCCGCTTTGTTGCCACTGATAGACACGTCAGCGTTCACGCGCGACAAAGTGAAGGGAGACTTACTTTTGCATTGTCTCCTCTAGACTCTTCTGCTCTGGCTCGCTCGCTTTCTTGCCGCGTTTGGCTGTCGGAGAAGTACCGCTAGATTCATTCTTGCGTTTCTTCCCAGGGGGCGACGATTTGGGTTGAGGTGGAGAGGAGGATTCCTGTGAGGACTTGAGTCCGGCAATACGCGCGGAAGAGCGTCTCCCAGTCATGATGATGTCGTTTACAGAGTTTCAAGGCTCAATGGAAGGACAAGGAGACTGAAAATGTTCCGATGAAATGAAAAGAAAACTGATACGAGTAGTTCTCTCATGTTCGAGTCGCCGTGAAGTCCAAGTGACAGCCGCCCACAGCTAGGTGCGGAGGATTACTCCACACGGACATGAACGGGTGATGACGTATGCGAGGTCTATGTGGAGGCTAGGACTAAAGGCGTTAGTCAGGTACACTTTTGCATTCTCCACGGAATTGTCGTTCCGGCGAGCCTACCCAGGTCACGTGCCAGGTATAGAGTCGCTTTGAACTGGGAGTGAGGCTCTGAGCACGATGAGACACTTATTGCTTATGCAAGGTGGCTCCTAGAGCGTCAATGTACGGATGAACATGACCTCTTTCTTTGATATTTTTTAGTGTCCTAAGTTGCAAGGCGCGTCTGAGCAGCACCTCCATTGGGTCTCCGACATAATGAATATGAGAAACTCCATGCAGTTTGATCTTTGGGTGCACGTTCGCGTAGTATTGCAAGACTGCCTCTTGCATTCATGGCAGGCCTCCATTCAAATCTGGGAGGGTCCTCTCATGAGCCACAAGTGTTCCTGTCAGACAAACCCATCATGGCTGCCCAAAGTCAATATGCAAACTTGTAGATCGTCCTTCCTCTCATCCGATATCCATGGCGTCTTCGCTCGCATTGCCAGGCGCTGGGGTGGAAGATACATCAGCTGTTGCCGAGTTCGAGGACTCCATACCAGCATCCTGGTCATCGCTTTTCTCTGAGCTATCCGTCCAGGTTCCTGTCACCTTCTTCTTAGCAACTCGATGCGCCATACTAGGCTTCGGAGTCCTCTTTTTCCTTCGCTTGATCGGTTGTTGTTCGGTTTGGCCATCAACTAGCTCGGACACTTCGATCTCCGTTCGCTTTCGTGGAGGTGTCTCCTGCTCGAAGTCTATGTCTTTCGAACGCCGTTTCTGTCCACGACTTCCATCATGCTGTCTTTTGGGAGTACGGGCACGCGCATCGCACGACAATCGTCGTAGCCTTCCAGCAAGCTCATCGTCTGTATCTGGCCAGAGTCGTCTCAAGGCTCGGTCATCTTCAAAATCTGAGTCGGCCTCTTCATACTGGTCAGGTCTCAAGACTTCGGTATCACCATCGTATGCCATGTCATCTGGGGACATTTCCTCGATTTGAAGTTCGTTGTCGGAAGAACCATGGCGACGCCTTTTGCCCCTGTGGTACTTCTGAAGAGCCATCGCACTCAACAGCACCCAGATCTTCGAATCGGAACTAGCTGGCTGCTTGGATGACTTCGCCGTTATACAACGTCATGACAAGTCCAAATAGGAGTGGTCTGCGACCGAAAGCTCGCTGTGAGAGCAGAATGAGCATGCATTTCTGCCAGCTTCTAGATGAAACGTTCTGACTTTCCAAAAGGATCCATTATTTGGTTCTGGAGGAGTTCATGTGTGCGGCAAGTTATTCTGGGCATTCACCCGAGATGCCCTAGAGGAAACGGACCTTGAGTAGCCGAAGCTGTGCCTTAGGCTTTTCCTACGTCAATATTGAGACATCTTCATAGTGCCGGCATCACCGGCATGAAGAAAGGTGATGTGTTGAAAAGTTGCATCACGAACAGCGAATCAAAAGCGGCGAGAGAAATCACCCTCAAAGCAGGAAGGCCGTCGAAGCTCTTAGCCTTTTGTGGAAGGGGAATAATGCCGTCCTGCGCTCGCCTTTATGCGACATCTACTGTCGACTTTCTCCTTCTCCTTCTCCTGAATGAATCCAAACTACTCTTACCCAAACATCGTTTCATTTCTGCACTTTGCGAGACCGCTCCCAAACAGGCGAGCTATAAGTATGGGTCATGGTCCACCTATCGCTCCATCACTATCTTGGAGTCAGATCCATCACAGCCGTCAAAGAGGGGCCTAGTGTTGCACACACACTGCTAATGAGCTCTTTCCACATATCATCCATATAATATTGGGACGAAATGTGACCTCCTGGCACCAACATCAGCCTGGCAGACTTGTAGTTGTCCACAAGCCAATTGTTGGCGCTTCCACCCACTCGATCGTTGGTCGAGCCCACAACGAGCATAGGCTTGGACGAATGTTGGTCGTCAAGCTCCTTCGGATTAAAGCCCCAGTCGGAATGTATCACATCAGATACTTTCATGAATCCGTCCCAATTGTGGCAACACATGATCATGCCTCTTGCCATTTGGTCAACAAAGTCATCTTACTCTGGCCATTTGTTTCTAGCCATTGGTCTAACATCAATTTTTCTGCATCATCCATCTTGTCGATTAGCATATGCTGCAGGAATGTTTTCGTACCGTCTAGGCTCTTCAACTTCGATCCGATAATGAGTCGAACCCCCGCTGGAAAAGGTAAAACGGAACCAGCTGTTTAGGTGGACCATACGAGAACCAGTTTTGCCAACTCAATGTCTTCGCGTAGTCGCTATGATGTTTGAGCGGCGAGAACCCAGCTATCAAGGCGCATCCTGCAATGTTGCGACCGGGAGGGAACAATTCATATGATGCTCCATATAACATCTGTGCCGGGACTGTGCCGTATGATCCACCCGCGACATAGAGAGCGTCAAAGGCATCAGATGGGTATAGATATGAGAGCAAGGCGGCTATATCTTTTGCAAGCGAGACGTGATAGGGCATTCTCTTGTCACGTCTGCTGGTGTTCCCCATGCCCGGAAGTGTAGGCGCAATCCAATGCACTCCGATCTCACGACATGGTGCAGGCACACTGGGTGCGGTGCCGACGCTCATGATGCCAGTGAAGACAACAATGGTTCGTGCTGTAGCGGGCCCATTGTGAGCGTAGGCCAGTTACCTGTTGCCTGGTAAGATGAGGATATGCTCCTCTACTCCCTTTTCTCTGTCATAGGCGCTGTTCACTGCCATTGCTCTGCAGCTTGACGACGAAACCAAGAGTGTGATCGGTTAAACTTGATAATGATCCCGTTCCCATGGAAGACCTTCTTCTACAAAACGGATGAGAGATGGTCAAGATTGGCCCCCACGAGACGTCGACTTCGCTTGGGCCTCGTTTGTAAAGCGAAGACATGATCACATGCAAGACTTTCTCGAAAGCCATGCACTGTGTACTGAAACCTTCGAAGTCGACTTTATGCAACGCTGGCTGCGATAAACTACACTGCCCTTCGCTCACTCGCCGGCAGCTGTTGGGGACTCTTTTGGCGCCCGGGAGCTTGGGCACCATGACACATGTGGTATCTGTGAAACACGGGTCAGTCCTGGCTGGTTTCTTGGCTCAGCCTTGCGAGGCTCAGAGGCAGATTCCGGTTACAGAGGACTATCTCGCTCGTCTGGCTCTACTCTGGTCGCGCAGGAATAGGTGAGTGGTGGAAGGAATTAACCTGATGTTTACTGACAAAATGTAGCGCTCACGTCTGTACATGGAGATACCAGTCTCCATTTCTAAGCCGTAAATCGGCTACACTCCTTCGTACATGCGCCCCCTTGTTCATTGGCTGTCTCGGTCAACAGCGGAGCACCACTCGCACAATATCCAGCACCGTCGACCACCGGCTCCATTGCTTCGTACATGCGCGACCTGGTCCTTCGGCTTTTCGTCCGTCAAGGCCGTAACGACGTCTTTTTCCTTGCAAGTCGTCGACCACTTTTCGCCAACGAGAGAGCGTTGCAATGATGCCAACAGAAACCCCACGGACGAGCGACTGCAGACAAGATCCGCCTTGGTACGACCGTCCTCTTCCCGGGCAAGGTCTCTTAGCTCCTGCTTCTTACTCTTCCTTCAATCCTTCAAGCATTTGTGGAGCGCGCCTTCCTCTAGCATACTTCGGACGGACCTAAACGTTGCTTGTTGCTGCGAGGGCGAGGGTCGTTTCCTTAGCTTTATCGACAACTCTTACAGCCTGGTTCATTGTAGACAATATATGATAGGTACGTCGCCACCCTCGATATTTGCACCGGTGTTCAGCTTGGTCGACCATTGTTTCTGTGTGCTTTGAATACCGTTCCAGAATGAGACCGTTCTTTTCGAGCACTAACACACCTTCTAGAAAAACTTCAGATATGACTCTTAGCCGCGAACCCATCGCGCCCGGATCAATGCCGTCTCATGAAGCCACAGCAACAAGTTCTCAAGCCTCTAGCATATCGAATAGGGATGTCGAAAAGGATCCGATCGACGTCGATCTACCAGCAGCCGAATACTCTTCCTCGGAGCAAGGCGCGCCAGATATCTCAGAAAAGCCCACCGACTATGGCGACAACGAGGTTGCAGTACCAGTTTCGTCCCAGCCGGCCAATCCTTTGGAGCCTTCAGCCTTCCCAGAAGGAGGACTAAAGGCGTGGACCGTTGTAGCTGGAGCCGTGTGTTGTCTTTTCGTCAGTTTCGGCTGGATCAATTGTGAGTAGCTAGGCCCAGCAACTGCGCGCGATTAATCCCTGCTCATGCGTCCCTCGTTCTTTTTGCAATTGATCACTTCACATCCAAGGTTACTACTCCACGTCTAGGGCCATCGCTAACGAAATATTCCCAGGCATTGGTGTCTTCCAAACATACTACGAAACGCATCAATTGAAGGAATACTCCTCGCAAGAAGTTGCATGGATTCCGTCAATGGAATCTTTTATGATGTTCTTCGGTGGAGTGTGGGTAGGACGATTATATGGTGTGCTCGAGATGAACCTTCCTTCCGCTTCGTGCGCTAATGATACTTCCACCAGACAACTACGGCCCACGCTATCTCATTCTGGCAGGCATGTTCTTCCACGTTTTTGGGTTGATGATGGCTTCCATCTCCAAAGAGTACTACCAATTCTTCCTTGCGCAAGGCGTGTGTTCGGCCCTCGGTTGCTCATTGTTCTTCTACCCTGCCATGTCCGCCGTCACGACATGGTTCTTCAAGAAACGTGCTCTAGCCTTGGGGGTCACCGCATCAGGATCCTCACTGGGAGGTGTCATTTTCCCGATCATGGTTGAAAAGCTCATTCCACAAGTCGGCTTCGGTTGGACCATGCGTATCTGCGCGTTCCTAATCTTGGGCCTGGGAAGTATCGCCTGTTTGACGGTCGTTAGCCGCATTCCGCCGCGCCCTAAACCGGTCAAGGCCATGGACTTTTTTCGCCCGTTCACCGAACCAACTTTTGCGATACTGGCCTTTGGCACATTCCTTACGTGGCTTGGTACGTTGACCTTGCTTCTTTCGCAGCGGAATTTGGAAAACTGACTGGTTGGTATGTAGGGCTCTTCGTCCCATTCACATTCATCATCCTGGCCAGTCGGGCACACCACGTTCCCAACTCCCTTGCCACATACCTCGTCGCGATCATGAACGGTGCCAGCACGTTCGGTAGAACCATCCCGCCCTTCCTTGCCGATCGGGTCGGCCGCTTCAATGTGTTTCTGTCAATGTCCTTTCTGTCATCTGTCATCACATTGGCATTGTGGGTGCCTAGTAGCGGCACCGCTGCGACGGTCGTGTACTCTTGTATATTTGGCTTCAGTTCGGGTGCTGTCGCCAGTATACTTCCTGCGGTGATCGCGCAGATCTCGAACATTCACGAGATCGGGGTGCGGACGGGCGCGCTGTTCAGTGTCGCGGCTGTGGCGACGTTGATTGGGAGTCCGATTGCCGGTCAGATTATTGCGAATGACGGATACAGGAGCATGCAAGGGTTTGGAGGGGCGATATTGGCAGGTGGCACGGTGGTATATGTTGTGCTTTGGGTGCGGTTGGGTGGATTGAAGGGGAAGAAAGTGTAATACAATTCGCAAGCTTCGCTCGGGAAAAGCATGGGTCAACGGATACTGTATAGTCAACAATTGAGTCGGGCGTATCATTTGATGGCAGCGATGCATTGCGTGGAGGTTTATCCTCAAGGGAACATTTGCATCGGCTCCAGGGCACACATGGTTTGTGCAGCGACATTGTTTCACAGGAGCGGTGCCGAAAAGAACAGAATTGCATAAAATGGAAGGCTAGTAGGCACATGTTCAGGAGGCCAGACATAGATCGGTAACGTGGGCGTGCGTGGGACATTCCCTTCGCCTTCGCCTTCCATTCCATTCAGCTCGCTACCTTATATACGCTAGCAGCACAGTTCAGATGGCACTGGTAGACTGCAGATGCAGAGATATACCTAGGTACATATACTCTGAGGGAAAAACCGAGCAGAGCAGAACACCGACAAAGGCTCATGACCTCGCTGTACTTATACCACTCTGGATAAAGTAAGCTGGTACCAGAACTGTTCTTCGACGAACAGAGTCTGCTTCTGTTTCACTCAGACGTATCTTCTCTTCTCTTCAGCTTTGCCATCCCCAGCAACTCTTCTGTGTACTCAGACGTATCTTCTCTTCAGCTTCGCACCCCAGCAACTCTCCTGTGTACACGTGGACGGTTGATCAATAGCTTAGTCCAGCTTTGCACCTCCAGCAACTCTTCTGTGTACTCGTGGATGGTCTCGATCAATCGTGTAGTCCAGCAGATGTCGCGGCAAGAGAACATGTTGAGACTCAAACCCGTGACTCGACGCGTGACTCGACGTCAAACTCGAACTCTGCTTTCCATGAAGGATCTTATCGAACCCAGGATCAGACCGGACATGGCCCAAGCCCTTTCCCTGCCCTGCCCCCGCCCAGCCGAAGCCCAGAACTGAGGTTAGTGAGGCAAATCCTCGTAAAGCTAGTAGTCATCTTCCTCGTCGATCAAAAACTCGACATACGGATCCAACTCGACCCATTTAAACATCGGCCCCCACTTGGCCCGGAACTCCTTCCTCTTGTACAGACTACTCGTGTTCATCTTGAAACTGACCAACTCCACGCTCCACCCTTTCTCAAGGGCGCGCTCGACCATTCTGAGAAACCCGCCCGAGTATTCCGCCTCGGCGGCGTCGCCCGTGGCCAGGACGATCGTGCTCGGCTTCTCGGCGTCGATCAGCGACTCGAGGATCTTCAGGTGCAGAATTTCGTCCACAGCCTGTTCGACCCATTTCTCGGCCGCGTGCGTCGGCGTCGGCGTCGACGGGCCTAGCATTTGGAAAGAAGAGGTGTTCGTTTCAGAACCGCTCGTCTCCCCGGTGGAATGGTACTTCCGCTGTCGCGGCGTCAGCTCCTTGGCCTTGTGCACGCGTTCGAGGATGTTGGTCTCATAGCCGATGCTCTTGGCCTGTTGGATCGCGGCGTATTTGTCCGATCCAACCAGCACGCGCTTGGCGGCTGGGCGGCCTCGCTCGAGCACGAGAGAGAAATTGTGGAAGGACAGAGGAACACGCTTCAGGCGTGTCTCGCGCGGCATGCCACGTGCTAATTTCAAGCAGTCGTGGAAGCCTATCGAGATGTTGGAGATGTCGACGAAGACGTGGATGCCAATGTTTGAGACGTTCAAGGGCGTAAAGGCAGGTTCGAGAAGGCCCGAGTTCTTCAGGTATTTCTTCACTTCGGGGAACTGGCGCGCTAACTCGGAAATGAGTGCTCGTTTACGTTCTTGAGAAGAACGGCCGTCGCGTGGAGCGATGGCACTACGCTTAGATGTGGATGGGACGCCCGGAGCAGTCCAAAGGAATGGGTGCGAGACTGGGTAGTCACGTTTAGGTGTTCTGATTTCTGCTTTTGGTGGTGATGGCGACGTTGGCGGAGAACTGTCGCGGAGAGATGGTCTCGTTCGACCGAGGATGTCGTCAATAACGGCTCTTCGGTCTGGCGACCTACGCAGCGACTCGAGTTCTTCGCCAGATTCGAGATCGGTTGTGTCTGATGTAGATTTTTGTTGAGCAGCTAATTTCTCAACTCTTTCTTTTGCTCTTGCTCTTCTCTCTGCCCGTTTTTTGTTGCGTATATATGCAGCCGTGACCTTAACAGGTTCGACATTATCTTCTAGATCTGCACCGTCCACTTCATCTCGCCACCGAACACCTTTGTTCAGCTGGTTGAGATCTAGTTCAGCGACGGGCTCGTTATTGACTTCGTATTTGACCAATCCCGACACCTGCTCTTCGTCTGCCGTATAAGGGCGACCAAGAAAGTTCCAAAGACTGGTGAAGTCACCGAGTGACACATTGTTGTTCTCATGGCTTTTGTCTCCATCGGAGCTAGGATGGAGAAGCTGAGGCGCAACAGAAGGATCACGAGATTTGAGCGAGAGGTTCTTGAGGAGGCTGATAGCAGAGTCGAGATCCCATGAGAGGGTATCTTCCTCGTCAGACATGTGCGAGTTGGAAGAGAGACGCTGCTCTCAAGATCGAGGCGATGTGGCGGTTAGAGAGGGGTAAACTTGGTGGGTAGGTAGAGGCGCAAAGAGCGACGATGCATAGCTCTGATTCGTGTGTAGCTTTCTGAGTGTGTAGTGTGAGGGAAGAAGATGTAGACGAGTCTGGTTTGAGAGCAGGATATTGTAGGACAGAGGTTGTTGATGTGTGTGGCTGTGAGATGAGAGTCGATGATTCACAAAACGGACCCTGGAAGTGACTTAGTCGACTAGGGAGACGCTAACGGCTTAGCGTGCGGTCTAGCCTTCTAAAAGAATTCAGTCCATAGCATCTTTGCAAGGACAGAATCTCAGTGATATGGAACGGAACTGCTTGATTTACATTCAACGACAAACACACGATGCTCCACGGATCATCTCTGCAGAGCTCAGCTTTTTATCTCCAATGCCGCTGATTTCAATCACAGGATGTCCGATCTGAAGAAGGAATTCCTCTCAGTCAAGAACGGTACCTGCTCCGTGATCTATGGGTTACAGCCTCGTGCTGCTTTGGCTGTCGGTTTCGCCATTTCGGAACCTCCAGCTGCATAACATGTTGTTGATGTGCTCGCCAGGAACGAGCTACGTTTTTCATCCATCATTGAAGGCTGTCTTATACAAAGACTGAGTGGCTCTCTTCGACCAAACGTGCACACAACAACGAAGGCTCGCTCCCCTAAACGTTCTGAGCGGTGGCAGACCTTGGACAACACATCTGTTTGCCCACGCCCCTTGATGACCAGCGTGAGCCTTGTACTCGTATACTGTGTTTGAGCCTGCAGCCTCTTACCCACGCTGCGCAGGTTTGCGGCTGCGTGATTTCTGATTGCAGCCCTTGCTTGTTTGTCTGTTTTGTTTTCGTTGAGCAGGATGTTTTAACAAAACAACTAGAATTCACTTTATGAATCTTGTTTCTGACCTAGGATAGTCTCCTTGACACAGTTGTTGTGCTCCTGCTCGCCCTAAACATTCTGATAGGTTGCCTGATCTCACTTCTCCACCAGAAGTTCGAAAAGCGTTTCTCCCTGTCTCAAAGCGAAGGAATGGGATTTTCGATTCCAGCATCAGTACATCAGCATTAGACCGTGTTATGCCGCAGTTGGCAGCTGACCAAATATTCACAGGTTTTGAATACGCCACGCCGCGAAAGAGACTACTCCCCATTTGAGTCACTTCCCTCAGAGATCTTTCAAATGGTCATGGACGAGGCCGCGAAGATATTGGAGCCTGAAGAAAGGATCTCCCTCATACTAAGCTGCAAGACCATGGCTACCTGGATCGTGCCAGACCTCAAGCTGATGGGACCTCTTCCGTACATGGCTGTACACGGCATGCACCTTTTGGAGATGGAAAGCGAGCTTTCGCCAAAGCTGGCTGACTGGGCAAGAGCGGTAAGGACTGCTGGGCGTGCAAGAGAGCTTGCCGGACAGATAAGAGAGCGACGTGCTGCGGAGGAAGTCGACTCGAGCATAAGGGAGGATGGAGGACCCGTTCTTGAGAGGAGGCCTGGTGTCAATGAAGGGCAACACACGCACAAATAGGGCATCAATCGTGTTGTGCTTTGAGTATGCATCAGTGAATCGAGACGTTTGTCCAGGGGGGACACCGAGTTTAGCGCCACTCGTCCCCACACATCCTGATCGCAGGAGACTGTCAGCTCATTGAGTTTGTCGAGTGCATTCTGCCCCCAGCAGGACCCTGGATTCCTTGAATCTTTCATGATGGCTTGTGACCCCGCGGGTGGTGTAAGAGACTGTTAGGTTTGGTCGATCGTATGATGATTCAGTCGTCCGAAGGTCGCCCGACTCCCAAGCCAGGAGTCACCAGAACCTCCAAATGGGAGGTACAGAGTAGGAGGGTTATTGCTTTTTCTGCATCCAGAGGTCCGACCTCTGCACTGGCGCACTCTTCTGGGACCTATCGTCAGCAAAGGGATGGTGCCCGAACTGACTCCTATTCCCCAGCATCACACCTCTTCGCTGCCAACTCCAAGCAAAATCAAGAACGTCTTTTTCGAATGGTGCCCAATCGATCTCGCCTTTGAACACTCTCTCCAACATCAATGCGTGGAATGCGGCCTGGCTCGTGCTCGCAGCCGTATGTGGCCTGAAGCCGGCCAGCGCATCTCCAACGAGGACAGCCTTGCCATTGAGCAACCTGCCCACTTTGGTCCCCTTGTCGGGCGGTTGAACGTCCGTAATGGCCTGTACAAACGGCATTCGTGTCTTGCCCACGATTTCAGCAAACTGTGGAGGCAGGACTTCTTTGGCTCGACTCTTCTGCCGGTCCCATACGTACGGCTGCATCTTGCCTCCGGTTGGTAGCGTGAAGCGATGAGTATTTCCATCAACGTCGGTCATGAGCTCCTTATATTCTTCAGACGCTTCGTCGACGTTCCAGTACCACACCCAGTTAACGAGTCGTGTGCCTTTGTCTAGGTTGCCGGCTTTCCCCGGAATAGCATACGACAATGCCTGCGTCCCGTCGGCGTGGAAGAAAGTGAAGCGCTCGACGAAAACTGCTGCTGCGGCCTCCGATAATTCTGACTCAGGCACGGTGCCACGGAATGCAACGTACCCAGCATATTTCCTGTCTGCGGCTTGCCCACCCAAAAGCATGTTTCGTGTATGTGACGATGGCCCGTCCGCAGCGATCACAAAGTCCGCCATCATGGTCAAGGGTTGGCCAGCATTGTCCTTACTCTCACCCTCTCTGGTCCGCTCATACACCACCTCGACCTTGTCACCCACGTCACGGACTGCCGTGACTAACCTGCCATACTCGTAGCTTGCCTCCCCGTCTCCATCCTGTTTAGAAGGGACCTGCTCCAAGTATGCACTCTTCACGGCATCAAAGTTCGCCCTTCCAACATAATACAGCAAGTCCCAGCTCGTCATGCGTTGCTGATGGTCTTCGCGGTCGATCACTTTGCCACCATGGTCAAGGTAGAAACGTGCTTGCGAAGTGACTTCAATCGGCCTCTTTGACAGGTCGTGTTTGTGAAAGAAGGCTTGAGTTTCTCCGCCTGCGACTACACCTGCGCCTTGATCGTGTAGCAATGGTGTCGGGGAGCGCTCGAAGATGGTTACTCGGTGCCCCAGGCGTTTCAATGGGATCGATGTCATAAGGCCGGCCAAGGAGCCGCCGACCACGACTATGTCAAGCTTTTTCGACAGGTCGAGCATCGTCGACCAACTCGGACTTTGGGCTGATATTCAGTTCGTACAAAGGTATGCTAGTCCCAGAGGTGCAACTATGGCATTCAACTTCAGCAGCGATCTACACACGTCATCTCGGCTTTGGCACGGATCGCTTAGGAAGTTGGGGAATTGCTTAAACGGCAAGCGTTCTGCTTGTTGGTGTACTAGGACAGAAGGGGGTTGTAACTAATCTGACGGCAGCTTTGGTGCATGAGTTAGAGCAGATTTTATCACCGGAAGCTCAACGTGAATTCTGAATTCGCTTGGTAAACATGACGTATGGGTAGTCTTTCATCTGTGTCATCCGGTCGTGCGGTCCACGGAAGCGACTCCAAGGGCGGGTCTTGTATGAGAGAGCTATCTCGCTCTGTTCCAGCCGCGAAGCATATAGATGAAGACTGTTATATCGATGTTCGAGGCCGGATGTTCATCGAATCCTAACAACATCTAGAATATGGCGAGTACACGTAAAGGAAAAAGTATTGCTGAGTCATGGGTGAACGAGAAGCTCGAGTTGAAGTAGTGCGGTACTCGTAATTGGCGAAGATGAGTGATGATGGTGACCTCCACTCAATCCGAAAATGCTTCCTTTCCTCCTTCCCCACCTCAACCTTCTATCTCCCGTCCCTTTGGTGCGAGCTCGCATCAGATTTGCTCATTCGAGATGGATTTCCCATTCCACAGAGCTATCTTTCGCTTGTCTTGCTCCACTTCCAGTCCTGTTTAACCGGTGCCGCGCTTATTCCTTCGTCAAAGGCTTCACCACTCTCCGCACCAGGTAGGAATTTGTGGACTTGCTTGAAGATTCCAGTGCGGGGCCTTCGTGAACCCATTATGAGCCCCCTCAGATCGTCGCATCGTTTTATGTCCAGCAGCCTCTCTCTCAATCGACTTTCTTGATCATCCCTGTGCATCCAAACCTGTAAGCGAATTTTCGATTGCCCATCATGTCTGGAATACAAGCTCAGCTCGACCGTGGGGCGGTACCAAACCACATTTCCAATGTGTGTCCAAAGGGAACTAAATTCCATGTCCTGGAGGTCGGTTGGTTGGAGTGCGACGAAGCTTTTGTGGTGCGAGGTGGCAATACAAGCACCAAGAGCACCGAGAATAGGTCGTTTGTGAATAAGCGACGAGAACTACCAATGTACTGCATCCTGATCGAACATCCCCATGAAGGACTGATACTGTGGGAAACGGGTTGTGGGAAAGACTACCCAGAGGTATGGGGTCCTCAGGTCGCCGATGTGTTTTCTCGGATCAAGTACGAGCCCAGACATGAGCTGAAGGCGGCTGTCGAAGCGACCGGCAATAAGCTGGAGGATATCAAGAAAATCATCATTGGACATCTGCATTTAGACCATGCGGGAGGCTTGGATATGTTTCTGGACAGAAAGGATGTCGAGGTTTGGGTCCACGACAAAGAGTTGAAAGCCGCCTTCTGGTCCGTCGCAACGGGAGCTGACGTTGGCGTTTATCTTGAGCATTATCTCAAGCTGAGCTTGTGAGGTTGATCCCTTCCAAACCCGAGTAGCGTACTAACGGCGACCAGCAATTGGAAGACTTTCGACGACCGGACCATCGACTTCTGCCAGGGAATTACATTGCATCATTTGCCGGGCCATACTGATGGTGAGCAGGCCGACTGAACGGATGCTGAGCGTGACTGACTTGCCGCAGGACTGATTGGTATGCAAATCAATATGCCTGATAGTGGTACTTTCCTCTTTATCAGTGACCACTGCCATGTCATCGAAAACGTAAGCAGCCCATTCTTGGCTGTTCCAAAGACTGACATTGTCTTAGTGGCGCGATGGTATCCCTCAAGGCTGGCTTGCAAGAGATCATCCAGCTTGGTTCCAGAGTACGCAGCGTCTAAAACAATTGGAAAGGACTACCCGGGGTCAAGTGATTCCTGGGCATGACAAAGAGACCTTTGAGAATTTGATCAAGAATGGAACCACGTATACTTGAGGCAAAGGGTCTCAGAGCAATAGAGTCTTCGTCGGGGAGTTGGGAGTGAGGCGTATCCAGAGCACTTTTGATCGCTTCGGCATGAGGCTGAAGCCAGGGTAGGCGCAGGTAGTTGCGCAAATGCCAACTTTGAGGTCAATGTGACTTCGTTGTCGGTCCCATATCAACACTGACGTGCTCGGCTGGATTTGACAACCCCGCCGCTTTCTCACGCTTTTGCATCCGGATCTGGGTTTCGACGGATCCGAATCGGCGAGGGATGTCAATGGCGCAGACTGAGCTTTCTCTCGCGGCCGCGAGCTGTAACTTGTAGAGGATGTTGTGAGTACCGCCTCGGTTTCGTCTTACGGAACAGCATGTCACCGGGCTGAGCGACTGCCGCAGCGAATGGCGTAGTGGTTTCCCCTGTCGGCCGAGGAGACACGAAAATTCAGCCACTTGAAGTACTTTCTTCCGGCATTGACCACTGACTCGAGGTAAGAGTTGATTCGACCATTTCGGAATCGTCTTCCACAGGTCCCTCCTTGAGATTCTCAGACTGTTCGTTCTCGACCACAGAGAAGCCTACTGACTTCCCGTTTTTGGAAGTGGATTTCTTCTGAACCACGACATCGCCATCCCATGCTTGACATTTGTACACAATCTCGCCACATCGCAAGCAAGACCAGCCCCCACCTTCCTCGGCCTCGATCTTGGTTGCGACACAGACGAAACAGTAAATACACCCACAGGGAATGGTCTCATATGGATTGACGACATCGGTAGTGGCTGATCCGATGACGCCTCCTCCGGCGCCGACGTTGGCTCCTAGTATTTCTGCTTCAGATGTTGATGCAGGATTCTGGTCCTGATAGCATATGGCGCAAGTTCTCTCTGGTAGAAACGCGAGGGGACCAGTTTTGATCACCTCCTCATCTTCAACAGGGGCTTCAGATCTCATTGCATCTTTGGTCTTCTTCCAAGCTCTTGCAAGCCATCGTCGCCATCGACTTATTCCAACAAGTGGAAGGAGGAATAACAAGAACTCGGTGAACGCATGCCAGACTAACTGCCGGTTGAGATACTCAAATGAGACTTCTCGGCTGACCTGGTTGGAAGGTGAAACGAGCCTCAACCTCAACAGACGGTCTGTGAGAGTGCGGTATCGCCCATTGACCAAAAACACCAGAAAGGAGCAGAAGGCAGCAATAGAGTGAGTGGTAGAGGCGAAAGAGGTCAGTCGCATTAGCCGCTGAACGGCTTCAGAAGGCGCAGTGTACCCTCGCTCTTGATCAATCAGCCAGTCTTCCCATTTGTCCCATCCATATCTTCCGAAAACTGTAATGAAACCGTATAGAGCTTTCTGCCATTTGGTCGGTTTCGGAAGGGCTAGACTCGACTTTCGTGCGTCTGTGTATCGTAGGTTTTGGAGAGATGCACCGTAGGACGCATCATTGTCCCATATGGAGAGCTTGAACAGCACGGCTCTCAGCGTCAGGAGAATCTCCTGTGACCAATCGTCCTGTAGATGCGGTCCGAGGTACTTGAGGCCATCTGCGACTTGTGTCTTCAGTAGTCCCAGTAACTCTTCATCCAGCAGTTCGGCATCAACCTGACCGACCCGAAAAGCTGGCCGCGTGCCCTCGGAGTCTAACAACGTCGACCAGAAAGCTGACAATTCGGGGCGCAAGGAGTGAGCGAACCGTGTGAGAGAGCGGCCGGGGCCGAGTTCGGTTCGTGGCTGCGCAGCTCGAGCTTCTTGCTGCCTGGTCCTCTGCCGTGCTAGGATGCGTTCTTGAGCAGCGGCGAAGCTGCTCGATGTCATGTTGGACGAGTCATGGGGGAGGCTTGAGAGAATCGGAATTAGAAAATGCGCAGTTTTTGTCGAAATGCAATTAACCAACGCAGCCGAGGCTTGGGCCATGATGGGCGAGCCGCACCTGCAGAAGGATGAGGCAGTGTCTGACAAAAGGCTTGCTCATGGATGAAGCAGTGATAAAGCCACATTGACCGTGAATGACCAAGAAATGTCGTTGTCAGACTCGTTGCTTTATTAAGTACAGGCGGTACAGAAGACGGGGTGCCAGATCTCTGAACTCCCGAACGTCTTTGCCTCTGGCCCAATCAGAACTGCCTTGAAACTTGTTTCAACATCAGCCTTGGGAGGTTCATCTTGGTATATTCCGATACGGAGTGCATCTGTGGATCGCTACTCTACAGGCGCCGTGGTTGTAGGTTCTCATATCGTCGTCGAATCTCTATGCCTGGGTCAAGATTGTGGTCAAAATGCCCTCCTTCACCATCGAAGCTGAGGGCGAGACCAATCCTCTCTCAAGGCAACTGGTGATCTCTACCCTCGTCAGTGCTTCACAGCCCACGGCTCAAGCATTAAAAGTCGCCACTCAACAACTTGGAAACTGGGAAAAGACACCTGGCTATTATGTGCTTTTGCAGGATATTTATGCCGACCTCTCCCTCAACCAGGAAGTCAGATTTCAAGCCGTCATTCAGCTCAAGAATGGCATTGACAAATATTGGCGGAAGACAGCGACCCATGCTATCGACAAGAACGAAAAGCAGCAAATCAAATCCAGATCGATAGAAGCTGGCGTTCGAGAACCAGTCACAGCGCTCGCTCTTCAGAACGCTCTGATGCTGGCAAAAATTGTACGCTACGAATTCCCTCATGACTGGCCCGATGTTATCCAAATAATCATTCAGCACCTCCAATCTGCCGGTCAAAACGACCTTCATACATCCAATATCTTGACGATAACTTTACAAGTCATCAAGGAATTGGCATCGGGGAGGCTCCAACGGACAAAGAAAAGCCTTCAACAAGTGTCGTCTGAGCTTCTGCGCGTGCTTGGGACTCTTTATGTCAATTTGGTATTGCGATGGCAATCGTCTTCAACGGTTCTCGAGCTGGAAAGCGCACGGAACAGCCACTCGGCCCTGAAGACTTTGAGGCGTCTGCTTGTTGTAGGCTTCGAAAGCCCACATCGGGAAGCAGACGTTACTCAATTCTGGGCTCTTCTGCAATCACATCAAGATAGCTTTTGGGCCGCTCTCAGTCAAAAGGAACCGTCTGACCTGAAAACAATGCTAACGAAGCACCTCTTGCAATTGTCCAAACTCTACCTGGATATGGCGCGCAATCACCCGGCCTCATTCGTCCTTTTGGGTTGCGCGGACATTCTGAACCGATCCTGGAGTATCATCAGTCAGACCGACTCCAAGGCTGCCCTTCAAGGTAATTTCGACTGGGCCGTATACCGGAATGGAGATGCCAATGACGAATCACCCCTCGAGAAGCTATCATTGAAAGCCTTGCTATTGTTCCGGGCGTGCTGCAAGATGGTGTTCAATCCTGTCCAGACCTTCAGATATCAGACGCCACAAGACAAAGAGGACCGCAAGGAGGCAGTGGACTTCGTCAAGAATAGTGTCTTAACGGAAGGCTTTGTAATTCAGCTGATGGAGATCTTGGTGACGCAGTATTTTGTCCTGCGACCCTCGGATCTGAGAGACTGGGAGCAAGAGCCTGACGAGTGGGAGAGAAGGGAGGAAGAGATTGCAGATGCATGGGAGTTCTCCATCCGCTCATGCTCAGAGAAGCTCTTCCTTGACCTTGTTATCAACTTCAAAGAGTTGCTCGTACCGCGGTTGCTTGATGTCTTCCGGCAGTACGCCGTCACCACAAACACAAATGTCCTCTTGAAGGACAGCCTGTATTCCGCCATCGGCATAGCCGCCGCATGCCTTGAGGATGTCCTTGACTTCAACAGCTTCCTCCGCACAACGCTTGTCCCGGAGGTGCAGATGAATCAGCCTAATTACAATTTACTAAGACGACGCGCAGCTATATTGCTTGGGCAGTGGGTGCCTATCAAGCCAGAGATCATCGACAGAATCGCGGTATACCAGATATTCACACACCTTCTTGCTAGCGGCGAGCAGCTCAATGATCAGGTTGTCCGCGTTACGGCTGGCCGTCAGTTACGCCTCGTGCTGGAGCCTTTCGAGTTCAAGATCGCTGACTTTCAGCCCTATGCCGACCCGATATTGAAGAGCCTCATGTCCCTGATAGCGGAGACCGAACTGTCTGAGACGAAAATGGCACTCCTCGAAACAGTCAGGGTGGCCGTGACAAAGCTGGAAGGTCAGATAGAGCCATATGCTCAGGACATCATGTCCATGCTACCACCGCTATGGGCGGACTCGGGCGAAGAGCATCTCATGAAGCAAGCTATTTTGAGCATGATCACGGCCATTGTCAACAGCTTAGGGCAGAAGAGTCTGTCCTATCACGCTGCAATTATTCCCATCATCCACGACTCTGTCCAGCCTGAATCCGATGCCATTGTCTACCTCTTGGAGGAAGCCCTTGATTTGTGGTCCGCCATTTTACAGCAAACACCGTCCGACCAAGTATCGTCAGATTTACTGGCATTGTCTCATTCCCTGCTTCCACTCCTGGGCATCGGCAGCGAACTCCTTCGGCAGATCTTCGAAATCGTCGAATCATACACCATTCTTTCACCCACCACCGTACTTGCACCTCAATTTCTGACACCACTACTTACGTCAATGAAGGAGCTCCTTCCCGTGCTCTCCTCCAGTCGTGCTCGGGATGCGTCTTTGGCTCCCCACGTCCTCGACAACCTAGTCGCCACTATCGCCGTTGAAGGGCACTCCAATCTCGATTCGCATCAAGCGCTTACGCACATTCTCGAATCCGTGCTCAACACGGGATATTTATCAACCCTTCTCACTCTGCTGAAAGAAGCACATGAGTATCATCAAGACCCACGACCCAACCGCAGACCACCAGACATCATCGGCCCTGGCGAAACTACACTGCTCACACTACTATCCCGCATCGCACTGCTCTCACCTGACCAGTTCGTTCAAGCCGTTGTTGCCGCGAACGTCAATTCGACCTCTTCACCAACACCCACACACTGGCTTCTGACCGAATGGCTCCAATCAATCGACAGCGTCGGCGACGTGTTGCGCAAGAAGCTGCAGGTTCTTGCTTTAACAAATCTCCTCACTGCCACGACACCGCCCTTCCCAGAGCTCATGCTCGAGAACCTCCAGTCCCTTCTCACTGTATGGACAGACGTTACTGTCGAATTGGGCCAGGAAGCCGCCGACGAAAGCGAGGGCGATTATCTCTGGCATAACAGACCAGGATATGTACCCGAGTGGCCGGACGCGACTCCCGAAGACGGCCGAAAGAGGGCAATAAGTAATGCTGATCCGATTTATACAATCAACATCAGGCATTTCATTGCCAGTAGGCTGCGGTTGACAATGGAACGAGCAGGCGGCCCGCAAACCTTTGAGCATGAATGGTTAACTAGAATTGACGGGGTTGTGCTGAAGGCTTTTGTCGACTTGAAGTTGTTGTGAGCGTGGAACATGACTTGTCAATCGGGAGAGCCCGTGGAGACTGTTCCGAGCAAATTTTGCTGCTATGCGGCGGATTGTTGCTGAAGGTTAAAGGTGAGCGCAGAGACGAAGGTTTGGCATGAAATGGAGGCATCGAGCACAAGTATCTGACCAGCATCACTACCATCATGCTTCGGCGTTGTGGACTGATGTCCTGTGATGAGGAATGCAAGCATACACTCGGGCAATAGCTTTACGCAGCCTGCATGGCATTGGGGGATCCAGGGATCTCTAAGGTGTAGTACTTCAGCAGTGGGACGACGACAGGATGATCAGATACGGCCAGACAACGACAGGGATGCCAGAAACAAAGCATCAGAAAACTTGGATTTTCAATATGTTAAGTTCTCTTGTTCGATGCCAATCCAATGCTCTGAACACATTCATCATCAGGCCTGTCTCCCATTGTGCTAATGCAGATGAGTCTATGCTGGACCACGTAGTCCACAATCCCGTACACTTCCCTGTCTCCTCGCCTGACACTCCATACACCAGGGCCAACCCTTCATAAATTCTAGTTACTTGATAGTGCTCGCCCTCCTTAAGCCAACATGATATCTCATAAACAAGGTATCAATGAAATGATCATGCTTGATGCCCGGCGGCTTCGCTTTTGCAAACTCATCCAGTGCATCCTGCGGCTTGTAGCCTTCCCTTTCTATCAAGTAGCACGCAATGAAGAATCCCGTCCGGTTGTACCCGTAATGGCAATGCACGCCGATCGCTTTGTCCCCGTGTCCATTCTCGCCGCGCAGGCGGTCGACGAGGGCAATGAAATCCTTGACCTCGACTGGGGTCGGCGGGACTTTACTCACGGTCGGGAACTTGTGATATTCGATCCCGCCGCGCTCGAGGGCTTTGGTGTCGTACACGGGACTATCGTGGCTGATGTCGATGACGGCGAAGATGCGCTCGCGCCATTCGCGGAGGAACACCGTCGGCGTGTGCACGGGGTCCTGTTCGCGGAGGGTCTTGAGTGCGCGGAAAAGGCCATGCGCGCCAGGGCCAATGGGGCCGGACACGGGCGTGACTTGTCGCCATTTCTCGAGGTTCTTGACGTCCCATTTCCCCGACGTGGTGAGTTTCTGGAGTTGCCAGCCCAGGCTGAGTTGAGAGGAGACGTAGCGGGAGAGGAAGTCCTCGATGAGACCCGCCACGGTGCGGTAGGTGGAGTGGTCGTACATGAGCGCGTGGGCGGCGGGGGAGGGCAGGATGGCGGTCTTGACGATCGTGCTGTTGTGGCTGGACATCTCACTCGTGGAGGGGATGGTGCCGAATGTCTGGTCGGAAGCTGCCGGTTCTCGATCCAAATCTGATGTAGGCGGGTGAGGACTTGTGTCGGTCTCGTCGACGGCTGAGTCCGTCTTGTTCGTTGTCGGATCGTCAGCAACTGGGACAGCTTTGCTTGCTGTAGGTGCGTCGGTGTTTGCTTCCAATGGCTTGCTGAGGTACGAGGCGATGTGTTTGACTTCAATTGGTTTGGTGACGGTGTCGGACTCGCCTGCGATGAGGAATAGCGGCACTTTGATCTTGGACCAGACTTCTTTGCCGGGCAGGCCACCAACAGGGTGACCGGAGTCATCGTATGTTGGTAAGCATCCAAGTGTTGCCCGCTTCCAAACAGCAGTCTTGAAATTGCTGTTGAAAGCCAGCTGGAGGCGACGGAGGTCGATCTTAGCACCTTTACCGGCCATCCGTTCCACACTCTTAGAGTTGACTCCGCCTCTTCGATCAAGGAATCGAACGATGTTCAAAACCGTGTCTGGAAGAGAGAGGAATCTCCTGGCCATCGTGACTTGTGATGGCTCAGGCGGGAAGGCTTTAGGACAAAGGCCGACGATTCCTTCAACAGGCACAGAGAACTGAGCGTCTGTAGCGAGCGTCGCGGCGATCGAACATCCGAGGCTATGCGCCACGAAGACAACCTTTTTGTGGCCTTTCTCGCGGCAGATGTCCTCAATGGCTTTTCGCCATAGTGTTACAAATGCTTGGAAAGTGTAGGCATTGTAGTCCTTTGGCGAGAAAGCAGAGAGGCCGTGTCCAGGCAATTCTATGCCGAAGCATGGCCCGACGTTGACTAAGGAGCCTAATAAGGGAGCAAACTGAGGTAATGATCCACCCAGACCATGTATGAAAACTAGGAGAGGCAGGTCCGCTATAGCCTGAAGCTTTTCGGCATGAGCGTGCGGGTGGTAGAAGATCCTGATAGAAGGATATCTGGCATATCCCGTCTCATAAGAACGGTTTTCCGAATGGTCTTTGAGCAGAGGATGATCATTGTCGTCTAAGCTCGTCGCCTCATCTCGAGAATCCGGTTTTGCGAAAAGATAACACCGTGAGAGGTAGACTGTTCCAGCGCCCAGCAATACTGCAATGGCAGCCGACGTAGCCACAGCCATAGTCTTGGGTGCTGATCCGTAGAACAGCCTAGGGTAGAGAGTCCCAAGTTGGAGACGGGGGATCAGGTTGGTACTCATGTCCAGACATGATATTCAGAGCTGGAGGAGTGTAAAGCATACCAACAAAATGACGAGATCTTCCTGCCTTGGAGGTCGTAGGAGACAATTTGACGGTCGTGGTTCATGAGATCATGCGGTCATAGTGTAGCAAACAGAAGTTGATCCCAACGAAGTGGTAGGGGGAGACGTTTCTATTGATTTTTTGGCCTTTGATAGGAACGTGATGGAAGCGGCAGTGTTTATTTGGTCATTCATTGCGAAATCGGACTACGGTGAAACATTTCCCCCTCATACCCTTCGAGCCTTCCTGTACGGCAAAACATGAGATAAGAGCGCGTAATTCCTCAGAAATCTTTCCCCGGCCAGCTGGGTACCAGAACCACACCTTGCAGGGCTTCCACTAATATCCAGGCGCTGACCCTGCCGATGTTGGTGTCTTCAGCAGTCTATGCAGCAAAGATGGATGAGCTGGATGCGCCCGTTTTCCCGGTGCCGGTACTTTCCTTTCCAGCAATGCGGTAGTTCAAGAGTCGTACCCATATCGCGGACCTTCCACTCTTCGCAACCTCAATGGCAGGAGGATCGTCGGCCTCTTCGCAAAGAACTGAAACAAGCTGCCAAGGCAGCAAAGAGGGCTTCAAGTCCCCCAGCGCCTGAAAAGCAAGATCTTCTCGACGAGTGGGAGTTGACCGTTGGAATCGAGATTCATGCACAGCTCAACGCGGCCAGAAAGCTCTTCTCATGCAAGTTCAGTGTCTCAAACCGAAGCAAGCACCTGCTAATGATGTGCAGCTGCCTCAACCGTCGCGACGTCCGAACCAAACTCCAATGTATCAGCTTTTGATATTGCTCTGCCGGGATCTTTGCCAGTCTTCCAACCGGCTGTCGTCCTACCAGCTCTTCGAGCAGCCATCGTTCTAGGATGCAACATTGAACCAGTCAGCTACTTCGACCGCAAACACTACTTCTATCATGATCAACCTGCAGGCTACCAGATCACTCAATATTACCATCCTTTCGCAAGAGACGGCCTGGTCACTTTGACGTCTGATGATGGCTTGGAAGAGGGACGAGTAGTCGAGGTGCATATCAAGCAAGTACAATTGGAACAAGATACGGCGCGAAGTCAAGAGGAAGATGAACACACAACGTTGGTAGACTTCAACCGCTGCGGCCAGGCCTTGGTTGAGATCATCTCGCTCCCCAACTTACACTCCCCTCGAGAAGCAGCCGCATATGTCCGCAAGGTTCAGTCATTGCTGTACGCTGTCGATGCTGTCACCACTGGAATGGAACAAGGCGGACTCCGAGCCGACGTCAATGTCTCTGTCCGCCGTCGGAACGGAGACAGTGATGGCGGTTTCGAGTACAGCGGTGTATCAGGTCTAGGCCAACGAACGGAAATCAAAAATCTCAGCACTCTCAAAGGCATCGAAGATGCCATCAAGGCAGAGCGAGACCGTCAAATCAGGCTTTTAGAATCCGGCGGTGTGGTTGAACCAGAAACTCGAGGCTGGTCCTTGACTCATCCACACGAAACTCGAAGGCTTCGTGGCAAAGAAGGTGAAGTCGATTACAGATATATGCCCGACGCTGATATTCCGCCCTTGTCCTTCGACCTTGATCTCATTAACCATGTGGCTCGAAGCATGCCTCCGACACCTGCTGTCCTTGTCAGACACTTGGTCCAAGATTATGGACTTTCCGTTACGGACGCAAGAACTCTGGAGTCGCTTGACGATGGCGAAAGGTTGATTTACTTTCAAGAAGTCGTCGCCGAGTTGCTAAGTCTAAATGCCCCTGAAGTGAACGAAACTGATGTCGGAAAGATTGCTGGTAACTGGGTTTTGCATGAAGTGGGCTCACTCTTCTCAACTGATGAGAGTATGTGGTCAAGCGATAGGATCCCAGCGAAGTCTCTCGCCCACATCATTCATCAATTGAGAAAGAATGCTATCACCGGAGCATCCGCCAAATTGATACTGAAGCTGATCTTTGATGGTGATGATCGACAGGTTTCGGACATCATCCGTCAAGAGGAGCTGATGTACGTGGAGATGTCCCCTGAAACGTACGAGACAATTGCGAGAGATATCATCCAGAACCATCCACAACAAGTCAAGGATATTGTGGAAAAGGGCAAGATCGGAAAACTACAGTTCCTGATGGGTCAGATGATGAGACACCCACGAAGAAGCGAGATGAGTGCTCCAGAGGCTGAGAAGACATTACGCCGCCTCATAATGGGGGAGAAGAGTTGAGATGCCATAGTGAGCATGATGAGCGCTATGCACTGAGAGAGGCAGTAGCGAGACCTTGTCACTCGGGATACTATGAACTACTGTTGCTACCGTTGATACAGTATCATATCCCATCTAATCTTCCCGAGACTCCTTTTCAATCCCATTACCATGAGTCCTTGCATGGCGCTAGTTTACTTAGTCGGCACGAGGCTGATGAACCCCCTGCCCCTCCGGACTCCATCCAACCGTTTTTGCTCGCCCATCTATTATTCCAAAATTCTATCCTGAGTGCCTTACTTTGGAGCTCAAGGAAAATGCAGTGGGTCCTGTTCTCTCATGTTTCGTCTCTCGTAACTTCGGTCAAACAGCTCTCATCGTGATTCCCATGTCTTGCGGCATCCGCTCTTCCCTCAAGCCACGATGCTACGCTGCTTTCTCATAGCAATGTATCACCGAGAGCACACCTGACAAGACTCACACCCGCCCTCACCGTCTCACTCGCCCCAGCGACCTCCAGACTGGGATTGACCTCGACCAAGTCCATGGCAACAAGCTGGCCCGTCTCATGCACGCACTCGGCAATATAATCACCTTCGCGCAACGTCAAGCCCCCTCTCACGGGTGTCCCGGTACTCGGCGCCCACATGGGATCCAGCGCGTCGACGTCGAAGCTGAGATGTATGGGGGTGTCGGCACCGATATGTGCCAGCGCCATCTCGACGACGCGTCCGATGCCGTGCCGGTCGATGTCGTGCATACTGAACGCGCGGATCCCGTTGTCGCGGAGTATCTTCTTCTCGCCTCTGTCCACGTCCCGCAACCCGATGTACACGAGCTTACTCGTGCTCAGGGTCTGGTCGTCTTCCAACCATCCAAACATGTCGCGCTCGTCGCTCTTGGCCAACCCCGTCAGAAAGGCAACGGGCATACCGTGCACGTTTCCCGACTCGCTCGTCTCGGGTGTGTTGATATCCGCATGTGCGTCGACCCATATCACGCCGATCTCTTTCCTGCCGGCATACCGCTCGCGAATCGCCTTTGCAGTGCCCGCGATGGTGCCAATGGCTATGCTGTGGTCGCCGCCGAGCGTGAGCACCATGCGTCCCGCGCGGGCCTGCTCGTAGACTTGTCCTGCGAGTCGCTGTGTCACTGCGCTCACGGCGCGCGGGTTCTTCATGCCCCTGTACTCGGGGTCCGACGACGGGCGGAGCTGGTTGTAATCATGCACGCTCGTGTCGCCGTGGAGAGTATACCCGAGTTCGTCGCGCATTTGGTCGAGAAGCCCTGCGGCCACGAGCGCCGTGGGAGCCGCGTCGACGCCTTCTTTGCATTGGCCGCCGGAGAAGCCGACGAGGACGACGCCCAGGTCGGAAGGGGAGGTGAGGAATTTCTGACGGATCGTCGACGGAGATGACATGTCGTAGTATTGACCGTTCGAGTGGCCGTTCTTGGAGTGACCGTTGGTGTCGGGATGGCTGGTGGCCGGAGTGCTCTTCTCGGGCGCCTTGGGTTGCATGATGGGCGGCGGCGGTGGTAGTAGTGGTAGTGGCGAAGACGTGCGTATGTGTCAACCAAGGTACTGGAACAAAGGATGCGGTCTAAGTTGTCGTTCAGGGTGGAATGATGCGTCTTGGTCTTGATATGAAGGGATAATGACCGCCCAGAAACAAATACGATGGAAGTGGAATGTGCTTTTTGTACGCCAGACTTTTTCGACCTGTATGTATGTACAGCCCCAAGGAGAGAAAAAATAAACTAAAGTCAAGGAGAACAAGAGGAAAACAGAGAATGAGGATGACTCCGTTTATGTAGTTCTCACTCGAATGTGTAAGATAGAAATTCCAACTGCGTTGCCCTCCCACGTCTCGGTCTCCGCCTTCGGAGCGTCAACAGTGATAACTTGCATAGCACCTAGGATAGTATGGTGTCGCTGGTCGAAATGACGGTGGTGGGGATGGAACGTGCATGCATGAGTACCTGAGATTGTTGCCGGTCTTCCCCTAAGTGCAAGATTAACCGCCATGGTGGCACAAGCAGGTCTCGGGCTAGATCGTTAAGTGACAATACATCCGTCCTTATCATCCTCATTTCCCCTAAGTACAGTTGTTGTCGAGCCTGACATATTCATTGCTAACAGAAACGACTCACAGAGTTTTTCGCGCAGAATTCTCTACTCGACGTATCATCACATGGTCCCATGCATGAGCATTCAGTTGAAAAATGGGCATTCAATTGCGTAATCCTGTGGTCTCATTCGACATGGCAACTTCGGCCCAATGTCTTGTATAGGCCCCGAGGCCCCTATTGGGGTTTATGTCTACGGCAACATGACCAGCTGACCAGGACTTCTAACAAGCCAAGTCTTTGGTTCAACACAGTTGCCACCCTGTCTTCTCCAGATATCTGGTATTGGTACATTGGTGTCGAGCGAGGTGAGGCGCGAAACGACAACCAGATCCTCGCTAATGTCGGGGTCGTAAGGGCGTTGTAGAACGTTTCCTATCCATCTTGCAGGGTGGAATGACGGTCCTGTCCGCCTCAGCCCAAAAATTTCTTCAGCGTAAGGTCGAGCTTTTGTAGGGACAGTGGCTTTGGAAGGAAAGCATCGGCACCGCTCGACATACAGAGCGAAGCGGCATCGGGCCCAACCACCGCGGTGACCATAATCAATGGTCGTGACCTAGAGACAGTTCCGTCTCGCTCCATCTCTCGAATTTCTTTCAAAGCTGTGACACCATCCTTGCGTGGCATGGATTGATCCATCAAAATGAGATCGATCTGTGAATCGTGTTCAACAATCTTTTCCACCGCCTCCTGTCCATCATCCGCTGTCATGACATTGTAGCCCAGCGTCTGCAGCATCTTTACACCAAGCTTCTGGTTGATTTTGTTATCTTCCACCAGTAGCACGGTTGAACCACTCAATGCTTTTCTCTCCCTCATGGGATTTTTGGGCCCATTCTCGACAACGTCCACCATCGGAGCAAATCTGACTGAACGATCGGCAGCAGGAGATTTACCAGACTGGATCACAGAAACAATGCTGGTCACCATGCGATGCCAGAGGAGAGGCCGTTGGATGGGAATGACGTGTGAGGGAGGAGCGGCGCCAATTGTTTTGTCCAACAGAAACTGGGAGTCATACGGCATAATGACAAACTGATCTCTCGGTTGCAGAAGACGACCCAGTAGTGAGGAATCTTCCTTCAGATAGTCGAGGTCGGCCCAAATGTAACTCCAGGAATCAGATATAACATCCTCAGGATCTGCCACGACAACATTGAAGCCATATACTGACCACGCCAATTCTAGTCCTTCGCTAAGACGACTTCCAGGTTTCTGGTAGACAGCCATTTGAAGGTTCTCTCCAAGAGGGATCGAAGATTCCAACGGGTCAACCGGGCCGGTTGTTGGAATAGTAACGGTAAAGGTGCTGCCGGATTTGGCGAGCTCGCCTCCGTCCACCTTGCTGCATATACTTTCAATAGAAATGGTGCCTGAAATCTTCTCCAAAAGCTGTCTGATGATGGCCAATCCAAGCCCTGTTCCCCTTTCAGCTCCCCTTGTCTGGGCTTGTTTGAATGGTTCAAATAGGTGAGGTATGAAGGATTCAGGTATGCCGTAGCCAGAATCCTTGACCTTGACTACCAAGGTAGTCTCGACGCATTCCACAAGAAGAATCACGTAACCGGATTGGGTGAATTTTAAGGCGTTCGTCAGTAAATTCATCAAGATGCGTTGCAAATATGTTTCGTCCAGGAACACAGTCTCGGGCACATTTGGTGCCACCACTATCATCAGTTCCGGAGCCGCTTCGTCATCCTTTCTGGGTAATATATTGAGAATCGACTCACACGCCTTGCGTAAGTCCAAGCTTGTAGGCCGACAGATGGCTTCGCCTTTCTCCAGCCGCGACCAATCTAGCACATTCGCCGTAATCATCGACAGGGATCTGGTGGCTTCTTGGATGGCGAGGAGTAGAAGACGAGACTCGCCATTGAGTTCCATGCGCGACAACAGGTCGCTGTAGCCCTGTAGTTGATGGAGAGGCGTACGAATCTCATGAGAGGCTGACGCAATGAACTCGCTCCTTGCTGCTGCTGCCGCCTCTGCATTCTCCTTCTGTGCTATGGCGGCCCATAGCTTCTTCCGCGTCTGGACGATCTCGGCCAGCTTGTTCCGTGCGATGGTGGCAGAGTGCGCCAGCAGGCCATTGGCAAGCATACAAGTCAGAATCGCGATGCTAGTAACAGCGACGGGTAAATCCGGAGGGTATCCTCGGTCCTGACTTGGGGGTCCTCGTGACCAGAAGGTTGTCGCCCACATTCCTGTAAAATGCATTGCTGCCACTCCTGCAGCAGCGACGATAGAGAAGACCAGCTGCTGAGTAAGGTTGACCTCGATTTGTGGAATCAAAATACATCCAGTTGTGCACACCAGCCAGCTGATCAGGGCGGAGAGCACGACAATGGAAGGTTGCAATGTGAAATGACCGTCCGGGATTTTCATTGCCAGAACGCCAACATAATGCATGCTTGTAATTGCTAGTGACCAAACGAAACCTGTGACAAATTTCGGCGGGCTCGCACCGTGGTAAAGTAAGCCAGCAATGCCAGTCAACCCGCTGACAGGGTCGGAGCCGAGTTTTGACGTCTTGAAGCTCATGAAGGCTGGGATGCTGAGCCTGCTGCTATCAGAACCCTGCGTCGTTGATGACCGACGAGATACATCGCCCTCCATTGAACTTCTTGCCAGGCTCTCCGTATCAGCTTCGGACCCCTGATAGTAAAAATGGCCTCGCGGTTTGGAAGACTGACTCGGGCTCAGAGCTGAAGAACGATGACTTCCTGGCTCCAAGGTTGCACCGTTTGCTCCGGCGAAGTGTTCTTCGAGAGGGCCCAGGCCGCTGTCGCTTCGAAAAAGGTGCCTTCCGGAGCGACCTCGTTCTTCAAGATCGGTAGCTTCTTGGGATGTAAGAGAGTCCTCTTGATCGTCCGATGACTGTGGATCAAGGAGGGCATCCGTACTCGCATCCCCATTGTGATTTGATAACGGAAAATCTTGCGCAACCTCTCTCCGGAACTCCCGTCTGGCCTTGTGCTTCCTCCTCTTGCTGGTCAGATAGCGATCTCGCAGAAGACCCAACCCCAACGCGGCAAACGTGAAGGAGACCGCCAGGATCGCGCTGACGATCGTAAGAGGCACATCCAACCCTATTCGAACATCGAGTTCACAAGCCAGCATGGCAATGAAATGGAGACTCCATATCGAACAGAAGCCGAACGTCAAGCTGCCGAGTAATGTCCATACCAGTACACCACTAAAGTACCGAGAGGTTCGTGCTTGACACATCATCTGCGTTGCGGTAAAAGCGCCCAGCAGAGACACTGCAATGGAGGCAGCGATCAGGCCAAAGTTCCAGTGAGGCACAAGCCTCCGGAGAGCAGGTTGCTCGTGCAGTTGATCCATATTGACAGGTCGTCAGAGACTCCTGCGTGCCGAGAGAGATCTCTAATGGTCAACGAGCAGATTTTATACGGTGTTGAGTCACGATCTTCGGCCGCTTCATCATCACGGCCTGTTGATGTACAATTTCGAGTCCTCCTCTTCAGACAACGCCTGGCCTGGGTGCGGTATATTCTCTTGCCCACGCCGGATGTCCTTGTGAGCTGGCGTATCAAAAGCAGCTTGGCGTACAGCAAAGGAATGCGACGCAGACAAAGGGCTATAGGGGCTAACCAGCAGGAGCGGTGGTCCCAGTAGACTGGTAGCAAAGAGACCGAGTACCGCAGAACCGGCAGGCGACCTAGCACGAGATAATGCTGTTGACGAGAAGAATAACCTTGCGGGGAGTTATCTAGTCGATAAGAAATTGAAGGACAATGGTGCTGTTGCAACGAGAAGTCGGTTTGCAGCGCAGTCTATGAGTCCGGATTTGTGACGACAGAAGCTAGATGATGGCTCGGTTTGGTGGCTGAACCCGAGCGAGCGAAAATAATAATAATGGTGTTTGTCCGCGATGGCTCTCTCACAGTACTCGTAGGTACGGGTAGGCTACCAGTAGGCTACCTTAGCCACTGGCTAGTGAATCCGCTGGGGCGTTCGAGCTTTGAGCCTCCAAGAACCTTTGCGGGGAGTTAGTGAGCCTTTTCAGGCCTAGTCACAGCCTATTGCCGATTATTAGTTGCTTGGACTTGATCGTTTTCGGCCTCGCGCAGGCGGGGCAAGCAAGCTGGTGAGGCTCGAGCCAGGCAAGAAGACCTGGGCTTTCGGATTTTACACGGTGACAATTCAGACAGGTGTGACACTGTGTAGGATTCTCCCAGCCGTCAGTCAAACCTTGATATGAAGGCCACGAAGGCCAAGGGAGCAAATCTCGGACTCCTGACAGAACCTGTTGCTCTCTTGCCTTGTTGCCTTTTGCACAGCCCACAACCGAAGGGGTTCCAGAGCAATGTATCTCGATCAACTGTACAGACACTCTTCGCTGGGCTGTATGCCGCCCTCTTCAGTTTCGCAGCAATCAAAACCATGCCTCTGTCTAGCCGGCTCACAGCTGTAAAATGACTTCAAGGACATGGCTAGATGGAGCATCAGTTCCCATGCTACTCCGCAATGCAAAATCGAACATGATTATCAACACAGAAGAGCAATCAACCGACAGCATCAGGTAGGGACTTCCCCAATAACCACATGGCGGGCGTGGTACAGAGTCCCTCACTCCTAGAGAGTCCCTCGAGTCCTTCTTCTAGGTCTTAGGGCGGCGCGACCCCTCCGCTCAAACTTCGTATAGGCGCCCGAGTTGACGACCTCCAACCAACCATATCCTCACTCTCTTACAACACTCCAAGATGATAGAAGCCAGTCTCCTCCGTGAGATCCTGAACGGCGGCTAACGCCTCGCTGGTCGTCGCTCTCTAAATATACTTTTCTCATGTTATTTCGTCTTGACGCCGAGATGCCCAGCTTCGAATAAAGCGACCTTATTTTGTCTTCTATCCCTCAGTCTTGACCCAAAGTTTACTGCTTGCATCTGCTTCTCGCCCTGCTTACAATTCCTGTGCATTGCAATTCAACATCTGTCCATCTGTTCGTCTGTTCTTCGGTCCCCGTCTGCTTGGTTGACTTGAAGTGTCATGTCGTATCCACCACCACCTGGCTCAGGGCAGCCGCATGGAGGATACTATCCTCGTACGCTCACTTCCCGGAGCGACCGTGGAACAGTAACTAACAGGCACCGCAGCACCTCCAGACAACAGTCAAGGTACGAGTCCATAACAGCCATCGATTCCGCTGCTAATCATATCCAGCATTCCCTCCTCCACCGACTTCACCTCCAGCCAACGTCAACTACTTCCCTCCACCACCGTCAGGACAATCCCCTCCTCCCAATCCCGCCTTTCCCCCCCCTCCCATCTCATATGTATCACAAACACCGTCCCCTCCTCCTCTTCGACAACCCACGGCGCAGCGTCCCTTCAATTATGGCGCGGTTCCTGCCTCTGCCCCGGCTCACAGAACGACCTTTGACCATTCTGCGATTCACAACCGGCAACCTTCCTACAACGGAACATCCCAGACCGAACCCGGAGCCTCTCCTCACCCAGACAAGTCGGTCACGTCTCCACGGTTGCAAAAGCTGACACAAGAGATGGCAAATGTCATGAAGGCACCGACAGGACCACGCATGCCAGGCGTGCCAGAAGGGGAGCAATTTGTAGGCGTACAGGCTACATCGTCAGACGATGTGGGAACATTCAATGGCGGCTCCTACCGCATTTCACATCGGGATTCAAACTCCATTATCACGATACAACTTGCCATGGGCTGCCCACTTACCGTCAAGCCAGGCGCCATGATCGCCATGTCGCCCTCCATAACGCTGAAAGGAGCGATCAAGTTCAGCATGAAGAAGTTGCTGATCGGAGGTGAGATGGCCCACTCGACTTTTACCGGGCCTGGTGAATTACTCCTTGCTCCTAGCACGTTGGGGGATTTAACGATGCTTCGGATGCAAGGGAACGAGACGTGGAGTGTCGGGCGAGATGCGTTCCTGGCTTGTACGCAGGGTGTTGTCAAAGAGTACAAGAACCAGGGTTTCAGCAAAGCCATGTTTTCTGGTGAAGGAATGTTCGTCTACAAAATATCCGGGACAGGCTTGCTATGGATGTCCTCTTTCGGTGCAATCCTGAGAAAAGATGTGAGTTCACTGGCCTTCCTATTTCTCTGTCGAGTCTCGAGTCATGCTCAAGGACGTGTACTGATTTAAAATCTCATCACAGCTCGTCGAAGGCGAGCGATACATTATAGACAACGGCCATCTCGTGGCCTGGAATTGCAAATATGTCCTTGAACGTGTCGCAAGTGGTGGTATCATATCTGGCCTTTCTAGCGGAGAGGGTCTGGTCTGCAAATTCTCAGGCCCAGGGACGGTTTATATGCAAACAAGGAACCCCTCAGCGTTTTCGGCATACATGAGCGGTCAAACATTTCGAGAATGATTTATGGGACCATTTTTAATTAGCATCTCAAACAGCGAGCATGATGGTCTGAAACGAGAATCTAATCTTGGATACTTGAAGCCTTTTCTTTCATTCCATAAATGAATCTTCATGGCACAAGGCTCGCCTTGAAACTATGGAACATGGTTCCCCATCATTCTGTCAAGGGGCCTTAGCAGACCAATTCATGATCATCAAAGTTTCGTCCTCAATGTCATTCTTCCCTTTCTAATCAATCTCCCAACCATGCACGCTTAATCTAACCTTGCATCCTCTTACGCTTGCCAACTTGGGCCGTAAATCCAGATTTGATGGCCGTAACCGACCGTCTCGACCCGCAACTGTTGCATGTGACGAAGTACAACCGATTTTCACCCTTGCTCAGCTCCGTATTTGGCGATCTGCACGTCTTGCAGGTCACATATTCGACGATATAACGCCTGAGCACGTTCTCGATCTGTTTCTGCTGGAATCTTCCCTTGATGACCAATCGTTTGCTGCCGTCCACACTGCCGCTCGTACCCAATTCTGCGAAAAGAAACTGCGTGACGTGCTCGTCATTTCGGTTCATGCGCTTGCAGATTTCCGCAATGTTCGCAAAAATGGTCTTTTTGTTTCCTTCACGTAGACACTGTGGCGGGGGGATTTTGTAGGATCTGGAGCCCGACGACAGAATGTCCGGGTTGTGCTCGTTGACAAGTTGGAAGAAGCGCTTCAACAATAAGTCGTAAGAGATGGGCGTGGTCGCCTCGTGGGCCCAGATCCCGGTGCCGGCGGACATGTCGCCTGTTTGTTCCTGCGGTTGGTCGGCGCTGGTTTCTACTGGACCATCGGCGCCAGGCTCGAGTCCCGCAGAAGCGAGCTTCGCGGCGAAGTCATCACCAGCGGCCTCTGTTTTCTTGGTGGACTTCTTCTTCTTTTTCTTCAGAGCTGTTGGATCGAAGGCGTCGTCAACAGGGGCGGCTTCGGAGTCAGCTGGAGTCTCGCCGTCGGCGATCTTTGGCTTGGAGGATGATTTCTTTTTCTTCTTGTTCAGGCCCGCAAACATGTCGGTCATTTCGTCAACGGCTTTGTCTGAGGACTCTGGCGCTGCAGATGGAGTTAGTGGGTGAGATCGGGAACAAGAGGATGGCAAGAGAGGCGTACGCGAAGAGTGCTTTTCAGCTGTGGGATTGTCTTCGGCAGTGTTGGTGGGCGCTTCTGAGATTTCGCCATTCTCGTCCATGATTGTGTCGTCGCCGCTGAAGGCTACGGATTTGCGCGGCTTGCGTTCGTGAGGTGCCTGAGGTGCTTCTTGCTGTACGAGGGAAATGTCAGTATGACTTGTCTGCACGGGTGTAGGTATCTTAGTGGTGGCAAGGTGAATGGGGGTTGATTTCTGCGCAGTGGGGCGAGGTGCAGGAGGTTTCAGTTGCGAGTCGAGTGATGCTGCGTGTAGGTGTGGAGAGTGTGTGACGTTCTGGGTGCTTACCACTTCCGCCATGTTAAATATGTCTTGAATGGGTAGATCAGAAGGTGCGCTGCGATTGTGTATCTCTTCGTTGTAAGGTGGTCGAGGTTGAAGTTACGGAAGGGATGTTCTGGAAAGTTGGAAACTCATTATTTGAATTTAGAAATTCGAGGCAGAGCGTGAGTCAGTATTCCGTGATGTCACGTGGGCGTCACTGGGACGCGCTCGTCATATTGCAGCTGTCTGACCAGATATATACTGGCACATTCCGTGCTACTGCAGGCATCAGAGAGCGGCATTATTCTGTCTTACTGCCGCCATTCCGCCATTCGTGAATATCGACTTTCTAAGTAGTCTTGCCGATTGCGATTCGTAGACGGAACATCAGTGTAAAGTCAGACGCAGCCTTCTCACCATTACTGTCATAGTCCACACTGGCTTGTCGTATGGCTTGAACTACTGTGTTACAGAGGTATCTCTGGCGACCTGCCGCTAGCTGTGCCTCCATCATCCTCCACACCATGTCCGACGACATTGCAGCTTCATTCGTCGATCCTACGGCAAACATCGATGAGAGCGACATTGAAGACCTCCCCTCAGAGCCTGATTCGGACGATGTCACTGTGAGCGAGGAAGATTTTGAATCAGATGCTGAAAGAGAGTGGAAGGAAAGTCTGCAACAGCTGGAGATGTTGTTGACGATGGTCATTGTGCCTTACGCTGGGAAATACTTTGGCAGGAAGTTTGCATACTGGGGTATGTTAGAGGCCTGGGAAGTAGGCGTTTTGAATGCTGACGTGTGGCAGGATGGAAGAGATATATGGAGTGGCAATACCCGGTTGAGATTGTCGTGACGAACAAAGCCGCGTTCAGAGGGACCGGTGCCGTGGCTGCTGCTGCCCCGTTGTGAAAACAGGATTTGTGGGCATGCTTTTGCGAAGTACGACCAGCCAAACGATATTGGTCGAATCCACGAAGAGCGGCTGGTAGAGGAGCAGTCTCACGGGTCAAAGTCTATCGAGCAGCGGCAGAGGTCTAATCCCGTCTCCTCGACTTCAATCTCAAGAGACCTCACTTCGGGGAAGTCTGCTCGAGTAAGATGAATTTCGTCGAGTACAGTCGAGCCAACGAACAGCAAGCCGAGCACAGCAAGAGTCACGGGCAGTCCGCTGGAGAATCGGAAATCTGTCTTCCACTGGAGGTTGTTTTATGGCAGAGGATGTACCTAGATCGCCCAATCTGGACTGGTATTTGCCAAAACCATGGTTTGCAAGTAACCCTAGTAGCCGACATGCTCGTAGCAGGTTCTCATATACATTGCTGCTTTGCTCGCTTCCTGACTTTCGAGGCTCCTGCCCGCCTTTCTCGACGCCTCCCTGTTCTTGTCCGTTGCGCATGTAGACGCAGCCAGTGGTGTATTGCCTCATCTGTAGCCGATGTCTGGCCAGGCCTTTGAACCCATTGTCAAGCATTTGTACGTTCTGTCCTACAACAATAAGCCACAGTTGTCGTTGTGCGAGCCATGCCGCCACAGAATTGCGTGGTGTCAAGACCAAGAATCGATCAATGCAGACCTGCCATTGGGCACATTGAGCTCGACGGCCACCTGTCTGGTCAGGGGAAGCGACGCCGACCGCTCGGCCCTTTGTACAGCAAAACAGCGCATTGGGTTGGTTTGCAGACTTGTAGTGGTAAGCCAAAGCGCGAACCGACGGTCTTCAGAGCACAAGATACTTCGTCCTCGAAAACCAGGGATATAATGTCGAATAGCTGGCCGCACTGTTGTATCAGACCACAATGGCTGCCGCGCCGTCCAAGCCTGGTGCACCATGCTCGAGCAAAAGTCGAAGAGGTATTGGGACAGTCCCAGTTGCGTGATTACACTGCCGATGACATCCTGTCGCGGAGTCCAGATGTCCCCGGGCCGCCTCGATGTGTGGTCTATGGCCACAGCAAGAGTCGGTAATCTGAAAACATTTCGCACATTGTTGTCTCCTGGCCTGCGGAAATTGTACAGCCATCGCCAGTGATAGATGATGCAACAGACCGACTTGTAGTCCCAGAATGGCAACACTTCTGGCTTTGGCGGCGCTTCGTCTTCCACCGACGCATGAACTGGACGGCTTCCATCGACCTCGTAAAACACAAGGCTGACACGGAGCTGCGAGTATCGCACCATGATCTTGTACATTATTGAAGCGAGAACAAGCGCTGCTGCTTGATGAGATACCATGGCTTTTCGGGCTGTGAGGTCGTCTTTGCGTCCGTGGAGTACGCCAGGATAGTTACGCTGCTCCCAATTTACCGTAGCCCTTTGACTTTGCAGTTCCGGTACGATATGGATAACGACATTGTACGCCCAGTTGGTTCTGATGGCAGGCAGCAGGCGCGTCCATAATTTGTCCTGATAATGGTTGGACGCCTCCGTAATTCTTTTCCGGTCGCCCGCTGGCACGGGTCCTAACAGCTGCACATCGATAGTATTCGGTATGATCAATAGAACATTGACAATATCGTGGAATCGACGGCAGGTCAACTTCAAATCCAGTACAGTGTTCTGCAAACACGGAGTCTGAACCCTATCGAACAGCTCTGGACAAGAGAGGCGAGTTACAGGTCCGATTGCATGGCGCATAATGCAGCTGAGGACTTCATTGGGAAGCCATGCGACCTCTGAGGCATTGTCCACAGGCTGTGCAGGCTTGTGAATAGGTCGGTCATCGTTGTCAGCCTGAGAGACAGAGTTATAAATTGTGCTGCCGGCCGACATTTTTGTGACCTCTTTTCGCTGATCTGATGTGTACCTTACGCAGTCCGCGGACTCATAAGGAAGAGGAAGAGATAGTGCTGTGTCTGGTGGGAAGGAGAGAAAAGGATGCGGTCGAAGGTCGCGCCTTCTTTATATATATAAAAGGGAATGCAAATGTCCTCAGGAGTCAGAGTCACCTAAAACCTAGTTGCGTTTTGAACCGTGGTACTGGAACGTTGGGCGCGTTGGAGGCCGTGCAATGACTTGTAAGTGCATGCCAACCTGATGTCTTTCATGACAATGTATGGACCATGCTTGTTGTAGGACACTGTGCTGAAGTCACTGGATATCGTCGAAAGCATGAAATTTGCGGAATGGTTCACCCACAACTTTTCCACTTGGGTCGAACATGACTCCCTCGCTACGGAGCAGCTCAGTCTTCTTGTTAGCATATTTGCCATCCTTACCCCAGTCACCGTTGAATCCACCGATGGTTCTGTTGGCCGCCAGGACACGGTGACAAGGCACGTCTGGGGCAAAGGGATTGTTGCGCATGCCGTTGCCGACAGCACGGGCAGATGAGTTCAAGTAGTCAGACATCGCTGCATAGGTAGTATAGCGACCCTTTGGAACAGATAACAGCGTCGTGTACAGTTTCTTCCGATAAGGAGTGAGTGTTGGATCCGATACGATGCGGTTCAGGGTATTCTTGATATCTTCGATGTTGGTACGAGTTTGCCAGACATTCTCAATACCCGGAGTCTTCTCAGGCGATTTGATTTCTGGTTCGAACTGCAGGGTAGATTGGCGGTTGGCTACTTTTATTTTCTTCTTGGAGTCTACCTGTGGTTCGTTCGAAGTGTCTGAAGATCGTTTTCTCTTCGACCTTGCGTCGCCTTCAAGGGTATCGGATGGCGTGGCAGTATGGTAGCCATACTTTCCTTGGTCTTTGTTTCTACAGCGTAAGCTCACCGCGTCGAGGTGGCGCAAATCAGCCTTTCCAGCTTTGATGTCCTCGCCCAATGCGATGGCGTTGCGGAGTTGCTCTTGACTCATGTTTTTGGTAGCTGGCTTCTGAATGACTTTGTCCCACTGCTTCAATCCATTTCCTATCGTATTGTCAAGGATGATGCGAGCGAAGCAATGGTCAAGTGTCACAGGCCACTTTGTTTGAGCGGCATCGCGGGCTTTTGCAAGATTGGGGAGAGTTTGAGTGTGGAGCGTCTTCCATTGTGTTCGTAGGTATTCAAGCTCAGACATATTGTGCAGCTTTAAGCCATGGCTCGATAGGTGTTCAGATCGAGGAACCAGGATGTGAATACTAGTAGTGCTGACGGTGCTCATGCAATCAAGCTCGCCCCATCGCGTAAGTGCCGCGTGCTTGATGACGTGCCCCCCAGACGCGGTCCTCGCGACGCGTCTCATTTAGATGCACATCGCCATAATTCCAAATGTGTGCGTTCTGTCCAGTCACAACCCGGTTGGTATCTTTCCTTCATACTATGCTAGATGCTGGAATCACTTAGTAGCTTCTGCGAAGGACGTCCAGAATGTCTTCACCACCAGGATCGCCATTTTCCATCGGCTCGCCCGTCAGTCCTTGCTCGAACGTCTTGACGCCTTCCCGAAAAGTACAGGCTTTGCTCGCCCAATTCGACGATTCTGATGCGGATGAGCCTTCACCCACTCCACACGGCAGTCGCATATCTACAAATGTTCGTTTCAGTGGTAGCCGCAATGCTGCAGGCAGTCAAACTGGCGCGCAAGAGGACGATGATTCAGAGGAAGAGGACGATTTACCCATGGCACCACAATCAAAGATTGCCGCCCGACTACAAGGCTTAAGCACAACATCCACTTCTTCAAAGAGAAACGACATCCCCGTGCCAGAACGTTCACGCCCAAGTTCGGCCGACGTGTTGGACGATGAAGGCATACTACAACCTGGGATGAGAAGGAGGCTTCTCACGAAGCGCAAAAGCAGTCCTGTCGAAGAAGCAGCTACCGCCCGTGCCTCGAGATCGGCTTCTCCCTCTTCTGCTTCCTCGTTACCGTCCCCTCCCTCTGCCCGGCCTCATTTCATCCCAGAACGTTCTGGTTCTGATGATGGAGAAGACCAACTTAATGCCGGCAAATCAAAGTTTTTAGCTCTAGTTGCAAAACACCGCACCCAACGACTTGAGAGGGAGGCCGAAGAAGAGGCAAAGCGCAAGTCGCGTCATGAAAATCTCGAGTCCCTTGGGAAAAAGAGTCGGCAACCGAGAGGATCGAGTCCTGCAGATGATACTGAGGAAGATAGTGACGTTTCTGGTGCTGATGGGGCCAAGAAGCTCTCAACGCAGGGGCGACCTACGCGAAAAGCTAGCAAGAAAGCTATAGAAGAAATGAGTCGGGAGACTCAACGTATGACCCGGAATATGCAGCTGGCCCATCAAGCTCGTACCAAGAAGAAGATCACCAAGGACAGTTTGCTAGCTCGCTTCAACTTTCCCATGGCCACATCCGCCGCAAGACTTGCAGCCAACCGTGAGGACAAAAGCCCTACCCCCGACAGCTCAAGTGCTGCTTCAGACAATGAAGGATTCGCTGGTCACGACACACCACCAACAAGTCCTCTACACGACGAGACCCGTGTCAGTGATCCCGGAAAGCAGCTTACACACGCTGGTACGGCACCGGTCGCCGTGGAAAACCAGCAAGTGGGCTACGACCTCCCCAGCTGGCGTGCAACTGTCTCGAACCGCGACAAAGGCAAAGGAAGAGCTCCATCGGAAGAGCCCATGCCACAACTTGCGCTGCCCACCATCGCCCATATGAGCTATCCAAATTTGCAGGAGCCGTCAGAGCCGAGCATCAAACCGACTATAAAACCACATAAGTCGAAGCGGCCTTTGGCGCCTGCAATCAAGGACGAAGCCGAAGATTCCGACTCTGATCTCGAAGTCATCACGTCTAAGGGTGATAGTCGCAAATATGCCGCATTCGAGCAACTTCCGAGACGAAAAGCAAAAGAAGCGCCTTCCCATCTTGCCTTGCGGTCACTGGCACACTTAAACGGCGGCGACGAGCGAAAGCACGCCATGAATGCTGCAGAAATGCAGGCCTCTTTGAGGAAAGCAGCTCGTCTTCAAGCACGGCAAGAAAGACAACAAAAGATTGAGGACCTCAAAGCGAAGGGCGTATTCATTCAGACATCAGAGGAGCGAGAACGTGAGCAGCAAGATCTGGAAGACCTGGTCGAGAAAGCCCGACAAGAAGCTGCTGAAATCCAAAAGCGCGAGAAAGCTCTTGCCAAGAAAGAGGGCAACTATATCAAGGATGCCTTAGACGATGACGATAGTGATGAAGATGAAGATTTTGAGGATCACGATGGCGCAGGAACTAGTGAAGAGTCAGGTGAAAATGGGGAAGATGACGAGGAGGAAGACGATCATGAACATGGCGGCTACAAGGACGACGAGAATTTGCTCGACAACGAAGCTGGCGAAGACGAAACGGAGGATGCGGAGAGTGATGCAGAGGACGCTGTTTCATGCTCCGAAGATGGCTCTGACACCGAGCTCGTCGAGCCCTCTGTTGCAAGAAAGAAGCGAGCGGTTCGAGTGCTGAGTGATGATGACGACGAAGATGATGAAGCGCCGTTGAATGACGAATCCTGCTCACCTCAACTCCCGGCTCCCGCTAAGACACCTCAGTCTGTTTTGCGTTCTGCGAGAAAGCAAATACCTGGGCTGCAAATGTCAGATGATCTTCCGATGGGATTAACTCAAGCTTTCGCTGCCACGATGGCGGATACTCAGAACCGGGACGTGGACATCAATCAGGAACAAGACAGTCTTATCATGACCATGGATCTGCCATCACCGAACATTGCAATGGTACCCCGACTACAGCGCGTTGAGTCAATCGACATCATTACAGATAGCCAGCCAGCATCTCAGACCCAGCCTCTCAATGTCGACCTTTCCTTCTCGGAGGTCCAAACGGTGCCCCAGTCACCTGCGAATGCGTTGGGCATGGGCGGCCATCAATTTACCCCTTCCCAGCCACAATTCGAACCAACCCAGGATGGTGGCTTCTTGTTGAGCCCTTTTGCAGGCAATCGTTTCGCAACCGAAACTCCTCAGCAGCTTGGGCCCCATTCAAGCGTTGAAACTGTGATGCTCCCAAATGCTCTCCAGGACAGCCCCCTTTTGCAGAGGACTTCCCGGCTTGGACGTGGTCGCGCGCATGCAGATAGTGAAGATGAGGGGGCAGAACCAGACACATCTGCCTTCGACATTATGCGTCGTGCTGCAAAGAAGAAAGAGCGTGAAGCTTTCGACAAAAGCAAGTCGCATGCCCGTGACATCATAGACGAGGCAGCAGAAGAATCCGAGGATGAGTATGCTGGGCTTGGTGGAGCAAGCGACGAAGAAGGGAATGACGAGGAGAACGAAGAGGACCGTGCGATGATCGATGAAGACACCCAGGTGGGAGTTGGCGACGAAGCTAAATTGGCGAAACTATTTGCAGACCGCGACCGTGAGCAGGATGAAGCAGCAGTTTCCAAATTGATGAAAGATATCACTACAGGCGCTTTCCGACGAAAGCGTGGTAATGATGACCTCGACTTGTCAGACGAGGAGGATGCTGCCAACAGACGACGCGAGGCGAAACGACGAGAATTCGCTAAGATGCGCCGAGAATTGCTCAAAGACGAAGCCGTGGGCAAGATTGCCGAAGACAAGAAGAAAGAAGCTTTCTTGCGTAGTATCGAAGATCGAGAAGTTAGCGAGGAGGACGATTTCGACCAGGAAGAGACGCAGCCGGAAGAAGAATCACAAGAACAGGAGAGCCAGCCGGCGCAGCACCCCGAAGACCGTGATACCTCCTTCGCGGTAACAGGAGATGATAGCGTCAAGCATACCCAGCCACTTGGGACTGCTGGAGAATCTCAACTCAACCAAATCAAGCGGCCCATCGGCCGCACACCTGCACACTTCAACCGCAAACCCACTACCCTTGCGGAGATCCGGGAATCCGTGTCGTTCCTGATTGAAGACCACGACTCGCAAGCGGCCACCATCGACCTTGGACTTTCTGATTCCGAGGACGAGCCAGAGGCGTACGTCAATCTGGACCGGCACTTCCAAGCTGCTGAAGCTGACGAGAACGCTGATGATGGCGATGACCTGGGGGACTTTATTGTAGATGACGACGGCTGCGCCAAAGACGAAAGCGCTTTCAAGAGGCCAGGACTACCTTACAGCGAGACACGTGCTCCATATTCGGAGCGCCGTACCAAAGAGAGACCGAACGTGGTCAATCGATTGAGTATGCTTCGTCAGTCGTCCTCGTCATCAGGCTCTTCGAGCAGCACGAAGATGGCATTTTATACATCAGCCTCGTCAGCCAGCGTGTCTTTCGGCAAGGTTCCAAGTCTCCTCCGGCGAGCAACAACCAATTCGAGTTTGGGTAGCATGGCTGGCAGGGACGAGAACGTGTCTGCAACTGGTGTAGTGATCAACAAGCCTGAACGCGGAAAAGCGAGTGATGAAAGGGAGTTTGTTCGAAAGGCTGGCGGTGGTCGACGAAATGCGGTCAACTACCGACCTACTATCAACGAAGAGAAGATGAGCCAGAGAGCAGGAATTGCCAAAAAGACCGCAAGCAAGGGCAAGAAAGCTGGGGCTGGGTTTCTCGGAGGTCTGTTCAGGCAAGACAGCTGGGCTTGATTACTTCAGCCGAATCGGATCTCAGGGGTCCTTGCATTCGATGTTTCAACGAACCAATAGACAAGTCTCAGCCGAGTGCTGTGGTGATTTTGCATGTTCTTCAGCCTACTATACGACTGACTCAACTAGCTGTACAAGCTTGCATTATTATTTTTCCATTTCTGAGCTTTTTGGTGTGACATGGGAACAATCGTCACAATACAAAGGGTCTGCTCCACAACTCTGCCGAAATCAGGCGTCCAACCTTCGATGTCCTTTCAGCAGTTATGGGCGGATTGCGTGCACTCGGATCTCGAGCATACATGAACCTCAAGTAACGTGGTGTGACGACCTTGAATTCCAGGTACATCTCGAGATGAAAAATGGCCACGGCTGAACTTGACTCGATTCTCGCAAGATATACCGACCCAGCAACGGGGAGCGTACAAGGCGCTACGTTTGTAGCCGTTGATAGTAAAGGTAAGTTTACTCTGTATCAGCAAAGCTCAAGATGCGATCTGATGATCGATTGACACGTGGGCAGGCCATACTATCTACTGTTCATCATCAGGCAGTCGAACAGCGGACAGATCTCAACCCCTCACGCCAGACACATTCACATGGATCGCCAGTCAAAGCAAGCTGGCCACCGCGGTTGCTGCTATGCAAGTCGTCGAGAAAGGACTGATCGGTCTCGACGACGACGCCCGCGATGTCCTGCCAACATTGAGGGACTTGAAAGTCCTGGTTGGGTTTGAGGGAGATGATGGTACTGAGGGCAGCGCTGAGAACGTTAGTTTCGACGCCGTTGCAAAGGGAGAGACCGGCAGTACATTCGGGACAGGTCCTGCAGGTATCCCTATCTTTGAAGACGTGAAAGGGCCGATTACGCTACGGTAAGTGCAGATTGAAGGCGCAACGTGACGGTATAGGATGGAGTGCTAACGATTCGCTATTGTCTGCCGGTCAACTCATGTCCCACACTTCTGGACGAGCTATTTCGGCCGCAAACGTTGAGCCAGGGAAGTGCGGCGGCGCTGCGGACATTCTTGACCAACCCGGGCGGTATGAGCCCGTTATGGACGGTGCCTGACCGGAACCTGATGCCGGTGGGCATGTCTCTAGCCGGTACGGTGAATTCACAGAATGTGCCGGGCAAGAGAAGAAGAGGTAGCGTCAATTGGGGCGGTTTGCCAAACCTGGCGTCGTGGATTGATCGTGAAGCAGGCCTGGCGGCGATGGATCCGGAGTGTTTGAGGTTGTTGACGGAGTTGGAGGAGGCGGTTTATAAGCTTTTGGACGAGAAGGAGACGACCTGAGGAAAGCTGAAGTCAGGGTATAGACGCTCGAAAGCCAATCGCCTCAAGATTATATCTTTCTCGTTCATGGGCGCAACGTCCGTCTTATCGTCCATTTTTGTCTCGCTCTTTTGGTCAATTGCAGGATGAGAGAGAGAAGGTGAAGTCGAAGGTCGAAATGTGAGCTTAAAATCTGCAATGGCTGCACCAGGCCCACACAGCGGTCCGTGATGAGTGTGCTCTCAGCGGTTAGGACGCCGCCCCGGGCGCCTAAGGCGTCCCCTTGGACTAACTGCGTTGTTTTGGTCGACTAAAAGAGGGCCTGGCAGGATGAGGAGATGTCTTTGGACATCTTGAGCAGTGGGCTGTACCAACGTAGACGGTTTTGAGGTCAAAGTTAGCATAATATCTGCGTCGTTGTCGATGAACGCGAATGGTTTGGGTGAGTGGGAAAAGATTGAATGAGGCTGAACCCCCTTTGAGATGTAGCCTTGCCAAGGTCGGCCATCACAGGCAGGAGGGGGAGTAAGTGCAGTTGGCTTCAAAATTACATGTTGTGCCCTTGCGAGGAGCGGAGCCGAGCAGCATCTTGATATCGAGTTTGTGGGTGACTCGAAGTCAAATTGCCGAAGTGAAAGGATGCCATCAGCCGCTGTCAGGTTGAAAGCTACAGGTACGGTATTCGCGCCACGGCAAAACACAAGTTTGTCACACAAGCTCAGCGCAGCCTTGATGATGAGGGATTGCTCCTGATGAGCTGTTCTCGCTCTATGATGGTGAGGATGGTGATACAGGATAGTGAGAACTCCCGCGGCCACCGACTTTTTCCAGTTCAGCCAGTTTCTCCTCAATCTCCTTGACTCTTCTGGCCGATGGTCCGAAGCCAATCATACAAACCTCGAGTTCCTTCCTCTTCCACTTCGCCGCATGCTTAATGTCACGCTTCCACTCAGCCCACTTCGCCATGCTTCGATATGTGTTCGCCAGAGGGATCCCGACGTGACATTCCTTGAGCAGGAGCTCCTCCAGTCTAGCCAGTGCACCCAGCGCTCCATTCACAACAGCATCTTGCCGAACTTCAACCTCGGGACCATCGCCCTCTGCGAACTTCTTGTCACAGCCCTGCAGGACCTTGACAGCCTCATACATACCTTTCCTCCTCTCGTCACTTTTCGCCCAGAACTCATTCTTCGGCTCACAAGCCTCGCACTTGCACACGAAACCGTAGTAGATCTGTTGCTTCCGCTGCCTTTTGGCCTTGGTCTCGAAAGCGGCTTTGTCATAGTTACTACAGACCTCCTTTCCTCGTGGAATGTCCCTGATGGCGCGAAACTCCAACTGATTGGTGCCTTCATTGTAGCAGAACTGCACATTCGGCACGCAGCTATGATTGATCCTGCTCGCGAAGCCGCCAATGGCTGATCCACCTTGTCCATCAGCCTTGAAGCCGTCGCAGTTGTAGCAGTTGCTGTAGTATATCGAGACGACGCGAGACATGCGGGATTTTTGTGCGTCAAACAGCTTGAGGTAAGCTTTCTGCTCGGAGCGAGGCAAGCGGGAGAATTCACGCTCAATGGCATCCGGGTCGTCCTCTTCGTCCTTGTCGAGGCTGATGAGTGGCTGCTCGGCCAAGATTAGGGTTCCGGCTTTGATCTTCCGGGTGGTGAACAGTGCCAGGCCGCGATCTGGAGTGGAAACGAGTTCAAGCAGGAGGTCTTGCGGTCTGGTGTCGGAAGCTGTTTCAGAATCGCTGCCGACAGGCGTTGCCATGGTTGTGGTCGCTCCGGAGCTGACATCGGGTTCCAGTGACGAAGGAGAGACTGGATCCAAGTTGTCTAAAGAGAGTGCTTGCATCTCATGAGCAGCGATCATTGCCTGTCGACCATGTTTAACCCGCTGCAAGGGGTGAATTCAGCATGTGGAGAGGCTGGCACGAACCTGGTCAAATTTGTGCCCTTGTAGCGGCATCGTGACGGTCATCTTTGCGGCGTTGATGGCCCTCACTTTACTCCGTTCCTTCTTCATTTTCGAGAAATTGTGTTCATACAGTGGTGAAGGGAAATGGCGCGGGTTAGAGAAGCGAGATTTGAGAGGCACGGTACGCCGTTATGTCCATGATTGCGGTATTTGTGATGAATGTCCCCGCCGGATCTTCTATTGGGTTACGATGATGGGAAGCATATGAGTGCTGTTGGGGACTGAGGACAGTAATATCGAGAGATGGGAAATGAAAGATGATAAGAAATATGTCTCAATGACATTTAGAAGCTCGTCACTTATGGATTTCTAATGTTATGGATACCAGCGAGCCAGGATGCAGGTCTCCAATTGGATCGCATGGGAATCTAGACCTCAGCCTTGTGGATTCCGGATCGAACCAACGGGGTTCCGATTTTGCATCGTCCTCGATACTACTCCTACGTACCTAGGTACACAGTACTTCGTATAGTACCTATTCTTCGCCAACACCCTAAACTCCAGGGACAGAGGCACTACCAGCCAGAACCGAAATCCCAGACCTGATGTGCGTCTAGTGAGGTGGAAGTTGGAAGATCGGCATCTTCGCAGAGCCAATATTGTGCATGCACGTTCCAGTCTCTTCTCGGTTGGGGTCGAAGACGGATATCGACTGGCATAAACCTTCACAATTCCGCAAAAACCCCACCCAAGCCATTCTATGTCGATAGCTCAGCAGTGTAGCCTTGGGTCACTCGTTCCGCATGTGTCGATCGACGAGCTCCCCGCACCCTGGATGAAACTCTGCGAGAGTCATCGATGGAGGCCTCATGCGGCAGAAGAAGATCGAGTCATCCTCGAAGACGCCTGCCGCTGCCCCATTGAAGCACATGTTTCAGAGCTCGTCTTCTCCTGTTGTCTTCACACATAAATGCCACTTCGTCGCGAAGTGATTCGTTTTGTGATTGGTGCATGCCTCATAATCGCATTTTGAAAGGGCTGGAGTTACCGTCGGATATTGGGTTAACGATAACGAACGGCAAGACCCCAATGGCAGACGTTATGGTGTGTCCGGAGCGATCTGCAGATTGGCCCGGTTCATCACCCCCAGTCACTTTCGGTTCCTCTCTGCGGCTTCGTGGAGTTTCAGCCTGTCCACTAGCTTCTGTCTCATGAAGTCAGACAGACCTAAGATGCCATCATTGGTGCAGATGCGATATGTTCCACTGGGCTCGTATCTCCCATGACCATCAACAAACTGCCCATTCCCGTCGACTTCAATACTTCCAAAAATATCTTCTGGGTCAGGAATACGTCCGAAGTCCGGAACACGTCGTTGATCATAGACATGAACAAAACCACCTCGACCGCCGCTACCGTAGCCACCCTGGTCACTGGCACCGAAAGAACCGTTCTCCTGCCTGCGCATGGGCTGGGAGAACGAGAAGCCAGCGGAAGACACCATGACCGCCGCCTGAGACTGAACAAAAGGATCTGAGTGTGCGTGCTCGGCCATGACAGCTTGCAGTATAGGAAGAAATCTTGGATTCTCCTTTAAGGATGACGGCGATGGCGGGAGTTGACTTGTCGAGCCTATGGCTATAGAGGGAGTAGGTGGCTCTGTAGACAGGAAAGTGAGGATGTGCGAGGAAGGATCCTTAGGGTCCCTAAAGGCATACTGTTGGAACCATCAGACACTGTAAAAGGATGGAATTGGAAGGACGCTGCTTACAATGTGACTGTTATTGCTGAGAGTTGACACAGAACGGAGCTGATTCGGGAAGCGTGGAGCCTGCCGTAGCATCCGAGCAGTCAATGTTATGCTCATGATGTCTGAAAACGAGTTGAAGGACGGTCTTCACATTAGGAAGAGTTATAACTGTGATAGAATTGTTTAGGGACATTTGAAGCAGAACCTTTTTCGGAGAAGCTGTTCATGACGTCTTTTGTTGATGTGCAGCCTTGCTTAGTAATACTGCTCCAACCGACAAGGCTGGATCGCTTGAGTTTCCCAATACGATTCCCATATTGTGGATTTTGGCAAGGCGATGTTCACATGCACGCCGAGTAGCCGTGGCTACCTATGGTCGTCACCTGCGCGCGCAACTGCCGTACTTGCTACTTGCAAGCTTTGGACAACGGCCTTACACGGTGGAATCAACTGACAGGCGGTGGATCTGGAGAAGATGCGACATCGCTTTTGTTGGACAGCAACGTGAGCAAAGCATCATGGCTACCCCGACTATATCGCAGGCAGTCTCGACTCCTAAGACGTATCTTACTCCGAGCAAAGTCATGGCCTCTCCTCGTCCTGGAACGTCGAGTAATGCCGGTCGACCGCTTTCCTACAAGTCTCCTGCCGTCAAGACTCCTGCCTCGGCCCAAGGCCATGGCCACCACGTCAGTGGCTCCTCCCAACCCTCCTCTACTCCCCTCGGGACTGCCACGCTGCATGATGACCTGCTGGCGCTGAACTCACCTGCTGCAGCCATAATGGCCTCCATGGGCTCAACCGGTATGACGCCATTGGCGGGTGGTGCAGATGGTTTAGGCATCACCACAAACGGCCAAGGAAGCTCATTGAGACCTACTGGCGGCCCTACCAACCCCGCAGCTGAGCGTCAGCATAGAATACAATTGGTGGCAGATATTCTCAAAGGTCGAGTAGCAGGTCGTGGGGTAACCCGAGAAGGGGTGGAGAGAATAGCACAATTACAAGGCTTGACTACCTTGTGGACCGACGAGGAAAATCTCTTGATTGCCGGAAATACAGTCGACCTCGAGGTCATTTTCGATGCAGTCGATCGTGATCGGGTAAAAGATGTCATTTTCAAGCTTAATACGCTTGAGAGCGCAGAGCTGCAAGAGCAAGGAACACAGATCTTCAAGGAAAACCTCAAACCCTTGACCATAGTTGACGGAATCTCTCGATGGACAGACCTGGGGACCTACGAATCCAATCTGCAGTACCTCAGTCAACTAGACCGCATTGAAGGTGGCACTCCCTGTTTCAACGCCGTCAACAGCCTGTACGATGCATTCCAAAAGATCTGGAATGCTGAGAAAGAGAGGTTCAAGCCCTCCTCCGCGCGGAAACACCTCAGACGTTCCGCCGTAGGCAAACCGTACATGGATCAAACACCCAGACTGGGACTGTCGATCGATTATTGGAGCCGCAGAGCAGATGCGCCACTGTCATCTGGGGAGGACGACAAGGCCGACAATAATGATGTCTACACTGCAAGAATATCTTGTGAGCAGGGTGCGCCATTCGTGATTCCGACTCAAGATTGGGTGTCTGAGGATATCTTTACGCGAGAAAACCAACCGAACGACGATATTGAAGTTGGAAAGCTGGAGCCCGACTGGCGCGAACCTTTCCATCACGCTGGAGACTCGGGTCAGGCTGGAAAGGCCGACACGAATGATGCAACCACAGAGAAGCCGGTTGACGAAGCATCTAGCCTCCTGGATATGCACTTCATTTCCACCCTGTCGCCAGAGGTTTATCTACCTTTGAATGTAGCGGCCGCCCTTACGGAGCTGGCCATGTTCGAAATAGACCAAGAGCTGGCAGTGACCTATCAAAAAGCCTTACAAGACCACTTCAACACCACCAAAGCCCGTGGCGCTCAAAGCACCTCTGAAGAAAGGTGGCCCAGGTGTCTGCCAATCACCACCCAAGGCGATCCACTACGGTACCGACGCCATTCATACGCTTTGCATTCGGCCCAACACGCGTCCGCGCTTTGGTGCTATCCGGTAACACATCTGAAGTTTACGCATCCAAGACAACTTTCGGCGGCAATACCGATTCTCCGGCAGTATGCTTTGGTCTGGAGTCTTCTACGAAGTCTCGTGGACTTCGCGGATGCTGAACTAGATGGCGAGTTGGCAGCCTCTCACAATCCCAGATTAACCAATATGTCGGGAAGGCCGGCCAGATTTTCGAAACGTAGTAACATCAAAGCCATCAACTCCAGACTGGACGATCTGCTCAGCAACAAGACCACAGCAGCCAGCAATGATGTGTTGCCGGTTGATGTAGGCCTTGACACGGTCTTTGACAGCACGAAAGCAAAGCTAGATATCTATGTCCCTTTGAATGGGCGGCTTGCGGAAGGAAGGCAGAGCCCCTTCATTTTTGTTTCTTTGAACATCTGCCAAGATGGGAAGGTTGAGGTCAATGACTTGAGCGGGGTGCAATGTGGTGACGAAAAGACCGCCGCTCTTCGAAGCAACATTGTCCAGATCATCACGGTAACCGAAGATATTGGCATCGTCGTAGAGTGGCTTCTGGAAAGAGCTCGAGGGCCAGTATGAGGATGGCACAACGCTCTCAGCCTCCAACAAAGCAATTCCAGACCTTGCAGCAGCTGTAGCACCTGGGTGGCCGTGTTTTCACTTGGTTCTGCTCATTTCGGAGGGTTGGCCTAGTGAGGAATCGCGGTCATCCGAACAATCAAAATCGTTCATCAACGTCTTCAAAGCTTCGCCGAGATGCATGAAACATGCCATGGACCGCTTTTCGACCCGTAGGTCTTGACTTTGAACCCTCATTGTTTTCAGCGCAGCTAACACGAGGCTGCTGATACAGTGGCTGGGAGGCACAAGGTCCGGGATTGCCTATTTCGGAAAGGCCGAGCTGCCTCTAGAACGATGGGCGACCGGCTCGCCAGCAAGAATCCTCCAGACCTTGTCAACGTTCCCTTCGATCAGACTGTGCCGGACAACGGAGTACTTTGCGGAGCGGGTCTGTCGTCCCACGGGGTAGCATGGCGTGACTGTTCCCCAAGCCGACCATGCCGTGTATATGCAACCCCTCGAAGTGTTCGTACCAAGGTGAAACTATTTCGCACTCGTACGAAAGCAAAGTGACAGTGTATACTTACGCGGCACGTTTTGGCAAAGAGTCCCTCCTCATGTTCAAAAATGCGCTATCCACTGTGATGGGTACAGCGCCCTCGACCTCGTTCATAGCGGGCTCTGATCGTCAAGGCATTCCACGTGTGAAGAGGAGCCATTGAGCTGGAGATAATTTGTGTGTCCCTACGACTACGACTACTCGTCCCTGGCGGAACTCCGGAGGCTGTGGAAACCAACGTGGACCTGCAAGACGAGCTTTAGCATAGCATACTTGGAGCCTACACAATTCTCCCAGACTGGGGGTTGTGGGTAATGCTACATACGAGTACCACAGTAAACGTCGTCAGACTCTGTCACGGATGTCGTCTCTCGCCTGAGATCGCGGTGGGTTAAGGAGTCCCGAGCTTGAACAGCCACTGGCATCATTCCGGGTCCAAGGAACTGCCTTTTATGGTAACCCGACAAGTTCAAGCACACCCTGCGGAGGCGGCAGAAAATCCGTCGTGCTGATCCAGACTCCACGTTATCCTCAACGACCCCACAATCAATGCAACAATCGGAGCTTTTGTACGTGTCCTTGGGGTGTATTGGATTGACGGAGCCAACCACGGTATCCCTTACAGTGGGCATTGGGTCAATCAAGGATGCTACGAGCTATGATACCAAGATTCGTCTTTACCAGTTCCACGCGCAAATTCTTATGGTCCGCTCCTCATACACCGCTTGCTCTCTATGTCTGGGGTGACTACCAGGGAAGTGCATTCGTATTTAAGGATCGCACGCGCTCGAAGATATTCCATTGATCTCTTTACATTAGGACCCCGTACTTCAAGATCAAGGACAAGGAAAACGCGTTCATCATGCAGCTGTTCCGTGGACGCAATCGGTACTTGGGCCTTCGTGGCAGCAAGCTCAACGTTGCGATCGGGATAATCGCAGGCACTGATTTTTTGTGAGATAGCAACATTCTAGCCGAGACCTTCGTACTGACAATGCGACAGACTCTTTGGCTACGACCAGGGCGTCATGGGTATGTCCACGGACGACGTCGACTCGAAGCCTTCACTAATACGTTACAGGTGGTCTATTGACCTTGCCTGCCTTTACATCAGTCTTTCCCGAGATCGACACAACGAGACCGGGCTTGACACAGAGTCAGGCAAATCATGTCTCGACGATCCAGGGCATATCCGTCGCTTCCTACAATGTCGGGTGTTTCTTTGGCGCAATTGCATGCATATGGATAGGTGAACTCCTCGGTCGACGCAAGACAATTTTCCTCGGCTCGGCGATAATGGTTATTGGTGCAACCCTTCAGTGCACTGCATTTAGCCTGCCACATTTCATCGTTGGTCGACTCATTACAGGTATGGGAAATGGTCTCAATACATCGACTGTACCAATTTGGCAGTCGGAATGTTCAAAGTCCCATCGTCGAGGGCAAATGGTCATGGTGGAAGGGGCTCTGATCACCGGCGGTATTTGCATATCCTACTGGATCGACTTTGGCTTCTCTTTCATCAACAACCAGGCTTCATGGCGGTTCCCAATCGCTTTTCAAATCGTGTTTGCACTTTTCATCCTTGTATTCATTCTGGAGCTTCCGGAATCACCCCGGTATGTTCTACATGAGAATCGCCCAGCAATGGAGCGCTAATTCTGCAATAGTTGGCTCATCTTGAAGGGCCATGAGCAGGAAGCCATGGAAGTGCTCGCTGCTCTCTCCGAAAAGTCCATCGAGGACAAATACGTTGCGTCCGAGTTTGCAGCCATCAAGGACACGGTTCTTGAACAACAAAAGGCCACTTTCCGCGATTTGTTCACCATGGGCGAAGACCGTCACTTCCATCGTGTGGCGCTTGCATATGTCAATCAAGTTTTCCAGCAAATTTCAGGTATCAATCTCATTCAAAAGTTCCACGTGTCCAATCTAATTCAAACAGGTATTAATTTGATCACATATTACGCTGCCACGATATATCAGAACGAGATTGGATTGACGCCATTTATTTCGCGCATTCTTGCTGCATGCAACGGCACCGAATACTTTTTGGCCTCTTGGATTGCTGTCTTCATCATTGAGAAAGTCGGTCGCCGAAAGCTCATGTTGTTCGGTGCTGCCGGTATGTCAGCTTCGATGGTCATCCTTGCCGTTATGACCAAGGTTGGCGGCACTGCATGTGGTATCGTTGCCGCCGCCTTCCTCTTTATTTTCAATACGTTCTTCGCCATCGGATGGCTCGGCATGACATGGCTGTACCCTGCTGAAATCGTAAGTATCTGTTCTTCTCCTCGTTAAGAACCTTGTGCTGACAATTTGGAGGTACCCCTGCGCATTCGAGCACCCAGCAACGCCTTGTCCACGAGCGCCAATTGGGCATTCAATTTCATGGTCGTCATGATAACCCCGGTATCTTTTTCCAGCATCGGGTACAAGACATATATCATCTTTGCTGTCATGTGAGTTAGGGCGTGAGGATATGCTGTGACTCGGGCACTAACAGTGAATACTAGCAATGCATTCATCTTCCCAGTCGTCTACTTTTTCTACCCAGAGACGGCTTATCGCTCTCTCGAAGAGATGGACGCGATTTTCCACAAGACCAGGAACATCTTCACAGTGGTAGGGACTGCAAAGAACGAGCCTCATCGCTTTGGCAAGAACGGTGAAATGTTGATCGATTACGAGGAGACCGAAGAGCATCAGCGACGAGCGAGCACGGCTGAACGCAGGGCTAGCGTCCTGAGTCAGAACCAGTATGACTCTGAGAAGGGAGTCCATCACGAGAATGAGAAGTTTAGGGGCAATCCTGGTGGACCCTTACCGATTGGCGGTGTCTGATTGTGGTGGTGGATGATGGATGATACCAAGATTCATCGAATGTCACCACGAAGATTGTGAGGATGAGATGAGATTGGAGCGCGCTTCCTTTGACTCGGCGCCTGGAGCAGATGGTCGTAATGACTGGAGATTACTGGTAATCCCAAGAACTTGCAGGCGAGCTTTAATCGCAGTTTATGCTGAGAAGCTCCAATCTTGGAAGAGCAAACATGACCTGTGGTCTGGCCACATGCAGATGGCCGATGCCTACAGTGTTGCTTTGATCAAGTGTGCTCAGAGTTGCTTACTTGATCACTTCTGAGTGAGTCCAACAACATTTGTGACGATCTATCAGGTAGATTCATAGAATACTACGGCGGCAGAGAACAAACTTACCATTCGCCCGAAAAGGAAGTTTTGATATATTCCAGACGGGAACCGCGGAGAGCGCATTGTAACCGCCTCCCGCCTCCCGCCTCCCCACGACTGTTACTACTCGATAGTCAGCAGGGATCAAAGGCCTATTACTCTTCATTCCGATTGCACCATTACGACTACTGATGAACCATCGCCAGTGGCTGATCTTCAAGCGCGTATAACTAGCAAACATCGCTCGTCGCCTATTGAGACCCCTGCTCTGTGCTTTGGCAGCCTGACTAATTGATCTGTGCATCTTCAGCTTGGTATCGCTTGCTTAGCGAGGCCTTCAGTTTTTGTTATATCAACAAACGACCGCACCTCTCAACTCGACCACCGGGCATCCTTTCATCCCGATAAACTGGCGCCCAGATCACTTCCACGTCTCCAGCTGACTCAGAATCATTTTCTCCTACCAAAACCTCTCCTCCAGTCAACACGTAGGATGTCTGAGTAAGAGCGCCCCCTCCGTTTTCTGCCGTTCTTCGCTTGTAGATTGACATTCCGCTTCATCGCAGCCTCGCAGATCTTGCCTCTAAACTCTTCAATGCGAAACTTGACTTCCGGCCCAAGATCGTCCCCACAGCCAAACGAGTCCGCGGCGTCTTGAACGGCAGGTACATCTTCGACACCACCGACGCCAAACTCGTCTGGGAGCACAAATACTTTCCTCAGTACTGGATCCCAAAATCCGATTTTTCGGCGACGGCCAAATTTGAGGACGACAAGCCGGTCTCGGGCATCCAGTCGTCAACATCGAAATTGTCCGTTGAAGGCGGCAAACCCGTCTCGACACTCCTCGTGCCCGACTCGTTCAACTCCGAACTCGCGGGCCACGTCAAGATCGACTTCAAAGCCCTGGATGCCTGGTATGAGGAGCAGGCCCAGGTCCTGTATCATCCCAAAGACCCCTATCACCGCGTGGACATTTTGCCATCCGGCCGCAAAGTGCGCGTTGAGATCGATGGCGTCTGTCTAGCCGACACAGGCGACGAGGGCGGCGTCATGTCCTTGTGGGAGACGAATTTCCCAGGTCGGTGGTACCTGCCTCGCACGGCGATCAGGTGGGAGTATCTCACGCCTAGCGAGACGCATACGGGGTGTCCGTACAAGGGAGAAGCGAGCTATTACAATGCCGTCGTGAATGGGAAGGAGCACAAGGATGTGGTGTGGTGGTATAAGAATCCGACGCTGGAAAGCGGACAGGTCGCGGGCATGTTATGCTTCTATCCGGATAAGGTCGATACTTGGGTCGATGGGAAGCCGATCGAGAAGATTGGGATGCCTGGGCTACCTCCGGGCGCGAAGAAGCAGAATGAAGAGGATGTCAAGGTGAATGGAGGGTCAGGGTCGAAGGGTGGTAGCTGTTGAGATACTAGTAGGACTGGAGTCGGGCTTGGTTGCTAAACAGGACTCAGACAATCTAAGTGAGGCACAAGTATGGGGGGCTTTCGAAGGGAAGGGATAAGTATTGGTATTTAGTGTGTGAATGCAGTGTTGCTGCGATTCCAGTGAACTACATGCCTGTACCTCACACTGAATGCCTACCTACTAGTAGTGTGACACCCACTCTCTCTGGACATCACGGGCGACATTGGCATTGTATGGTCAGGAGCACTTTGATGTCATTGGCAGCCTTACCTGGTCAGGTCTCTCGATACCCATGGAGGTAGATTCTAACAATAGGCAGGTAGGCGTTGCTCATTGATACCATACACATCTGGTAATAATCTTGCTTCAGTCCTACAGGGGTGGTGTCAGAAGGACATTGGAGGCGATTAAGTTATGGGCGCTGTGGGCGGTTCATGCCTAACTTAGCACCCATCATCACTCGTACATGACGCTGTAATGACCTAGAAACAGAACCCCTACCTGGGTGCCCCCCCCAGTTAGTGGCACGTCAGGATCCCCGCAGTGATCGGGGCCTGGAAGCCTTGCCCGCATCATGGGCTTTTGTCCCGTGCTTCTTGAAGCTTTCTTCAACTTCTCCTCTTCTGCCACTCGATGCTTGACACATATCGGTACCCAGGTACGTATCACCTTCTCTTCAAGGCTAGTATCAGAACCCTGCCTGCATCATGGATCATTTGCGGGTAATTAGTTGGAAAGCTTGAAAACCTGGACTCGTGGGATCGGCAAGTCCGTCGGTTACTACTCACCTCTCGATTCACCTCCTCCTCCTCCTCCTTCGGCACGTCAGTCCGTACAACATGGTTACAGATGGCGAAGGCGGAGTAAAAGTGAAGTGAATAGAGTCATGGTCTCGACTACAAAAATGGCCTTCTGTGACCCTCCTCCCAGTGTTTCTCTGGATTTTCCCACCTCCAGGATCAAACCACTACTTAGAAAACAGCTCAAAGAATGCCACAATCGCCAGCAATGCGAGTTTGGAGCCTTCTTGGTACCTTGCTGCTGTCAACAGCCTCCTATGGAGCTATCCTAGCCCGCCAGAACGATGCGCCCACTGTCAAAATCAAGAACGGTAGCTACTATGGTGTCCACAGCCCGAAATACAGCCAGGACTTCTTCCTCGGGATGCCCTTTGCTCAACCCCCGGTCGATGATCTGCGTTTCAACCTGCCCATGTCCCTCAATAGCACTTGGGAAAATACCAGGAATGCCACTCGATATGGATATGAGTGCTATGGGTATGGCAGTGACCAATGGGTTCTGGGCAATATCGTTAGCGAAGACTGCCTAACACTTAATGTCGTTCGACCCAGCGGGCTTGGGCCTGATGCGAAGTTGCCCGTTGGAGTGTGGATTCATGGCGGTGGCTTTTATCAGGGCGGAAATAGGGATCCCCGATATAACCTGAGCTCCATCATCCAGCAGTCAGTGGACATGGGCAAGCCATTCATTGGAGTGAGCATCAACTACCGCCTCCATGCATTCGGGTATATCTTCGGCACCGACGTCCTGAAAGCCGGCGTTACGAATCTGGGCTTCCGCGACCAACGTCTGGCGTTACACTGGGTCCAGGAGAACATTGCTGCATTCGGCGGTAATCCAGACCAGGTCACGATTTGGGGAGAATCAGCTGGTGGGAACTCGGTGGGGACACATCTTGTCGCATATGGCGGACGAGATGACAAGCTTTTCCGTGCTGGAATCATGGAGAGTGGCGCACCGACTCCATTCATAACCTACCCCAACGCTTCAACCTGGGACAAGTACTATAACAACATCACCGACGCGACGAATTGCAGCTCCGCGTCCAACACGCTCGCTTGCCTGCGCAAGGTGCCCATCGAGAGGCTCAGCTCTGTCCTCAACAGCAGTGTGACGGACCAGGTCCCAGGATGGGGCGCCGTGATTGACCATGACTTCATCACCGAGTCTGCTTCCAAACAACTCCAAGATGGCAAGTTCGTCAAAGTTCCGATTCTGCAGGGCACGAATTTCGACGAGGGGACCGCCTTTGGCGCCAAAGGTATCAACACGACTCAGCAGTTCCTCGCGTCCGTCATGTCTCTTGGGCCGAACATATCCACGGCTCAGACCATTGCGGCTCTGTATCCGGACATCCCAGCCATCGGCATCCCAGCCACGTTGCCTGGTCGACCTACTGGGCCCTTAGCCTCTCTCGGGGTTCAATACAAGCGTGCATCCGCGTACGGTGGCGACCTGGCCATGCATGCTCCTCGACGACTCGCCTCACAGAGCTGGGCTGCTCAGAATGTCAGCAGCTGGAGCTACCATTTCAACGTCGTGCCGAACGGCGTGACACCCGCAACGGGCGCGACACATTTCCAGGAAGTCGCGTTCGTGTTTGATAATATCCTCGGCCAGGGATATAACAATTCCGTTGCCGTCGATCCTTTTGCGAACAAGCCGCCCAGGTATGATCGGCTGGCAAGTATCATGTCCCGCATGTGGGCGAGTTTTATTGTTGATGGTAATCCGAATGGAAATAACAGTAACGGTATGCTTTTCCTTCCTCCTTTTTTCGATGCGGACAAGTTTTCCTTCCTCTTGGGGTTGGTCGCCGTGAGCCTTGGCAAAGCCTCTGCTGATATGGTGTATTTTCTATTGTTGATAGTAACGTCCGTTCACTGGCCCGCATACAGTCTCACGGCGCCGCGGAATCTCGTCTTCGACACCAACGCCACGAACTTGATGTATGTGGAGCAGGACTACTTCCGCGCCGAGGGAATCCAGTATATCTCGGAGCACTTTGTGGACGTATATGGACGATGATGGCCCCAGCGCCTCCATGTGGATTGGGCCCGTGGGTAAACCGAGTGTTGCAGAAAGCCTGGACGATCGAATGAAGCCGACTTGAAAACGTGGTCGAATTGGTAAATCTGGTGTTGTGTTCTGACTATGATTACATAGCAATTTTTTGAAATGCCTTGGAAGATATGGGTAGTATACTAGGATACGGAGGAGGACCTCTCAATTTACGAGTTATGAGCAGCACAAATGCATAGCTAGTTAGTAGCACCGTGGCATAGGGATTAGCCGTACGAAGAATGTTGTGGTCATATAATTATGTGTCATTACCACGGCGATCAACGCTTACTTGCCAACCGTATCGGTATATACTAGTATACAACTTCCTAGCCAAAGTGTCCCCGAAATCCGTGCGTTGAGGTCAAATCAAGTATGGGTCCCCTTCGTTGGAGCACCATTGTTATCACTAAACAAATTGCCCGTGGTAGCACTCACACCATTGGCGTACCTGGCGCTAGGGTCGGTGGCCATGCCGTTATGAGTCCCGTTGAACTTCATGTTCTTGATGCCATCGTAACCCTTGATGCCAGTGGCCTTCTCGAGTCTTTGGGCGATGTCCTCACTGACTTCGCGGAAGATGGCGATCTGGCGCTTCAAAATCTCCTTGTCGCTGCACACCTCCATCTTGCCGGAAACGTTGTTGATGAAGCGTTCTCGGGCAGGCTCGTCGAAAACCTTCTCCCACAGGGCTCGTGGGGCATTGAAATCCTCTGGCCGGATCTGGGACAAGAAAGTAACGGCCTTGCCTTGGAAGTGGCCATGGGCCTTGTCGAGGTCGACGGTGCGTTCTCTGAACTGGATGGGATCGATGGACGACAAGTAATTTGCTCTGGCACCCTGGTTGTAGAATGCCATGGCACCATCGCGTTGGAAGTTGCCGAACTTGTAGCCGCAGCGGGGGGCATTGACGGGGAGTTGTTGGTAGTTGACACCCACGCGATGGCGGTGGGTATCCGGGTATGAGAACAGTCGAGACTGTAGGACCGGGTCGGCGGAAGGCTCGACACCGGGTGGCATATGCGATGGGTTGAAAGCCACCTGTTCGACCTCGGCGAAATAATTGATGGCGTTTTCGTTCAGGGTCATTTCACCGACCTTGCGGCGAGGGAATTGCTTCTGCGGCCAGACATGGGTCAAGTCGAAGACGTTGATGCCTTGCTTCTCCCACACATCCTCGGCTTCTTTCGGCGTCATGGTTTGGACCTCGACAGACCACTTGGGGTACTCGCCACGCTCGATGGCCTCGTACAAATCCTTTTGCGAGTAGTCTGGAGACTTGTTGAAGGAATCCTCCTGGGTGATGAACTTGGTCCCTTGCATGGACTTCAAGTGGATCTGGCAGTAGACCCATTCGCCACCCTTCTTGACGAGCTTCAGGGTATGACCGGCATACCCGTGCATGAAGCGATAGCCATCAGGAATACCCCGGTCACCCATAAGAATCATGACTTGGTGGATTGACTCGGGGTTCTGAGACAAGTAGTCCCAGAACATGGTAGAGTCGTCTGCATGGGTCAGGTGCGTGGACGGATCTCTCTTCTGGGTGTGGATGAAGTGAGGGAACTTGGCGGGGTCTCTCAGGAAGAAGACCGGTGTGTTGTTGAAGACCATATCCCAGTTGCCATCTTCTGTTCTCATCTTGACAGAGAAGCCTCGAGGGTCTCGCGCACAATCATGGGAGCCAGACTCGCCACCAACAGTCGAGAATCGTACTGTGATAGGGCATGTCTTGCCTTTGGCGCTCCAAAGATCGAGCAGTGTCAAGTCGTCTGCAGGGTCGGTACATTCGAAGAATCCGTGTGCACCACTGCCCTTGGCGTGGACGACACGTTCTGGGATGCGCTCACGATCGAAATGGGAAAGGAGGTCAATTAAATGGAAGTCTTGAAGGAGAAGAGGGCCATTCTCGCCACATCGTTGAGTCTCATATGGGTGAGGCATGGGTACGCCATTACTAGTGAATATGTTAGGAGGAGTGGCGGCAAACAGGCAGCGTATATCTCACCTGGTGGCATAGAGAGTGTCCTTGGAAGATGCTTGTCGGTCCTTCTCGTAGGAAGTGAACTGGTTAGAGACATGAGCCGCGAAGGAAGTATCTGCTGATGGTGCCATGATGATTGATTTGGTTGAATCAACGGGTGCTTGGATGATTCGTTCCACGGATTCCATCGATCGCGGGAGCCGGGTCTGTTATATGATACTGACCAGGGAGGCAAAACGGCAACCATGACCTTCTGGATCTGGCTTCAAGAGCTAGAAAATATAAACGGCAATCGTATGATAGGATACCGGCATTCTATGTAATCCACTTACTGTACCATCAGACAAGGCGTCGTGGATGTAGCGACGCCTGACTTCGTACCAATAGAATCCATGACGTCTGCACGCGTCTCACGCCTCGAAGGTCCAATGAACAGAAGGGCAAAAGCAATCTCGAAGATCAATCATACGATCGAAGCCATATAAAACTCTATTCCGAGCGTTGAAGGAGTACGAGGTAAACCATCTGTGCTGGACAAGGTATATCGAGAACATCGGGCACATCGAAGTCGAAAGGAGAGAAGGAGATGATGATGATATCATCGAGTCGCCGACTCGGTGATCGACCGCAAGATTGATCCTCGTACGATAGACCAATTACTTGAGAGGGATGACCCGAAGAACCACTCTTTGTCGACCCAAAAAGCCAGAGGTGCCAGGGACACGGCTGAAGAGCCAGACCGTTGCCAGACTCGTATGAACGGTGAGGCGAGGATTTCAACGTCGTCGCCCTCGCTGCCCCAAACAAGTCAGTGTGAGCGAGACCCTAAATTACCACTATTACTGTGGCACGAGTAGACCATCAGACTACATCTGTTCCACACTCACTTACCAGGTATTCATCTTCTCCCAATCAGGCCCCAATGCATACTTCCCCCTTTCGCACACAACAACTCTGGTCGGATCTGCAGGATTGGGAATGCTGAATAGAACGCACAAAGGACCCGCGTCTTCCGAAACGATGCGTCTTCTGACCCCAAACTCGGGCTTCTCATCCACAATACTCGGCTTACACCGCGAGGCCATCCAGTTTCTAGTCTACACTTGGGACCTCCTTCTCTAGTATGTATGTCGCATAGATATTCAGGTATCCACGCCGGAGTCAAGGTTGCTTTAGCACCCACGCCATACGAGTACATCACACCCTCAAATCAACTGTCTTACCCGCGCACTGAGTGCCTTGACATGTTCGTATTCTGTAGCCCATGATGTTAGCAGCCGGATAACCACGTTTCCGTCATCAAGACGTTCCCAAATATGAAACACATATTCCTGCTGCAGCACATCCACCAGCGTCTTTGGCAAAATGGGAAAAACCTGATTTGTCTCGGTCTTTGATTGCAACTCGATCCCCATCTCGATAAAGTCGGCCGACAAAATCTCTGCCTGAAGATTGGCATGTTTTGCGAGGTCAAAAATGAGATTGTTACTGAAAAGCTCGGCGAACTGGACTCCTAGGATTCGTCCTTTGGCAAGCAGCGATCCATGCTGCTTCATGTGGTAGGGAAATTCTGCGGCGAGCGCCTGATCCTTGATGACGACCGCCTCACCCAGCAGCGCGCCGGTTTTGGTGCCGCCAATCCAGAACATGTCTGTGACGTTGTAAATATCCGTCAAGGAGATTGCGGTATCATTCGCCAGAGATGTCAAGGCGGCCGCAAGACGGGCACCATCCATGAAGAGGATAAGATTGAGACTCTTGCAAACCTCTGCAACGGCTTCGAGTTCTTTCTTCGTGTAAATCGTCCCCGTCTCGGTTGCATTTGAAATGTACACCATCCTCGGCTTGGCTTGATGTGCGAACATGGAGTTTTCACTGACAGCCAACTGAATGGCCTTGGGCGTCAGCTTGCCATTTATCGCAGGCGCAAGAATAACCTTGTGTCCAGTGGCCTCGATGGCACCGGCCTCTTTGGTCGAAATGTGCCCGGTAGTGGGAGCAATGACTGCCTGATATGGCCGTAGACAACAGGCTATGGATATCAAGTTCGCGGCTGTTCCACCGGTAACGAAGAAGACCGATGCATTATCAGTACCGACACTCTGCCTGATGAGACTTCTCGCCTCCGCACAAAAGTCATCATTTCCGTATGCTGATTGCTGGGATATGTTTGTTCGAACTAGGGCGTCCAATATTCTTGGATGAGCACCTTCACTGTAATCGTCGGCAAAACTTCGCTTGGCCATGACCTGCACTGCACCTCTCTCGGTTTTTCTCACAAACTCCAGTGACACAAGAAGACGCCACAAGAAACAGCAGCGGGCAGGAGTCTCGATTGGGAGCATCACGTGAGAGCTTATCACGTGCAAGGTAAACACGTGCACGTGTATCACGTGATTTTATCTTAGTCATCGCGGTCAAAGACGGCCCTTCTCCGCGGCATTGTTTTTCACCCCACCATCAAAAATATCAACCCCTCCTGTGCATTTCTCCCGCAGCAACAACCCCGTCGGCACTTCAACAATCACCGTCCTCTGTCCTCGATTCCACCAGTAGAATTGTGATAGCGGACTCGGAGAAGACTCCGCCCCTGCTCTTTACTCCCGCAACAACCGCGGGGTGGTTCCAGATCAGTTCGCTCGAGGTTATCCCGAACCAAAACGAACAACCATGGGGACCGCCGGCCAAAGAGCCTTACTGAGGTACTCCGTGGGGCAACTTGACAATAGTCACTCCTGGCTGAGGTAAGGATATTTCACTTCTAGAATATTTTGGTACAACCATCTTCCTTTGGACAACATATCTTTCCATCTTACTGCCGTCAAACATCGTCCTGCAGACTCTCGTGAACTAGCATCTTCTCCCAAAATGACCAAAGCAACCCACATCATCCGCTTCATTGCGAACGAAGACAACCGAATCCATCTCGGTCAATTGGTCGACACCAGCAGAGATGTTGGTCTCGACACGTTCGACGGCAAGAAGGTTGAAGCATACCTGATCAATGGATCGATCTTTGCTCCTGAAGTCACTTCCGTCGTCTATACTGTCAAGCAGTTGCTCTCGCCCGTGTCCACGGAAGACTGCAACTATATCCGCTGCTTGGGTTTGAACTACAAGGACCATGCGAACGTCAGTTCCCTTTTCGTTTCTGGCATCAGATTGAAGGCAATGCTAATATTCAGTAGGAAGCGAACATGGCTCTCCCCAAGGCGCCCATCCTCTTTACCAAGCCTCGCACCGCCCTCGCCGACCCTTACCCGGCTGTCATCCCTGTCCCCAAAGCCGCGCAGGATGGGACTTCAGACTACGAGGCCGAACTTTGCGTCGTAATTGGCAAGACTGGCCGGGACATTCCTGAAGAGAAGGCTCTCGACTACGTGCTGGGATATACGTGCAGCAACGACGTGTCCGCACGGACAATGCAGATGTTGACCACACAATGGTCCTTCTCTAAGGGTTTGGACGGAAGTTGTCCTCTTGGACCTGTCCTCGTCACCAAGGACGTGATTCCCGACCCACAAACCCTGAGCATCAAGGCCATTTACAACGGCCAGACCGTGCAGGACGGTAACACCAAGTAAGCCGTTCAGAAACCCCTCCTAGACTCTCGCTCGCTTGCTAATAGCCATTGTGTACAGGAACATGATCTTCGACATCAAGAAGCAAATCAGCTACCTCTCCCAAGGCACAACACTCGAGGCTGGCACCATCTTCCTCACCGGCACACCCGCCGGTATTGGTTTCTTCCGACAACCTCGCGTCGTGCTCGAGGACAAGGGTGATATCAGAGTCGAGATCGAGAAGATCGGCACCCTGATCAATAAGGTGCACTATGAGCAGTGGTGAGCCGAGAAGATACTTGTGGTCGAGAGTGAAGCAAGCTGAGGGCCTGCTGTAAGCTGGGACAGGCTAAAGGACCCCAACAATGATCAGAAGAAGATGAGCGGGCGGCAGTTCAATTTGCAGACTCCTGAGAGACTCGGCAGTAAGATTTGAAACCAGACGGTGGTTATCTGACCACAGAAGGAATCGAGGAAAACAAAAACCTCTTAAGTAAACCAAAATAAAATAGACCTGTCTGAGGAAGAGCGTATCCTGACATTCTAACTTAGTCTGCTCACTGGCTCACTGGCTCAAGCAAACTGCTGCGATTGCTCTAGAAGCACTTTTTGGTCATTGAGTCTGGAAGAAAGTACATTCATCCATGCCTAAGGTAGTCCCTTGTAGTCTGGTCGTTGGGAGTCCATTCTGCACCTGTCCCATGGAATCCAAGGGCGTCGCCTCTCCTTATTCAGATATTTTCATCCACAGCCTTAAGAAAACACACAAAACACAGACACTAACAGAACAGACACGGGGCCAAAATCGCATTTGCAATGGCACACACCTACCCGTCTACTCCAAGAACTCAGTCGGCACATCGGGGCCCCAGACCGCGAGTCCCTCATGCCCGGCCGGGCCATAGCCCATGGGCGTATCTATATTGACCAGATCCCCATCGGCGTAATGCTCGACCATGAAGCCGTTGATGTCCCACCAATAATCGAAAATCTGGCTGCCCAGGATATGACGCCCGACGCCCCAGACGGGGGTGTACTTCTTCTCGGCGAGCCACTGGTGTCCCAGGGCCTGCGTGTCGAAGTCGTGCACCTCAAAGCTCGAGTGGTGGACGTGCTTCTCGACGCCCGGGGAAAGCGTCGTCATGAAAAACGTGTGGTGGTCGACCAGGTCCTGGCCGCGGTCGATATGGCCGAACAGCGCGACCTCCTTGCGCACGGGCCGGTTGGTTTCCGGGTCGATCTTGTCCAGCGGCACGTACAGGATGTCCGAGGGCACGATGTTGAAGTTCTTCGTGTACCATTCCATTTGGGCCGGGAAGTTTTCGACGTTCAGACCGAAATGGCCCAACTAAACAAGAGACGGCATTAGCACCTACTGCCCAATTTGCACGCATACCAACCACCAGTACCATGAAGCCAGATAGAACCGGCGGTATACGATGAGGTGTAGGAAAGGAAAAGAAGGAAAAGAGAGAAAAAAGGGGTAGCTCACTTTATGCACCTCCGCCGGACCCGGGTCAAATCTCTGGAAAGCCTTCTGTCTGGGCTTGTCGACTTCGTCGTTCAGCATCAGTTTCGCGGGCTTCGCACGCTCCTCCTTTACTTCAGCCTGGCCGTAGATGAGATTGACGGGGAAGCCCTCGGGATCGGCAATCGTCACGATGTACCCGCCGCCGGGCGCGTCTTTCATCTCCTCGATGCCGTCTGACAGCACCGTTGCGCCCGGTATTTTCATGGCCTTCTCAAGTTCTTCGCGCGACTCAACTTCGAATGCACCGCCGAGGTACTTCTTCGGCCCTTGTTTGGCGTAGTAAACGTACTGATCGGGTCCGTAGCCGCGGAACCATCTCTCGCCATCGCCCTTTTTGGTGACGTGCATGCCGAAATCTGTGGGACTTCCGCGTCAGCACTTTGTTGGGAGATGGAGATGGTGATGGAGATGGTGATGGAGATAGTGATGGGACATAGGGGTGGTGGGAAAATGCTGGGAATGCGAAAGACGTACCTCTCAAGAAGGTGGTGATTTTATTCAAGTCAGGATGCTGGTAACGCATATGGCTGAGTTTGACGAGTTTGACTTGCTTCGACCGGTCGATACCTCTCTGTTTCTGCCATTCTCTCTTGTCCTCGCCATCTGGGCCTACCGCGTCGACGTCACGCAGAGATTGACCTCGATTGGGTGAAGGGCCTCGAGAGACGGTGCCGTTTGATGGCTGGGGAAGATGTTAGGACTTCAACATATCATATTGTAATATTCGAGGGAGATGCCAATGCAGAATTGTAGAATGGCCATTATGATATGCTTGACATACGGCAATGGGAAAGGTTGGACGACGTACCTTTTCATTTTGAAGCTTTTCCTCGGTGAGGTTATGCTTGAGCTCGTCGAGTTTGTTCATTTTGGATGTTGTTTAAGCCAGTCAAAGCTGGATGACTTCCTTCAAACGTCTCGTGGTCGGCTACTACCTGGTAGGTAAATGGTTTCGATGGTTCCTCTGACGGCGTCACTTCGTGATAGCAAAACTTCGGCACTTGAAATTACTCCGTGCGGAGTCGGAAAGGTGTGGACGGAATAATGGATTGTCTCGGTACGTCTTCGCCTGGATGACTGAAGTGCACAAGTTGCAACAGTAGGAATGTCGAGAGAAGGATCAAAACTAAGAGCAGTTTCGTCGGTATTCAAGTATGTCAACCCAAGAGCCGGGAACACTTGGACTGAACCTGATCTGACGAGATCACTTCGAAAAATAAATGTCTGTTATGCCACCAGCTTCCTTTCCCCACAATCTGGAGTCGATCACCAGATGCAGCACGACTACAACATGGGTTTGGACTCTTGGTAGAGCCCAGACTTCTCAGCTCCACCCTCTCGCCGCAATGGTAGTGCAGACCGGGCGAGGTTGTGGTCGGCATCGAAGGGAACACCGTCTCACCGTCTCCAGTTTTAAATCCTCTGCTCCTCCCCATCAAAGCAACAGTATGGAGCGATATCGTTTGCGTTCGGGAATACTCCAGGCAATATGCGCTTACTGTGGTAGAACTTCAGCAACATTCATGTCCTGCCAACGCTGACCGATGCCGGGTCGTCTTAGGTGAGACCGGCACTATCGGGCAAGCAGACTGAACGATTCACCGAGAACGAGATGATCACGTCCACTGCCTGTCGTGCTGCGCCAGGATGCAAAGCAGACAAAAACAGCCCCACCATCTTCGATCCTCGTATGTGGGGTCAAACTCCGTACCTGGTGAGTGCTCGTGGTGCTCGTACAAATTCGGATCTCGCTGTCGGCTGAGCCTTGGTGACTGGGTGGGATGCTACGGTGCACCATAGGGGCCCCAATATCGTCACGAATAGTCGTCACCTTCACCGTACACAGTCAAGAGTTCAGTATCAGTATGGAGTGTATGGAGCCGCGGCTGCATTTAACATTGCGAGTCCGGGGAAGCGAGAGAAGGACCCTGCTGCAGAGGTACACAGCCTAACTAGTGCTGTAAGTCTGGCCGAGGCTGGCCAGATCATTCGGTCTCAGTACTCGCGGTACTCGCAGTACTCATAGGTGTCCGGGCACGATCCTGCTCAGACTCTTTGTACGTATTCAGACATGTCTTCCCCTGCCGCGTCAGAGCGTCCGTCTGTCTGCCATGTCTATTAGCAAGATCTTCTTGGAAATCGTTGGTAACGAAACCGACCCTATGATGCCTTCGGACGATGGTGTCCCCGATCCGGATCACTGGCAGTTGCTCCCGGATTGCCAGAATTGTTTTGAGCTCCTCATGGAATGGATGATCCCGTGGGCACTCAAGTAACTTGGCCTTGATCAAAGAGTGCAAATCTTGTGTTCCGCCTTTGGAGACAACTTCCATGGAAGGAATATCAGTACGCAGAATTTCGTCGACAGCGTATGATTCCAATGCGTCTACCGCTTTTAACAGTCTGCTTGCTGCTGACTGACGGGAGCGTGTAATCACCTGCTTGCACTGGAACTCCAACCACCAAATCAGCGAGCAACCGAACAATACAAGACTCGTGGATAAAGCAGGACTCGCGGACGAAGCAAGAATCGCGAACGAGGCAAGAAGACTCGTGCAATCAGCGGGACTCGCAAACTGAGCAAGACCTCCAAACCAAGCAAGACTCCCTAAACAAGCAAGACTCCCTAGCCAGGCAAGACCCCCTAACCAAGCAAGACTCCCTAGCCAGGCAAGAGTCCCTAACCAAGCAGGAATCACAAAACCAGCGGCCTCCAGGACTTCCTTTGCGGCTGATCTTGTCAAGAGCATGTTGGATACCTTTCGCTTGGAATGGAATACGGCCAACCAGGCAAGCAGCAATGAACAGGTCGAAGCACTAGTCGCACGAAAAGCAAGGCTCGCAGAATCAGCGATGTTCACGTTTTCTTGTGCGGCTGATCTCGTCTGAAGCATGTTGGCTGCCCCCTCAGCAGCAGAATTGAGCCACCGTTTGGAGTTTGCCATATGAACATTCATGAAAGGAGGTGGCGAAAGCGGCGTGGACAGGGCCGCCCGGCATTCATGACTGAGGGAGCCCGACGTACTCTGCAACCCGTCAGTGAGGTCTAGGGAGGTTTCGCCATGCATTCCCCTTGCTCACATTTTGACTCCGGCAATTATCACGAAAATCTTTTTGAGACGTCCAGAGACTGATTGACAGTCCGATGTACGCTGCAACGAGCCCGGCGGCACTTACGGCAGCCGTGGCGAGTGGTATACCCCAGACCCTGAGCACGCGCAACGCGGCAGACTGCTGCCATGGATTGGCAGGGACAGATGGGTGATGATGAACTCCTGGGATTTGTTGTGCACTTGGCGGTGCAGTTTGAATCGTTGGGTGCTGCGCTGTTGTACTAGCGGAGGGCGGTGTAGGATTTGCTGGCGAGGCTGGCGACGCCGGCGAGGCTGTGGTTGACGAAGCGGCGATAGGACCAAGGGGGATGGAAGTGATTGTTGTGGGCATCTTGCCTAGGTACGATGGCCTTGATTGATGGCTCTCGGACTCTGAGCTTTGCTGATGATACTCAGGCTCTGAAGAGAAGGAATAATTCGAGACTCATTACGGAGTAGGCTAACAAGGGCTTGCTGCGCCTCAAATTAGCGAATACGAGACCCTGCACATTTCCATCTTTTCTTTGTCAATTGCTCGACGCGTTTGTGAGCCTCACGTCCACAGGCGTACCGCTGAGCAGTAGGCGACCATGAACAAGTTACCGGCAATAACCTGCGAATAGCAAAAGATATGTCTGAAAGCGGACGCAAAGGGGATGCTGTCGTGTGCGGAAGGCACAACGCGTTTCCTTGCAGATGCACTCTGTCAAGCGTTTATGACCGTCCAATTTTTGACTCGACTGCCTTTTCCATCTTGCTTCATCTTCATCAAACATTACTAATCCATATATACAATCAACAATCAAGCAGCCCGGCCTCCCATTCATATCCATGATCATCGCTCATCTCTCTCGGAACCACTATGACAGTACATTTCAGTAACTCCCATTCTTCAACGTCGTGAAAGGCCCAACGGTCCCCAAATCCGGAATCCGACCCAGCAGGAACTCGAGCTGCCTGTACGCCGCACTGGGCGCATACTGAGGCACCATGTGTCCCGAAAGCTGGACCGTGACCACAGTCAACCCTCTCTCCGTATGGTACGAACCCATATTACCTGCACCGGCAAGATCGCCCAATTGATTATCGTACTGGACATGATACGGCACGTAGAACTCGTCCCATTGCGCTGGGGCCACCGAGAAACCCTGAGCACCGTTGAACGTCATGTTCTGCACTGCGATCAGGGTCCCGTTGTAGATGAGCACCATGTCCAAGATGCCGTGGCCGATGATGACGCGATCGGCCTGCTCGATGACACCGGGCAAGACGCTCAATGCCGACGGCGGCGAATCATCCGTGCCATTGACAAAGACGCCATTGCTACATTCAGCCCATTCCATGAGCGGTGCATGGATGGCTTTCTGCACATCCGTCCGGTTGAAGTAGATCGACGCCCCCTCGGGCACGTAGTCGAACGAACCGGGAAAACCCAAAACGTCCCAGAGCAACGGACATGTCGTGGCGACTTGGTAGATGTCAAAACACGGGTTGATCTCGGAGATGGCGTAGAACAACGAATCGAACGTGTCGCAGCTGTCGTCACTGAGATCGACGTTCGGCGGTGTCGGTAGAGGACCCTTTGGTGGGAAGACCAGGCTCTCTTCCAAGAAGGACGTGTATCCGCAGACATCGGACATATTGTTCAATTGCTCCATATATGTGGAGTTCAAGTCGAGCAGGTTGGACCAGTAGTTCGCGAACGCCGCCGAGGGGAGTTGTTCTTGCACAACGTCGTAGCTCAAGCTGGGGTCGTAGATCATGATCGAGCTGATGTTGTAGTACTCTTTGTCATTGGCGTTGAACATAGCATCCGCAATGTACGGCACGTAGTATCCTGCGTACGACTCGCCTGCGATATACACGGTGTATCCTTGCATGGCAAAAGTCTCGACAAAGTTCTTGAAGAATCCCAGGAATTGGGCGGCGACATCGCTTTCGGAGGTTGCGGTCGGGGTGCCTTGACTAAAGCCAGTACCGACGGGTTCTGAAGTACACTATTAGCTCTTGTTTGTTGCACGCCTCCGCTGGATCACCACTCACGCTCGACCCAGACCATGTTTGTCAAATTCGTCCATGCCCAAACATTCTGGACGGGCTTGTAGGTGCCGTATTGCCATAAGAATGGGCCGTTCTCTGGAACATTTGATCAGCTTCGAGCTCGACTTCAGAACCGTTCCCTAGCTACCTTGCAGAAATCCTTCGAGAGAAGAGCAGCCAGGGCCTCCGTTCAGCCAGATCAGGATTTCATTCTTCGCAGCCGGATTTGTGGACGGGAAGAACCAGAAATAAAGCTCTGAAGCGTTTTTGGCATCTGAGATAGGCATGAGACCAGCGTACGATTCTCCCACGTCGAAGCCGACATCTGGAATTGCGCTGCCATTGACCGCGTATTCTAGCAAGGGATTAGCCACCTTCCCGCTTTTAGTTCCAGCTCATAAACGTACTCTTGGTGGCGTTGGTCAGGAATTGATGCTCTGCACGCTTTTGGAGTTGCGGCGCAGCTGGAGCCGCCCTCGGCGCAACATTCCTCTTGAGCTCTGGAAACTTCTTACCAACATGTGCACCAGTTCTGCGTGCTGTACCGAGCGACGCCAGGCCCAGAGCCAAAGTAACGAGCGAGAACTTCATGGCTGCAATAACAGACAACAATCTTCGCAGGGGAGCACAATCACCACACCGGCAGGATCACAGCAGATAAATCAATGAACAAAAAAAAGTAGGCCAACCTTCAAGCTTCGGGAAATCGCTTGATCCTGGTCTGCAAGCTTACCTCGCGATGCATGATGAACGTTGCTTCTCCACTTTGTAGTACTACATAGTAACCCGAAGAGTGAGAGAGGCAGGTGATTGAGCGATAAAGCGAGGGAAGCTGTTCGCTTGATGGATCCCAGCACGCGGCGAGGGCCGAATTGGTGTTCAGAAATGCAACGTCGAAGTTAGCTATGCAGGTGCCAGAAACAAGGCCCTGGTGACCATGACGCAGTGCAAGGTGAAGTACGCTGCTGATTCGATAACAGTCGATAGGAAACCTGGGGGAGCTTGTACCAGGATGCTTATCAGAGCTGGTGATTCGGTAAGGTGTGATCGTGTGCCTGGGTGGATGATGGCGGGCAAGATAAAGCATCCATGCTAAGACGTGTAACCCACCATGCACACTCGAGGCGCCTGGTCTTCTCCGGTTGGCCTGTGATGTATCGGCAACAGCGGGCACCAAACAGCCATCTGCTTGACCGGTCAAAGACATCAGGAAACGAGAGAATTGCATGGTCTGTGAGAGGTTCAAGTCTGGCCTGCCGAGGTGCAGATGATTTCGAGAAGAAAATCTCCAATCTCTCGACCAGTCAAGCACCGTAGCCGAAGAAGCAATGCGCAGCATAATCATCAATGGCAGGGCAAAATTGGAAACGATGGCGGATGATGGCGGCAAATCGAAAGCCCACCTCGGACTTCTGTCCTACTATGTAAGATCATGCAGGCTTCGAGAAGCTTGTCCTCAGCTTGTCCTTCGCCCCTCCAACCTAACGTTAGAGCCTACCTTAGAAATGACCACCTAACCTCTTGGGGCAGGTCACTTGGAGGGGAAACGATGACAAAGGCAGGATCAAGGAATGATGGACAGCAAAGCAGCCGAGCAGCAGACGGCGTAGGTGAAGTACATGATGATTGATAATGATTTTGTTTCGCAAAGACTCAACAAGAGGTCGTTGAAGCAAAGAACAAAAGCTTCTTCGTATTCGAGCAGCCACCAGATCATCACACGGCTCACTAGGCATTGCATTCGCGGGTGGCTTCGGCAATGGGCGCCTCAATGCTTGGTACAGTAGTGGCCCATACAGTACATCATGCACGATCATAGTACCCGATGTGGCTGCCTGAGCGTCTCACGCCTTCATCTTCACCTTATAATGCCTTAACCGACCTCATCATAGCAACATACTACATGATGCGACCACAGCCTCTTCAATGTCTGCATCTCATCTCTACGCCGGCAAGGCACACCCATCTCCTCTCAAATCACTGCCACCGCTAAAGACTGCCTGGCCCGTTTCCTCGTCGACATGCCTTCGGATGACCTGTCCTCTGCCAAACCTCCCACGCCCCCAGCCATGGATCATCTCGACATCGTGACCCATTTGTTTCAGTGCCTTCAACACTGGTTCCTCGATCCCTTCCTCAACATACACAATGTTCATCTGCTTCTCTCCTCCTTGTGGCATGCCTGCGCCGATACAGATCCTGGGCGCATCCAGTGCTTGCTGTGGATTCATCCCAAAAACCTCCATGTTCAGCAATACTTGGACATGTCCTTGAGGCTGCATAAACCCTCCCATGACACCGTAGACTGAGTGCAATTGTCTGTCAGCCTCGTCGCCATGTGTAATCAAGCCCGGTATAATAGTATGGTAAGGCCTCTTTCCACCCTGGTAAATGTTTGGATGATCGTCTGGGCCCAAGTCAAAATTCGATCCTCGGTTCTGCAACGTAAATCCACATCCCTGGGGGATAATGCACGACCCAAACCCTTCATAGTTGGAGTTGATGAAACTGCATCCATTCCCATCTTTGTCCGTCACCGCAAAATACACCGTATCACTGTGGTTCTGTGCTGGGCTGCGTGGCTTCCCACGAGCATGGTCCTCTGCCTTTTCTTTGTTGAACAACTTCGCTCGCTCAGCGAGGTATTCGCGAGAGATCAACTCCGCGGACTTCACAGGCATAAATTCTGGGTCTGTCACCCACCAGCTCGCATCGGCGAAAGCAATCCTCAATGCCTCAATGACCGCGTGTAAATAGGAGGCGCTGTTGTGATCCTCCAGGGCGAACGTCTGGATTTTCCCGGTACGCTCGAGCTCTTCCAAGATACCGAGAGCCATCAGGGCGACGATGCCCTGTCCATTCGGTGGATGCTCCCACAGCTCGACGAAATAGTCTCCAGCACCACCATCCGTCAAGCGCTGCGACCCCTTGTTCTTAACATTCTGGCCACGGAATTTTAATGAAATCGGCGCGGGCTCGTCTGGTCCACGGTTCATGTGGTCTTCCAGATCTGATAATTCCATATGCCCATCCGTCAACCGGAGCACGTCAACAATGGCGTGGGCGATTCTGCCGGCATAGAAGCCCTTCTTCCCTTCGGCCGCCAAGGTTCTGAATGTCTTTGCAAGGCACGGGTTCTGCAGAATCTCTCCAGCTCGAGGAGCCCGGACGAACTGATCTGCCCTCTTATCTCTCTTCAGCATCTCGCGAAAATTCGGCGATGCACGCTTCAAATCTGCTTCGCCGTTTTGCCACTGCAGTACAGATATCAGACTTGTTCCTAACAATCACATTCACTGCTGGATTGAGGGACTTACAAAATTGGCCGAAAGCTCACTAACAGGAAACCCTTCCTCGCCCAACTCGATCGCTGGCGTGAGGATCTGTTCCATACTCACCTTCCCACTGCCGAATTTCTCAACCGTATCGACCCAACCCGCCGCTGCACCGGGGACGGTCACGGCCAGCGCACTATGTGTCGGGATATTCCCGCTTGTCTGGCCCAGCTCTTTCCTAACCTGCTCGACGGTGGTGTTCTTGGGACTGCGCCCTGACCCATTGAGAGCATGCACCTTTTTGGTCTTCGCGTCGAAGTACAAGCAGAACATATCGCCTCCTATTCCCGTCGACGAGGGTTCGGTCATGTTCAATGCGGCGGCTGCGGCACTTCGTTAAGACTTCAGTCCCAGTAGAGGGGGGTGTGGGTGGTTGTTTGGGGGGCTTCACGAAATTCAAGACGTACCGACTGCGACAGCAGCATCCTAACAGTAGAGATTAGTCTCCATTGCTCAAGCACAGATCATATGAAATGAATGCATACATACAGCAGCATTCCCACCCATCTTCAACACCCTCTGTCCGGCCTCCGCAGCGAGCGGCTGCGTACACGCAACCATGCCCTTTGTACTGTGCACCACGCTCCTCCTGCTCGCGAACTGGACGAACGGCGGGTTGCCCGTCGGAAACACGGCCTCGGCCTTGAACTGTGTAGCTGTTGAACCCATCTCGACGGAGCTTTGGAATAACAGTGGACGACGCAATCGGGTAGATGTATGGAGGGTTGACACGGCGGACACAAAATGGCCTTATACTCTCTACTCTTGGGAACGCGTCGTTTCAGCTGTTATAAAAGAGAGCCTGGAATATTGCCACGAAATGTAAAAAGGCCAACAGTCCGAGGGAAAGGTCTCCAGAGACCCTGGTCACCCTCGTGTACGGAGTATGTACTGGGCATTTCATTTAGCCGCCTTCGTAAATAAATTTATCTAATCATGACCTCCAATGACGTGGGGGATGCGCGAGATGGGGGCATCAGAGGGGAGCTGGCCCGTCAGTCAATGCCTCGGCCTTCCCTGTGGGTGCCATGATGCTGCCTACCCTGGTCACAGCTTGTGCGTTTCTGGCAGGTCGTCAACTATCGGCCCTCACGGCGCAAGGCCGATCAGGACTTCTCCGTTGAATTTGCGGGCGTGAAGATAACCTGTCAGTGAATCTGCAAACGGAGGAAGCCAAAAAAAGAGCTATGAGCGGCAGATGCGTCAGGTTACTCGTAGTCGTACTCGATCGGCGAAAGAGACACCGTATTCCATTGGTCTCAGCTCCTAACAAATGGGTTCTTGTCAAGGCTGCTTGTCTTTCGTGCGCGGAGTGAAGCTCCTATGCTGTAGGTACTCCGTCCAGACAGGAGGGATAGGACACGCGCTCCCCTTTCCTCATAGCCTTACTTTTCTTCCCTCCTTTCTACCTATACTCAACAAGCACCTCGCTGTACGGGACGACCTTCACGTTCCCAATCAACCCGTAATCCACGACCGGTGGCGGCACGCCTCCTGCTCCTGGACTTCCAGGGCCTGTCCCGCTTGTCTTCAAATCAAACCAGATCGGTCGCATAACATTCCCTAATGGCGTCGCGACGACGGCTTCCACCGTATTCATCCCCTCGACCAGGAATGCCGTAATATCCGCTTGTGGTCTTGTAACATCCAGCGGCGGCAGCTGGTGCCCATTGACCCAGGCTCGCAATGTATGTACGATGAAGCCGAAATCAATCATGGCGCCATCGGCCGCAGATGACGAAGGGACGGGCCAAGTGAACGTCGTGTTGTAGTAACCCCTACCAGACACGTTCTGTAGACCGGGGATATCTTGCCATGATACTAAGCTAGGTAGGTGATGTGTTGTGTTATGCTTTCGTGTACCGGTGGTAAGGGACAGGTCCGATGGTGGATCCCAGTGCTCGACGATGAGTGTCCAATTCGACAGGGCAAGCGTGGATGCGCTACACGGCTGGACTGTGGTTGTCTTACCGGATGAGGTGGTATATGACTGTGGAGAAGAACCAGGACCGACTTGAAGCACTATTGTGCCGTTGGTTGGATTCGTTGTCACCTTCAGTATCCCGGACGAGACGTTGGTCAAGTGCTCGCCTTTGCGCGTGGAGTTGTTCAGCGGTTCCGGGTGAAATGCCACGATCGTCGACTCATTGCCAGCCAGTTTGAATGAGATGGTCGTCGAATTGTTGGTCTGAGTATAGGCCAAGATCGGCTCCTGAGCGCCGGTCCACGCATCGTACTCGTAAGGTGTCCCCGTCAGGTTGAATTCAATGTTGCCTTTGGTATATCCTTGGCCCGGTGGCTCTTTCATGGCATCATTGTATATGAAGAAATAGTCAACATTGGTCATTGTATCTCTTCGCCACAGCGTGAACCAGGATCCGTTGGTAGTTATCTTAGTGGTTGGTGCTATCCTCAGCGAAGCGATAGTGTGAGCCAGTGATTCATAGGAATCAGTAATGTGCACATTCCTCAGAGACGACAGTCCTTCAAGTGACTGATTCACACCGCTCAGCACACTAGCGTCGTTCGTGCCGAGGAAGGATGAAGGAATACCGCCCGAGAAGATGATAGGAAGTCCCTCACGAGCGAAGTCCACAAGCCGAGAAGCACCCTCGACAGTCAGGGAATCATTCGCTCGCACGACCATGGCTTTGAATGCTTGGGCATCGGGAGCGAGTATCCCATTCTCCACAAACGCAGAGGGGAGTTCCAGGTTATCCGGACTGACGTACTCATAGGTATATCCAGCCTCCTCAAGGTCGGTCGGCTCATAGGTTCGCAGCTGAATGTGGCCAGGATATGTTGTCATCTTCTGCCAGAAGGCAATGTCGAATTTGGGCACTCCTGTCTGGACGACGAAGTTGTTCCGAGCGACGAATTCAATCTGATCTCTGTAAAAGTCCCATCCAGGATCCCTGGGGCCATGCATATTCGAATACTGATAGTTGAAGGTGGTAAAAACAGGCCAAGTCGTGTTACCATACTGGCGGCCGTTGTCAGCAAGACATGACCAGAAAAGTGAGAGTTATACTGACATCTCCCGAATATGGAAACCCATGAAAGACAAATTGGTTCACGCCACCTGCATATGATCGCTTCACATGCCAAAGCAGCTCCGGTAGCAATTGAGCAAAGGCTTCGCCACGAACGGCGCCACATTCGGAAGAGACGATACGTCTTCGAGCGAGATTGGCAGGACCGGAGTATTGGCGATAACCATCAATGAGATCGCTGAAGTCTAAGGACTCGCATTCTGGAGCATCAACGCTTGGTATGTTTGCGAGCTAATTGAAGTCAGCACCTTCTTTGCAGTAGTCCTCGCAGGTGAGAGCCTTACCATGTCCATGGGCATGTTGTACGATATTTGAGCAGAGAATTGCAAGTCCAGGTATTGCTCTGCCCACTCGTTCAAACCCGTGAGGTACGCATGATACTGTTTTGCAAGCTTGAAAATGTTAGTTCCACGAGTCCGAATATCTCCCATGGGGACTTACTGTTTCTCGATAATCGGCCCTCCTGCTCTCGCCGCTGTCAGGAGCATCAGTGACCCACCATATCGGAGGATTAGATTCCTTCGCATGGCCATTCCGGTGGAACAGAGTAGGTAGCCATTTATTGATCGAGTAACCGTGGTCGACTTCAAACAGGCGGGAGAAGTTCTGCGTCCAGAAGACATTGGCCTCAATTTCCACGCTATCTTCCCAACCGTAGTTGCCTACGTCCATCAGCAGCTCTCTAGTTCCATTGATCAAGATATATTGCTCCCAGTACTTTGTGATTGTTTCCGCGCCGAGGGCTGAGAAGTGATCTGCCGCCCACGAACCATTCTGGACAAATGAGTGTGCTGACGTCTGTGGGCCACCCAGATCTTCTGGTCCGTCTTGTGCCCTGAAATCAGAGTGAATCAGGTACACGGCAAAAATGGTGTTGTTGATGCCGGATGCGTCAGAATCGAATGTCACGGATAAATGGCCGCTCGCGTCCACCTTCTTGGTAACGTCTGTGAGACTCGCCTCGGACAAGGTGATCTGGGTCCGGTTCATTGGTATGTCGCCTGGGAGCGCCGGATCCAGAGAAGTCAGGTACTCAGACTTGATTGCTCGGCCAGTGATCACGGCTTGCAAGGTACCAGTTCCCCAGCCTGGAAGAACACCATCAAAAGAACCTCCAGTCGGTACGGAGACGTTGAACGCTACAAGGTCCCACGAGAGCCCGTCACTCCCTTCTGGAGCTGGTACTCCTGTGCCTTGATTCGGACCGATAGCAAAGTCCATGATCAGCCCATTGTCCTTGTGAGCTTGTGCAAATGCTTGAAAGACATTATCTGCACCCAATGTCAATCTTGGTCTTTTCAGAAAAAATCTACCACCTACGCCAAGCTGGAGTCCCAAACCCATAGGTAGCCCAATCGACAGGAGCCGAGTCTCCCCTACCAGCTCCATTGCTCGGAGGTCCTCCGTAGAGATAATATCCTAGTAATTCGAGTCCAGCAGCTCCAATGTCACCAGCAGCACGCACGTCGTTGGCAACGACCTCAGGGTCAACGGACGCATCGGGGATCCAGTATCGGAATTTCGGTCGGACATTGACAGAGGGATTGCTGAAGGTACCTTTGTCGACTACAGCGTTGGTCGAAGGATCGGTGTGATTCTCTGGCAGTGCTGCAGTGATATATCCCGAGAGATGAATGGCAAGCAGGATGCCATGCAGGGCCTGTGGTCTGTCAGCAACGGTGCTCGAAATCGATGTTGTCCTGTGCAGAATGTGCCTTTACAATCATCTTGTCGCGTCACGACTCGTCAACCGCATGCGAGACAGAGGGAAGAGGCAAAGAGAAGAGCTTTGGAGTCTCGAGAGGAAGACCATCCGTACAAAGCCGGCTCATCCAGCGTGCCTTTCACTGTCTGCATCGAGGAACATGCCGGTGAAACCAGGAAAGGGCGCCGGAAGATCATCGCACCGGACGGGCAATGCCCGATCTTAGAAGGCATGAAGCTTTTCGGCATAGGGAGAAGCTCAGGACTAGTCTGGCTTGAGGAGTCTTGAGGAGTCTTGATCGTGGATGAACAGGTTGGATGATGTCGACGCGAAAGACGGACTCCGGGGGTTGCACTGGTTCACCTCCACAAAGGCGGGGGATATTGTAGGTTAGACACATTGTTCGGTGCATCGATCACCGAAGTGATAGAAAGAGGAGGAGTAGTACTCCGTAGGGCATGGTTATATCATCATTCAAATAGGATTAAATTGACCGTCAGAAGCTCATCATACTGTTGTCGTTGCCTGCCTGTGTCTGCCATACATCGTACATCGTTGATCGTTACACTGTATTATACAAGATTAAGCCACCCAGCCGAACCTCGCTCACATACCCAAGTCCTGCATACGAAATGAATGTGCCTTTCTCATACAGCCAGCCCTTGTGAGAAATCTCTTCTTGAATTCCTTTGGCCTTGTATTCCTTCCCGGTAATATCTTGTATCGTCAGCACCATGAAAATCATGCCCCAACACGTCCAATAAGAGTGCTGACCACCTTCTCAACCTTTTCAATGAGACCAATCTTCGGTTCTTGATAGTATCGTTGACTTCGTGAACTTGAATGTCTCGAAATATGCGGTCGGCTGCTCGAGTGGGCCTGTCGACGAGCACTGCCTTCACCTGCACTTTGCTTGTCATGATCTGAATCGCCATGGTGCCGGTGTTCGTGATGTTGGCTTCTTCTTGGAGGATCCGGATCATTAACTCGGATCATCCTCAGCAAAGGTCCCGTTTCACTTTCACCAGTTCCCATTCTTTTCAAGATGTGGGGGAAGCCGCCTGCCGAATTGCTGCCGCCGCTATTTGAACCCGCGAAGCTTGGTCGTCGGGGTTTTCTCCTCCAGTCGCTCACGGCGTTTATTGCAGCATCCTCCTCTCGTTCTTTGCCCTTGCTATCTTCTTCTTGCTGACGCCTCTGCTCACGCTCGATTCTCTGGCGCTCTCGTTCCTCGTGGCGCCGTCGTCTTCGCTCTTCCCTCTCAGCAGCTTCTGCGGCAGCCTTCTCGGCTTCACGACGTATTCGCTCCTCCCTTTCGGCAGCTTCTACGGCAGCCTCGTCGGCTTCTCGAGCCCGTCGCTTCTCCCGTCTTTTACGTTTTCTCTCCTTGTACTCGGCCGATTCATGTCGAGCGTGTTCTCTGTCCTTGGCTTTTGATATTTCTCTGGCAAAAGCATTATCGAACGGCCCTGCCTCGTTTCGGATCCTTTCCAGTTTTGCTTTGTGTCCATGCAGATCAATGTCTTGTGAATCGCGTCGGTGATGCCTGCGTCTATGGCTTCTGCTGGCCGAGGATAGAGCCGCGGCCGCAGCGCCTGAAACAGTTGCAGCACCAACGGTTTCAGCTTCCAGCGCTTCAGTCCCGTCTACGACGTCTTCGACTACTCTGGGAGCGTCTTCCTCCGTCGCTGGCTGCTCTGCTAGTGGAGTGTCTACGACAGGCTCTTCAACAACGGCGTCTTGCGCGGGTGCTTCTTCAGGAGGAGAATCGTTCGCTGCAGGTGCACCATCGGCTGCAGGTTCTTCATTAGCAGCTGCTTGCTCAGCAGGCTGTTCTTCCAGCGGCGCACCCTCGGCGGCAGGAGTTTCTTCAACCGCAGCGGCCTCTTCGGCTTGAGTGGTGCCCTCAGCTGCAGCGATTTCTTCCACAGCTGCATCTTCAGCTGGCGCGTCCGCAGGTGTTGCCTCTCCAGCCGGATCATCTTCAGCCGCAGCATCTCCACTGGGAGCTTCTTCGGCAGCGCCGGCTTGAGCTAGAGCTTCTTCTGTTGTTGCTGCCTCAGGTGCAGGATCGTCTGATTTGGCTTCTTCAGCTGGCTGGTCTGGGCTTGATGGTTCCCCGGCTGCTGGCTCGTCGGCAGCAGGCTCTCCAGCTGTGGGCTCTTCAGCAGCAGGCTCTCCAGCGGCAGGCTTTTCAGCGGCAGAAGCGGCGGCGGCGGCATCCTCGGATGGTGGCTCCTCGCTGGCAGAGGCTTCGGGTGTTGGCTCCTCGCCCGTAGGTGCAGGTGCTTCCTCTGGGGCTGGCGCGGCTTCCTCTGCTTCTCCACTTGTACTTTCTTGAGCAGGCTCTTCACTGGCTTCTGGCGCGGCGGTCTCGTTAGGGGTTTCTGCTGTCGTCTCTGCAGTTTCTTTGTTGGCAGCATCATCACCAGGCTCTTCCTTGGGTGAGTCTGCTTCAGTACTATTCTCGCCAGCGGCGCCACTATCCGCCCCGTCAGCGGCCTCGCCACCATCTGCGGGAGTCTCCTGATCGGCGGCCGGTTCACAAGCGGGTTCCCCGTTGTTGTTCTCGGCATCTGCTGTAGGAGGCTTTGCTTCATCTGACGTAGAAGTTTCAGCCGGAGCATCAGGAGGACTGCCCTCAGCTGTAGACTCTTCAGGCGGTGCTTCGCCGTCAGGGCTGTCCTGAGAGCTTGCGTTGGCTTCTTTCCCTTTAGCTTCTCCGTCATCTGTAGCAGCACCTTCGGCGTTCTCCGGATTCTCCTCTGGCTTTGCGTTTTCTTCTCCGGCAGTTTCGTCCGAGATGGCGTCTGGTGTGGGTTGGTTCTCCTCAGCTTCCGCGGACGCCTGCGGTGCTTCAACAGGATCGGGGTCAACACCATCCCCACCTGCCTCTTCTTTAATCTCTGAGTCTGCGTGGGCTCCTACATCTGCTTTCTCCTCTTCTTTGGTTTCTTCATTCACGTCTTCTGGCTGTTTTTCCTCTGCCGAAGGCTCTTGACTTGACGCTTCTGCCGATTTAGGTGCATCTCCATCTCCCCCGTCGGCCAAGGTCTCCTCGGAACTTTCTGTAGGCTTGTTGTCTTCTCCGACAGCTGACTCTGGTGTGTCAGGTCCAGCACCAGCATCAGACATGGCCTGTTCCAGCACCTCAGCAATTTGCTCGGGAGGCGCGTCTGCTTCTTGCATCTTCTCGACTATCTCTACCACTGTCTCTTGTTCTGATGGTTTCTCGTCACTTGCACGTTCAACCACCGGAGTTTCTGTCGTCTCATCTGCTCCCTTGTCGCCATCCCCTTTACCTGTTGGTTCTGCTTCAGCCTCAGTAGCCGTCACCTGGGGACTGTCTTCGGCACCATCGGCACCATCGGCGTTTACGTCAGCATTGCTGGGTGCGTCGTCTGCAACGGCATCCTCCTGCGATTTCTCCGCTGACACTTCAACGTTTGACTCCTCTGCCCCTAGAACTTGGTCAATGAACGCAAATATGTGATGCTTGCAATCCGGCATACCTTCATCATTCGCAGAGTCGTCGCCAATTCCTGATTCATCCACAACTGCATTTACCGTAGAACTCGTCTCGACACTAGCATCGGAAGCTACGTTGTCATCTCCAATCACTATTATTTCTACGAGACTGTTAGCGAGGCTCATTTGCATTACAGAGATAGCACATTACCTTCCATGTCTGGTGCTGCCGGTTCTGGCGACCCGGGCGCTGGCTTCTCGTCTGCCGCTGGCGATTGTGGCTGAGGGTCGACGTTCTTGAAAGGGTCGTCAGCAAAAGGATGGTCGGCAAATATTCGCTCAGATGGTATAATAGGATGAGAGGAAAATGTGAGGGTATCTCGGTCAAATGTTCTCCATTGAAACACAGGAAGCTGTGCATACTGGTATTGGTTCGGCCGAGCCATCTGAAGCTAAGTTGACTTCACCAACCCTGGGGTTGTATGAGGCCTGGTTCTTAATCTTTCTCTTCCCTTTCTTGCTTTTGCCCATGGCGGGGTGCTGGGCAGAGCTCAGGGAATTGAGGAGGTCTTGTGAATGGCCAGGTCCTCGGTGCTCCCTTGTCACACCCTTAGGCCGAGATCACGAGTGTAACGGAGGAATGGGAAAGTAGAGGTGACGTGACAGTATCTGATCGGAGGGATGCGCTTAGGGCATAAGCGGAGAGTAGCAGGAGGAACGACGCAGAATGCTCAAACGGAATGGCAATGGCTGAAAGAGTTCATCAGGAGGCGAAAATGATCGAGCAATAACCGGATCTTGAGGCGCGAACATGACTCCTTTTTGGGGAGCATCCCACTACTTCCTCCAATGGGTAGAAATGGAGGACATTGCAATTGGGCCACGTTGAAAGACGACAAGAACTTCTTGCGCGAGTTTGGCCGGAAGTCTTGACGAAAGCAATGCGGACAACATGCAGAGGTAGCGTGGCTCGAAGAGAGATAGAGACTGGATCAGAGTCAGACAACTGCAACGGCGACTGGAATAATGCAGGCTGGACGACCGCAATTGGACGAAATGTGCAGCTGTACCTCATTGATTGGGCCCCGTAGCTGGCGGAAGTGACACTCTGGTTGATGCCCAACGACAATACAACTGGTCGATCCCACGAAACATTGCAGAAAAATGACAGAATCCAAGTCCCGATATGAGGTCGCTTCGTGGGATGGCAGACAGGTGTCACTCCATTTGTCGGAAGAAATGCACTTCTGCGACAGTCGAGAGACCAGTTCGTTGTGGGACGTGGAGGAGTTCACGGACGAAGCAACAGACAGATGCACAATCCCTGCCTTGACATGAATGAGTACGAGCTAGTGCAAGTAGAAGAGGACATGTGAAGAAGCCGTTGACGACAAGAAAGATTAGAACATTGAGGATGATCGTGAGGATGAGAGGATGAGGTCGAGGATGCACGACGAAGGTCACGAAGGTCCGGGGCGAGCCGAAACAGAGAGACAGCCAGCCGAGGAATTTTCCCTGTCTTCATTCTCTTTGGTTGTCCCCTTCCGTTCGTCCTTTACTCTCGTCGCCTCATTTTGAACTACTTTTCTTTCATTTGGTGGCTGATAACGAAGATCAACTCGACACTTTTGGCATGAGGTATCCGGACTGATACTCTTCTGTCACCAGATCTTTGCCACCATCAAGAAAAGCATTCAGTTCGAGGACGGCATTACACGGGTATTTGCAGCGTCTGATACGAGGTACGTGTCAATTGTCTTCGTATGGATCTATCATATCTGGTGGGAGCCTCCGCTTCTAGATGCCGGTCAATCCAGCTCCCGATCCATTTTCTCTCGCCACCGAGGCCCAAATCGCTTCATTGCCCAGATGACCGCCGCGCTCGACAGTGTCCAAATTCCCAGAATAGTGAATAGCCAACCGTTGCCGATCGCTGATATGATTGGAGCCCCAACAACGGCACCAACACAAGAGAGAATGTTCCGGCAAAAATTGTTCAAGGCGACTCCCGATGACGATCTCCGTGGCATGAACTCAGTCAACATTGTGGTTGACATGGCAAATATTAGCATCGATCCAACCCCGTAAAAGAAGTTCGCGATCATCTGCCACACACGTGTCAGTCTGTGGTACCTGCATATGACATCGGCGCCCAAGAGTGACTCACAGGGACAACCCAAAGTACCCCTTTCTCAGCCGCCCAACCGTACCAGATTAAGGCAACGGGGTAGAGTAAGGCACCCAGCCACGCGTTCTCCCGCATACGGTCTTCCGGGTAAAAGATCAGTTTGCCTCTCTCGTCGACCCGGTTCGCCTTGAGCGCCTCTCGTTTCATGATTGCATCCATCCATCTACCTCCAAATACGCTGGCGAGGATATACCCGAGCGAGTTGGGTATGTACAACAAGCCGATGATGATGGTTGAGAAATCGTATGGCTGTCGTTCGAACGTATATTGGACACTGATATTCAAAACATAAAGCGAACCGAAGGTGATGGCCGAATAGTACACCGTCAACAACACCGGCATGAACCTGATGTACAGAATGACCCGCAGTGGGTCCACCAGCAACATCTTCACCACCTTCAGGTACATTTTGCTGCTTTGCTGTACAGCTTCTCGAGTCGAGGTTCGACTTAACGGCGGCCTGGTATTGCCACTCACGGCTGAGGCCGCATCGGTTGCAGCTTCTTCGGCAACATCTTTCGTGGCTTTGAGGGTTTCTGGAAGGCCAAAAAACACCAAGAGCCACGTCAAGACTAAGGCATCCCGTCAATGGCCTCCTCTACATCCCAAGGTACTGTGCGTCTGCTTACCTCCGTAGATGACGATTGCCCACTGAGTGGCTCGCCAATTCCAGTGCTGTCCGAGGACGCCACCCACAATGGGGGCTGCTAGTGGTCCGCAAAGAGGGCCAAGGTAGAAGATGCCCATGGCTCTTCCCCGTTCCCTCGACTCCCAAAGATCGGCAATCGTTCCAGCTCCGACAGCTTGCACAGAGGCGGCTGCACCACCCGAAAGCATACGCATGGCAACAAGCATGCCGATGGAACTGGAAACGGCGCTGAGTACGGCAAAGAGAATGAAAAGCGCAAATGACACCATGTAGACAGAGCGTCGCCCGAATGATTCGGAAAATGCAGACCACCAAAGGGGAAAGATGGCCATACTGAGCATGTACAAGGCAACAGATAAGTTGGTTGTCGTTGGAGTGGAATGCAGATCGCTCGCCACGTCTTCCAGAGTTGCTATATCAGGTGATCAGCAAGTTTGTGGTGTGTAGACAGCACAAGGGACAAGCATACGGAGAATAATGGCGCTTCCCACAGGAGCCGCCGCGGCAGCCACTGCGACAATGAAAGTTATGAACCATTTCGTGGAATCCTTGTAGTCAAAAGGTTCCGTCACCTCTGCTACTAATGCAAAGCGCGAAAAGAGACCGCGCCTTTTGGACCGAGTCACTCTAACAAGTGGGCTCTTTGGAGTTATAGTTCTTTCCAAGACATCATCCGCGATTTCGACATCCTGATGCTCTCCAATGGTAGACTGCTCTGATGGAGATACTGAATGAACGGTTTGCACCGATCGCGCATCAGACGGTATGCCATGTTCTTTCTCTGTCTCTTTTCTTACGGCTTCGGTCGAGGGCGAACCACATAGAGTATCGGCAGAATGAGGAGTCTTTTCGACGCCATCTGATGCCATAAGTAGGTTCGAAAGAGGTTCTGGTCGGAGGATGGTTTGGAGGGTGCAATTGCTCGTCTGCTGTCCAAGTCATTACTCCAACACATGTATCACTCAGTAGCTGTCCAAGAGCAGAAGTAAAAGAAGTCGAGGAAGAGGGACGATCATGACACGGTCAGCCGCATATCTTGACAGTTGCAGACTCTCTGGACACCTGGACTCCTACCGGCATGGAAGCATCGGCACAGGGCGTGAGGAGAAGGAAAACTGCAGCGGTGAAGGGCGTCCCGGTACAGGTGAGCAGCGGTACATTTGCAATTCCACCATATCTGCATTCTCCATGAAGAGGCAAGACGCCCAATTACGATGGCGAATGGTGGGGTTAAGCAACAATGAGAGAACGTAGAGACCGAGTCCGTGAAGACGATTTCGTGCCGTCTTTGCCGCAGGCCTCGAGATTATTGGATGAGAAGGGAACATGTGTTGGGGAGAAACTTTTGCTGCAACAGCGGAAATTGTCCAGGTTGTTGACGTTGCCTCGGCTAGAACTTGAGCAGAGATGGCTGTTCGCATTCCAACTGCATAGGCAGACTTCACGATTGCATGATACTCGAGGAGCTTGCAGTCGTCACGACGGTACACACAACCTGGAGATGTACATCAGCCATCGGTAGGGACCCATAAGCGGCAGGATGAAGCCTCCACAAGCCTCATTGTTGCATTGCCCGAGAGATCATCGCCTGTTATCGCCGAAGATAGGATATAGCCGCAGGCCATAACCTGTGCGTGCCTGGGCCTTGTCGTCGGCCGCCTAGGTGCTGCATCTTCGTCTTGCACAGTCGGTGTTGGGCCGGTTGGCTCGACAAGAAGAGACACAATTCGTTGCCAGTCTACTAGCCGTCTCTCATGAAGAAAATGGATATCGTTATGGAACAAGAGACGTTAGGTAGATGTGGTCGACCTCAGAATTGAAGTTGGTCGCGGCCAATCATCGATGTGAAAGAACATTTTGCGGGGGAAGAGGTCAGTGGGAAGAAAGTCACAGAAACAACAATCCTCGGGATCCGCAAACTCATTCAGCCCTTCCTTTCATTAATGATTACTTCTGTCACATTTCCCAATTTATATTTGACTGTCCGTTGGGCTTAGGTCGCTATCCTCACAAGGCATCCGGATGAGAAATCAAGTCAGGCTGAACACCAGACGCGCAACATCGTATTGTCGAGGAGTCCTGAGAAGCCACCAGCCGCTGACCTCAAGTCAGCCCGCAACTTCCCGTCTATTACGATCTCAACTTCTTGTCGAGCCCCAAGCGCGTCTCAAGATCCAGAATCATCGTCTGTCTACTGTCGTAACACCCTTCACTCGCCCAGCAATCAGAATGTCTATACCCTTAGGTGGCCGGACAGATCTCCCTGTCGAGGAAGCTCGAGCTGAATTGAAACGTCATTTTTCCGACTACCAAGGACCCAAGTATGCTGACGGTTGGGCGGACCTATGGGCAAAAGGAGAATTTCTACCATGGGACCGTGGCAATCCATCTCCGGCACTGGCAGATACTCTGATCAATCACGGCGATGTGATTGGCCACGCAATGATCGAGGAGGATGGACAGCCGCGTCGGAAACGTGCATTGGTTCCAGGTTGCGGCCGTGGTGTCGATGTCCTGCTCCTGCAGAGTTTTGGCTACGATGTCATCGGCCTCGAGTATGCCCCGGACGCCCTCAAAGCGTGTGAGGAGTACCAGAAGGAACACGCGGGTGATTACCCCGTCAGAGACGAGAAGATCGGCAAGGGAAGTGCTCGATTCTTGCAGGGTGATTTCTACATGGACGATTGGCTGGAGAAGACGGGGTTCGGCAAAGACGCAAAATTCGACTTGATCTATGATTACACTGTGAGTACGCTGCCGGTCAAAATCCTGTACGCAGATGTCTCCTGCTCACACCTGATGATAGTTCTTCTGTGCCATGCAATTGCCTATGAGACCAGCCTGGGCAAAGCGGATGGCCGAGTTGCTGCGGCCTTCGCCTCAAGCCAATCTGATATGTCTCGAATTTCCCACCAGTAAGCCTGCTATGGCGGGTGGTCCTCCTTTTGCATCTCCACCAAAAGCATACTTTGAGCACTTGAGTCATCCAGGAGAGGAAGTCAAGTATGACGCGGAGGGCAACGTCAAGATGAACCCTCTTGCGCCTTCGAGCCCCGGAGCTCTTGAAAGAGTTGGACACTGGCAACCTGCCGACACGCATAAGGTTGGCAAGGATGCTGAGGGTAAAGTGCAAGATTGGATAGCTGTCTGGAGGCATCGATGAACGCCAACATGTGTTTACAATAGCACTAGGTACTGAGTGTTGTCGCTGGCCCATTGGACAGACTTCAACTTTTGTCCACCTTTTTCAAAGCATTATAATGCTCTCCCAAGCCGAAACTGTGGCGATAGTATGCGAGCCAGACATCACTTGTGTCTGCTCCTTTCTCCGTGCCGCAACTGATCTTCTCGACTCTCCCATCGGCTTGGAGCACGTTGATATTGATGCTGTAGGCTCGTGAAATGGCTTGCAACTCTAGCTGTCCTCCCCACTCGGCTGTATCTCTGATCTTCTTCACATAGCTCTCCAGTGGTTCTTCCATGAATGCTGAAAAATCGTCTGGATGTGCTGCCATGAACTCTGCCGCAGCGTATCTGACGTTCTGATAAGGCTCTTTATTTGGCCCTGATTGTGGGACTTGCTCAGGAGACATGCTGTGTGCACATGCGGAGAAGAGGCAATGCCCATCCGGTCGAATCATGGTTTCTACCAAACCCCGAGTCTCCATCTGCTTCTTCATAGTTGATATTTCTTGGTCTCGCAGATCAGGCATGTTTTCTGCTTCCGCAGCTGCCGCCGCCACTTGAGCCTGTTGCTCGGCAGCTCTTCGTGCGAGCCTGGCTTTCTGTCGATTGGGCTTTTTCGAGCGTGATTGTTCAGCGGTGAAATCGCCATTGGCCGGTTCTGGCTGGACCTCTGCTGTTTCAGTCTCGGGCTCGTCTGTGGTCTCTTCGGCAGGCTCATCGAGCTTCAGGCCATCCACAGCCGCCGCAAGTTGGGCCTGCTTCGGCTCCAATTGATCGACTTCGGCTTGCTGCTTTTCGGCCAGTTCTCTCTCCAATCTCTCGCATTCATCATTGACACCTTTTCTTGTCTTTTTCGTGGCATTCTTCTTCTTCTGGGTGATCCTTGCTTGCAGATCTCGCTTTTCTTTGCGATGCTTCGCCAGCAGGTCTTCCATGTTCATGGACGAGAGTACCTAGATCCGTTTGTTGGATAAAGCAGTGCTCCCCACGTTTCCGGCATAATATGACGATCGAAAAGGTTAAAGTCAACAAAGAGGTCTGCTTAATAACCCTTTTCTTCACCTATTCCAATTCGAAGCAAAGAAAATACCTCCCAGATCGAAACGAGGTCAATATGCATCAATGCTGGATACTGGGCAGCCTCGTGGACCGCACGGAGCGTGTCTCAGTCACAGGTCGATTACTAGCGTGCAATAGCCTTGCAATATATTCGGCATCACAGAGTCTGCCTTGTCTATTTGATTCCTCAATTCCAACGTCAGGCACGTGCGCCTCAGCCTAACAATTGCTTGGCGCTTTAGGTGCTCCTCATTGGCTTTGGGGCTCCTGTGGCTCCTTATTGGCACCAGCACCAGTCACCAGCCCAGCCAGCCCCAGGGTACGAGTAGCCCTCGAGGCCCTTGACAAGTGCGGGCTTTATTGATGCCATGTTGCCCCTCCTGTTCCAAAACACCTGCGAAGCGCCAACACCTCCAGCGGCTACCGACACGTCTGCAATCTGAAATCACAGCTGGGCAACACCTTTCTTCTGCCCAGTATATCATCTTCTCAAGGCACGATTACTGGCTAGGTCTTACACGATATCCCTACGCTACGTCTCAAAGTGGCCCCCACCTCCGACTGCGATCGTCCGCTCGCCGTAACACAGTAGTGCCCAGCGTCAGCACCAGCCCAACTCTATCCTTCAGCCGCACATCGCACGGGTTGCCAGAAAGTATTCGCCTTTGTCATATATCGTTCCAGCTGGTCGCCTTGTCCGCTCAGAACCTGAACTCCCTCAATTTCTTCCTCTCCCTTATACACGTCGCCGCGAGCTTGACTACTCCCCAACCCAATCATGGGGGACTTGACTGGGCGCAAGGTCTTCAAGGTCTTCAACCAAGACTTCACCGTCGATGAGAGGTACACTGTGACAAAAGAGCTGGGCCAGGGTGCGTATGGTATTGTCTGGTAGGACGTTCGCAGTTCTCTCCCAATGTCCCAGCTGACCAAGGTGAAGCGCGGCGACCAATTCCCAGACTGGCGAAAGCGTCGCTATCAAGAAGGTCACAAATGTGTTTAGTAAAAAGATCCTTGCAAAGAGAGCCCTTCGTGAGATCAAGCTTCTCCAACATTTCCGTGGTCATAGAAATGTCGGTTCTCCAGATCAATGCTCATGGACCCGGCTAATCATGCGCAGATCACTTGTCTTTACGACATGGACATTCCCCGTCCGGATAACTTCAACGAGACTTATCTTTACGAGGGTAGGAAATCCTGATTCGGGCGTGAATAGCTCGTTAACATGCAGCAGAGTTGATGGAATGTGACCTCGCTGCCATCATCCGCTCTGGTCAGCCACTTACGGATGCCCATTTCCAATCCTTCATCTACCAGATCCTTTGTGGCCTCAAATATATCCATTCTGCAAACGTCCTGCACAGAGACTTGAAGCCTGGGAATCTGCTTGTCAATGCAGATTGTGAGCTGAAAATCTGTGATTTCGGTCTGGCAAGAGGGTTCTCTCAGGACCCCGAGGAAAACGCTGGGTACATGACAGAATATGTTGCGACTCGGTGGTACCGTGCGCCAGAAATCATGTTGAGCTTCCAAAGTTACACAAAAGCCAGTAAGTGGAGATACTCGTCTTCGTTGAGATGGAATCAGTCTTAACTCTCTTACCAGTCGACGTTTGGTCGGTCGGATGTATCTTGGCCGAGCTCCTGGGCGGCAGACCATTCTTCAAGGGCCGTGACTATGTCGACCAGCTGAACCAGATTCTTCACTATCTAGGTACCCCCAACGAGGAGACCTTGTCCCGGATAGGATCCCCACGTGCTCAGGAATATGTTCGAAATCTCCCGTTCATGCCCAAGATACCATTTCAGAGGTTGTTCCCACAGGCCAACCCAGACGCCCTCGATCTCTTGGACCGAATGCTGGCATTCGATCCATCATCGCGTATTTCTGTGGAAGATGCCCTCGAACACAGATACCTGCACATCTGGCATGATGCCTCCGACGAGCCTGCATGTCCCAAGACGTTCGACTTCGCGTTTGAAGTTGTCGAGGACGTGCAAGAAATGAGAAAGATGATCTTGGATGAAGTCATGAGATTCCGCCACCATGTCCGCCATCAGCCTACTCAAACTCCAACGAGCGCCAATATGAATGTGCCAATTCCCGAAAATCCAGCTCAGTGGACCAAGACTGCTGAAGATCCAAGACCACAGGAGGCGGGCGCCTATATGGGTAATGATCTTGAACATGAATTGCAAGCAGGTTCGGATCTGATGAGACGATAGACATGGAGTCTTTGCAGGCATGACGCTTCGGGTTGGCTAAGGAACTAGTGATGTATTGATGAGCGAAAATACAGATTGGGTTTAAATCCGCTACCACAATACAGGCATGGAGAATTTCCTCTCGTCAGGAAATATCTGATCATCTTTGCAACACATCTAGTCGGACATCTATGAAGTTGAACCTCTCCTGAGGTACAGGACGGACGGCCAGGTCCATTCGGACTTTTCTCCACCTTAAAAGGGACAGGAGTGTACCGACTTCAATCGGAGCAGTCTCATCATATGAAGCAGGAGCGTTCCTGACATCAGTTCTTCATTTGGACGTAAAGGCCTTCTATCCATTAGGATCTCATTTTCCTTGTTTGAAGACACCACTGGCGGCTGTAGTCTCCTGGCTAACTGCGGTTCCTCTTCTTTTCACATCAATTGCGGCGCTCACTAAGAACTTGAGCTGACAAAATGATGCTATTCAATCTCGTTTTCCTGCTTTGGTGCTGGGCCGGCACCACTTCTACGTTGCCTGGCAATGCACCAGAGATCATAGAGAGCCTGCGCGGTATACCAAAGGGATGGACTCAGGTAAGCCAACCCTCAACGCTGACTCTCAAACTAACTTAGTGAAGAGAGATGCACCTCCACAAACTGACATGCTTGTCCTTCGCTTAGCCATGGATCAACCAATGCTGGCCGATTTCCACCAACTTGTGAACGACCTTTCCACCCCAGACTATCCGTTGTATGGCAAGCACCTCACCAAGAGAGAAGTGGATGACATACTTCAACCCTCAAGCGAAGTCAGCGATGGGATCGTAGCGTGGCTTAAGAATGCAGGCGTTGCTGCTGATTTCATCAAGCTCTCCGGACACTGGATCACGTTCCGCCTCAATGTCGGGACAGCTGAGGCCCTCCTGGATACCAAGTTCTACAATTTTCACAAGGGAGATGTCACAGTCATACGTACCCTTCAGGACTCTGTGCTGTCGATACTTCGAAACAAGATTGAGACAATACAGCCGACGATTCGATTCGGCAGTCCCAGGGCACAGGCTGAATGGATGATGGACAACAGCGACGACTCTTCCCCCTTACAGATAAATCCTTCTGTGTAGAGAACTTAGAGCGAGACTTTCTGCAACAGTACGATAACACCAGCGTGCATCAGGGGCATATACCAGATGGACCCGTTTGATCCACCGGCAAACGCCTTGAGAATGGGTATATCTGGATTCATTGAACAGCGATCGTTCACCGCAGATGTTGAAGAGTTCATGACCACACTGAGCCAACAGTCTTAGGACATATTGAATTGGTCTCCATCAACAAGGGTGTTGTATCATTCCAGGTCAGCACAAGTGCAGAAGCGAATCTTGACGTAAGTTAACAAGACCTCAAGCACATTGCGGCAGGTTTGACCTGCCCTAGGTTCAATACGCCGCCGCTCTGACTGGAGGAACGCCGTTGGTATACTTCTCGACTGGTGGACGAGCCCCCATGAACAGCAACGCCGATCAGCCATCGGCTGCGAATGGCACCAACGAGCCTTATCTTGATCAGCTGCACTTCTTGCTCGGCCTCAATGATTCACTGCTTCCATCAGTTCTTTCCACGTCGTACGCAGAAGACGAAGAGACGGTACCTTGTGCGTCTGAAAGACTCGCCCCGCCTATTTCATTTCTCACACTTCACAGACAGTTACGCAGTCCAGGTGTGCAACCTGTTCGCCCAGGTCGGTGCTCGTGGGGTGTCAGTCATTTTCGCCAGTGGTGACACTGGGGTTGGAAGTGGTTGTCAATCCAACGACGGAAAGAACACCCTCCGATTCTCACCATCTTTCCCAGCGAGCTGCCCATGGGTAACAGCAGTGGGTGGTACGTATAGTCTGAATCCTGAGCTAGCCGCTGCGTTCACATCAGGGGGGTTTTCAAACTATTCTCCTCAGCCGACATGGCAGACCGACACTATGAAAGACTACTTCAACCAGCTCGGAGACAAGAACGAGGGGTACTACAACATCTGGGGACGAGGGTATCCAGATGCCTCAGCGCAGGCTGTCCGATATCTGATCTGGAACCAAGGTGGACCAGAATATGTGTATGGTACCAGCTGTGCGGCTCCCACCTTTGCCGCCATCATCAACAATCTCAACAACATTCGAATGACTCAGGGGAAGACGAAACTTGGCTTTCTCAATCCTTGGCTATACGTCCAAGGCAATCAAGGCTTTACTGACATTACCGTCGGAGCTTCGCGGGGCTGCAGTGGTGTCGACATGTTTACTGGTCAGCCTGCTGGAAAGATCAAGGAAGCTTCTTGGGAAGCAATTGCTGGGTGGGATCCTGTAACTGGATGGGGAACGCCGAATTATGCAAAACTGAAGACTATGGTGGCGAAGTTCTGAGTATTGGTATTGTGGAGGCCGTCGATGGCGAGCTGCTAAAGCTTGCAGACGTCTGTGGTCAACAACTAAAAGATGAGATGGGCGATTTGTGCGGTCAACAACGAGGAGAGATTCTTGATCCGATAATTGTCATTGAGCCGATCCAGCATTGAAGGATTCTACATTCCTTGTACCCTCAAATAATCAAAAACACTTACATCATTCACCACCATACTTCCTTTTGAACTTGAGCCCATGACTATGCTGTTTCGGCTGACTACCATAACTCCTTCTACCCCCTTGCTTCTTATCTCGGTGCATGCTTGCACCCAGCTGGATATCCACTCTCGGCGGCGTAGCAAAGCCAAAGCTCTTAGCTACCTTGACCAAGTCGAGTTTGTTCACATCAAACACCGATCGTAAACTGTGCGAGGCGTACGCCTGCAGATATGATCTGTAGCCGTCTTTCGCAGACTGTACACCAGGCGGTTAGCAAAGACCAACACATGCATCCGAGAACTTGCGTAACATAACATACCTTGTTCAAATAATAGTTCTGGCTGATCAACTTCTCCAGCTGACTCTGAATATTGAGCAGCTTCTTTGCCGGAAAGTCGAACTCAACAACCGGCACCCTCGCCTCCTTCAACTGACTCAAGAAGCCCACTTCACTAGGCTGCAAAAACATTAGACTCCTGCCCTTGCCGTTCGAGCCCCTGGCCGTCCGCCCGACGCGGTGGATGTAATCCCTCGGATCGTCCGGCGGATCGAATTGCACGATCCAATCGACGGCAGGGATATCCAGACCCCGGGCCGCGACGTCGGTACAGACCATGGTGCCGGCCTTTGCGTTGCAGAATTCAAAGAACGTGTTCGTGCGCTTTTGCTGTTTCAAATTCCCGTGCAACTCGAGCACGGGCAGGTCGATGTAGTTCAGCAGTTCGGCGTGGTACTTGACGCAGTTGCAGCTCGACATGAAGACGATGACCTTCTTTTTCAGGTTGCGTTTCAAAAAACTAAAAAGCAGCAGGAAGCGTTTGTCGGATTCGCAAATGACGTAGCCTTGCTCGAGCCCTTCGACGGTGCTGTGCTCCTTTTTGTGGTCGACGTTGATATACAGTGGTCCCGGGCGCAGTGAGATGCGCGCGAGGTCCTCCACTTTTGTTGTTTGTGTTGCGGAGAAGAGCATCGTCTGTCTTTTTTCGTTGGGTAGGATTTTGACGATCTGGCGCATTTCGTCTTCGAAGCCGACTTCCAAGATGCGGTCTGCTTCGTCGATCACGAGGGCCTTGACGTTTTTGTACACGAACCCTTTGGTGTTTTGGAGGTGGTCGAGAAGTCTGCCGGGCGTGGCAATGAGCAGGTTGACGCCTTTGGTCAACTTGTCGGCCTCGGCGGAGCGGTTGGCGCCGCCAATCACGATGCCAAATGTCTGGCTGTGATGCGCCATGAGGTCTCGTGCCACGCCGAAGATTTGCAGCGCGAGTTCGCGTGTCGGACTGACGACGATGACACCTGTGCCGTTGCGTGGCTTGAAGCGCAGGGCGTGCAGCCTCTCGATGGCAGGGATGAGGAAAGCAAGTGTCTTGCCTGAGCCGGTTTTGGCGGCGCCCAGGACGTCGCGGCCGGCTAGGAGGGGTGGGATGCCTCGTTGTTGGATCTCGGTCATGGTTGTGAAGGACATCTCTTTCAGAGCTTCCATGGTGCGTTCGGAGAGGGAGAGGTCGCTGAATTTTTGGGGCGTGGTGTTGGTGCCAGGGAGGGAGGGGACAGTGTCGGTTGGGAGGTCACTGGTGGCGGTGATCTCGGTGGTTCCATTGACAGTGTTGACTGTTTCTTCGAGTTCAGGGCCGGCAGTGTCGTTGTCAACGTCAGAAGGCTCGTCGTCGCTGGAAGCGTCTGCTGCGACATCATCGTGAGCGCCGTTAGGTCCATTTGTGGCTGCAGTTTCGTCCTCGTCCGATGAAGCGTCTTCAACAGCTTGCAGCGTATCTTCCCCATCTTCTGCATCTGCCACATCGAGCTCTGGCTCATCGTCGCTTGTATGTGATGTCTTCCTTCTCTTCTTGCCTTTTTCTCTGCGTCGGTCTGAGGGTGGAAGAACGGTCTGGTCGGCGACGGGCGCAGCAGGACTAGCATCTGTCGCTGTACTAATCAACTTGGCATGCTTCCTCTTGCGTTTCTTCGACTTCTCGCCGTGAGGCTCCATTGTCGCTGTTTGAAATCGTCTTGAGTCGGTGACGAGTTTTTGGCGGAATTCGAAAACCTTCAACAAATGTGAACGGCCTTGACTGTGAACTTTTTTCTAGCGCTGGCCATATCAACACGTGACTGATAAGCAAAGAGCCGCTAACGCAAAATGAACTTTGGCGGGCCTGGAGGGAAAGTAAGCCGAAGCATATGTCCAGGGCGCGAAGACCGAGTCTAACGTTCTCATATCAATGATATCTGGAGCGGGCCGCGCACCATCGCCTATCTTGTACTGTATATATTCCTCAAGAACTCGACGGATAAGGCACTCTCAGGTGATCGTGCCTGCAACCAAATTCCTGTCGGACTCTAGATTCGGGCTTTACTTCCTCGGCCATCCACCACAATCCAATGAGATAAAGAGGTGATCTCTTACCAGCTACCTCGATCGGGCCAGGTCGCAAGCATATATTGACACCAGGACAACTCAGTCGTTATTTGTTTTGCAGCTACCTTACGGACGACAACTTTCATTAGTCTCTAGGTTTTGTTGAGCTTACCTGTGGCCAGAAACGTCGACAAGAGGACACAAAGGATACACCATGGCCGCCCCAAATGGGCTGGGAGAGCCAGTCAAACTACCAACCGCCGACCTTGTCAAAGTCGATGATCACGTCTCACTCTTACCGCCGCTTTCTCGACGAGGCTACGGCCCAGGCCTCATCCTCGTCATGCCTGAGGATGCACCCACATACCCGCATGCCGGCACCGTCTGCGTCGATCAGATCCCGCCTCCTCTTCTGAAGTGGGCGGAAGAAGGCTTCGCTGTCGTCGAGATCCTAGCGCCCGCCTTCACCTCCAAATCCACTGGCGCTGATGCCGCACAGGGAGTCCTCACCAAAGCCATCACTGCTCTCGAAACTTGCGATACCTGTCGCGAGGAGGACGGCGTCGGATTGATAGGTAAGGCCCTACGACACCCTCTCCCTCTGCCATCCTGAGCACTATAGGCGGTTGCAAAGAACTGAAACATGACAATTCCTCCCCACAGTCTACGACGAAACACTATGGGACAAATATATCAGCGAAACCACCTTCGATTCGAGGATACGAGCAGCCGTCATCTACGGCACGGCGAAGACAGGACAAACACCTACTTCACCGACGTCACTACCCTGCCTGTATCATATCGCTGGACCGATAAACCCAAACCCAGACTCCGCACCACCAAAAAGCATCCAAGGCCTCAGAATATACTCGTATCCTACAGCAAAGTCGGCGAAATTCCCCATACCATGCCAGGCCGACTTCAACGGAACCGATGAGTCGGTCGCGCATACGCGGAACTTGGTGCATCTGAAAAAGTATATCCGAGGTGCCGACTTCGACCTGGAGGCCATCTGGGAAGAGCACACGTATTTCGAGTTCGCCGACCGGTCCGCTGCGAAGACGATGGGCACCATGGTCCAGGAGCCTTACGTGAACCATGTCCCAACTGTGAGGCCCCTGTCAACCCCTTCAGATTCTGACCTTCGAACGAACTAACCGAGTGCTGCTCGTCGCTTAGATGACCGGCGGGATCGGCCGTGAGAAACTGACATGGTTCTACCAACACAATTTCATCCACAACAATCCCGACGACACCGAGTTGCAGCTTGTAAGCCGGACGGTGGGCATTGACCGTGTAGTGGACGAGTTCATTTTCAAGTTCACTCATGATAGGCAGATGGACTGGATGTACGCAGCACACCTTTTCTTTCCCCTCGCATCCCTTGGTTTTTCCTTTCTCCTCGCCTTTCTTTCAGTTTTGACTAAACGCTTGCCCTTGCGGTTGACAGGATCCCCGGCATCCCTCCGACAGGACGAAGAGTTGAAGTCCCCTTCACCGCGGTGGTGTGCATCCGCGGCGACCGGCTGTACCACGAACATATCTCCTGGGACCAAGCGTCCGTTCTTATCCAGCTTGGGCTCATGCCGGAATACTTACCGTATCCCCATGCCTTGCCCGACGGGACAAAGTCGGCGCCAGGCAAGAAATTCGAGTACAGGGTTCCAGCTGCCGGTATTGAAACATGCACGAAAATGATTGCCAAGAACAGCATCCTGTCGAACGGGATGTTCGAGTACAAGATTCGGGAGGTCGATGCATAATTTTTTGAGCGGCAAGATGTTCATGAAGTCAGCAAGTCGCGAGCTTGTTTGGCACAAGTGACGGTCATGATGGCCGCGAAGCGACCAGGATTGTACGCCTTTGCTTCCGGTACGAGACGGTTTTCCGCTTCATCTCGTAAATTCTCACCGCTTGTGTGCCGTGTCCTTGACAAGGCCCGAAATTCCAAGGTGATATATACCTTGGGGTGCCTAGTATATATATTGAACTCCTCGAATTCCTCTCGACAATGGGTGAATTCACCTCCCGCTTTCCCTTCCAGTATTCGACCTCCTTGGTGTACCGGGCTTGACTCTTCGCCTTAAACATGGTCATCGGTGTCGGAGAAGCGCTAAAGGACTAGTAGCCCAAGGTCAACGGCGTGCATGTAAAAAAATCAGTCCGCCTGGTTTTCTATTCCTGAGGTCCTCCTTTCGAGGGGACTGAATCGTGGCCAGGAATTAGTTTTTTGTAAATTCTTGGTTTTTTGATCTTGATTGCCACGGGATTTGAACCCCTGGCTGTGGGCGAGTGACAACGGTGTGTGGGTGAATAGTATTCAGGAAGACAGTAACTGCAGCCGCCACTGATTCATTCTGCCGTCTTGGTGTCGATGTATTCCCTCGGACATCGGAAGGTGCCGAGTCCTGAGTACTATAGTAGAATACCTAGGTAGGGATCATAGTCATCATAATTGTCAGCACCCTCGGCTCCTATACTTATGGGTCACCATATCCTTCTCAGCTTCAGACCTCCATGCCTTCACTTTATGCGTTGCTACTCAGCCTTTTCCGCTTGCGTTTTGGTTCTGCTGCTGCAGCAAGCTTTCAGACCATTCAACGACGATTAATCAGCCCATCCAAGAGCCCCTCGACAAGACGCAGCCTATCTTCGACGTCCCTACTTTCCCGCCTCCAGAACCGCAGCATCTCGATGACCTTTTCGATGGCGTGTCGCCATCTCTCCGGCAGCAACAAGGTCAATCTCTCAATCCGCGCAGTAGCCAGCAGCACAAAGGCGCTTCTTGTACAAGACCTCAACATCAACCATGTCCCATGATGGCGGTAGTAGAATCCTTGTTCGTTCTTCTCGATTCGTTCCACACAAACCATAAGAGCCTTTTGTACGAAAGAGTCCATCACCGCTTTCGATATACTTGCCGTCCGTTCCGGTGTGTCATAGTTGACAGCGTAGACAATAAAAGGCCAATACATCATTTCGTAGCAGTCAAGGAGATGTCCTTTCAGGATGAATTTCAGGGAATGATGCAATTCGCTCTCTTCGCCCACAGATGAGGAGTCTAGGTCAAGTGCTTGGGGAAGAGAACGCAGCCAATCTGCAGCTTGTTGTTCAAATCCAACAGCCGACTCAGCCACGTCGGCCAGTGAGCTCGCAGCTTTCGTGTCGTAGATATAGTTCAGGATCCTATTGCCGAGTCGACGAAGGGCGATCTCGGCAAGGTAGAAGTACCATACGATCTCACGTTGCGACCGGAGTCCATCTGGCGGCGAGGGAAAGAAAGCCGGATATGTCAAGTCCCAGACTGATGTCTCGGAGACATTGAGTTCGAGACGGAGCTCACTGAACATGAGTCAGCTTCCATACCAGTCGCCATGACAGGGTGGTCTCACAGCTCGGACTTGAAGCACGTCCAATATATGCTCTCCCGCAATCGCTGTTCACCTTCTCGGTCGGCTTCTGGTGATTCTTTCTCCGTGTAAAATGCTTGACAGCAGGCAAGAGCCTGTACGAACATCTTCCATGCTTCCATAGGGCGTAACGTTGCCATCAGGTACACGCCAGCCAGGAAAAAGCATTGTGCTTCAAGTACGCCAGTCCTGCAAAGTAATAGACCCATTCGCTTCTGAGCTGCCGAAAAGAAGGATTCTGCCTGCTTGAACTGAGGAGTAGAGCGGAATGTGGAGGCATCTGGCTGGTGGCCTCCATCGAAGGGCCCGACAATCGATCCATGAGCATAGATGAGGAGCTGTAAAACCATCAGAAAGTCCCAGGTACTAGAGGCACCCCATACCAGTAAGCATGACTGGGCATCCCAGCCAATACCGTTGAACCTAGCATCACGCATATACCGATGAATCTTGGCTTCTTCTAAGACGGGATTGTAGATGAAGACATTGTTCATAAAACGTGCGACGAGAGTCTCTTCTGCAAAGTGCTCGTCAAACTCCGTGGCTACCGACAGCTGTAGTGGTACGACCTGGTTTCCAGAATTGAGGAGACCTTTGAGGTCCAGGTTCGGGCTTAGGTCATCAAAGACGGACCACGATAGCACGCCTTCAATGTTCATGTGAAAGGGGGCAGAGTCTTTGGCTCTCTCCAGGCTGGGTGAATTCAGGGACTCAAGCCGAGACAGAGTCCCTCGAGCATCGGAATCGGCACTACTTGGAGCGGCTGTTGCAGCGGTCCGCCTGTCATCATTGCTGCCTCTCAGGAGTTCCTCGATAGTATTCAATTTGTCCAGGATCGCTAGACTGGCCGAATCGAATCTGAAGAGGTCAGTCAAATGTATTCAACACCACTGAGTCCGAAGTTGGGCCGCTGGTATCGCGTACGTAGAATGATCTCCTTCAGAATAGGTGCATTCGGCACCAATCGACAAGCAGGCAGAGCACGAAGGTCTTGCATTATTGCATTTGGTCCTCCTTACTCGGCACTTCTGACACGCTTGAATGGCTCTTTTCCGCGGATAAGACGACTTTATCCGCGTGGCAGGCCGTTTTCGTGACTTGCTGACTCCATTTCGAGCATCGACGGGCCCGAGGAGGGCGTCAGTGGACGCCGGTAAATGCCCGGGTGGAAGGGTTGATGAATCATATGCTGGCTCGTTGGCGTGTAGAACGTTTCGCAGCGAAGTTTCCATGATCGTCATACGTTGATAAGTTGCGTCTCCACTGGCGCCACTGGGGGAAGATCTGGGGAAGAGACGGGGGAAGAGTAGATGAAGTCGGAGAGCGGAATACCGGGTCTGATAAGTGTGTTCGGCGGAGTGCTGGAAGGGTGATCCTTTGCAATGACACCATCATACACTCCTATCGCGGAGAGGTCATTCCAGCCTGATTAGCGATATGCACATGATGGCACCAGACTTCTAGAAGACCTTCCAGCCGAGTTTCGCTGCAGGGGAGGATGGTCCAGTTACTGTAGCCAGGTGGCGGTCAAGATTATGAAGGAGTCGCTTCAGTCGTGCTCGAGTCCCATGCGGCATCTGGGTACCGCCTAACCCTTCTAAGCCAGGAAAGACGGCATCGATATAGGCGGCAATCAGGCCACAACCCCTGTCAGGCGGGGTACAATAGCCACAGTAGCATGTACCTTGCCAGCGCCACTGCAACCCAAGAGATGCCATCTTACCTTCTCAGGCACAGCGGAACGCCGGGCTCAAATTCTTTCTTTTCAGCTGTTGCGCGGAGGTGACATCCCATCTGCAGCTGGAGTCAGTCACCGGCTCTGAGCAAAATGTACTCGTCAAGAGGAGCTCGGGAAAAGATGTTAAAGGTTGCTTGAGCCGGACAAGGTGTGGCCTGGTCCCAACAACGCATTTCCCCCTCGCACATCAAGTCCTACCTGAACGAAGAGAGCAGTTCTGGCAGTTCATGGAAAAGATGTTTGACCTTCACGGGGGAAGCAAGGCTGCGGAGAGCGCAATCGAGACTGTTGCTCCCAAAGTCGAACAAGCACGAGTCGCCGCCGAAGAAGAGCATCAACTCTCGGTCTGGAGTGCTCTCACCACCAACAAGACTGTTGTTTTCTGGTGTATCTTCTTCGCCTTCAGTGCTGTTGGATGGTATGCCTGCCCTTTGCAACAATCGAAACCTGTACCCTAATGGAGTCTTGAAGGGGTTTCGATGCTCAGGTCAATGGTGCCATGATCTCAGTGCCACAATTTCGTCTGACCTTCGGGTATGTTGAGAAAAGTAACCTCCTCCGGGCACACAGTTGATTCCTGCCAGATACATTTACGAGGGTCAACCCGTACTTCCTGCAAGCTGGCAAAGCGGCTTCAACAGTATTTCCAGTGTCGGTCAGTTCTTTGGCGGGTTTGCTTGCTCCTGGATGTCCGATCGCATTGGTCGCAAGAATTCTCTCCTCATAGGCCTGGTATTTGTCACGGGAGGCATCTTCGGCGAGGTCTTCTCAAGCACCCGACCAGCATTCCTTATCGGCAAATTGATTCTAGGTATTGGTCTCGGCTACTACCTGACCATTGGTCCTTTGTACTGTTCCGAGGTAGCCCCCGTGGTCCTCCGTGGTATGATTACAGGGGGTATCAACTTCGCCATCGTCATCGGCCAGCTTCTGTCAAACGCTGTCATCAAAGGCTTCGGTGGTAGAGATGATCGGTGGGCATTCCGTGGTCCTTTTGCGGTACAGTTCCTATTTGTCGGTAGGTGATGACCTTTGACCTGCTCCAGACATCCTCTGACAGATGGAATTAGCGATTCTGCTCATGGGAATTTGGTTCGCTCCGGAATCACCATGGCATTATGTCCGTCGAGGTCGCATTGATGATGCCAGACGTTCGCTTGAGCGCCTCCATGGCAAGGGTACTGACGTGGGACCAAAGCTCGCCATGATTGTTCGGACCGTCGAGGAAGATCTTGAACTTTCCAAGTCGGCGAGATGGATTCAGTGCTTCCAGGGTACCAACATGATCCGCACATTAATCTCCGTTGGTGCATTTGCGTGTCAACACCTCTCCGGTATCGTCTTTGTCCTCGGCTTTTCGACGTACTTTTTCGAACTGGCCGGTATCGAAACTAGCCACGCCTTCGACCTGGGTGTGGGCGTGACCGCTTGCGGTGTCGTTGGTGTCATAATCTCGTGGACGGCAATCAACACTCTAGGCCGCAGGAAGCTCTTCGTCTGGGGCATGATTGGTATGACGGTCGTTCTGGTGCTCATGGGTATCCTCGACGTCGTCCACACTTCAGCCGCTCGCTGGGTTCAAGCATCTTGCACCGTCGTCTACGCCCTCATTTACCAGATCACCATTGGCTGCATTGCGTTTGCACTGCTTGGGGAGGTGTCGACTCCGTCTCTTCGTGCGAAGACAGTCGGTCTGGCTACGGCTTGTCAGGCTGTCTTTGGGACTGTTATGAACATTGTCGTTCCTTACTTGGTCAATCCAGATAAGGCGAACCTCAAGGGCAAGGTTGGCTTCGTTTTTGGCGGTGCCTGTCTTCTGGGTACGATCTGGAGTTACTTCTACATTCCAGAGCTGAAAGGTCGCACTTTCCAGGAGATTGACTATCTCTTCCATCATCGGGTGCCGCCCAGAAAAATGGGCAAGTACAACCTGGACGAGGTTGATGATGCCCTGTAAAGGACAGGGCCATATCTACCCGAACTGAAAAAGAGCAAAATGCATTCGTTATGTCCTACAATACCAGAATTGTGGTCTCAATCCACGGTTTGCGTTGACTGGAACGACAAAAGTGGGAGCAGTTTATATTGGCCGCGAGGGCCATGACATGGCGTTTTACAAACATGTCTTCAACCACTCCCACAGTCCTGAGTGAGTTTTTCTATATCGTGCAATCACATCGACAACTGCCCTTTCCATCTTCTGTATGAATCAGATGCCCTCGAGTTCAGGGACCAACCTGGTGCGAAGCCACTGATCCAAACCAATTCACACATCCTCTTTCTCCTCGAACGCGATGTCCACCTTCTCACCCACGCCATCCTGGCGATGATCATGGACCATTCGCGCCGCGAGCGCGGAATCGCGTATCTCCGGCTTTGCAAAGATGAGGTCGATTTCTTCGAGTGTTTTCCCTGTAGTCTATCATCCGGACCAAGTCAGCATCCACTCTCAACCGAAACAACTTCTCAGGGGCTTAGACGAGCATACCTCCGGACACATGTAATATACGAACGGCACGGCGACCGCACAAGACAAAAGCATCCATATCCAAATCTTCCAGCCAACGTTTTGCAGTGCAATACCACCCGCAAAGACCGTGATGAAGCTGAATAGCCACTCGCCGAAGGCACCGGCCGCACCGCCGAGATGGCGAAGTTTGAGGGGCGCGATCTGCGGGACAGATTAGCACCTGGTACTGTGGGTTGCGTGTTGGAAAAGGTACTTACTTCAGGGCCATAGAGCCAAGGGACACCGATCCAGCCATATCTGTCCATCGTCAGTCGATCGTCCTGGCGGCAGGAGTCGCAAAGCACCAAGCTTGGGCAAGAGACACAGCTTGTTTAAAAGGGCAAGACCTACCCGAAGACGAAGTTGTATACGATGACCACAGCCACAGCGACCCACTGCGTAGCGAGCGTCGGGTTCGGAAGGCCGATCATGATGACGAAAATCAGCATGCATATGGTCAACACCACAGCCGACCAAATCATGACACCGCGGCGGCCAAAACGTTCGATTGTGGACGGAAGGAAATACGTCCCTGCTGCAAAACCGGTGTTCATTACTGCGGCCAGGAGTTGCGAGAGGAAAGGTGAAAGACCGACTTGCGAGAATATCACGGTCGAATAGTAGACGGAGAGATTGATACCTGGCGTGGTTCGTTAATAGGACTCACCTCGAGTCATGAGCGACTGGCCGCACTTACCCATCATCTGTTGTATCGACAAGACCAAGAAGGAGATTCTGATCCTGCGTCCTGCTCTGAGATCACTTTTGTCCCAGAGCAAATCGAGAGGGTTGAATTTGTGCTCATCTTCCTCCTCTAACCGGATTGAAGCCAGGATCTCTTGTCTCATGGCTTGCACACGTGAGTCTTCGCGAGGTCGATCATGCAGTCTCATGACGACCTCATCGCCCTCGTCCTCCCGTCCTCTGGCATACAACCAGCGAGGCGTATCTGGAAGGAACCACATCCCAACGATAGAAACTGATGCAAAGGCTGCCTGAAATGCAATGGGAAACCTCCATGACACCTGGTTCGACATTCTTGTAAAGCCAAAGTCAATCCAATAAGCAAGTGCCACGCCTGAGATCAGCCAGACGCATTGGATAGCGACTTCAGGACCTCGCTCTTTAGAGTCTATACTCATCTCAGCCATATACGTCGGCACCGAGCAGCTCACGAAACCTATTCCGAACCCACACAACACACGAGCAACTATGATTTGTGGGACGGACCAGGCGGACGCTTGCAGAATCGCACCGACGATTACAAAGGCATCACCCATCAGGATGCACCCTCGTCGACCGAGAGGCATACCGAGCATCGTGACCGCGAGAGAGCACACGGCAGCGGCAAGAGTGTATGAGGAGGCAATCATGGGAATGACATAGGTGCCGGTTGGGTGATTCATTGCGTCGAGAAAAGGCTTTGTGGTCTGCACTCCTCCTAGCACGCCGGCGTCATAACCGTACATGCAGAATGACTGTAAGTAGAACTGTTAGTGACTGAGAATCAAATGATAAGGAGTTGAAGATGCTCACCAGCGAGCAGCATATACTCATCACCCGGTAAAGGGCTCGACCCTTTAGTGCTTTGATGGACATTCTGATATGACACAGAAGCGATACACTTTCGAGAGGAGTAGACGGCTTCAAACGAGGTGATTGTAGACGCAATACTTCTCAGCCTGGGGAAGGAGCATATGAAGTACCTCGAAACACCGGAGACCCCAGAATTGGAGAGTAGCCGGCTAAGCATAGGGAGGCCGTGGGAGGCATATGGCAAGTCCTATTGGACTGTTTGCTGCTTAGTCTGGTCCGCCCCCGCATGTTGCCGGATTTTGAATCCCGGGGAACTCGTTTCACCAGCCTGCAGAGACGGGATCGGCTCACTCATTGTTGAGGACATGTGCCGTTGGCCTGCCGGGCCGCTCTCAGTACATGCATAACTCTGCTGCAAGGTGAGCCTTTTTCCATCGTTGCGTGCCCGGAGTACATACCATCCACGGGCGTTCGAGGGAGCCTTGGACACTACGGTAATACCATGGCACAACGCAGTACTTTTTTAACGGACAAAGTCCTCCAGGGGCTTTGCTGCAGGGGAACGGCAGCAATGGCTCCGTCCGCATTCGCATCGAGACGAGCAATCAGATCGTTCACAGTGACTTCCAGTCCAAAGACTGAGCCTCCATCGGTCAGAGTTGCAGCTGGCACCGAGCGATATAAATCGCATTCAATACAGGACCTGCTGTCTCTGAGAGGTCGAGTGACTGTTGTTACCGGTAGGCGTCTCAAGTTTTGTGATGCCTCAATTGCTGAGTATTCCAGGTGGCGCACGGGGTATAGGACTCGCTCTAGCCCATGGCGCCGCTGAACTCGGCAGTGACGTCGCAGTGCTCGACATTCTGGACAAGCCGAATGAAGCCTTCCAAGACCTGGAGAAGGAGCTCGGTGTCCGTGCCAAATATTATAGGTTGTTCGACATGGTCCCCGACAATCGAGCAACTGGCTGACTTGGAATGGTTTTCAGAACGAGCGTAACAGACGCGGACAGCCTGTCTAAGACCTTCGAAGCGGCTGCGACCGACTTTGGTCGAATTGACAACTGGTACGTTCATGATAATTATTACCAAGACTGCACATTGACAGCCTTTCCAGTGTGACTGCAGCCGGAATCGTGTGCGACAGGCCTTTTCTGGAGACGCCTCGCGATGAAGGAATGAGGGTGCTGGAGGTCAACGTATGTTGATAACCCAGTTATACCAAATGAAATTCAACGCTCTGACGTTTTCAAGGTGATGGGCACGTATTTGAGTGCCCAGCTAGCCGTGAAGCAAATGCAAAAGCAAAGGTCTGGTGGCAGCATCGTCATGATCGCCTCCATCGCTGCTCGAGCTGCCATTCCCTCACAGCGCCTTTCGGTTTATGGCGCTTCCAAAGGAGCAATAAGGGCCCTGTGTCGGCAGCTCGCAGTCGAGCTGGGTCCGCTAGGCATTCGAGTGAACTCAATATCTCCGGGATATATTGAAACCGAGATGACGAGGGGCCTGGCAGCCACAGACCCGGAACTTCTCTCGGTGTTTGGCTCGGCAGCGCCATTGCAGCGGATTGGGGATAGAGCTGATCTCAAAACCATAGCTGCGTATCTTCTAAGTGATGCAGCGGCATATACTACGGGAAGTGATGTCCTCGTGACAGGAGGTCTGCATGCCGGGCGACTGTAGTACTTCAAGGATATCCACCAAGGAATTCGTGCTATCTCCGGAGATGGAAAGCTTGGTCAAGGCTCATTGTTCGGATCTTGAGGTGGGAGATGTGGCAGCTCCAATGAGTTGAAGCCCGTCCAAAACAGTGTGTCGAGGGAGAACTCATCGTAAGAGGTGTCGAAGAAATTAAGTGGCTCGGCTGACCCGAGAAAGGTAGCGTCGAGGCTGGAAGGCTGGATATTTCCAACGGGTCTGAACAACTCACTTTCAGGCTCGGTTGGACGCCGTTTCCGTTGAGAGCCAGCATCAAAGTCCTGTCCATCATTCCATGGGTTCGGCCGCTTCAATTTGGCCCGGGACCTTCTCAGGAGATCGCTTTTGATGCTCATGATCACTTCCAATGCTCTTGACGCATTCTTGAAAGATAGGCTCATTTCACTGAGTGCTTGACAGCAGATTTCGAGGTTGTTCCAAGCATTGTCACTTCTTCTTTGGTCCAGCGCTCCACACGCCGTGAACACATGGATCAAGGTGGCAGTGAAGAGAAGATGGACGGCTTGTACGTTGATTCTTCGAAGGCCATATAGTCGTCGATAGATGTCGACCAGTTTCGCGAAGTAGTTTGCTGAATCTGTGCAAGTATTCCGGCGCCTGGCAATGTCCAATTGCGTGAGCTCAGGCATCGTCTTTGCCGAAGCGAAGAACGGACGGTTCGTAATAATGACTACACAATGGTATTGCATACTAGGAGCCATGAGGATAAATGTCTGAAATGGGTGGTCGTGGACTTACTGGAGCTGGAGTACATGTGGAAGATAGTATGTTGCAGTGTCTGTGTAATCGACAGCGAGGCTCGGAGGCAGACTGTCTCGCCAGTCTGCCAATTTGTGGCTCATCTGACTTGCAAAGTCACACAACTGTCTCAGACTTTTCAGATCACTGATACCATCAGGATATCTGAACAATGTCAGTGACTGAGATTAAGAACCATGCTTTCATATGCTTACAGCGTTTCCCGGATGGCAGTCATATGCGCGCACAGCTTGACATTCCAGACGCACAGGTCATCAATGGAGTCGAGAACGACTGGTGAGTCTGTGCTTTTGTTGTCATCAACGTATGGACACCAATATCTTGGAACCTTTGCTCTGAAGACTTCGGGGAGCGAGATTCGCACAGTAATATGTTTGTCGTCAAGTCCGACAGGCCTGCCGACGTACAGGCTCCACATTCTGAAAATAAGTCATTAGCATTGCGCAGTTATGTTTCAGATGTATGATGAACCTTACCTGTCATGCACGAAGACACCGGCCCACACTACCTTTCGAATCATCTCCTCTTCGGCCGAGATGATGCCTGCTTGTACGTACGGCTCAGGGTCCAGGTGAAGTCCTAGGTCAACAGCAAGCCTTACAGCCATTCCTGAATGGGATCATCAGCGTAGTGATGTCGATAAGAGTCGAGTAGCGTACCACTATCGAGCCATCCACGTGCGTCCCTTGTGAGCGCGGCTTCTACAGCACTGAGTACGACGAGAGACTGCACTGTTGATAGAGTAGGTGCGTCCATTTCGAGGTCCAAGAGCAGTTTTGACCTCGTGGCAAAGAAGTCTGGGAGCGGCTCTGGCAGGTGGGCGCATCTCCTTGAGGTCATTGTGGCTCCGACAGCACACCTGTAGGATGAATTAAAAGGGGAGTCATGAATGTGCCGTAAAGGGTCGGGGCTCACATCGCATTTGCCAATACTTCCGAGTAGAAGGAGGAGAGATAGTTGGTCGATAAGCACTTCCTGCGCTCTCTCCAGAAGGTAAACTCATCGACGACATGGATACTCGGATCCTCCCAGCAGAAGTAGAGTTTCAGAAGGTGTTCTTCAAGGTCTTGTTCAACCAGATGGCCGACGCCTGCTCCTCGAAGAAGATCGGCGCCGTTTTCTGAAGGAGAACGAAAATTCGCCCGAGACAAGGACAAAGGGCCATTGTGCAAGATATGCAGGTTCGACGTCGCGCCATAAAAACGCAATTGTCCATCTTCCGCAATCTGCAGGGAACCGATCCTCCCTGACAGTTGATCCACTAGTAGATCTGACGAAGCATTTGAGTTGTCTGCTTCCGGAACCGGCTGGTCCGGAGACGATCCAGGATAACAGTAGTCGCCATCCCAAGACGAGTCTCTTGCAAGAGCAGTCAGAGACCGGTCATCGTTACTCTTTTGATCTGGCACGTATCAGAAAAAGTCCCAATGTAGAATTGGGATACGTACCTAGCCACTCGTTGCTCGACGTCTGATCTGTCGAGTTCAACGCAAGCTGAGCTTGGCTTTCTGGCAACACATAAGCAGGATGCTGGCTGGTGGCTCTCTTCTGCACGTGTAGTGGAGGAGCCGGTGGGAGAGGAAACCCATTTGCAGTAAGCAGAGATTCCAACTCCTGACAGTAGGCCGTCAAGGCTTGCAACCTGTCCTTGGGAGCAATTTTCCGCTTATCAAAACCATACTGGAACACGCATTCCTGACTATATAGCACGCAATTGGAACATTTCGGCTTCACGTTGTCACACTTGATCTTCCGCCTGCGGCATCCCAGGCAGGCAGTGCTCGCGTGCTTGCCTTTGCTTTTGGTTTGCTCGGACTGGCCGGTAGGAATGGAAGTCATCAGACCGTCCTGGCTTCACTGACCCATCGCTTTGCAAAATCGAGGGTATCTGCCGGGCCATGAGAAGGAGAAAGAGTTCACGAGTTGAGTATGTGAGGCGGGGAAGTTTCCGGCTGACTTAAGCAAAGGCTAGTGACCGAGGTGACTCTCAGGTAGACAAACTAGGGCGTGCTGCTGGGCTCACTAGGCTACTAGGAGCTCTTATAGTATTGTGAATGGCAACTTAGCCGACTGTAGCAGCCTTTAGTGGCCTCGGCTACTACGAGTAGGAGTACTGCAGTATTCGAAGGAGCACGAGATCATGCTTGCTTTTCCAAGGACAATGTTGACACATTTCCTCCTTTCTTTAGCGACATCCTGACATTCCCCATGCATGCTTTTCCCTCTCCCAACAAATATCTGCCAAACGCTCTTTCAGATGATGGTGAATGACCGTCAGCATAGCACTCCACCAACTGAGAGCAATATGGTCCCTGGAAGACTTGGTGTACACATGAAGTCTCACTCAGTCGCGAGACCGCAAGCGTGGAAAGAACTGCAGTTACCTTGTTACTTCCGAGCAATACCCTGCCGTATCATCTGATCGGTCCTCAGATAGAGATCGGCACAAAGGTGCTGTAACCGGGTAAGGTCTTGATCTCTCCTGAAATCAATCATTTGGTACAACATGTGTAGCACAGGCCTGGCAACATCGAGTTCAGCCTTTGCATTGGCGCCTTTGGCATTGTGCATCACGTGCGTCAGCATAACCACTACGCCTGAAACAAGAGCTTCGAGACTCAGCCTGCAGCCTTGTGTTAGCAACCACGACTGGATCTACCTAATCCCCCGAGGAGACTTACCAATTGAAGGGAACATCGCTGCCCGGTAGTAATCTCAGAAACTCCATAAACCGCAGAGCGTCACGATGAGGCAGTGCAGCATCTTCCATTGCCGTGGCTAGGGTTAGCGCAGCGGGCGAGAAGGGACTGCGGCCCAACTTGTAACCATGGCTGACGTGGAGATGGACAGCATAAATAGTGGCGAAATACACCGATTCGAGGATGACGACGTGGACAAGGTCAGAACGGTGTAGCATCTCGTGATAGTCCTTGACCTCGAACATAAATAGGAAGTGCGATCTCCATTTGTGCAATCTCATCGCAATCTCGTGCAATGGGCGATCATCATGACTCGCAGCTCGCGGAGCCAAAACATATTCCATTAGTTGAGCTTGGAGTAAAGCGAGCTTAGCGCGAAGTCGGAAAATGTTGACCTTGAGGTCACCTTCCGTGGCCTGGATGCTTCCCGCTCCATCAAGCGGATCCTCGGCCGGCAGGTCTACATTGGTGAGCTTGGGACTCAAACTCGGTAGTCTCCACCCTCGCAGACTCATATCTGCGTCCATGAAGTATGCAATCCAGAACACACGTTCTCGCTGCAACTGATCTGTCGGAGTATTTTCCGGGTCAGGGTCAGGGTCATTGATGTGGAGATCCTGGAGCACCCTCAAGGCCATCGACACCAGCGTGGCAGCGGGTTCAGGTCGAGAGGACGTCGACAAGACAATTGCAATCCCTAAGTAGCATTGCGCAAGAAGTAGCGATGGCTCCATCAGCACAAGTCCCGGCAACTCTGCGAGTGACTCTTCCAAGTATGTCTGAACATTCTCGGTATCTTGTGCAACTCCCAGAGGACTCATAGCTCGTAGTCGATGAGCTATAGCTAAGACAACTTTGAGGGTGACCCAAGATATGACTTGTCCGTCCGCTCTACCATTGTAGCAGTCCAAGAAAAGTGCGCTTATGGTCGCAGCATCGAATAGGGGTATAGCTGCGTTGAAATCGACCAGAAATTCTTGCAAGAGGAACAGGCCGCCCTGAGCAGGTGGGAGAGAGCACTTCCTGACACCATTGATCCTCGTCTGTGGCCGCAGGTCTATGTTGAAGGCTCCGAGGTTGCCTGCAGCCGCAGATTCCGAAGACCCCGTGATATGCCAGGACTGGGAGATCTCGGAAGTCAGCTGAGAGTATATCGTCTCTGAAGGTTGAGAGACATCTGATGACGACCCAGGGTCTAACTGGTGATGCTCAAGGCTGCGAACTAGCGTTGGCACTTGCGTTAAGGGACGTGCCATTCCATTCGTAGGAGGGGAGGCTGTTGTCCAGGAAGTTGGTAGTGCAGGTTGTAGCGAGGAAGCCATGGCGACAGGAGATGGCTCCTGAGGCTTTGACGTTGAGGTCTTCGCGGCTAGAGAGACTCTGATTAGATCTTCAAGACTGCGGAGCCGGTCTTCAAGGTTCTCCATGTGCTTTCTATCCGATCTTTAGCACGTAGCTCCACAGTAGGGAATCACAGGTGCAGCTCACTTCTTCCGCTTCTCTCGTGGCTTTGTGACATGCGTGATCTGACAAACTGCATCGGTCTTTTCACAGGAAGAGCACCTTCTGACCCCACCCTTCAAATCGCATTTTCTCTTCTTGAGACGGCATAGATCGCAAGCCTGCTTGAGAATGAGGAGGCGCTTCCAAGGGACGCGGGATGTTTGAAAGCTCACCTGGACAGTGTTGCCATGCTTGGGAGGTTGGGTGAAGGCCCCGCTCATTGCAATTACGCAGACCGTGGCGTACCTGAGTGTAGGACAGGAACTCTTGTCTGGGCGTGTTTCAGTCGCTGCGCCGGCCTCGTGCGGGTCAGCAAAGGGTGTATGTGAAGGAGGTCGCTGTAGAAATAGCCGCCTTTGTACAGAAAAGCGGATTGCAGATTTACCCCGACGGCGGTCCCAAGTCAAATACCGTCCATTCCTGGGCGATTCAAGCGAAGATTATGAGAGACTCTTAGGAGAAGACTTGTAACCATCAATGCCTGAGGTTTAGGACCAAAATTGCTGGATGACAAATCAAGGACATGGGTCGATAGTCGTGGTGGAGCCCTTCCTGATTGAGTCTCCGTAGGGGTATAGCCTTGCTAGTATAGGACTGTTTAAAATAATTCTTGAACGCGGATCACAAGGATCAGCACTCAACTCTAAGACTTGTCTGTGCAAGTCCGGAAAAGGAATTCCCATGAGTCCTTTGCTAGTCTTCATACAATCATATCCCAAGGTAGCCCAAGCCTGGAAGGAAGATGATGAGATCATAACAGGAGCACTGAGAAGCTCGGTGGTTGAGTGCAAACTTCATGTTAATGATGGGCTGACATCAATGCCTATTCATTATGGTATCCCGCATGACGAAATCTCAAAACTCCATTGCATCGCTTCCCGTAACGCCATCATCATCTCTTTCCCGTTTCACACGAATCATTTCGCTCTTCAGCAACGCCTTGACATGCGAATCGAATAGTTCAACATAGGGTTTGAGGCTGGTCTTTTCCCAGTCGCTCAACTTCCTCATCGTCACTCCATCTTCGACAAAGCCGTTGGCTTGCTTTTCGCCGTCCTCACCGCTACCAAACTGATCCACTTCTCGGAGAAGTTCTGCGACCTTCGGTACTGAAAGAGGGTCGAAAGCCTCCGCACGCTGCATATCACCGGCAGCTGTAATTGGCACACACACTCGTCCTGTACCAGGGTGTACAACGAAAGGACTCTTCAACAAGTGGATTCTCTTTTTCCCAACTTCGACGTCGAGTCTCGGATAGGTATACTCAAGAAGGATGTCTTGTTTCGCTTCTAGCAGTGCTTTGGTGTTCAAGGTTTTACTGACTCCGGTCTCGGCCAATGCGTCAATGTCGGCCCATTTGCGGCTACTTGGTCGATCGGGGCTGCTCGCCCATTTCTTCGCGAGTGCTTCATTAAGTGCCTTGTCTGGCAACAGCTGTAGCAGCCTGTCTTGTCCAGCTTGTGACATGAAAGGTTCCTGATCGGCCAGAACCTGTTGGAAGTATGGCCTGAGGATTTCCAGACTTCGGACAATGTGAGGATGCAGTGGTCGCTTGAGATTGACCCTCTTACCACCCTGCACGCCTCCCTTTAGTACCTCAAAATAGCCGGTGATTGCCTTTCGCTTGTCATCATCAAGCTCTCTGGCTTCCTTATCACTGATCCAAGCGTGGACACCACGACGACCCGAGTAGATCCATATAATATGTTCGAAGCCGAAGTCTTCCCTCAGCGCAATATCAACCACTTTGATCGTCATTGTAGCGAATGACCAACATTTTGAACAGATATTGGCCTTCTCACAGCACGTTCGGATGTCATCATAGTCCGTCAAGTCGATATCAAACACTATCTCTTTACTCAATGGCCGGAACACGGAACTTTTCTTCAAGGTCTTCCTGTCTCTCGGGTTTGTGGTGTACACTGGACCGATTTCGAAACGTGAAGGGTTGTGTCGCAGGATGTCTTTGCGTAGCGTGTCTGCGGTGGGATAGGATTGGTATCGAAGGTAAGCGTCATTGGGCAGCGTCAGCGCGAACTCCCGGTTGGCGAAGTCCGGACCAGGCTTTGGGGAGTGATTGAGCCATTGAAAGAGGGATCGAAAGGGAAACAGCCGCGAATAGAACTGTAGCATCAAGTTGGGATCTGAGTAGGCTTCCTGATGAGCAGCAGGAGTGGCCTCTGCCGACGAGCTGGGCGCAGCTTGTGGAGGAGAGGACGGTAAGTTGGCTCCGTCAGAGGCTAGAATCTCGTCCTCAAGGTCTCCATCGTCGTCGTCGAATAAATCTTCAAGGGCGACACCAGGCTGGTTTGAGCTGTTAGGCCCCGAGGGCGACTCTACTGGGGTGTCAGGCAAAGAGACGTCGTCGTCTCGTGCAGGCGAAGTAGGCTCGCGAGGCGACGAAGACTCAGGCATTTTGATGCCCATAATGGAACGCAATCTGGAACAGATGCGACTCAGCTAAAGCAGGCACACTTTGAAGGGTAGTTGACTTGGGGGTTCAAGAACTGACGGCAGTGGATGGAATAATATCCAGAACCTCGCGACGCGTCTTGGACGCGATCAATCTAAAATGCTTACATAAGGGGGCTGATAGAGCATCACAGGCCCTAGCCCTATGCCCTACACACCATCATAGCCCTCCTACTCCGTACGTTCACTTACATAACCTAAGAGAACGCCTTTAATAAGACACGCCCTCGCCAGATCTGAGCCCCTCTGACAAGCACGTCCTGCTTCGAGGCACTTTATGTATAGGAGCATTTGACTTCGGATGGTCTGAAAAGGTTTTTAAGATTGCAATCATGACTCGAGTACCATCGCGAGGCATATCCATATCTAGATGATCCCAAACCTGACCCATCGCTCATAAAAGTTGCCTCGTGGCATATGAATCTCAAGAAAGCAAATAATATACATCAAGGTAAATTTTCTTTCACCTCGTTGGAGTCTGAAAATGGGCCCGAGTCATGAGTAACCAGCTCTGGCCGTGCAGTCGGGCTGGTCACGCCCATAGGATGCGGATCTCTAGCTCGATTGATAGCATCCGCAATCATTGCGTTGATGGGGTTGTTGCTGTGCCGCTGCGTGGGACCGCTAGGAGCGCCTTTGAGAGCATCGGGAGGCAGGATTGCGCTTACAGAAGAAGACCTTGCCGAATGATTGCTGGCAAAAGCAGGGCGCGGAATTGTGATAGGCGAAATCGGGTCATCCTCAGAGGTGGTGCTAGGAGTGGTGGCAGTCGACTTCGAGAAGACGACTTCTTTTTCGTCGCTGTAAATGGGTATGCTCTGTTCGGACGTAGGTGTGCTGCTTTTTCGGGCAGCTTCCTTTGCAAGATTGGCAACAGTGGGGACTCTCGTGCCTGAGTTGGTCTTTTTGACCTCTATAGGTCTTGCCGTAACATTCCGGGCAACGATGGAACTTGCAGAGCTGCCCATGCTTTGTCCTTGCGGGATCTTGGGGGTTCTCATGCTGGGCGTGGAAGACGTTCCTGGTGTGTTAGATCCCGATTTGACACTGACAACGTTGGCTTGAGCTCGGAAAGCCTGCTGTGCCGGTATAGGGGGCACAATGGCGTCACTTCGATAGATGGTGGTCGCCACACTTTGACGGGCTAGACTGGGTGCGACACTGAAACGGGTTGCTATCGAATCAGTATCGGACCACGTCGAATCTCTGAGGTCTCCTGGCATGAAAAAGTGCTGCTCAAGCTCAGGTGTAGATGCTGCTGAGTTGCCCATGCCTCCCGGAAGCGCGGGCACAGGAGGAACTAGAAGTGCCGGAGACTCGGGTGGTGATCGGACCGTGACTCCGGGGATATATGCAATTTGAATGACATTCGAGGCTCGCGTGAGAACGGTTGAAGCGATCGAGTGTGCGGATCTCGTCGATTGACGATCGGCTCGGTGCAGGGTAGATTGATCTCTTTTCTCGGGCGGATCCCAGATCTCAACGTGTCGCTTTTTCCGGACTCGGAATCGATAAAAGCAGTATGCAAGCACACTGAGAAGGAGAATGCCTCCTATCACTCCGCCAACTATAGCACCAATAGGTGTTGATTTCTTTGGTGCTGACTGACCGGGTATTGTACTGAGCTTGACGCAAGTTGTCGATGCGCATGAATTGCACGATTGAGCTGATAGCGAACAAGTTTCATCTGAGGCGCAGGGAGGACAGCTGGGGGGATCTGGAGGACACTGCACACAACGTCGGAAGAGGGGATGGACGTGTGATCTTGATGCTGGCAGAATTATTAGCACAAGTCCCATTGCGCAGGCAGAGTTGCTTACAATCCATCGACGCCATGGCGGCGTGCGGCAGTGCAAAGGACCCCGGGTGACTCCCGTCAAAGCCAATCGCACAAAGATGATGATGATTCAGAAAGCCAGTCTCTCTGGTCTCTTCAACTCCTTTCTTCTGGAGGAAGACTCAATCGCAGGTGAGACTGTTCTTTAGAGCGAATCTCCCCTGGAGTTTGCTCAAAATGCTCTCAGTTGAACGTGGTCCCCAAAAGCTGCCCGATGTGTCCCCAGTGATGACTGAACTCGGGTTGAAGCGAATGAAGAGTTTTGCAAACGAATCGGAAGAAGGGAGGTGAAGGCGGCCAAATACAGGGTAAAGAATGGAATGTGGTCGGTCTCTCCAGCGACTCAGCGAGCGTTCCACCTGGGACAAACACCTCAAAAGTTCAAAAGGAACGACGGGAAAGACTGAATCGAAGTAGGTAGGTTGAAGAATTGAAGTCGACTTGGGATGGAGGGGGAAGGAGCTGGTCGATCAAAAGGTCGGTAGAAGGTGAGCAGATCTTTCGTTCTCGACCAAGGACGGTGACGGGGGATGGGATAAAGAGGCGGACTTGGATTCCAGGTGGGAGCGGGCGGGAGAAGGCACGAAGGGATGGAAAACAGAGAGGTGAGTGGGCAGAAGAGGGAGATGAAGGGGTGGTGGAGTTGGGCTGCTGTTGGTTGACAGCCGACAACGCGCGGCAGGGCAAAGGAGACCCAAGCCCAGCAAGGAAAAGTGTCGGCCCTCGTCCAAACACTCCCTGGCATGTCTGGATCTCAGGGCCCGCGATCCTCTTCTTCCAATCGCAACAATCATGCTCTGGCATCGCTCTTTGTTCGCCATCACCTGTCATGAGCCTAGCATCAAGCGAAATTCATTTACGAAGACCTTTTGCAGTAGCGCTTCCTGATGGATTCACTCGCTGATGAGATAAACAATTTGTTCTGCTCCCAGCCAGCACCAAGATCAGAGAGGTCAAATTGTTCTATTGTGTATACGGAGTACACAACGTCGCATGATTGACGGATTGACACATGATTACCTGCCGTGCCTACCTCGCACGACGCTGCCCGATTCTTTGTTCTTTAAGTGCCGGTTTGGGCTGGTCGCTGCCATTAGATCCACGAGGGAATTGCTAGTCGCGATATCCGATGATCCATCGATTTGGGTGAGTTATAGCATCGCGAGACTTCTGACTGCTCAAGTCGAGGCAGCAGGCAAGCGGACTTGGACGCGGAGAACTTGGTGCGAGTGAAGATTCAATCACTAAGCATATATATATCAGTACCTCCGTACTCTGCTTGCATAATCCATCAGGCCTCCTGTGTTGGGGCGTGCCAGAGGAATCACTACTATACGACCTCTAAAATCCTATCTATATCCGTCAACGGCGGAGCGGGTGATGCCTACAACAATCTTCTGATCAAGTGATATGTGCAAGAGTACTCTGCAGGTCAGGTCTGCTTTCAAAAGCAGGACATCTTGTTTCTAGCGTTCAAGTATCGCCTGCCAGTTTTCGAACCCTTTGGATCCCACTGGGTGCCCGGCAGGGATGGGCCGTCAGGGCAATTATTGATCGCCGAATCAGCTTTGTGGCGCGGCTGTTTGCAGAACAGAACCAAGGACCTGCACCGCCAGCTCAGTACTAAAAATGGATCTGACTGTGTCCGTAAACTGTGGCGCCGGGACAGTCTGCCAAAGCCATGGCCTTTTTGCTGCTGTTACGAGTACAACTGAAGGATCACTAATTGAATCCTCAGTAGAACCTCTCTCACTACTTTCTTAGGATTACCTCTTCCTTCTGCTCACTCAGAATCTCTCTCTTGGTCGGATCTTCGACCATGAAGCAAAGTGCGGGGAGGCTTGACGCCAAAAGCGATCCAGGGGTCTGCGGTGCCCTGAAACGCCCCATCGGTGCCAGGAAGCTTTGCCTTGCACCAGCAGCCGAGACGCCACTCAGTGACCAGTGGAGCCCATTTCGGCCACCAGAACTATTCCAGTCTGTGCAAGTGTTTCATCCCTAGGACGACGATGAAACTCGCGGACAGTCCGTTACAAAGTACAGATCTTAACGATCTTGATGCTATAAGGAAGATGCCAATCTGGAGCAGACGTCCTTCGTACGCGCAGTCACCGCGGTCCTCGGTCCCCGAGCGAGGACAATGAAATTCGTGGGCATGCAGTACATAGTCGAAAAAAAGTCCGCAAACGGTTACTACTCGTACTTAGTTGCGGGGGCGCCTCGTTGCTGCGCAAGGTTCCAGAGCCAGTGCAGAGCCAATGCGTGGGCCAATTGAGTGCACAGCCTTCTGCTTTCCTTTAGCGAGTGAACCACCTAAAGGCCGATGATTGGCATGGCTGCATTTCTGTCGTCAGCCTTTGTAAACTTGCAGATGCATATCAGCTCGGCGGTCTGCTTCAGGGGAGAGACTGGGAGAATTCTTGTACAAAGGCCTGACCTGCACTGCGAGCACAACCAGTGGCAAGAATTCAAAGAAAGTGAAACACTTCTGTCCCTCTTTTTCCTTGTCTGAACGCTCTCGTCTTCAGATCTGCGTGCATTCCCTTTCTCAGCTTTGATATAGCATATTCTTTGTTCTTTGGAATCCTTCACTTCACCCCTCCGCATTCGTCTTATCACTGTATACCCAATTCTTCACCTGGCCTACATCTCAAGAGCAATCACCTCGTCATATCAGCCCTGGCGGCTGTCATCCTAGGACGTCCTCGCTTCCTTCAGGCCTACTGGATACAGTGACTTTGATAAAAGACAACCTCGTCACTGCGTTCGATCTTCCCTCGGTGGTAAGACTGTGTAGCAGCAGTTACACTCGGCAAACATGGCCCAGTACCCTGGTCACCAACTCAACGATCTTCCTCATGGAAACGTAAGTTGGACTACGATGGCGCGAATGATCTCGAAGTTGCGCTGACATATTCTACAGGCCTATAGACCACCACCTAGTCGACACTCAGACGACGAAGCAGAGCATTCGTTACTGCATCAGCCCTCCGCATACCAAGTTCCGTACGACGACCCTCACTCCCGGCCATTAACACCAGGACAAGAGTCGGTGTATACTCTGAACGAGTCGTATGTGGGAGGAGACCCTGCAAAAGCCCCAGTCACAGGAACAAACTACAACCAACAACCATATGGCCAGCAGGGCGGTTATGGCTACAGTTCGCAAACTGGCTTCCCTGCTCCTGGACCTCCACACCCGAGCGATCCAACCAGCACTACCGATGCGTGGACAGAGCGGCAGGCGCCTGGCTATGGTACGATCAAGCGATATGCTACAAGAAAAGTCAAGCTGGTTCAAGGAAGTGTTCTGAGCATCGATTACCCTGTGCCGAGTGCAATCCAAAACGCTATCCAATCCAAATACCGCAGTGACCTCGAAGGTGGTAACGAGGAGTTCACGCATATGCGATACACAGCAGCCACCTGTGATCCCGACGATTTCACGTTGAAGAATGGCTACAATCTGCGGCCAGCTATGTACAACCGACATACCGAGTTGCTGATTGCCATCACCTACTACAACGAGGACAAAGTCCTGACTGCTCGGACTCTCCACGGTGTTATGCAGAATATTCGTGACATTGTCAACCTCAAAAAGTCCGAGTTCTGGAATAAAGGAGGTCCAGCATGGCAGAAGATCGTGGTCTGTTTGGTCTTCGACGGCATTGACCCTTGCGACAAGAACACATTGGACGTCTTAGCGACCATTGGTATCTATCAAGATGGCGTCATGAAGAAAGATGTCGATGGCCAGGAGACTGTCGTTCATATCTTCGAATACACTACCCAGCTTTCAGTCACACCCAGCCAGCAACTCATTCGACCCAACGACAACGATGCAACCTCGCTTCCTCCTGTCCAGATGATATTCTGCTTGAAGCAAAAGAACAGCAAGAAGATCAACTCTCACAGATGGCTCTTCAATGGATTCGGCCGCATATTGAATCCTGAAGTGTGTATCCTGCTTGATGCAGGTACAAAGCCCGGTCCAAAGTCTCTGGTGGCCCTGTGGGAGGCCTTCTACAATGACAAAGACCTCGGTGGTGCTTGTGGTGAAATCCATGCCATGTTGGGTCGCGGAGGTGTCTTTGGCAGGAAACTGTTGAATCCCATTGTGGCCGCTCAAAATTTCGAGTACAAGATCAGCAACATTCTCGACAAACCCTTGGAGAGCTCTTTCGGATATGTCAGTGTCTTGCCTGGTGCCTTCTCTGCATACCGTTTCCGGGCGATTATGGGTCGCCCTCTTGAACAATATTTCCATGGTGATCATACCTTGTCCAAGCGCCTGGGCAAGAAAGGCATCGAAGGCATGAACATTTTCAAAAAGAACATGTTCTTGGCCGAAGACCGTATCTTGTGTTTTGAGTTGGTCGCAAAGGCCGGGTCCAAATGGCACCTGTCTTACGTCAAAGCATCCCGAGCTGAGACGGATGTACCTGAAGGCGCTCCAGAATTCATCGGTCAGCGTCGACGTTGGCTTAACGGTTCATTTGCCGCCTCCATCTACTCCCTCATGCATTTCTCACGCATGTACAAATCCGGTCACAACATCATTCGAATGTTCTTCTTTCACGTCCAGATGCTTTACAACATTGTCTCGGTCACGCTTTCTTGGTTTTCTCTCTCGGCCTTCTGGCTCACGACCAAGATTCTTATGGATCTCGTCGGCCAGCCTAGCAGCCAGAATGATAATACGGCCTTCCCTTTCGGCGACACCGCGACTCCTATTATCAACACAATACTGCAGTATCTGTATCTGGCTTTCCTCCTGTTGCAATTCATTCTGGCCTTGGGCAATCGACCCAAAGGTTCAAAGGTTGCATACATCATGTCATTCGCCCTTTTCGCGCTCATCCAGCTTTATGTCATAGTTTTATCGATGTACCTGGTTGTTCGGGCTTTTACAACCAAAGATGGCACCGACATTGTTACGAACGAGGGCGCAAATGAATTTGTCAAGTCGTTCTTCGCGTCGACTGGACCTGGAATCGTTATCATAGCCCTGGCAGCGACTTTCGGGTTGTATTTCGTGGCTTCCTTTCTTTACTTGGATCCGTGGCATATGTTTACCTCCTTTGGCCAGTATCTTCTCCTCATGCCATCCTTCATCAACATTCTCATGATCTATGCTTTTAGCAATTGGCATGATGTCTCCTGGGGTACGAAGGGTTCGGACAAGGCAGATGTCTTGCCTTCGGCTCAGTCAAAGAAAGATGAGAAAGGCAAGATGGCGGTCATCGAAGAAGTCGACAAGCCACAAGCCGATATTGACAGTCAATTCGAAGCGACCGTCAGACGCGCTCTGGCTCCTTTCAAGGCTCCCGAGGAGAAAGAGGAGAAAACTCTGGAAGACTCTTACAAGAACTTCCGGACTCGACTTGTCGCAACTTGGATCTTCTCCAATGCTCTGCTGGCTGTTGCAATCACCAGTGACAGCATTGACAAGTTCGGATTTACTGTGGGTTCACACCCCCTCAGGGCTTTCAATACGATGCTGACCATATTCACAGTCTCAAGCTACCTCTAGAAGTAACCACTTTTTCCAAGCCTTGCTTTGGACAACGGCGGCTTTGTCATTGGTTCGATTCATCGGATGTTGTTGGTTCTTGGGCAAGACTGGATTGTTGTGCTGTTTCAACCGAAGATAGGCATTCATCGTCTTGCTGCATAGCGTGGGGTTGGGGGCTTTGAGTCAGATTAATATGTGGTTTCCGGCATTTTCACAAACATGGATCAAAACAAATGTGTAGCATATGTCGGTGTTGGCAACCCGAAGCTGCCAGGATCACAATTCATGGACCAATGTATATTGGTCAGGTCATACACTAGAGATGTCGAGGACGATGTGGACGACGAGATGATTAATAAGGCAAAAGTGTGTGACGGTGACATTTCTTGACCTACGGTGCCGGGTAGGTATCGGAGAAAAGCAGTAGCCTCAGAGCGCCTCATCTACGCCGAACTGCGTCATGTGAGTCCATTTCAGTGATCGTTCACTTCGATCCGTTGTTCGTTGTTCGCGTTGATCATTCTGTGTTCTACCGGCCTTTCGCATGCATTGCTCGTGCTCCTTAGCCATCTGACGAATACACAAACCGAGACACCGTTCAATCCTGCCTCATTAATATCGCGCCCTCACCCACCAAGTTGCGCTGTTTCCGCCTGCTGCTATCGTTTGCCAACAACACGAATATACCCGATCCTAGATTTGCCACGAGGCTCCTTGCGATCTCGAGATCCCTCCTCCCATAAGCTCAGCCACCAAATTACTCTTCAAAAGTCGGTGACTCCACCGGCAAACCAACGTCAAGATGATGAAAATATGGTCTATGGTAGGCTGTTCTGTCCACGCCACTACGCCCGCACTGATGGCAACCTCCAGAAACAACAGCAACAGAAAGATGAGCAAGCACAAGGAACAACACAGAAAAAGAAGAAGGTGACGGCCGCTCAGCTGCGGGTGCAGAAAGGTTCGCCACGACGCAAACCAGAGGCTGGGGTAGTACTGACTTCTACCAGATTTGAGCGAGGTGTCTTTGGGTTCGACGATGAAGACAACATTCCCTAATCCGGATGATATCCTTAATTTCCAGCTCACGATCGAGCCGGATGAAGGCATGTACAAGGGCGGTAGCTTCGTATTCAACTTTACGATCAACCAGAACTACCCCCACGATCCTCCCAAGGTCAAATGCACGCAGAAGATCTATCATCCAAACATCGACCTGGAGGGTAACGTATGCTTGAACATTCTGCGGGAAGACTGGAAGCCAGTGCTGAATCTGAATGCGGTGATCGTGGGCATGCAGGTGAATACAAAAGAAGTGGTGTGGTGACGACCGCTGACTTCGCATCCAGTTCCTCTTCCTCGAACCCAATGCATCCGATCCATTAAATAAGGAGGCCGCGGAAGACCTGCGAAATAATCGGGAGGGATTCAGAAGGAACGCAAGAACGGCAATGGGTGGTGGTGCGGTTAAAGGCCAGAGCTACGACCGGGTATTGCGATGAGAACCCCACGATTCAAAGAATGATAGACACGATGAATGACACGACTTCATATTCGTTGAGGATTTTACGCATTGCTGGCAAGATTTTTAGGGGCTCTAGAGGCATTGATACAGGTCTGGAGAAGACAATCCGATGTGTTGGTGGGAAACATCTACACGTCGTCCAGATGAATAGATGAGTTCAGCATATTTGCAGCATGGCAAGCACCCATTCCAGAATACTGCAGATGGATCATTTGTCGAGGACCCTACGAGTAGAGGCTCACGAGGGCAACTACCATGGTGACATGGGTGCTCCAGACCCAGGGTTCGGGGAGACTAAGGCTTCTCCGAGAACAATGGCCACCGTCGCAGCCAAGACGTAGAGTGGCCAGCCAATAGAGAAAGACTGCGGCAATGGATAGCTTGTGTGCAGTGAGTCCCGGCTGTGTAAAGTAGAAGTACCCAAAAAATTCCCCAGGATTTCTCTCGACTCGCACTTTGCAAAACCTCAGAATCTCCTCTCCTCGCCTAATTCATTTGACAAAATGGCCTCCAAGACCTTCGCCAGAACGCTGCGCACTGCTTCCAAGCAGAAAATTACTGCTCCTTCCGTGCCAAAACGGTCATTCGTCTCTGCTGTTGCGACCAGACCCGTGGTTGCAGCCCATCAGCGAGCCTCGTTCGCAGCTCCAAGTCAGCAACAAACACGAGGTGTCAAGACTATTGACTTTGCTGGCACAAAAGAGGATGTCTACGGTGTGTAATTACGGGAGGAACCATGCAAGCAGTCTGCTAATGCCTTGCTTAGAACGAGCCGACTGGCCTCGTGAGAAACTTCTTGTATGCGGACACCGAGCTCTTGACACGCCTCCTCTAACAAAACGCAGGACTACTTCAAGAATGACACACTGGCACTCATTGGCTACGGCTCACAAGGTCATGGACAAGGTCTCAACCTCCGTGACAACGGTCTAAATGTTATTATTGGTGTCCGCAAGAACGGAGCATCATGGAAAGAAGCCGAGCAAGACGGCTGGATTCCAGGCAAAAACCTATTCGAGGTTGACGATGCTATTTCTCGAGGCACAATCATTATGAACTTACTCAGTGATGCTGCTCAAAGCGAGACCTGGCCAGCCATCAAGCCTCAATTGACCAAGGGAAAGGTACGTCTAGGGTCTTACGTGGATTGACCAGTCTTGCTGACAGTTAGACCCTCTACTTCTCCCACGGTTTCTCGCCTGTCTTCAAGGACCTCACCAAGGTTGACGTCCCCAAGGACATTGATGTCATCCTTGTCGCCCCCAAGGGTTCTGGCCGAACCGTCCGATCTCTTTTCCGTGAAGGTCGTGGCATCAACTCATCCATTGCCGTCTTCCAGGACGTTACCGGCAAAGCTAAAGAGAAGGCTATCGCTCTAGGCGTTGCTGTCGGCAGCGGATACCTCTACGAGACCACCTTCGAAAAAGAAGTTTACTCGGACCTGTACGGTGAGAGAGGCTGCTTGATGGGTGGCATCCACGGCATGTTCCTTGCCCAGTACGAAGTCCTTCGCGAGCGTGGCCACTCCCCATCCGAGGCGTTCAACGAGACCGTTGAGGAGGCTACCCAGTCCCTGTACCCGCTCATTGGGGCCAACGGAATGGATTGGATGTACTCCGCTTGCTCCACTACCGCTCGTCGCGGTGCTCTCGACTGGCAGGGCAAGTTCAAGGATGCTCTCAAGCCTGTATTCAATGATCTGTACGACAGTGTCAAGAACGGCACAGAGACCAAGCGCAGCTTGGAGTACAACAGCCAGAAGGACTACAGAGAGAAGTTTGAGAGCGAGATGGAGGAGATCCGCGGTTTGGAAATCTGGCGTGCTGGAAAGGCTGTTCGGTAAGATTTCCTTCGCCGTTGCTTGAGATCAATACTAACAATTTCTAGCTCTCTGCGACCAGAGAACAACTAATCGGTTGGCTGCATAGTGGTGATGTGAGATATCAAGGCGTTTGAAAAGTTGACTATGTATCAAATGGTGGTCGTCGGTTGGTTAAAAGGATGGAATTTCTGCAGCAATGCCAATGAATGCCATTTCCTGGACCACCCAATGGACCATACTGTATACTGTAGTATATTCCTTATGCCTCGCCCACGGCTCCATTTCCGTTATTGCCGACTCCCGGAATGCACCGTCCTTATGTCTTAACCTTCGTCTAGGCACCTAAGGATCCTTCGTGGTTTCGTGATATTCTGCCCATTGTGTACGGTGTATATCGTCTGAAGATCTCTTGTGAAATCATAATAGGCTTAACCCAAAGCTGACACGCTAGTTCTGACCACAGCGAGCAACCTCAGCTAATCTCAATCCTTTCCCTGCCATCGTTAAGCTACAGATTATCACGCCATCCACCGAGACTTGACATATGCAACATTTGACCAAAGTAACAACATCTCCCAGGTTTAGACCTTCCAGTACGGAGTACGGAGTACTACTCTAGCAAACTACACACTTTCTCGACAGGGTCAACACCAGACTAAACCACATCTACGAATCATCGTTCCTCCGGTTACCAGCCAATTCTGACTGAAGTGGTCGTTCTTCTGGACATCGTTTTGCGGTACTTGTTTTGCGGTACTTGTTTTGCGGTTTACTCTGTCTCCGTACTGCAACCTACATCCCAGCCGAGGAAGACTCCCATCATGGCCGACCCAACAACCTGTCCTCCTTTACTCTCCAGCTCCATCGCCAGCGCGCGCGCTAAGATACGCCCATACATCCACCGCACGCCGGTCATAACGTCGCGGTCTCTCAACACCATCGCTAGTTCGCCGGACCCGAAGGTATTTCTATCGGAGAATCCACCGACTTTCGAGGATGCGGAAAGAAGTCGTAACCCCGAGACGACGCCATGCTTCAGGTTGTTCTTCAAATGCGAGAATTTTCAGAAGATCGGGGCGTTCAAGGCGCGGGGCGCGTTTCATGCCGTGACCAGACTGGTCGAGGAGATGGGGATCCAAGAGGTTCGACGGAGGGGAGTGGTCACGCATAGTAGCGGTACGTTCTCATTTTCTTGGTGTCTATTTTGGCCTCTGTTGATTCGTCAATGTTCTTTGTCATCGTTCCGTTTCTTCTGCTGTTCTTCGTTCTCTCGCTCTTGGGGATGGAGTGCTGCAAGCGTGGTGGTCTGCCTTCGGGCGTCATGGATAATGTTGCGAAAGCTGAAGGAAACTGTTCATCATGTTCTGTGGGAGCTGCTTGACGCTGAGCGAGGCATCAGTATGGCCTGTGTCCGGCACTGCTCTATGAACATGTGAGCAGCTGGCCAGCCGTCCATGCTGCTCCTCTGCTCGGGCACGGAGAGTACCGGCCCTGTTCTTCCACAGAGCGGGCGCTTCCCCCTTCACGCCTAGAGAAAACATCCTAACTGGACACTCTATGCCACCACCACTACATCAATACTGTCATTTTCTTTCAGGCTTGCAACAATCCACCTCTGCCGAAAATTCAATCCGAACAAAAATACTAATATGCCCCGTCCAGGTAACCACGCGCAAGCCCTTGCCCTCGCCGCTTCCACATTCCAGATCCCCAGCTACATCGTGATGCCAAGCATCAGCACACCGTCCAAGATCGCGGGCACGAGACTGTACACGTCCAACGTGATCTTCAGTGGTTCGACAAGCCAGGAGCGCGAAGCCGTCGTACAAGAAGTCATCGCCGACAAGGGCGCGATTCTTGTCCCGCCGTACGATCACCCAGATATCATATTAGGACAGGGGACGGTGGGACTGGAGTTGGAGGAGCAAGTTGATGAGATACTGCAGGAACTGGCTGCTGCTAGTTCTCCTCCCTCTCAAACTCAAATACAGGGTCAGAGTCCCATAGGTGGGACGAAGGAGAAAAAAGAGAAGAAGAAGAACGTCGGCGGTTTGGATGCCGTCATAACACCCCTTGGCGGCGGCGGGCTTCTGTCAGGCGTGGCGACCTGGTTCAGCGACAAACCTGGTACCCTGGTCTTTGGCGCGGAACCCTCATATCAAGGCGGCGATGATGGGCGACGTGGATTGGCACAGGGCAAGAGGATCGAGCATGTCAAGACACTTACGATTGCGGACGGCCTGAGGACGCCTGTCGGTGTGACGAATTGGGAGGTGCTCAGCGACCGGCGGAAGTTGGAGGGCGTGTACGCCGTGAGTGAGGAGGAGATCAAGATGGCCATGCGTCTTGTGTTTGAGCGGTTGAAGGTCGTGGTCGAGCCGTCGGGATGTGTAGGTCTGGCCGTGGTCTTGTTCAACAGCGAATTCCGAGCGCTGTGTGCGAGCCGGCAGATAGGAATGGAGAAGGAAGGCTGGGATGTAGGGATCGTGTTCTCGGGCGGCAATACGACGATGAAGGCTATTGCTAAGTTGTTTGGGGAGGATAATGAGGGCGGGAGCGCGGAGAGGGAGGCGGCAAAGGTCGGGATGGATGGGACGACGAGAGCTGAGGATGTCGCTGGTTAGAACAATCTGCGAGAGAGCCCTCAGTGTGAAAGGGGGCACTTGAGCAGCAATAGATGTACTGTGGTAGATACGGCACGAATCTAGACTTCTACCTAGGTAGGTACTTTGGCTCCTGAGCAACTCGTCAAGAGAAGAACTGGAGGAGGAGTGGTACATAATAAGGATAATACCCGTTAGTGACAAGGCTGTGTTCATAAGGGAGACATGCTCCATTGGGGCATTAGATTCCTCGCAGCCATCCAAGTCATGTTCATCAGAATGCGAAAGGCTTATGAAGTTCCGTTTTGACTATTGACTTGTTCTCATCAACCTTACTCTGCTTGCCTGGCCAGTGTCTGTCAAACCGCCAGTTGCCATCTACCTACCTCCCTACCTAACCTATAGGTAAGGTACAGTACCTAAGGGATACCCCCGAGCCCTTGACCTCGTCCTCCCTGTGCATCCCACCCCGCCTTCGCCGCCATTCGGTCTTTCTTCCACAACCCACAAATCCTTCCTTTTGCTTCGCCGCGCTCAACTCACTTCACCTCACCTTACCACGATCTTGCGCCGGCAGCCAAAAAAAAAAGGAACAAAACTCCCTCTCCGGAAGGGCAAAAAAGTCTGAGAGGAGTGGGGTTCGAACCCACGCTTCCTTACGGAAAGCAGAGAACTTTAAGTTTGATGTGTTTGACTTAAATCTCTACAATACTTGTTAGAGAACAAATCCCAGCCTAAGGAAATGCACAGTGTAGACTTACGCCGCCTTAAACCACTATATTGCCACAAATTAGGTCCCAGTGAACAAAAGGTTTGGATGTGAGGGTTCAATTTACCTCGGCCATCCTCCCGCATCAAATTGAGTCAATTTTGAACGTATATAATATATATACAGGTCGATTTTTCACACTAAGTTCTAGGCATTTCTAGGCTACCCGGTAGCTTCCGTTCGTTTAAACATGTTCCGGCAGGATGGGCCACTAGGCATGGTGAGCCTCCCTATAGGTGGTTTGGGGGTGGCGTTTTAGCGGTCATAGGCCTGCACATGAAATATGTGATAGCCACTGATGCCACCCAATAGCTGGCAGAAGTACAACCCTGTAGGACAGACTAACCAAAGACAGATAAAACACGTGAGGGCGCAGACTCGACGACGACAAGTATTCAGGGCAAGTGAGCGCCATGGCCAGAGATGACAAATTGCAAGATGTGATGATGTTTATAAGGTACTGTACTCCGTTCGAAGCCTGCATTGGCGCTTGTCAAAGCTCAAACTGCAGCACTATCTGCAAATAGTCACAGCTTCGCCAATATCGCGACTCCTGAGCCTGTCCATCAATTCTTTCTCGCTGATTTCCAGCTCAGTACATATCTCGTCAAAGCAGTGCGTGCCGTCAAGGAATTCTATGATCCTCTGGTTCAGGTGGTGATCTGACACGCCTCTATCATCCGTCCGACGCGAATGCTTTCTTTTGCTCCTCGACTCCTCGTTCAGCTGCCGTTCGCTCGACATACTCTTGGTGAGATCGTCGCCATTGTGATCCCCATGGTGAGGAAGCGATGTGAGCGACTTCTGCGTTCTGATGGCATACCGATGCACACGGTATATAAACCCTTTGATGACCCCAAACGTTATGAACCGGCGCATGTCAATGTTGGCGAGCATGTTTGCATTCTGAGCGTACCATTCTCGCACAGTCAGACCTTGACGCAGACTAGCAAAGAGTTGGACAATGCCCACACCATCGATTGGATCACCTTTGCCGGTAAGGGGCCAGATTTCGTCGTCCTGCAAAGTGACGGAGGTCAAGTTGCTCGTTCTTCGATCGGTTGCACTATCGATGATGGCCTCTTCTTGTGCAGTGGGCGCAAAGGCCGTGTTGACATAGCGAGCGCATTCTTTCTGCATTTCGACATCTTTGGCAATCATGTCGGAGAATTCAGCCGTTGGCGCATAAATGGCATTGAAGCTAAAGATGTCGAGTAGTAGTATGCACCCATAGTACAGCAGGTGTTTGATACATTTCTTGGTGAGTTTGACATCGGCATCGGCCAGGACGGCAATTCGTTTGACGCTGTTGACGCCATTTATGTACGGAATTATCCGTAGCATGGTCAGGTCCCAATTTTCATCTACCATGGTTTCTATCCTCACCGTGAACAGCGGCACGTGCCATGGCTTGACGCTGGCAGGGTTCGGCAGCGTGGGGAACAGCTTGATGTTCAGAGTATTCAGCTCGTCTATTGGTATCATGCATTCACAGTAGTTGTTCAGATCTTCCATGAGCATCTCACATAGGCTGTAGATCTTGCCGGAGTTCGGGTATGCTGTGTCATCGCTAAGAAATCTCGACTGCTCTTCTAGACTGCGCATCAAATGTGCCAACTTCTTGACAACGGACTTGTACGATGCGACGTCGGTGGTAGCCGGCTCGCTCAAGACGAGGGCAAAGTTGAAAATGAATTCATTTCGTGGATATTGCGGAGACGTCAAGCAGATAGGGTATGACAGCACAAGCGTCGGGGGCGTACTAGGCGTCAAGGGAGGCGGCGACAGAGATATAAGATTCCCACAGAGCGACTGACGAGGGATCAAGAAGCGCGATATGGTAGGGAAGGAGAGGAGGGCGGGCGAGGTAGAGCCAGCGCTCGAGCCGGAGCCATTGGCTGCAGGTACATCGACTGTCGTCAGTATCGAGTCCTCTGGAACTTGATGAACGATCTTGGGTCCTATCACTGAGTTAGACGATACATATAAGATACTTTGAGGACGGCCAACCTTCATGAGGATCAAACTTGCTGTAGAAAATGGCTTTGATTGACATTGTCGTGGTCAAAGTCGATGACGCTTCCAGCTCCCGAGACGAACGCTGAGAAGCATGGTGGTGTGAACGAAGGACGAGAGACCATCAGCGAGGCCTCGTCATACCATGGCTGTAATACTGAGAGTTTTGGGAAGTTGAGGCGTATATATGGACAACCGCCGCTACCTCGGAACCTGATGTATGTGTGCTTCATTCTCCACGCCGCACTTTCCTGTTTTGTACACGCCATTTACGCCTACAGTACGGAGGCGTGCACCAAATGTAGATGCCGCGCTAAGATCGAATGACGAAGGATCACAACCTGACATGAGATTTTCTTTTGCTCTAGGCAGCCTTAACTAAAGTCTTAATTGAAGGTAATCCACTTAAATGCCTTAATGGTAGAGGATAGGCGAGAGTTAGGGGCAGAGAAACGAGGTCCGATATCTCCGGGGACAGTTGTCCGGAGCAACGGAAAAGAAAATAAATGGTCTTTTGACGTCCTCGTCATTCAACTTTAGCGCGGCAACTACATTTGGTGCACGCCTCCGTACTCCGTACTCCCTACCCAGTCAGCCTTCTAGCCAGGGCGGCCTCGGCGGTTCCTGCACAGCCGCCTGAGTAGGCGACCCCTGAACTTCATTTTCGCCTGTAGAACCACTTTGATGGGGCTGTGCAATGAGCTGCACATATATATAAGCGAATGATTTCAACATCGGTGGTCTCTGCCCTTTCCCTTCAGAGCTCAGTTGCCCCCGTAAACTTGACTACGGGTACATAGACAACGCTTCGCGTCTTCATGACGGATGCAGCAGCCCAATGTCATCATGATCGCAACCTGCCGAAATCTTGCCACGGACCGGGTCTTCGAGGAGACAGAAAGGTCTCTTTTCTTACGCAAGGAAGATCCAGACTCGAGAATCGAGGCATATGTGGCCGTGGATCCGACAATTTCCAGTGACTGGCACGAGCTTTCGCCGGTGGTTGATCTTTCGGATGCTGACAGTGTCCAATTCGAAGCTCTTCTCGAGAAGAAGCCCTTCAAACTGGCGACAGACGCGTCTGGCAGTGTATCCAGTGCTAGTAAGGTGGCCCTGCAAAGTCTGGATGCACTCAGACTCTGCGCTGTCCGTCTCATCGGAATTCTTCGATCAGCTGTGCAAGGAGATATCCATTCCCCAGGCGTTTCGAGATTACATCGTATATTTTGGCAGACGACAGTACGAGGTAGAATTCGCGCCACCGCCTTTCACTTTAGAAGTATCAAGCTTGTGCAGATCCAAGAGTTACCCGGCATGGGAAGCGATGGGAGTCATTCGTTTCATTGAAGAAAACAGCAAGGTCAATGAACCGAATCCAAGTGGGCGATGGTGAATTCGCCAGACTGCTCTGTTCTCTAGGTTTGACCATCAACAGTCTCGGGCTACCTGGCTGTTCGTGTCGCTTTCTAGCTCCGCAGAGGCTTTGTTGGACGATATTTGGGCATCTAGCGAACAAGAAACGCAATGTCCATGGCGGACGTTGCATGCGCTATACTTCTACGCGGCATGCAATTGGAGGCCGTACGTTGTTGCGCTGATGCATGAGGTTGAGCAGCACGAAATGCGGCTCCTAGGCACTTCCCCGAACAACACGGGTCCTGTGCCTTTGCCTGAAACAGACGAACGACAAGCTCTTTTTATGTTAGAAAAGCAAATTTCAGCGGCTAAGTTGGCCATTCAGTCAACAAAAGCTGATATGGAGTTCCTGCAAGCGCAACTTCAGAGCTATCGATCAGAAGCGCACGAGGATATGCCAACGGATTTACAAAAATGGAAGCGGCAGTTCGCTGAGATCTTACGCAATCTTAATGTGAACCTCATGCGCCTTGACGAAATCTATTCTCGCTTGCAAAGCCTCACAGGCATGTTGTCCAGCTTTCTGGAACTGAACAGCAGCTATGCGCTGCAAAGCTTGACCGAAGAATCCAGGCGAGAAAGTGAGACCATGCGTAAGCTGAACGAAAAAATGTCCGACATGGCCGAGAAGACCGCTGAGGAAGCAGTGACGGTGACAGTGTTGGCGATCCTGACCATGGTATACCTGCCGTTCACCGTCGTGTCCAATTTCTTTTCGACGTCCTTCGTTGGACTTGGTACCTTTAACCTTTCTGACCATATATATATGGAGGACATGGACGCATATTAAGCTCAAGCGTCGGTATCCAATATGGTGGCCACTGCTGTGTCTCGGGCAAAAAAGACACGATCTAAAGGACCAACGCTTTGACACCTACAGCAGTTATGATTGCCAGAGACTTAGTGTGATTGGGAACTCCCCTTGAATGAATCAAATTCTATTGTTCTTTCATCTTCATTCATAAAATCTGGATATTGATTCTTACTCGTCTCTTCCTCCACCAGAAGTTTGTAATCTCTGTACGAAAATCTTGATTCACCACGCATGCGAAGCACCTCCCTCGACCTTGACGGGTACACAGCATCCTCGTCCGCGATGGGGGACCCTGAGCGTACTTGAAGAGATACCAGTTCCCGGCGCACCGAAAAATGGCCATGACCGGTTATTCTAAGCGTTGCATATGATTGGGAAGGCTGATTGCTACACGACAATCAATCCGTGGCTCACTGCTAAGTTTCGCTTGTACAAAAGTTTTGGGCTACACTACCGTTCAGAAGGTGGAAGTCGACAAAATGCAGCCACTTTCATCATATACGACTACATCTTTGAATAAGGAATGTCCCTGACTCCCTCGTGACATACATTGGCACGGTCGACTACTGCATTGTATACTCATGATTGTCTTTCGGCATCTTTATTCGCAGGATTGCAAAATCGTCTGCGCCCACAGATGAAGACCAGGAGTTAGCGTCGGTCCTGCAAGCTTCGTACCCATACAAACAAACAAACAACACTCCCACACACCATGCAAAATTCAAGCTTGAAGGAGTGGCGGGCGAATAATAATTAGGGGAACAAGAGCAGGCTGAGATAACTCAACCAAGACAGCTCGCCGGGAAATTCAAGGCTCAAGGGAAGGGGAACGCAGGTGATAAGGTGAAGAAAAAGGTATACCGACATCAGACAGAATATCGGGCGCAATAATGTAGAATTTCCCATTTTTATGCTGCTCGGCCGTGAGGCAATCGTTTGTCAGAATGTGATATAATGCACAGAAATAGAACCTCCATCATCTCAGGCAGTAAGTGAAGAAGCAAAACGCCACGTACATGGACTTTCCACTGTCCTGGCCCATAGGTCGAGGCGAGGTACTGGTTCAATTTTTCCTCCTTGACATAGCGGTCCGTAACGATCTGGGGGTTCTGTTTCAGGATCTCGTCGAGCGCGGTGCTTGCGGTCGAGCCTGACCTACCGCTGCTGGTAGTGGTGGTCGTGGAAGATCTGCTGACGTTGCCAGTAGGATCGCTGCCTACAGATGGACCATATGATTGCTTGCGAGAAGGTGCCATGGTGGAATGCGTGAGCGAGCACACCTGAGGCTGAATGCGCGTAGGCGGCGGGTGAAGTAGTAGATCGATCACCACGAGGCAAAAGATCCACCTGAGTACTCCGTAGTGATGCGAATAGATATATGACATAGCAAGCCATGGGCATACTGTAAACAGAACAGCCTGCCGCCTTTCCCCAAAAAAATGCCACTAGGCAGACGAGCCAACCAAAACAGTTGGTTTGCATTGCAGTAGCACTCTGCAAGTGTCCTTGGGGCCTGCCCGCCTGCGTTTGCCGCCCGGGCCTTGAAGCCTGCCCCTTCGGGTGCGCCGCCACGTATCATTCGATATCACCGGTTTGAGGTGCACTTGGTGTTCGAGCGCATGCTTAGGACCTCAGAGCCCCATGCCAATTTGCTTTGGTCATGCATGTTTGGCGCGGGGGGTCCATGACGCCTTCTCTTATAGGCAATAAATCCAGAGGTCGGCAATTCGTACAGATTAAAATAAGGAGCCAGCAGTAGATTAACCTGAAAGGGAAGCAAGTGTGACCACTTACCCTCTGCGCCCCTATCAACACCAGTCAAGATCGATGCAAGTGATGCTTAACACGCCCGGGAAGTGAGGACAGAAGGAAATAAAATATGGAGCACTCAATGTCGAGCTGCTTATGCCACAGAAAAAATTGCTGTTGGTACTCCCTGATTTCGTGGGAATTAAGTAGTGAAGACAGCGTGTCCTGATTTCAGATGAAATATCAGACCATGGTGGTGCGCTCTACTCGAGTGTTCCAAGTTCTCAGTGTCCGTACCCGACGCCTGTCGGTCCTGGAGGTCTCATTCCCCTTCTTGTGGAAATTCGCACTTTTTCTTCAACTCCGATCACACAGTAAGTGTGTTTTTGTTACAGTAAATCCCAATCATTCTATTCCTCTGACTCCACAGGGTTTCTCAATGCTTCTTAATTCAAATTCAAATCCAGAGCAGATGACGACCGGCATCAGCGTCTGTCGCTGTTGTGGACATCCTTAGCGCCGCAGCGCTTCAATCTGCTTCTATTAACGTTAGCATACTTGTACGCTGAGTTATGAAAGCAACAGTAATGATAATACATACCCGTTCAAGGGGTTCCGGTGCTTCCACCCTCCATTTATCGAGTTGCCGCCGAACGCTGTATTCAGATCCATCGTAAAGTGCCTTCAAAAGCGTTTCAAGCCTTGATTTGTCAATGTAGCGGCTGTCGAATATTTGCACGCTGTTCTGTTTCGGCATTGCAAACGACAGGACTGGTCAATGGATGGGAAAGTCTGGGCTAGGTTGGGTCTTCTCGCTCGTTGCTGGCGTTGCCAAAATATGTACGAGATTTGGGGGGGGCAAAGGGATCAACTTATCCCAGAACGGCGACCATGCACTGCCAGGCCCCGTCTCGTATCGGTCGCGCCACATGGTCTGTTCCGGAGCCTGGGGCCCTTGAGCGGCTTAGCGTGCCTCAGCACTTGTCCTGTGTGCCATCTGCGCCTGCAAGGCGTGGACATGATGTGTTACAGGCCGTTAGACTGAGGCCTACGACCCATCAGCATAGTTGTTTTCCCCATCAGATGCCGCATAGGTGCCTTGAGCGGCTGGATTGGCGTACGAATTCCTCATCAACCAACTACAAGTAGTACGTTAGTAAAAGTGCCAAGTGTGCCTTTCAGTAATATACAAGTAATTGGGCACCTCTGCTCTCCGTTTGCCTACCGTTGGACTCCAACAATAATGAGGAAAATGCCACGTCATACGCATGTCTGAGTCGGATGCGGTTTCGTGCTGGCGCAGTTGCTACGGTGGCCACGGAATTTGGCTTCCCTAATTGTGCTGCAATCATCTTCAGCGACCTGTCAAGGCCGTGACACCCACCCAGCACGGTGGTTTCACGGTCTCGCTCGATCAGGCTGGTCGCCTCGAGCCTCAACGTGACAATGGCGCCCGTATTCTGGACCCCGGTCGCCTTTTGCTACAGAAGTCATTGCATTGTGGTGCGTCCAGCTCTGGTCACGTTCGGCCGGGAAGGCTGCGCCGATGCCTCGATTGAAGAAAAGACGCCTACAGCAGGCGTTTGCATCATTGTGGGTGTGTAACGTTGGGGTGAATGCCTGAAGAGCTTTCTCGAAGCTATGAAGAAAGTTTGTCGATGTTTTTCACCACTCCGAAGGAAGACCCCTGCGTGTGATTGTCAAATTGTACTAACTCCTCCATCACCACCGACCAGAAAGGACGTATTCCGTACAGCCTCAGATTACTTTCTTCCGATCCCTGCTCGGACCCAAGAGCGCGGATCCCGATCGGTCCTGTGAGGTTGTGCTCTGTCCGTCGTGGGACCCAACAGCTGAGTCTAGCAGCATTCGGCTCATTCAGATACGATAAAGCTGGCCATCTATCTTCCCTCGTTTGAACATTGTTGTTCGATTCTTTATGCCCAAGCTGTCCGAACCGACACACCTTCTGTGGTCCCGCGTGGAAATACTGTCACCACGCAACTTATTTGAGAGTTGAAACTAGGGCTAGCAAGCGACATCTAAATCCTCTGCATAAGGCCGTTGTCGACTCCGGATAGGCTGGCTGAATGTCGTTTTCGAGCTGCAGCCTCACCATCCTCGTTGCGAACCCCTGCTTCACACCATTCTGCACCGATGCTGTCTGATTGGATTGAACTTATCAGACACCACATTCTTCTTCTGGACATCCCGGAGTGACTGCAACTGACCAAAACCGGTGGCGGCTCCTCGCCTTCCCCGACCTATGCTTCTTTCATGCTATAGGTTCATATGGACTTTGCCCTGTATGGTGTCTCGAGAACTTTGGCAACATGGCCGCATGTACCCCGTAGGTCTCGAAGCGATGGTGTGCTCAGCCTCCGCCACTGCGCCCATTTCCTCTGCGTTCATGATTTCCTTCGCTAGCTCTACCCTGCTGCCCTGCTAATGTAGGGCCTCTGCGCATGTGCCAAATGGTGATTTTTCTCCGTGGAGAGTTGGGTCTCAAGAGTCTACCTTTATTTGTGCTCTGTAGGTATTTTAATTACCTCCGTCATGGCAGACTTGTTGCATCCTGCCTCGAGCAACCAGGCAATATGCCGTGGATTCAAACCATTCATAAGTGGACTCGAAAAAAATGGCATAGACTAGGTTCGTGCTCTTATCGGTGTCTTCATTGAGCAAGAGAGCGATGTGGCTAATATCCGTCGCTCCGTTTGGGTAGGGAGAGATCCTGCTCGACAAACCTATACTTCGAGCAATGGGACCTCGAATTTAAGCCCAACCACGCAAGATGGTGGGCTGGCGCAACGTCGTGGAACGGTCTCTGCAGCACAGCATACTAATCAAAAGATGTCGCCACCGCAGCAACCAGCACTGATTCCAATTCGTTCGGCTCCTGCGAGGCTTCCAGATGTCGGCGTTGAGGCTACAAACACGATCCAAAATTCAGTTACTCCCCGAGGTGAAATCGAACCAGCCGCTGGGGAGAATACCGGCCCTGGTCCTATCGTGAACATCCGCACTCCAACTTTGGACACGGCAGCAGAAAATCTTCGGCCACCGCTCATGCTGGATACTAGTACGCACCTTAGGCCGATCTCACCGGGGGGGGTTATTTCCCCGTCTCCAAGAAGCCCTGCCCCGGAGGTCATGATGGAGGATTTGACGGACGACATCCTTCCTCATGAGATCCCCGTAGAGGTGACAATCACTTGGCAGGGACAGGAAGATTGGAACCACAAATACGATGTCTCCTCGTTTCCCTGGATCCAGAAAGATAGGTACAAAGACCTTCTACCAACGAGAATCATAAGAAAGCACATACAAGCCTACCACGAACTGGAGGACAGGCATGTCTACCACCGTCACGGCATATGTGGGATCAGTGCGTCCCCCGAGCTCATTGTCGAGACCCCTTTCTGCTTTCTTGGAGACTACGAAGTTTCAACTTTGATCGACAATGCGATCTCACTCATCTGCGGCTTTATCCACGATCATCCACGGCGAAAGTTCTCCTTGAATATTTACTGGGCTTGCGGATACGCTCAATTAAGCCCACAGCCTAACGCACACTTTGCAGGTAGTCAGAATTTCAAGGAGATGATCAGAGCGGAGTTGCTTAGGAAGCGCCAAACGAATTTCCGAGATCAGGACTTCATTTCTCGTCGAGATGAAACGCCCTTCCGGACATACGAAGTGGTGCGTGATCTTGTGTTCCTTGACGACTCCCTCAGGATGGACGGCACTGAAAAGAAAACATTTGTCGATCAAATAGTAGAGCGTCCGGCATTCAAGCTGATGCTAATTTGCGTCTACCAGGGTTTTGGATTGGTCTTTCTCCATCACCTTCTTGATTATCATGACTGCAGCGACGATACACCACCACGACACAACATGGTATGCTTTTACCAACTTGAATGCCAAGACCGGGTCCACGAGATTTTACGCTTCAAAGCCATGTTTGACGTAAGAAATGTTGACCTAGACTTCAAACATCACAATCTCGAGAGTGGAGAGGTCATGCCGTTGCTTCGCGGACCAAGTTCTACACTAGAGTCTCGCGGACCAGATTCTACACCACTAGAAACGTTTGGCTCCGGTGCATCCGGTACAGTGTACAAGGTCTGGATCGATTCAGCGCACCATTATCTCACCGGAGTAAGTCAAGCATTTCATTATCAATCTGTCCGTTCCGCAATCGCTGACCTCAATTCTAAGGATCCATCGTGTTGTTTTGCTTTGAAACGATTCCCTCCCGAGCGTGGAGCGGAATTCGCTCGAGAAATCCAGATGCTCAGAGTCCTCGCTGACCACCCGAAACCTGACATTGTACTTCACATTACGAGCTGGACACAGTCAGAATACCATTATATCCTTTACCCAGCCGCCAGATCCAATCTTGCTGATTACATGCAGAGTGTAAAGCGCGTGGGTTTCGCGAAGCACGAAACTCTATGGTTTCTGCGCCAGCTGCGAGGGCTGGCGCATGCCATTGATCACGTTCATCACTTGAAGCACCCCACCAATACGGAGCCGAATCCGGCCAAGGATGCCCACTGGGGTTCTCACTTCGACATCAAACCTCAAAATATCCTGGTCTTCGAAAAAGTCCCGGGCTATCATCCTAGGTTCAAGATTGCAGATTTTGGATCGGGCGTGTTCAAGCCGGCAGGGGGCCAGGAAGGGCATTCTGAGTTGACCTCAGAGACGAGAGGCACACTGACTTACTTCGCTCCCGACTTCGACCGGAACGGAAAGGTGTCACGACCATTTGACATGTGGGCTCTTGGTTGCGTGTACTTGGAACTGATGCTCTGGGTTTTCGGCTTCTTCGAATCAAGCGACGGGAGTTTTTCAACCGCACGCTTCAACTGCACAGGCGCTGCTCCACACAACCGGACCGATAGGTTTTGGGAGAAGGTCTCGACTTCACAGGGGGTCGATTACAAGCTGAAGTCAATCGTCACGGATGTCATGGCAGAGCTGAGAGAGAGATGGTGCGTCAACATGCCCGCTTTCCAGGGTATCCTTACAGCTGTGGACAAGCTTCTCGAAATCGATACCGACGGCAGATGGGACTCGGAAACGTTGAAGACCCACATGAACCACATTTACCGAGAAGCTGAAGCGGATCTTCAGTATACGAATATAACGAAGAGCTCGTTCTACTCTGCTCAGTACAAGGCCAACTGCCGAAATGAATTTCTGAGGCAAACCGGGCAGGCCTTGGCCAGTCTACAAGCTGAAGGAAGTTGAGGTTGAACCGAGGTCTACGACCACATCAGGACCATCCCGACCAAATCGTGACTCAAAGCACGGTGCCACTGCTATTGGAGAGAACCGTCAGGCCCACCACGCTGAGGAGACTGGGCCGCCCAGCCTGGCGAATTTAAGTCTACTTCCACTTCCGACATGTCGCTTTCTCCAGATGCCAATACTGGTCTTACTCTCCGATGTTCACGCTTTGTCTCTATCCGATGGCTTGAGTAATGTCCCTGATTCATGCTCTTGCCGCAGTAAGAGTCAATTTCTTTGTCGCCTGGGTCCAGTCTCCGTGGGCAGGAACAGAAAGGCTTCCCTGCCATGGCACGGAAAGATAACTTGTATCAGATTAAAAGGGTTTGGAGGTGCAACGAATACTATGTGGCGCGAAGCATATTTGCTGGCGGGCTGAAACTGGGATTAGGCTGGGTTCGACGCAGCTTCCTACTTCAATACACACCTAATCCCGGTCAGCATAATGATAGTCATCCCTTATCAGGCGGGAATCTGTTCATGCTTTCTAAGAAAATAACGCAGACTCAGGATACGAAAGCACCATGATGAGAACTGGGGATTGATGGAGGACTCCGATGCTTTGGGCTTGTTCGTGCTATCACATCGCTAGATTCTGGTGATATTGGTGACGATCTCCACACCAACGAGTGATATAAGCCGTCCCTGCTTTGTCTGTGATATCAACTCCAACTCACGCAGCTATTGGAAGGATGTGGGTGACAATATCACCATGCAGGATGATGACGGCGTGGCGTTAAAATAGACGATAGCCGCCACCGTCAGGACTATTCAAAGGGATCAAATTTGGTTTGATGCCTTCTCTACTTCAGTATACCATCGTCAAGTTCGAGACACCAGACCCGAACAACCATGGGTCCAAGCATCACTCGTTCGAATTATGGCCCTCCCTCCATCACACGTGTCGACGCCGCTGAACATAGCGTAAGATACTCGAGAAACCTACTTTCAGAACAGCTTATCAACATGGAAGAGAAATGTCCAAAATCCCCGGTCGCCGGCGAAATATGGGCAAAACATCGTCCCTTGCCCCCTTACTCGGGCCCCCAGAACAGAGATTACAGGTCGCATCCGGATTACCGGTCGACACCGGAAGCCAAGCAGAAGCCCCAGGAATACACCCAGGAGCACAAGAAGTGCCCTGAAAAGCAGGCAGCGGCTGACAAAAACATTGCGGAGCTTGAGAAGAAGCTGTGAGAACTGACGGGTAAAGAGTACTGATTGTACGAGTACTCTGGGCTAGCAAGGCGTCATCAGCTGACAGGCAGCCTTGAGCCCTGTTGTAAATTGTGACGAGTCGAGCTTGCTGGCTGTGGAATGATATTTGCTGTGGAGCTGCGGGCCAGTAGCGGATTATATTTCCAGGAAAGTGCACTGGAAGCTTGTGGTGAGGTTGACAGCCAGGAGGGCTGTACTGTTGACGAATTGGCTTTCTGACAGATTGGGGATCTTCGCTTCGGCGAAAAGATACCAGCTGGGAGGACAGCATACTGTCATCGACCGCAAATTATGCTGCGCGCTTTCTCATTGGATGCTCTGCAACTGGTTGCCTTGTGCATGGTGTAACGCGGGATTCTTTGGTCGAATGGGTCGTGATACATCAGATCAGGATCTGCTTGAGGTTGATAGCATACCTATCCTTCTCGACACCTGAGCTTAATGACATATCATCTATGAAAAGCTTCCTGCTGCTGAATCCAGCTTCCAAATCGTTGTGATAATGCTGCGTAAAGATGGCCGCCACCGACGACGAATGGTATTATGAACGTCGACGGATCCCGATCACCAAAGGCTGGGGACCTTGTAAGAAGACTCATTGGGTGCCTGTCAATGAATACTATACCGGTCGCAACCCACGAACCGTTCGAACGTTCCTGAGAGCAGTTGGCCTGAACCCGGAAGCCACTTTCGAGACTCGTGCGGCTCCAACGCAAGTAGTATTGCTCGACAATGACGACCATGCTCCATTGCGGTATGACGGATTTCGAGAACGGGAGATAGAAGCTGGACCATGGCGGTACTATCCTGCAGGGGGCCGGCCACCGAGACGAGGGGAAGATCTTGACCCGACGATAGCGCAGGACCTACGCGAGCTCGAGGAGATGAGGCAAAAGCGACATAGGGACAATATCGACCGCATCAACCAACAAATGGACGAGATCAATAATCGGCTGGCAAATAATCTGCGCGAATTCAGTGACGCCTTGCAAGGTCCAGGGCCAGAAAGGGAGCTGCGAGAAGCGCGAAATGAGGTCGACAGACTCCGCGAGATTGAAGAATTGAGAATGCGTGATGATCGGGACAGGGAGCTTGAGCACATACGACTGCAAAGGCTAGAGACACTAGAACGAGCGGAAGACTTGCGTCGGCGGGTGGTAGAGGAGGAGCGACGGCGTGAAAGAAGGCACCACAGGCATCCGTGGCATCGCAGATCGAGATGGTACTGAATCTTTGGTTCCTGTTTCAGAGAGGATAGCATTGGTGGCGGAGACCTGAAGAAAGGTCTGTATGCGTACGTAGTGATCGAATTGTAGTGAGGTTGTTTGATGAGTTCCAGAGATACTGTCCTCCATCAAGACCATCAAATCAATACAGCAGGTGGATGTGCAACTCGGCTGGGAAGGCGTCGGCGAGACATGCATCTCCACCACCTCGATGCTCCTCCCATTGACCTCCATTATTCATACCATGGCGAACAATTCCGTTCATTGAGATCGCTCTTCTCCGCCAGTCAAAAGGCGTCAACTTCCGCATTAGAAAAGAAGAATGGAACCACCATCAGCTTCTCGTCTTCCTGGAAACATCAGTCAACTCATTCTCCTTCTCGCTTTCAGGCTATTACAACTGCTCCCAGCTTGGACGGAAATCCACCGAAACAATGGCCGCTAAGCAACCAGTCACATCCGACAAGGGAATCAAATCTCCTTTGTTCTCTCAAGCCATTATCCACAATGGAACCGTCTACTGCAGTGGGAATGTGGGAATCAATCCGTCCACCAACAAGATCGTTGAGGGATCAGTGGCCGACAGGACGGTGAGGCAGCCAGTATTGTATCCGACACTTTGCAGGTGCTAACTCGAATAGAAACAAACGTTCGAAAACATCAAGAACGTCTTGGAGGAAGCCGGAAGCAGCCTTCAGAACATCGTCAAAATGAACATTTACCTCGTGGATATGGCGGACTATGCGGCCATGAACAAAGTCTGTGCGTGGCATCTTTCATTGTCCCAGAGCAACCACATTCCAGTCACTGACCCGAACAAGTCCTCGAGACCATTCCAGACCCGAAGCCGGCAAGAACCTGTGTTTGCGTCAAGGAATTACCTGGCAAGACCGATGTATGCTTGCATAGATGATATCAATTCACTCGAGTCACAAACTAATCCGTCACAGGTTGAGATTGAATGCATCGCACATCTGTGAGGGCATGTCCACGCCCTTGTATCAACAGTGTTTCCGATGACTGACTCAATCCAGGAATGAGGCATCTGGGTCCAAACTCTAGAGAAAAGTGGCCTGCAAACACCCGTTTTTCGTTCAGTTTTTCAGCTACACCTCCCTCTTCGATGGGGGAGTACTGCCGGACCTGTTTGCTTGACCGACTAAAAGCGAATGGTTCAATGACAATGAATAACAATGAGTGACAGTCTTCTTTACGATGAAACCGGTCGTCTATTCACACAAGGCTCGTTCTTTCTTCCGCTTTCGGCAATCTCTTATACTGCTTTCACAAATCTCATGCCACCGTTCGCGATATATGGTTTATTAAGTTGTCATGTTGAGCGCTCTCCTTTTGTCCCCTTGTGTCTTTTCCCTCTTCTGCTTTCTGCTACGGACACCTACCAGCACATCATTGATCTTGATTACAGCCATTTAACTTACAACAGCATCGTCCAAGATGGATGAGCCAGTTAGTCGCAGACTGAGGCCTCGCAATAAAACTGGCAATCAGACGGAAGATGCTAATACTAATGCTCAGACACCTGCAAGTGGCACAAGCAACACTCGACCGACGCCTGGAGGGAAGTCGACCACTCGCCGTGCACCTCGCAAAACACCCGACAAAGGTGCAAAGAAATCGGTTGCCGGTACAGCAAGGCCCAAACCCACAAAACCGCCTCGCAAGACTCCAGCGACGAGAAGGAAGACCCCAGCCAAGAGCATCACAAAGGATCCGTCTTTCAAACCGGAGACCGACGAGCCAAGCGATGAAGAAATTCAGACACCTACAGCAAAGCCCAAGGCGAAAACACCACCCCATAAGTCTCCGACGAAGGCCGGGAAGACCCCAGCCAAGGGTTCTACCAAGAATGTGAAGTTCTCACCCGACACCGTTGATCCAAGCGACAACGAACCCGCAAAGACACCTGACCCGCCTGCCCAAGAAGAGACTCAGAAGCCTGCAAGTCCGACTCCAGCACAATCTACGATCGAAGTGAAGAAGCCAAGAATCACATTGTTGAGGGTCACCAAACCTGCATCGCCCAAGCGGAACCAAGCCAGTGGCCCGTCAGCCGATGCCAGGAGTCCTCGAAGAACAGGCAGCGCAGCATCTAGGACGCGATCTACAAGCTCATCTCCCTCAAGCAGCTCTTCCGACTCCTCTGAGCCAGCAAGGCCCCCTGCGCACTACAGTTCTGAGGCTCCAGCTCCTTCAGGTGCAAGTAGTACATCTCCCACAAACAGTCCTCATACATCCTCAAGATCGCCCAAGTCGCCAAAGCGTCCTGCCCCTGAAGATAGCGAGTCTTCGTCGTCAAAACGTCAACGCTCACAATCAATGTCCATTTCTCCGTTGACACCTGCGATAGCGGCTCCGTCTGCACCACAACCAGACTCACCAGACGGTCTCACAATCGCAGATGCCGATCGACTATTGAATCAGATCGCAAAGGTACCTAGAAAACTGGATCTCGATGAGATCTCGGCGCTTGTCGTCTGCCTTCAAGAGAAGTGCATGCGCTTCTCGGAGAAACATTTCGACTTCCACTTGACAGACGAAGAACGAGACGCATGGCCAATGCATCTGCTTGCCACCAAATACTACTCACTGTTCACAATCACGAGATATCTCGTAGACGCGAATCACTGCGGCTGGCGCACCTTCCTTACCACACCGGAACATCGTGTTCCTTTTGTGCATGGAATTCTCGGCGAATGGTTCAAACAGCGCATCTTCAAAAATCCTGGCTTCGGTCTGCGCCGGGACAAAATCAACCAGCTCGCCGAGATCGACCGTGATTACCTCCACTACGACGCTATTGTCCGCAACAAGAAGCGTGCAAAGTGCATTGAGGAACTCAAATTTGAAAGAGTGGAAAAATGTCTGCAAGATTCGCACTCATCAAGCTCGGGCTCCACAGATTCCGGTGATCAAACGTCGGATTACTTCCCCAAAGAATATGCCAACGATATCAACATGGCCGCAACAGATCTAGCGGCTCAAATGATGGGTCAACTCGAGCCTCTTCTTCCACCTCCGGTCTTTGATCCACTGGATCTTGATGGGTCGGCACAAACTAAAGACGAACAAGACAAATCCTGGGTTATCCGCCAGGCCATCCGAAATGACCTTGTGGACTTGATCCATCTGATGGCCGGCTTGTCGTTGTCCATTCGACTGGCCGGTATCGACGGCACAATTCTCCGCCTAGTACCCCATGTCGCCAAAGGTACCGAATATTACATCGAGGATTCATGCGACAATATCTGCGTGAATGCAGATGATTGCAATGCGAAGAGACCACAAGAGCCCGCGACACTGCGCATCTATATGACATGCTGGGGCAGACTTGAGGCCATAGTACCACACGGCAAGGATCGCCTCGAGCTGGAGAACTTCCAACGGGCCCACCAAGACCTAGTCCACCCTAAACGATTCAAATGGGAACAATACGAAGACCGAGTCTTTCCAGTTCTCCCATTCAATCTGCAAGAAACTGCGGCAGGGCGTGCAGCTGTCGCAAATGATCAGGCGATCCCAGGTACAGAATGGAGCATCAATCTTGCCAAAGCCGCAGCAGACGATCGACACGACCATATGTACTCAGACAGTAGCGACGATGAGGTAGACGATGACGGCTTGCCTCGACGCCCTCCAGGACCCGCTCGCGGCTGCTTCGTGACCATCTATCCGAAAGTCGCGCCGACAAACGTTTACTGCGCGTGGTCTCCTAAATCTGCCGCCACACAATTTCCAGACCTAGGTGGCCATAATGAACCCGACCAGCAAGCTCACATATCCCTCGCCGAAGCCGTCCAAGAGGCGTGGCGCCTGGAAGGTCTTCCAATCACCCTCCCAGCATTGTACAGGAATACAATCAATGTCGTCCAAGAATACCGCTCGAACGAGTGGCTTGTGGCCATCCCACTGGCTGGCGGACTCCTAGCTGCGGCCATTGTCGTCGCGGACCGCCATGATCTCTTGCCCCACGTCGACCTTGCTCGTCTGCGACAGTTGCTCTCAACCTCGATCAACCACGTTCGAAACACCTTCGGTTGCACGCTTGCTGCCGCCGAAAGTTACATCATGTCTCTGCTCGAACACGTCAGGTCATCCACAAACCGCGCTGCGTCGGGCGTGCGAGATCTGGCTGCGAACATGACCATGCCCCAGCTGCAGCTCAAGTCCATGTCCTCTCTCCTTCCCCTAGCAGGCACTCCCGCAGTGGTCATATCTACCATGACTCAACAGAGTACCACTACGGTCACCATACCGACCGGAATCGTGACAGAGACAATCCCAGGCCCTATCGAGACTATGACTGTCACCGTACCAAGTCCTCTGGTCATGACAGAGACAATTCCAGGCCCCATCAAGACTGTGACCGTCACCCTCCCGGCACCATTAAGCTCGGACGAGGAAACACAGCCACATAATCCTGATGACCCTATGGAAGGTATCGAGCATACTGAAGAGCCTGTTTTCCTCCCTGCCGGACTCCCCGCGTACAATGACGACGAACACGACCTGCTGAACGAAGATTCGTACGATTCGGTCGAACCGTTCGACTTTCAGACTGATGAAGCGCCGGTACAACTACCGTCGCTGGTAGAGCAACAACAACAGCAGCAGCAGCAGCCACCACCCGTAACTTTACAGGCGACCACGAGAATGGCTACTTGGGAAACAGACGAGACGGCGCGCGATATGTTCCGCGACACCTACGAGGATCAGCAGAAGAAGAGGGAGAAGGAGAGAAAAGGGAGCAAACGCAAGGTCTTTGACGATTTTCACCAGAAGAAGAAGAAGGAGAGAGAAGGGAAGAAGGGCTGGGCCCGACTATTCTAGAAGGCAGGAGGCAGGAGGTATAAGGTAGAAAGATAGAAAGGTAGGATATGGTAGATTATATCAAAACGTACTATCATGCTATGATACATTGCGATGACTAACTGGGGTCTTTTATAGATGGACAGGTTTTCGTTTCTTTTGGCATCCGGGCGCGCTCTACGACCCAGAGAGATGAGAGACGGGGTTTGTGTGGGGCCCGGAGAATGGCAGTGAGGATGATGATATGTTTTTCCGATGCCGGCTGCAGCTTTGGTGTTCATGATATCAAGAGATGTCCTCGCCGCCTGATCCCGCGAACCAACTACGGAGTACCTACCTCATGCAATGAATTTTTCCAACCTGACATATTGATACCCCTGCTCAGCAATGGACACGTTCGACCTCTCCAAAACATTCTCCGCGCACGTCGCCGACCGCGCATACCCAAAGACACTATGCCCGTCTGAAATAGCCCGCTCGCTCTCTGCCACAGAGCTCGAGATGCTCGAAGTCTCCAGCTGGCGCGACCTAATGCCCCGACTCCGCGAAATGGCATTCGAAGCACGCGATCGAGGGGATATCGAGATCCTCCAAAGGGGCGAAATCATCCCTCGCGATCGCGGACTCGACGATGTCAGAGGTCCAATTAGGATTAGGAAAGCAACCTGAGAAACCTGCAGCTGCTGAAAGTTCAGGTTCTGCATATTATTACTTGTGAGAGTACTCCGTACTCCGCTCACTTTGCACTATGCGAATCATGTACATGCAAATGCGCTGTTCTGTGCGTATATATCTATGTGCGAGCGCAATATTATCACGATCGTTGGCTAGCCACGGAAGCCACGAAAGCCACCATAGCCCACCCACCGGACTCCTGGAAATGCGTGTGTATGTACTCATCAAGAAAGGCGTCCTAATACGCGCCATAACCACGGATGGGCCTCAGCGCAGTCTTTCTCGAAGGACCAATATCGATGGTGCTTAGCTCCAGAGCAAGCGAGTTATCTCGACCATATGGGCCATAGTCCATTGAGTTGCTCAGGCTGTGATGAGGTACTTGTGTCGAAGTGGGCGGATAAAGTTGAGGTTCGGGTGCAGCTCGCGGACTGTAGTCATTCATGGCAGGAACCTGGTATTCCGACAACGGAGGACGTTGTGTCGGCCCGGTAGGAGACGAATGAATCGTATACCGCTGAGTTGGCGGACTGGGCCTGGCATTAGCATTATTTGTGGACGTAGTCATCACCGCAGGACTGGTCTGGGCATGAGAATATGGTTGTGCTGGCAGCGGCCGAGCAGGCATCGGCTTCTTGAGTCTGTTTCGCCCGCCCCCTGCATCCCCTCGAGGAGATGGCTCAGCTCCAGCTGCAGTCGGCGAAATGTGAAACGGGGGAGATGCTCCAGCACTAGGTGAAGCCTGGTAGGGCGAGGTTGCAATGGAATGAGGTCTCACAGAAAGGGGGGATGAGCCTGCTGCCTGTTGCATCCGCGCTTCTTCCCTTGTCCGGATCCTGATAACGTGTTCTGGCTGTCGGTTCTTTCTCTCTGGCTCAGGAGCCCACGTATCAGCGGGAAGGTGATCAGAAGGATCAATAACTCTGCCATCATTGCCGATGATCGGTCCCTGGTCCCTCATTTTGTCGACCTCGATCTGCCGGCTAGCCTCTCTCGCTGCATCTGACAGACCATCTTCGCCTATAGGGCTCGTCCCAGGGTTGAGCACGTCATACGCATCAGGTCCAAAGGGCATTCCACTGATTTGTCTCTGGTCTTCTGGTGTTGTAGGCGTGGGAGTGATTGACTTGCGCGGTATATTGCGGGCAGGATTAGGACTGATGGCTCGTGGGCGTACGATAACTGGCTCAGACCTGCGTTGCTGCCTCTCATCGTAATTTCCGTAATCGTCAAATGTCTGTGCTCTTCTCGGAGGACCATAACCAATCGAGCGTCGAAGATCGTCTTGGGGCATTTCGCCAAATCGCTGGTCAGCCGGACTACGACCCGGAGAGTCATTGAACGGCGGTGCGTTATTGCCAGAGGATGTTGGCCGCCGCCATGCTGTATTGTCATTGAAAGGTTGCCCTCTTTCATTCGAAGGCAGTGCATATGCTTCATATCTCTCATCCAGTGTTCTGTGCGGTGGTGGTGGTTGAGGATGCATGTAGCTGTCCCGTGGACTCCTTTGTGATGGATGCGGCATAGCAGATTGAACAGGCAATTCTCGTGAGTATGGAGACGAGTACGGATCGTACTGCTCGAGCCGTTGAAGCGGGCTTCTCTCCTCCACAGAATCGTACTTGACCGGAGTTCGCGGTGACGGTTGACCACTTGAACCGGAGAAGGACGACGATGTTGCGAGCATAGGCATCCTGGACACCGGGCCACGGTGAGCTGGTGGTGGCGGTGGTGGGGCATCCTCCTCGTCAAACCTCGGATCCGGATAACTGTACTCTGGATGAGGCGTCTCGTGCTGACTGATGGAATGCCGCAGTGGGCTGTCTCTATACACCGCATGCTTGGTTGGTGATGTGCTCCCCCTACCCTGCCAGGGTTGACCCTGTACCGGTCGTGGTGGAGTGGCTTGAGGCGTTATTCTGTTTGGCGGAGAAGAGTGATATGGCGTTTGGTCGGGCGTATTGTTGAAGGGCGACCGAGGGCTAGGTAGCCGGTCAGGTTCTGGCTGAGGTGATTCTCCAGTGACATATGGGTTGGGCGGCTGCGTCGGAGGGAGTGGTCGTTCTCTATATTCCTCCGCTGTATAGTAGTTGGGAGTATCGTGTCGGGATGAATGTCTTTGAGGTTGGTTGTAGTAGTCACTAGAAGGGCGTTGCTGCTCTTTTGGAGGACGTAGGGGCGGCAGTGATAGATCGTATGGGTCTGGTTCGGGTGGCCCATATGACTCCGGTGTATAATGAGACTGCAAACTGTAGCCGACATCATCTGGTGTTTCGGGCATTAGCTGCTTTGGCGGTCTCGGCGGAGCATGGCTCTGTCCATGGTCCTGCCCAGTCCACGTGTTGTCCGGTTCCTCCGAAGGTAAATAGTCGGGAGTATGGGCAACTGAGACTGGAGAGGAGTAGCCACCTGGGCCAGGTGGAAGCGGCCGTCTCTTGATCTCCCTCGGCCCAAGCTGTCGGGAGCCTGAAAAGCTATTTTGAACGTCACTAGTGATAGATTGAGACTTTTCCCTCTGCTTCCTCCTCTCCGCGGACACTTCTGGCTTCGGCCTCGAGTCGTAGTATGTTAACTCTACCCGAATTTCTCCAGCATATTTTCCCTTGAAGTTCAATTGGTGCCACAGGTCGTTCTTTCCGCCCCCAGGCAAAATGACTTCTCGAAGGTCGATCCAGGCTTCGCCGATCAGATCTGTCTTTTTATCGTCGTTGAAGACTGAACACTTGAGTTTGTAATAGTCGGGGCAGTCATGAACGTTGAACCGGAGTTCTTGGTCCCTATGCAGCTAATTAGCATTCCAATAAACGCAGTTGCTGTGCGGTTACGTACCATCTAGGTGTCTGTCCACCTCTTCTGTCTGTGTCGGTCTTCTTTGCTTCTTTGCCCAGTCGCATGGCGCAGTAGGGATCTTGTTTACCCATTGTCTTCCGGTTGGGGAGGTTCTTTGCTCTGTCAACAACGGCCACCAGGGTTCCGATCTCGGGCCCATCGAGGGACATATCGGCGAAGATCCCAGCCGTGTGGGCAGCATTCACGGCTCTCGACTTGGTGGCCATCTTTGAGAGGAGCTGTATTGCAAAGCCTGCCTGCGGTGTTTGTTTTCAGGACTGCTGGAACGCAGGCGGGGTCGAGGCTAGGACTGCGGCATTCGCGGCTGAGGTGGTGGTGAGATTGAGGGTGCTGTTGACGTCGATGTTACAAAGGCATGGCGTCGAGCCGGAAGGGGAGGTAAGCCGTTGGTCGTTTCGATATGTACAAGCTCGCCCAACGTCAAGTCGAGTTCGTGCAAGGCATTGATTATTGTTGTGCAAAGAGTCGAGAACAGAATGAAAGGTGGAGTGCCGAGTGTTGACGGGCTCCAAAGTGGACAGGGCGCCAGCCACAGGAATTTACGCGGCCATTTGACAGATGGCTGGGAGATGGTGAATGAGCAGATTGGCTTTCATTAAGAAAAGTAAGCAAGGACAGTGTTTCATATTGATCGAAATGATGTTCCGCTTTGCAATCACGTCGTCTTCGAGTTATGGCAGCTTCATCATTGTGGTGGTCGACAGCTTAATGGAGCTTCAATGCAAGATGGTGTTGTCCAATCATTTCGATTCCAGTGTTTTGGTGACGTTGATCTTTAGCCAAAGCCTAACAAAGCCGTGCAGAAGCCACTCCAGGGCCTAAGAGCCAAGCTTTTGCGGCGCATCAGGCGTTGATTTAGGCGCATATCGCCCCGCCCTTCCGGCCAAAAAGAGGTGCTCTGCTGTTCACTCGCTTAATGGTACAGTACCTGGTAACCATCATTGCCATCCCACGCCATCCCCAGTCTTTTCGCCTGAACGTTACGCAAGGGCATCTTGTGACGACGCCGGGTGACCCGAGAATGGAATATGAGAAGCTCTCTTCCATCAAGCACTTGTAGTTTCTTCTTCATAGGCATCCTGCATTTGAAAAGCGTTCGGCTCGACATCCGTCTTAGGTTCCTTGCTAACGGTCATATTAATTTATCTACGGACTACTCCGACTAATCCGACAAACCTCACGCGATAGACCAAAAACTGATCTTGCGAGCTTGGTAACACATATTATCAGAGACAACCACCCTTAGACAAAGCACGCATCTATCAGGACATCGACAAAGATATCATGGGCCGCTCAACGCTGCGGCAACTTGCCTCTCATAACCTCTCCATCTTTCGTCATCAACCATTGACCGAGATATCAGGCGCTTTTGGCGACTTGGGCACGTTTCTACCCATAGTCATCGCACTTACCGAAGGACATCAGATCTCCTTAACGACGACTCTTGTCTTCACTGGCGTCTATAACATCCTCACGGGCGCGTTCTTCGGGATTCCTCTGCCGGTTCAGCCGATGAAAGCTATTGCAGCAGTCTCGATTCTCAAGGGCCTTACTGCAGGGCAAACGGCAGCAGCAGGCATATTTGTTTCGTCCTGCATCCTGGTCTTCAGCATTACCGGGCTACTCTCTTGGTTCACTCGAGTCATCCCTATTCCGGTGGTGAAGGGCATCCAGGTCGGAGCAGGTCTCAGTTTAATCATAGCCGCTGGATCTAAAGCGCTTTCATCCCTGTCCTGGACAACACCCTCATGGGCTGATAATTATCTCTGGATGATCCTGGGCTTCGTCTTCCTCTTTGTCTTCAATCTACGGCCCCGGACTCCCTACGCACTGATTCTCTTTCTTATTGGGATAGTCTTCGCGGTCATTCGCACCACTGGAGACCAGCACCAGCATCTTCCGGCCTTCCGTCTGTGGCGTCCATATACTCAGATTCCTTCTTCTAGTGAATGGAAAACGGGTATTCTCGATGCTGGCATTGGGCAACTGCCGCTGACGACACTGAACTCGGTCGTCGCTGTTACTCATCTGGCAGCTGATCTGCTCCCAGAGATCCAGACTCCCTCTGTGACCTCCATCGGTTTCAGTGTCGCCATCATGAATCTACTTGGATGCTGGTTCGGCGCTATGCCTGTCTGCCACGGCTCTGGAGGCCTTGCAGCACAATACCGCTTCGGGGCCAGGTCCGGGGCAAGCATAATATTTCTAGGACTCCTAAAATTGATGGTTGGAATCATGTTCGGTGAAAGCCTTACAGATCTGCTTCACAGATTTCCTCTGGCTTTGCTATCAATCATGATAATCGCGGCTGGCCTAGAACTCGCGAGTGTTGGCGAAAGCCTCAACACACCACGCGCCAGGGATCTAAGCAAAGAAGGCACCGACGCACCACACGCTGTAGGCATCACAGATGAAGAGAGGAAGCAAAGATGGACTGTGATGCTAGTAACAGCAGGACTGCTCGTCGCATTCAAGAACGACGCAATAGGCTTCCTAGCAGGAATGTGCTGCCATTGGAGTTACCGATTACCACGCGGTCTGGCTACACGGCACCCCGGCCCATCCAGGCCTGGAAGCAGATCTGAAGACTCCGATGAGCACCAGTCTTTACTACCACGATAAGATCATGACACACCGCGTCTACCACGGTATCGTCCCATTCGAGTCCGAATTCGTTCCCGTCACCCCACCTGCACCCTCAGCCACCAGTTGGGCCACCCTCAAGGCACCGTGCTTAGGATGCGTCTCTTCACTCAGCTGGATGCCCGTCGACTCCGTCGCTCGCTGACCCGGGCATACAGCATTGACCTTCATACTCGGGTACAGCTTGGCGTAATACACCATGAGCGCATTGACGGCGGACTTGCTTGAATTATACCACGGTATGGGGACGGGCTTGCCTCCTTCCAGCGTTTTCTGGATACTCCCCAGACTTGAAGTGAGGAACATGATCTTGGGGCGTTCGGACTTTTCCAGCAAGGGAATGAGCCTGTCGGTCAATACGCCTGTCGATATCACGTTGATGTTGAACGTCAGGTAGTACTTCTCGCGAAGTGTAGCGTCAGCAGGGAGTTGCCTACCAGCTGTGCCGGCATTGTTGATCAGGATGTCCAGGCGGCCGAAGTGCTGTAGAATGGCTAGATAGCAGTGCTCGATAGATTGGTCATCTGTGATGTCGAGTTGAATGGGATTGACATTCCTGGGCGCTCCCATGCTCGCGGCTGCTTCTTCCCCGCTGCGAGTGTCTCGACAGCCGAGTAAGACTTGGAAATTGGAATTCTCTGATGCGAGCTTCTTGACGATCTCGTAGCCTATTCCTGCATTCCCACCTAACTTAGATGTTAGCAGCGTACGTGTAACCCACTTGCAGCCCTCACTTACCAGTAACAAGGATGATAATCTTATTCACTGCCGCGATGCTGGAAGGCCGATGTAGGAGACCCGGTCGAGACATGCTGAAAGACGATTCTAATGAACCTCGACGAATGAATGCTAAGGGCAGAATACTAGTATCTTAACAATGTGCCCTCGGTGTCCGCACAGATGGTTCAATGTGAATTGTACGGAGTATTGAAACGTTCGATATCAAGAATATACATACGTCATGGACGTCCTGCCAACAACAAAGACCCTTTTATTTGAACCGCAAGTTGGTACCCGATGGCAACCAACCAACCAAGATTGTCCATGCATGGCTGGGACTGGGTGAGCTGCTAGCCATAGAGTCACCCATGGCCGTGGCTCCTCTACACCGATTGTAGCTGTATAGCACAATCTGTTGGATGCCCCGGCTAGAAGCAGTACTGAGAGGCTCATGGTTCCAGCGCTGAGTGAGACTAACAGCCATTGTATTCCTCCCATGTATTCTTCAGCTCTTTGACAGCAGAGCAAGGTTTCTTGCACTTGATTCTTGTCTTCCATTTCCTCAACAGGACGCTATCTACGCCTTCCCATTCAACTTCGTAAACCCCGTAGGTCCATTGGGTATCTGCAGCCAGTTCCTCGCATCATACTGCTCCTCGCCTTCAATTAGATGGAACGTGTATATTATCCGCCCCTTCTGACTTGTGTTCTTCTCGCTCTTATGCAGAGTGTTGCCATGGATCAGCACCAAACTGCCCGCCTTCACTTCGCCCAGGACGTACTCCTCCTTCATGTCCGAGGGTCCCTCATGCTCGAAACCCCTCGGCCACTGCCCCTCTTCAGGCACAGGCTCAAACGTCGTCCCCGAATTGTCTTCCTTCCGCACGAAGCGTTCTTTGATCGGCGCTCTTCGATGACTCCCGGGTGCGAAGCTCAGACACCCGTTCTCGACAGTGGCATCCTCCAGCGCGATCCAAAATCCCACAGCCGACGGCCGTCTCGTGTACAGGAACGTGCTATCCTGGTGCGGCGGCACGGCACCTCCAATCTCAGGCTGCTTGCATATGACCATGCTCTGTAGTAGGCGCGGATCTCTGTACCCTAGATCTCTTGCGATTGCAGCGTTCCGTCGCCCAATCTCTCCTGCATGTGAGACGTTGGCGAACTCAGGGACCAGCCCGTGCAGATTGTGCCCGATCTTGTTAATCGCCCGCTCTTTTGGCTTGTTCAATTCGCCTGTCTGAGTGTCGAATGCATCCTCCTCGAAGAAGAAGCGCACCTTGTCGCCTGACGTTAAAAAGTAATCGTCTCCGACGTGCTTTTTGGGCGTCGAATTGCCGTTCTCATCTGTGCCCGTAGTAAAGCGGGTCATGGGATGTTCAGCAAGAGGGAATTCGGTGAGGAGCTCGTGAGTTTTCGAGAGTAGTGTTTGACATGTTTCTGTGGAGAGGTATGACGGTATTATCAGGTAGCCATCGCGCTGGAAGGATGCAATCTGCTTGGGTGTGAGACCGATCGGTGTTTCCGACGAGGGTGGTTCCGGGGAGACTCTTGAAGGCGCCATTCTGGACGCGGTTCGAGGCGTGTTAGAGTAAGACGAATCCAGGTCGGCTGCGAAAGACCAATATGTAATTAAGAAAATGTCTAGACTCTTACGGTTGAGAGATGTAGGCACATTCGTGTTGCATTCAGACGTGTATGCGCGGAAGGCCTCGTCCTCTGGTACGAGTATCAACAGACATCTATTCTCGTCCCTCCCATCGTGTGAGGGCTGTCGGTCAATCCGGTAGGTCTAAGCCCAGCCGCTGCAAAGAAGAGCTATCCCGAGACAACACCTAGAAAGGTACCTTAATACAGTAAGCGTTATGCCAACCCCGCCTAATCCCTGCAGCTCGACTGGGCCCATCATGCCCATCATGTTAACCCGAAAGCCCGACTCCGATTTGTTTACAACGCACCAAACTAGCAAGGCTCTGGCTGCACTAGGCTGAACCCCTCCATCGAAAAGACACCCTCCAGCCGCCTGCTTTACAGCCCTACTGAAGCAGTCAATACTCCGTAAACTGCTGCCAAACGAAGTGGCTGGAAGCGATGCGCGTCATCAGCCGCTCTGGGCACTCCTCCCATGTGCGGCACGACGCATGTCTGAAAAGACTGTCTTCAGCTGGAACTGCCGATGCTCCTGCCTTTGCGAGTCACTTTTCCTTCTCAAGGCTGAACGCTGCTCTGAAGTCGCAGCTTTTCAGCACACTTGCAGCACTGTAAATCCGTACGATTCACTGTCTGACAATCGCAATGATCGAAGTCAGGTCTCCCGGTCAAGGAACCGAGTATATCCCAGTTGTACCGGCAACCACAGATCAATGGGCAACCAGCTCGGTATGGACGACGGAAGCGACAACCCCGGTTTGGACATCTTGGACGTCGTCATGGACGCCAACCAGCAATTGGGTTTGGACTACAAGCACAACACCTTGTACTACCAGTACATGGACACCGATATGGACAACATCCACACCTTATACCACCACGCTCATAACAACCCCATGCTGTACCGAGACGGTGGCTCCAGGTGTGACCACTAGCCCTTCGGAAGGCATCGTGGTACATCACAATAACGGAGGCCTTTCGCCTGGTGCAGTCGGTGGGATCGTCATCGGAGCCTTCTTTGGAGTACTCCTCCTCTTCCTCCTCTGCATCTTTTGCTTTCGGGCTAGGCGGCGCAATGCATATTACGTCGACGACGAGTCCTCAGAGGACAGCCGTGACCGTCACAGGCCGCGACCTGTTGATCCCTATGGAGGTCGGCCAATGACGTTTGCGGGCGGCGGCAATCAGCGAGAAACGAAGGTCGTCATCACGAAGAGCCAGAGAATGTTTGTCCGACCGCCGCCAGCGAAGAGGGAGAGGATTGAAAGGATCCGTAGAGAGCGGATGGTCGTTGTGGACGAGGATTAACGGGGCCAATGACGACAAACTCGAGCACGAACGCAGCTGCTCACTCGATCTTTATATTTTTTGTATGTATTGCTCATGGTTTCCAGAGTACATATACGCTGGGATGTTTGATAACGATCGTCAATGGTGTTTACGAAGGGGGACTACGAAGATAGAAGGGACAGGACCGGTCTAGAGCAGAGCACTCTGACAGTATTATCTCACTTATGATAAACACCTAAGCTCTTTCCAAATGTGCTAAGTAGATTGGCCAACAGTAACGGCTTCAAGCAATATGAGGATATTAAGCCTTGCTCCGCCATCCAGCTCGAGTTCATAATACATTGACGTAAGGACGATGGTATCCTCAAATTGCTACCCAAAAAAGGCCCATATCGCCCAACAAACAATCACATATTCAAAGGCGTCGTAGCATTGTACCAACTATACGACATACTTCTCGCATTGCTCGGCGGTGGCTGCCTATCATACATCCCCAGCCCAGGAGCTGAATGATAACCATTGTGTCCATAGTATCCTCCTGGGGGCATGGAAGGGTGGTGATTCATCGTTGTAGGCCGAGCCGCAGCTTGTACAGGTCTATGTCTTGGATAAGACCTTGTCGACCCTGAACTCGAACTCGTACTATCCTCATCGTGTCTTGGTTTCCGTGAGCGCGGGCTTTTGTGTGATTTCGTATGCGCCGGAGGTGGTGGTGAAGCGCTCCTGCTTGAATGCGAGAACTGGGATTGGCGCTCCTCATATTCATCGTCGTGATATTCTCTCTCGTGAGCGATAATTTGCGGAGCCGAGATCGTCCTATTCTTCCCGGCTACATTCGCTTTCGTGGCCGACTGGCGTTGCAATTTCTCAGGGGATGCGGACAGGTCGTAGGGGTATTGCGGTCGATTGACGGGCTCTTTCCTGGTGGATGGGAGCGGTTGGCAACTGAAGTACGCTAATGGGCCTTTCAGAGCAACAGCAGGATCGATGGTCACGGTCTTCTTTCGTGGTGTTGGTGCGACTTTGACCCAACCTTGTGGTGTGAGAACTGTGGGCATTTTTCTGAATTTTCCTTGACCTTGGGAAGGGGATCTAGTATCAATCAAGTGCGAGTACTATGGGTTTAGATCGAGAAGAATGGGCCTGAATGTAGAATCAAAACATGGGGACAAAGATTCATGGTCGCTGTCAATCTGGGTGCGAGCAATTTGAGATTACCGTCCCAGCCACGCCGGCTGTGCAGGCTGAAGGACGAGGCTGGGGATTGAAACCAAGAAACCAATGATTCGTGTGCGAATCATGTCGTGATTACTTCAGAGACACGTAGACTTACAGCATCTTGCCATTGATTGCACTCAGGCAGCAGGACCTTGAAGGAGCATTCGTGCAACTAAGGTGTGGTCTGTGATGTTAACGGCATCATACGGTTAAGTGGAGGAGGCACGGGGAGGTCAGAGCTTTACAGCCTTGCCCGAAGATCGAAACCACTTGAGCAGATCATATTGACCGAAAAGCCACAAGTCTGGTGGAGCATAGGAACACTGAACACTCCACCTTCTCTTCTACGGAGTACCGGATACTTCTAGGCAAGATTTTTTCAATTTTTATGTAGGGCGTACTCCGTTCGAGCAAGAGACTTCCTCCTCCGTCTGATCTGTGATTAGACCGGCATAGACGAGGGACCTCTTCTCCCCGCCACGAGATCTCGTCGCCCTCAAACATCATCTCTTGCGTGTTCGACCCCCACGCCTTCGTCACCACCATGGTCCGCATTATCAAAGTAGTGGCTCTTCGCATCACCTACAGCTCTCCCTTTGTGAACAATGGTCTCTTGCCAACCCACCATATATTGGGTTTGGGACACCTCAATGAATTTCTCCTCGCTAGGACGAACCGTATTTTGGTAGAGTTGGTCTTTTCGTGCATTTGCCAGGCACTGGACGTCCGGCATGACCATCTCTACTATCCCATCGTAATCGAGCGGTTTCATGTGTTGCAAGTCAGCGACTTTGGAGATACATTGCTGTTGGAAGGACGGTGACGTATGAAACTGCAAAGAGAACAGGTTAGAAGGCCGCGCTCTTGGATTTTTAAGACAGAACATTCGATTGGAGCTCAACCGCAATGCTTAGTAGTGCTGACATACCTGAGTGTCTCTCGAGATCCCGTGTTTAGGCAGCCAGTCTTGTATCAGTGGAGAGTGCTTTTCTGTCCAGTACTGGTTGAACTCATCATGGCTCATACCATTCTTCCTCTTAAGGAACATGCACACTTTCATGCTTCCTGTCCGAGAATTCGCTGCTACGTCGTTTGCCATAATGCTGAAAACTTTGCCAACACCAATGGGATGACCTGAAGTATAGTTGACGGATTCTCAGGAGAGGCCGTAATAGTGTGGTCTAGGCGACTATGGGCGCCATATATAAATCGGAACTACACCTTGAATTGTGGCCATTTCAATGAGCACCAACACCGTCATACCTTCGCGTCGCTGCACCACAAGGCACAACCCACCAACTACATGTCCAGTCTGTTGCGTAAATCTTTTCATATTGGGAAAGTGGACAACCGAAAGAATCGGCAGTGGATGAGAAAGAAGGTCGGCTATTGTCTGGCGAGGCTGGTTACGTCCCTGCTGCGTCATGGTCGGAATACTTATCCGTATTGAAGATCCGCAAAAGCATTGCGTTCTCCTCCTGTCCGGCCGCATACTCGGAAAGCCTAGTTGACAACAGGCCGGGAATATGAATCAATTGATTGTGAAAACCAAGACGGGCTTATGAAGAACGTCCATGTTGCTTATCCCCATGGGAGAGTGAAGGGCAACAGGAAGCAATCCCCCACTCAGCTTCGTGCTGAAGGGGTGCCCCGTTTGCTTTCTTGCAATTTCCAAAGATGGGGATCTTCGCCCATACAGCGTAGGAGCTAATGCCAGACATTACAGCGTGGTGTTGGACAGGGCCGTGATGGCGGGAGTTGTGAGCCTGGATCATCTGGCTCCTAGACTGCTCTCCACATCTTCGTCTCCTGGCTTCTTGTCCTCATCCAAATGTAAAGCGTGGATTTCCGCGAGGTTGAACCTCCTGAGGCTTTCGAACTCGTTTCCAACTACGCTCATACCAACGATATTCCTGTACACATCGACAAGGATGAGTTTGTCATAGCCCTTGAGGTCAACGCTATGCTTCCCGTTCCCAAGTGCAGCAACCTTTTCAGCTACTACTTTGATAACCTGGTCTCGGTCCAATTTGTCATTGTTACGTATCGTTGGCCGGATCGCAAATTTGTAGACTTGGACACCAGGTTGATCGATAGCAGCATTGGGATCGTCCGACTGGACCTTGAAATGAGCTGGCAGGACCTCGTCGCAGAGACTTTCAAGACCGCTGGGCAAAACTTTTCGCACGAGGCTTACCGGCGTGAGTCTCTTGACATAGCGACTTCGAGGGCCTGTGTAATTTCTTTGAGAGGCCGAATCGCAGATTTTGCGTACGAGATCAACAGGATCTGGAGTTGTTGTCGTCTCTGAGCTGGAAGGAAACCTAATGAATGATACGCATGGGATGTCGAGGGTGACCAAAGATATTTTCTGAGCCGGCACATTCGAGGATGACGGGCTAGGACGTAGTGAGTCCAGCTCAGCAAGAATGTCGGCTTCGATGTCGATGTCACCACCCGTAGCTTCACCTTGATCTTGCTGGGCAGCTTCATCAGAAGATTGAATATCTTGGCCGATATACTGTCGGAATTAGGAAACATCAGCAGAGAGCGGATTTTTGAGACTGACCTCGCCTAGAATATCCGAGATTTCCTGCAAACATCTCTTCTCTTGACCTTTGTCGCAGGTTACGAAAATGCCCACGTCTCCGCTGTGAATGCCAGATGCACTGATTGTCTTTGCCCGTCTGCTCATGTACTTGCCATCATCGTGGCTTGAACCTTGAGCTTGCCGCGTCAAATATTTACCCTTGTTCGTAGTTTTTGGTCTGGTGCCGTTTACCATGTCCTGTTACAGTAGGTTAGAACGAGTAATTCCGGACTTGTATCAACTCCAGCCAAATGGAGTCATGGTAGACTAAACTTGCCGGTCGTGGCCCACGGTCCATCTTCACACGCTTCGACGATCTCTCCGCAGAGTCTGCAGAGCCCATCATGTTGATGGTGTTGACAAACAATTAAATTTTTGACTGATGTCTTGCGGAGGTTCGAAAGTGGAGGTCCCATCATGGCCTAACAATAGACTTCGACGTCACGTGTTAGAATAACAACTCTGTTGAAAATCTATCTTTGGTTCAATCATCGTTCTTCCCTCGCAGAACGAATTTGAATGTTGGAATGCAGCAAAGCATCCTTCTGCGGGCGTCCGCACGCACGGTCGCCTCGGTTCGTCTCACCATGAGACGTATGGCACCCCGAGAAGCCGCAAAGAGCCGACCTCGTGATGGCCGCTTTACGCGCCATCATCTCCTTGACAGGATGGCTCTCAACGGGGAGATGTGCTCTAGGTCCAACCGACGTTGATTTTGCGACACCCAGCAGCAGAACCGCCATTGGACTCGGTTGTCCCCATGTTAGGTAGTTCCGGTCAAGCTCCATAGACCTTGCTCGTGCGACTGCTTTTGCTTCGGCTACCTCAGCACTAGTAGAACACCTCGAGCAACCTGGAAGGCAAGTTGTGCCAATGATCGCAATGGCCGCGCTTACTGCAAGTATGTAGAAGTCGAGTCTCCACGTAAATCCCCTTCCTCGAGCCAGTACCTGTCGCTTCATCTCCAGGTATAGGCCCATCATGGCATCAATGTTCGCGTCGAAGCAACAGTTGCCAGGGTCGAAAGCTGTTCCAAACGGTGGATTAGGAGGGCTTGTCCCGTCCAAAGGGGTAGCTGTCGATCAAGAGATAATGGCGACAACCACGGTTCCGACGCCAGCCAAAGTCACTGGCAAGAGACGACAGAAACCTCCTCCAATTCGAACTTCGGGCGGTGCCTTCAGCCTACCAACGACTCCCTCTCAGACTTCAGCAGTGTCAAGCTTGGGCTTTGCAGGCTTGTGGACTCCGAAGACACCCAAAGATAATCCATGGCCACGTTCTCCCGGCAAAGCAAAGTCAAACGCGGTGTCTTCACCCTTAACGGGACGCCATAATTCTGCCGCTCCCGGTGACTTGTACTGCACACTTCCGGAAGCGCCAGTAACTTTCATGTCAAAGTTGAATTCACTACCGGTAGAGCTGCCTGGATCACTCCTCCTGGCAAGTCAGGGTTTCCCACAAACCAACCCGATTTCACCGCCACCGTCACTTCGGCTAGTCCGCAGAGACACAGAGGATTCAACAACGAGTTCTGCACCTCCTTTATCTACCTCAGCATCGAGCGATGAACTCGCCATGGACTCCCTGCGAAATCTAACAACCTCGACGAGAAGGAACGACCAAAGCACAATGCAGACGTACATTATCGGCAACCGCCACGTTCAAGAAGCGCGAATCACAAAGCCCTTCTCTGCAATGACTATTGAAGAACTACTGGACTACCTGCCGCAATGTAATAATCCCACGACAATCACACAGCTGTGGCTACCAGCGATCCGAACTCAAATTCAGAAACTGGCGGAGCTGCTAGAGGACGCTGCCGACATGAAGGTTGACGAGAGTCTAAATCAAATTGCTATCAACCAAGTACAGGAATCGTGTGTGATAAGCCATGCTGTAACTGACCTCTGTCAGGACTTGAACGACTTTGCCCAAGAGATTCGACTCGCCGCCACCTCGTTCCGGAAGATTGTGGAATCCGCCGAATCCCTGGCTGAGCGAGACACGAAAAATTGCCATGAGCGCCTCATAGAGCTTGAAGACCAGACACAAAATGCGTTGAAGCAGATTGAGAGCAAAGAAAAGGTGGTTGAACACCAAGGCAGGAAGATTGATGAACTGAAGCATACCATTCACGACATCGTTCGAGTCCTCGGCACCTTCATTCAAAACAACGTTTCAACCTGGATTGAGACAATTGACGAACCAAGAACGCAAGAAGTCCTTCAACTCATCTCGGACTACGCTCCTCGTGGGGACAACAAGCCTATTCGGTACGTTCGGGTTCCTGAAGCGACGATCTCACAATATGCGCGAGCTATGCGTGAGGCACAAGCCACCGTCGGCGAGTACCGCAAAGTCTTGTATGGTCAGAGTGCGACGATCAGCGAACAGTCACAGAATCTCGATGCATACACAAGCAAGTATGAGGAGGCTGTAAGCTTGGTGAAACAACGGGACCATGAGCTGACGTTGCTCGTCCAACAAAACGAGGATCTGACCAAGCAGTTGCGTGAAACTAAAGCTACATTGACCCAGAGTCAACTCGTAGATGTCGATGTTGAGATCATGGGTCAGCAGTACGAAGAACAGCGTGTTAACATGGAGAGCTTGAAGCTCGCACATGAGATGGAACTTGAGCATCGCGATGCCGAGATCGCCGACCTTCGTCGGAAGTTGGGAAGTGCCCGTGAAGAAGTCTTTGCACGAAGAGAAGATGTGAAGAACATCATGTCTCAGACACAGGCTATGCTCCAGACGACAGCCCGTCATCCGGAACCGACGATTCGAAGTAGCAACGCATCGAAGGCATTGAGATTCCTTGGAATGGAGCGAGACAAAGACAAATTCAAAAATCGTTCCCTACCTTCGAGCCGGAGCCTTATGGCTTTCGCACCTCCAAACGCCGGCGCAACAGCTGACTCGAAATATTCTTCCAAGGAACTCGCCCCGACAATTAGCAGGCCCATTGTCCAACATCTAGGGTCGTTCGACCAGAGCTTATATGCTCAAACGAGCCCCAATAGTCCAGTTGCTAGACGCCAAGCCTCGAGCGATTGCAACTTGCCTTCAGCACGTCCAAGAGCTGATTCACTAAGTGCGTTGCAGGAGTACCGTGTGCCGGCGTCCCCTGTTGACACACAGAAAACGTTACCAGATCCTCCTGTACGACCCGCAGCACATCGCTTGTCTTCCGCTCGGATTGCAGAGATCACACAGTCGATTGCCAGTCCGACAGCGGCGCAGATTGCCAGCGACTATTTCAAAAATAGTATACTCGGTCAGACATCCGCACGTCGAGTGCTAAGTCACATTCCAGAGCTTTCGGGCCATGGATTGGCAGAAGCAGGCAGTCAGCGTGATGGAGACGTTGATGGAAGACGCACTTCCGACGAAAGTGTTGCCAGCAGTGACCGCGAGATGTACCGACGGAGCGTTTGTGCATTGGACATGCTGAATTCATCAGCCCTTCCGTGCGACGAGACCGAGACCGATCTTGGCCAATACATGCAGCGTGGACAAACCAGTACAAGCCCTGATCGACATCAGGACGAGGGCCTGGACAACACTGAAGACGTCGAGTTTCAGACGGGAGTGGCACGTGTCCTGCATATGCGGCCAGGCCAGAATAACCTCCGAGACGTACGGACAGTTCGAAATCGCCGCAGTGAGGTAGACGAGCAGGTCAGACAGAGCATTGTATCCGATGGCTCTGGATATCAGACTTCAGACTCGGAACCGATGACGGTCACTCAGCTGTATCATCAGAGTGGACGCCATATTCGTGGTTGAGTGTCAAGCCTATCACGGTTCCGACTACGAGGGCTGCACTTGCCTGTGGATGATGGACAACTTGACGGTCAATCGGCTGGCGCATTTCTAACGGTGTTCAACTGCATTGGTACGAGGCAAGGAAGCTGAGGCTTCGGAGAAATCGGTTTCTCTACTCATCTCCGGACCTTGGACACCTAACTACAGTTGCAGTCTAACCTTGTTTAAATCACTTTGAGTTATTCGAACGATCGAGCCGACTGGCCAGAGTAAGGCTAAGACAGCCTGGAGATCAGCTGTACTGGCAAGTTCGGTTGGATACGACGTATGAGAAGAATTACTCTTAGCAAGCCTTCAAGGTTATCCCTCGCTTCGTAGTCCTTAATGTGTTCCTCTGTGAAACGAACCCTTTGAAATGCAGTAAGCTGTGAGGCATACCAGCTCAGCCTTGTAGGAAGGGTCTGCCAAAATCCACCAATCACACTGTCCGATGTGCGGCAATGGCAAGGCTGCTCTTCCATCTTGTTACGGCGCCATCTTTTGTCCACATGCCTTACACTCGCCAGTTCTCTCGAAGACACGTTTCCAGCTATATAAAACATTGAAGGTCTCACTCATGCTCTTGCGTTAACCTTGATGACAGCCAAGTCAAAAAAGGTCGAATTGCACAACACTATCTGAAGCTGCGCTGTCGAACCATTCAACCACACGATGACCGACCCAACGTCGACAGACAAAGTCTCTGTCCTATTCGTCTGCCTAGGCAATATCTGTACGTTTTAGTTCCCGCCTCCAGCTTTCATTACCTGTCCCATACTGATTTATTCCACCTTCAAGGCCGAAGCACAATGGCTGAAGGGGTATTCCGCTCCCTGACGAAATCTCATCCACGCGTCGGCTCCATCGACTCGGCGGGCACTGGTGCTTATCATGTAGACGATCCTCCTGATGACCGTACAATGGACACACTGCGCCGGAACGGGATAACAGACTATGACCACGGCGCACGGCAGGTCAAGACACAGGACTTCTTCGAATATGACTACATCTTTGCCATGGACGGCTACAATCTGCGGGATTTACAAAAACTACAGCGCAGAATCGAGGCAAAGGGACAAGCAGAGAAGATCAGGGCCAATGTTATGATGTTTGGAGAGTTCCATGGTGGCAAGAGTAAGAAGAGCAAGGCGGAGGAAGTCATTGACCCATACTACGGCGCAGATAATGGCTTTGACGTCGTGTATGAGCAGGTCACAAGGTTTTCGAATACTTTTCTTGAGCAGGTCCTTGATATCAAGGAATGATATGGCAAAGGGTTGCGTTGTTTTCCGACTTTTGGTGATAGAGAGGGGTTCGATGGCTTGGGGGCATTGCCTTTTGAGTTATTTAATGGCAGGAAGTGGGTATTTCAAGGACAGCGAGGCGTTTGGTCGGTCAATACACGACGCGTGGAATGATGGACGGCTGCTGTATGGCAATGGGCAGTGGTTATGGGCGCAGCACAACGATTCGGCACTGTGACATAGAGTGTGATCCAAGATTGATGTTGGCGCTCGAGGAGAGGCCGGACCAGCAGCGCATCTCTTACCCTGGAGAAACCTCGAATGGAACTCGATGCTTGTTCCTACATAAGATCCTGACTACCTGATCTATGTCGTTGGCCGAGATGGATTTGCTGTCGAGCCCCGTTGTGATCCACGAGCACCGCGGTTATGGTGGGACTCCTTCTGAGGTAGGCTGAAGCCCGGAGTTTACCCGCCTAGAGATTCATTTCATGTCGCCGCAGGATATTCTTCCGATGCTTGTAGTCCTTCCCTTGTTACAACGCCGGTCGAACAAATAAGATAATGCCGCCGACAGAAGAAGACATCGCTTGGTTCCGGTCGACCTTCCATCCTATTCCCAAACCTGCTTTGCCTGATGATACTATTGAATACTCGGCCTACATACTGTCTCCCTCGGCCGACGCGAGCAACGACTCCGAATTGGGCCCTCGATTACGCAATGTACAGAAGTATGCGACAGAGCTGCATAGGCAGTACTTGAAGGAATACGTATGGCAACGCCAGGTGTTCTCATTAGAGCTCAAAAAAGAGGATGGTGAGGTCTGTACCCTGACATAAAGGACAGACGGGAATCAACTGACACTTGGAATAGGGCTGAGTTTTCTACAAGGCCGAACCGAATATGGCGACTCCGTTGAAGACGAATGGGTAATAGTGTGGATGCTGCGTGAGCTGACACGCAAGTTCAACGACCTCTGGGTCAAAGTCACGGACAGCGATGGCGAATTCCTCCTGATCGAAGCATCCGGTACCCTACCTGCCTGGCTTGAACCGGACGTCGCAGAGAACCGTGTCTGGATCAACAATGGTCAGCTCAAAGTTATTAAGCCAGCTGCTGCTGCGAGATCGTCGAGACGGACAGAGGAGAAGTTATCTCTTGCGCAGGCTAGGGAACTACTGCTGCAAGAACCAAAGAGAATCATGCACTCGACAAGCATGGAAGAAGAAGCATTCTTCCGACTGCGGAACTATCCGTCCCAAATCGCAGAAAACATGCATCATGCTGTGGTCACGCTGCCCCGGAAACTTGCGTTCTTGCTCCATCAAAAACCGGCATATATCTCGCCCGCTGTGGAGGCATTTTATCTTCGAGATCCCATCGCTCTCAAGCCACTTCAAAAGAAGGAGAACAAGGACGCCATGATCTTCGCGCCGCAGGATTTTGTCAATGTCAGCGCCAAATTCCCACGTGTGGCGTATGCACAGGTCAAGTCGCAGGATTTCCCTGCACCTGCTGTCTTTGCTGGCACGTTGCCTTCGAAGACAGAGCCAATAGCATACGCTCGAGCAGCAACGGGTATGAAGGTAACTTGTGGTTTCGAGATACTGGTCACGGACCCACAGTATCAGGATCGACCAGCTGTTCGCGAGATGAAGATGCTGCTGGAGGATCTAGAGTTAGGAGACGAGGTATTACCTTCTGACGCCGACATCGAGAAATGGGATCACAGGGAAGACGACGAGAAGTGGCTGGACATCGACTTTGACGATCTGCAGAAGGAGCTTGGTGGCGAGAAAGGCAAGAAAGCCGGTTTTGGAGATAAAGCCACGCAGGAGAATCTGCAGCGCATTGTGAAACAGTTCGAAGAGTTCTTGAATGATGACAAGTCTGGGCCAGACGCTGCAGGACTGTTTAGTGAGGACAGTGATGGTGATGGTATTGATGACGACCCTGACGATGAAGACGACGATGATGAGGGGGAGGATAAGGAGGCCAGCTTCGGCGAAGAGGAGTTCACGAAAATAATGCAGGAGATGATGGGTATGCCTCCGGAGGTTATGAAGGAGATCATGACAGGGAAACTGGGGCCAGGAGCGCATGAGCCTGCGAGCCGGGTGAATTTACGACAGCCTCCCGACCTGGCCGGACACGTGGAGGAAATCGAGGAAGACTCTGACGAGGAAGGGAATCAGGACATGCAGACGTTCGTGAGGCAGATGGAGAAGGAGCTCCGAGGGTCAGGAGCTTTAAATTTAGGTTCGCCTTCCAGCAAACCTGGCGCCGGCAAGCAAACTGCGATCGAAGGCTCCGGGCGGACGGCGGAAGACGAGGACGAAGAGCATGACTTGTCCTCGGACGACGATATTGACAACGAGATTGACATTGACCTCGCAAGGAATCTACTTGAAAGTATGAAGGCGCAAGCTGGCACAGCTGGTCCCGGGAGCAACCTCATGAGTATGATGGAAGTCGATTTGCCGGAAACTGAAGACGACCACGATGAGGATGAGGTTCGGGCTGGACCGAGCGGCACGAAGAGGTAATGGTACGGCTCGACATGGAAACAGTAGAAGATGAAGACCACTTGGTGGACGCCAAAAGCATATCTTCTCCTGTTCTTAAGCGCTTGTCGGCCTCCGCCAACGTACCATAACTTCCAACTCCTGTTTTCTGCCTCACCCACACAATCAACCTGCACGACCACGGATGGTACGCGCAAGACTTCCTGCAAATAATGCAAAAAAACTTATTCCACCCTACCAGGGGTCGAACATCTGTCTTTCGACAGGCTCGTCTGGGTTACGGTTAACGGGTGGGAAGTTAAACTCTGACACCTCTTTCGCGGGTTGGTTTTTTTGGTGGTGTTTCTCTACATGAACCACAACCCTTCTTCCAAAGCGCCCATTAACTCTGAAACCACCTACACCAGTAGTGGTCAAGAAGCGGATGACTTTGTCCAGGTTATTGAGGGAAAATCGAGGAATACAATATATATCCTTTATACTGCCGCACCAATATATCTGTATGGAGACAGGTATGCCGAACAGCGGTGTGGTTACCCAGTCTCTCTAATTCACGAGCAGACGAGTGGAGAAAGAGTGCCGAGGGAGTGCAGTCGTTACATGAAGCAAGCTATTCAATATCCAGTCCTGCCCTCTACCACGCCATACGCACCAGCTCCCTTACTAAACATCTCTCTCACATCTGCCACGATATCCATCGGGCACTCCCACGCCGCGAAGTGGCCCCCTGAACTATGGTCCTTCTCAAAAACCACGTTTCCCAACGTCCTTGTCCATGTACTTGGCAGAACGTGGATGTCACGCGGGAAGTGGCTGTACCCTATCTTGACGCCGGGAAGCCACATTCGAAGCTGTGCTCGTGTGAGCCTCTGCCCCCAAAAACCCTGGCGATCCATTTCATAATATATCCGGCAGCTCGCGGCTGGTCCGGCCGTGCTGAACCAGTATATCGATACCCATGTGCAGACCTCGTCATCTGTCCAGGGATAGTTGTCCGCCCAGTCGTGCAGTTTCTCGTAGATCCAGGCGAGAAGGGCGACGGGGCTGTCTGTCAGGCCGTAGCCTAGGGTTTGGGGTTTCGTGGATTGCAGCAGGTTATACCCGAAGCATTCTTTGTCGAACCACTCGGTGCGGGATATGCCTTGTTGTTCTCGCTCGGAAAGTGGCTTTAGGGCTGCTTCGGCAGCGAGCAGCGGATTCTTGAGAAAGCTTGGTGCTTGACCGACGTCCATGTTGAAATGCGTTGCTTTGCAATGTTGAGGGTAGAGCTTGGAAATGGTTCGTGTGATGTACCAACCCCAGTCACCGCCTTGCGAGACGTATTGAGTATAGCCAAGGCTGAGCATTAGCTTATGCAGAGTTTCGGCGTATTGCTCCATGGCAAAGCCTCTTTTCTTGCTGCCTTCGGAGAAACCAAAGTTCGGAAGGGACGGGGCCACGATGTCGAAGCAGACTTGTCCGTCCTCTGCTGATGTAAGTGAGTCGAGGATCTTGGCAGCTTCGAGGAAGTTGCCTGGCCAGCCATGGACGAAGAGAAGAGGGATTGCGTCCTTACGATTGGACTTCTTGTGAAGGAAATGGATCTTCAGATTCTCGTAGCCTTCAACCTGGATGGAAGTGACGAAGTGCGGGAGCCCGTTGAGCTTTTGTTCAGCTTTCCTCCAGTTGAAGTTTTGGCGCCAGTGTTTTGTTAGTCGCTGGATGTCGTTGAGGGGAGCTCCCAGTTCCCATTGGGCGTCGCCCAGTTCGTCAGGAAATTTGGCTAGGTCGAGTCTGTCGTTAAGGTCACGGATCTGTGACTCGGGAATGGATATGGTGTATGGTTGAATTGGAGAAGACATGCTGGCGCAGGACAATTCTGTTTCGTTGACTTACACTTTCTACTGCGATGCGCTCGAGAGTGGGGGGTCTCTACACCCTCGAGGCCCCGATACATATATATACCTGATGTTTGGGACAGTGATCTGGCGTATACGCGCATAGCCAAGCAAAGATTCCTCCTTCGCATTCTACCTGGGTGGTATTAGCAATCCAGCGAGCTGGGTATACGATGTTTTGAGCCCTGATAATGTTAGAGACAGTCCTCCACCAATACGGCTGTAGTGTACGCACCAGACAGCCATGTTAGTCAGCTCTACATACTGTATCGCACTATCGGCATGACGTAGACGCGGAGTGACTTGGCCCGATCGTCCCTATCTGGCAGTAAGGCCGCAAACATTCACTACAAGTCGGTATTGATGCAATTCAGAGTTCGCTAATTTGTTCGTTTCAGAAAGCGAGATGATACTGTCACGTTGACATGGTTGTATCATTCTTGCTACCTTGAAAGCGATGGACTGAGAACGTGTGGCAGGCTCTATGAGAAGGTATCGGCACACCTTCCCCAGAAAATAGGTGATTTGAATGAGTGACGCCTGCCCTGCCCGCCATCCTGTCCTCGAATGTCCATACTAGCACAATGAGAGGCAAGCAACCTCACCTTTCCAGCGAGGCCTGGTCTGCATGTATTCGCAGCAGGTTAAACTCGTCCTACCACCTGCAGATAACTGAAAGATTGTCTCCGGCGGATACTGGCTGATTCACTCTCCCCTCCTCCACATGAGACTCTCAACCCCTCCGTCGCGACTGCAGCAATTGTCTTCTCTTGATGCCGCGCAATGTCGGATCTCAGAGGACCCCTCACCTCTCTACGCCCACCTAGAAACGTCCACCAGATAACGAAGGCCGCTCAAGAATACGAGTATGATGCCCAGATTCCACTACGGACCTGGCTGCGGTCAGCTCAGGCAATGCTCAAACAGGTTGGTTGTACGCTCATCAGAGAGGCAATGCGGTAATTAACCCCAGCGGACAGGCGGATATATACATGCGAGAGGGCGATGAAGAGACGACTTATTTGTTGCTCTTTCGATTTGCCCACCTGATCCTCTCACAACTGCCGGCGCATCCGCAGTATCGTGACAAAACAAATAGAGATGTTCGAGAACATATGCAAGCAGCAGAAAAGGAAGTCAACAGGGTCTTGAAGATTCTCGATCTTATAAAGCCTCGAATCAATGAGAAGTATGATCGCTATGTCAAGATCGTCAAAGAAAGAGAGGCACGGAGAATTGCACAGACACAACAACATCACTCTGCAGGCGAATATTCGTCTTCGACAGCAGTATCGAGCCAGCGGTCGCAACCTCTACAAGCATACGAAAACAAGGACCTTGCTGTTCGACTAGCTCAGAGAGAGATCTCCAGAAGAGCGGCAAATCGACAGAGTGTTTCGATATCCGGCAGCGATGGAGATGACATTTCTAGAAGGCTTCAGGAACTGCGTGCTCGAGTTGATGGACGGGTGCAAACTTCATCAGACTCGGGATTCACGCCTCGACCTCCCATGGACAGCAACCTGCACTACAATTATCCCAGCATCCCCTCACATCATGCCCAACCGGTCTTAAGCCCTCCCTTATCGCAAGACTTTCGACAAGACAGAGGAAGCGACCTACCGATCTCTCCTGGTGCAGTCCCCCCAAAGCCACGAAGCCTGGCACCTGCGCCTCCACCTCTACCAGAGAAGATTGCAGCACAGCCTGAAGCAAGGTCAGGGTCAGCTACACCCGAGGCGGCGCATGTTTTTGCTCCCGCCGCATATCTCGAAAACGGCACTCCTTTGCGGACTATCTTCTTACCACCCGAATTACGTACCACCTTCCTGAGAATTGCCTACAAGAACACACTGGCAAACTTGGAAACCTGTGGGTTCCTGGCAGGTACACTGATTGCGAACGCCTTCTTCATCAGTCGACTTATCATTCCCTCACAAACTGCCACTTCGGACACGTGTGAGATGACGAATGAATCACAACTTTTTGACTATGTGGACTCGGAGGATCTTATGGTTCTTGGATGGATCCATACGCATCCGAGTCAGACTTGCTTTATGAGCAGTCGAGACTTGCACACTCATGCCGGATACCAGATGATGCTTGCTGAGAGTATTGCTATTGTATGTGCACCTAGCAAGGGGGATGTCACGCACGGTGGTGATTGGGGTGCTTACCGGCTTACGGATCCTCCGGGGAAGAAAGCGATCCTTAACTGCGATCAGCCCGGGATCTTTCATCCTCACGATGTCGAAAATATCTACACCGATGCGCTCCGACCGGGACACGTGGTCGAGGCTAAAGGTATGCAGTTCGAGGTGGTGGACCTCAGAAACAAACAATGACGACGACTTTATGGAGATGTCTTTCGCAACGTCGTCCCCATGTGGACCGGGTGGTCAGACGTTTTATTGAATCATATGTCTCAACATGCACTGTCGGCCCATGGGACGCATCGACAGCAGCACATGAAAATTTCAATACCAGCATAAATTTGTGCTGGTTCAGTTAGCCGGCCCTTATACTGATAAGTTCCAAGCCAATCTGCTCGAGTCCAATGGCTTCTTATCTCTTTGTGCTCGGTCCTGCTCCAGAAATAACATGCACTTCTTTAGTTTGGGAATGGTAAGAACCCGTTGTTCAGTCGATCCAGATTACGGCTTTGAACATGTCTTGTTGTCATCTTGCGAATTGATATGTGGCTGAGGGGCAATAGTCGAGGACGCTGAATATGGATTACCCTGCTCCGTAAAAGCGAAAAAGAGACGCGTTTCCTTGCATGTTCCTTGCTGAGCTGATGAGTCGGTGACAGGTTGGAGACAGCGGCTCGAACTTCTGAAGCAGCCGTGGCGTCTTGCGCGTCCGATTATTGGGCGCCGCTCGGAAGCCACTCCACGAATGGGACTGGGGCAGCGCAAATGAGCAAATCAGGGCGAAGGCGCGAGCCGGTCAACTCGGCCGGAACCAATGCAGGAACAATGCAGCGTTGCCAGATGCTGATCATGGGACACGCCAGCAAAAAGCAAAGCTTGCATCTCAGCAATACGAGGAAGGACATCTTCTACCTTTTCCTTGGGAGTTTTCTTGTAACCCGATCCCAACGGCCTTGGTTACTCAACCACCAGGACCTGATAAGAGAGGTATCGAGGTACGGACCAAAAAGGGCAGATTGGATGATAGGCTTGTGGTGGCTTTGAATTGTGGTGTGGGATCGTGTGTGGGATCAAGCAAAAGGTGTGTTCCTGACTAAAGGCCACCGGCTTTGCTCCTACCTTGCCAACTTGGGCCTAGCCTGGACCGAATGTAATTTGGAGAGTGGAAGGAAGAGAGAAACACTCGGAAATTTGGCTCCCTCTGCACCTCCGTGGCCTCCCAAATTCAATGCCCCTGCTCCAGTGTTCAGGCTTCTCCCATTCCCTTGTCCTTGCACTTTATCCACTGGCTTGGTGCCTATTGAACCAGACAACTGCGCCCCTCCTTCACGGTTAGCCTGTCTCTCGCCCAGCGTTCCACTCTTTTCCTTTCTCTGTCCTCTGTCCACCACCACCTGCGCCCGTCAAGTCGTCTTCGCCTTCTTTCATCTCCCTCACCCGAGCCAAACACACGCACATTCCTTTCAACCAGAATACTCGACGACTTTGAACACATCGCCATCGAGGCAACGATACTATCGCCATTCCTTCCGACGACAATAACGTCTCATCTATTTCCTCGTTCTCGCACTCGCTTGCCGGTATTCCCTTGGCCGTTTTCAGGGGTGTTTGTGTCACCTCTGAAACAGCTCGCATTCTTGGAAGAGGAAGCGGTCTCGACTCTCCCAACTTCATCCACTACAATCCTCTCCATACTCATAGCAATCACGAGTTTCCCCGTTGTCGTTAACTGCGGTGAAAGTCCACAAAAGAGCAGGGAAGAAGCAGCGCAGGTCGCTGCTGCAAACTCACAAAGGGATCATCGAGCTGTGTCCATTGTGTAAAGGTGCACTTGCGAGCACCGCCTTTCCTCCGGCTTTGGCAACATCTGGTTCAATCTCACCAACATCTATTCCTCCCGCCATATCACAATCGACCTTATATGAGAGTTGTGTCGCACAGTACCGTGGTGGCGCGCTTTGTCTATACGTTTGACTCTGTTACGAACTTTGCCAGTCGCTCTTAGCAATAACAACACAATATCGAAACAATGACACGATCACTACTTTCAGCCGTCGTGCTCACTTGGGCATTTGCGCTTCTCGCCTCTCCAGTAACAGCTCAATCTACCACCGAGGCAGCAGCCGGACCTATCCAAACATTAGCCTGCTACGAACTTCACAACCCTAGTTATCTGGAAGACCAAGGGGCCAACACTTTTCAGTCGTCTGGTTATTGCCAAACAGTATGCGTGGCTGCAAACAAACCAGTCATGGCTACTACAGGAGGCTCAAATTGCTACTGCGGTGATGAACTCCCGCCCACGAGTGCCAAGGTGGACAATAGCAGTTGCAACTCGCCCTGCCAAGGTTTCAACCAGCAAACTTGCGGTGGTATTGGGGGTTTCTTCCAGCTCTACCTCTCCGGATTGACTGGTGATGTCCAGATTGCGCCCGACAGCAGCAGCTCAGCATCACCGACTGCAACCCAAGGTGCTGGGAGGTCTACTTCTACAGAAGCCGCAATAGTCACCAAGACAGTTGCACCAACCCCGGCCCCTGCAAGCTCCAGCGCTGCGAGTTCCAAATCATCCGGCGGCCCAAACAAAGTGGGCATTGCTGTAGGAGTGGTCGTCGGTGTCATCGCTTTGGCTGCCATCATCGGCTTGATTGTGTTTTTCGTGAAACGCAGGAGGAACAGAGAGATCGAAGAAGAGCATCGCCGCAATGCTGCAATTGGAACAGCAAAATCCGACAAGTCGTCTGTGGCTGACCAACGGCTTGACCCGTCGATCTATTCCCATGGTCGACAAAGCATTGGCAGCATTGCTGACGAGCGAGATTTCTCCAGGAGGATATTGCAGGTATGTTGAGCTTCCACTGGTAGTCAATCACCCTTCTGATGCGCTATAGGTGCGGAATCCGGATCGAGACTCAAGAACATCAAACCTAGCATAAGGTTCATGCCATTCGTACAGACATGCTACACCATGGCTTGCGGTTGGACCCGACTTCGATGACGATCCCTTTCTATTGTTGTGCTGTTGAACACTCGACATGTCACCACATCCTTTCATGACCTCAGTTCCACGACCTGGTTTGCAACCTTACATTGCCTCACATGCACAACTACTACTCGCCTTTTCTCCATTTCAGCAGTACACTTGAAATGATGACTATCCTTACTATCAACAGCCGGACACTCCTTATTCAATTCATCTTGCTATTATGGTTGTTTTAGATCAGTACACTCACGGTCCTTGTTTGTTGTATTGTGGCATAGCTAGGCGTTGGTGGTCCTGATGGATGTGGTTTGGATTATTATTTGTCGGCGAGAAGTGGAAAGAAGGCAACCTGGAAAACAGCTGGTCCGAAGATGAAGCTGACTATCCCGCATGCCCAGATGTTATGTCGTGAAAGAGATGGACTCGAGACATGCACAAAATATACTGATACTCTACTAATCATCTGGTCTGGCACACGCTTGAATGTTCCACAACGCTATTATATTGGGGACGGATCAGAACAAAACCAGGTCTCAGGGCAGAAGACAGGACGGTTTGGGGGAAGGAATACTGGGGTTGAACATGACGAGACATATGTCGACATTTAGCGAGGTAGATAGATTATCTTGTACTACTACTATCATCTAAACATTCATCAAAAGTGTTTCTTGACCGTTCCTGGTTTTGGGTCGTCCGTGCCCTGGAAATCAAGAGCACAAGACCGCCACGCCCAACTCAGCCTGGACACAAGTGGAAGTGTTTGGCAAATTAACTGATATCACCAAGTTAGACATCTGTCATTACTATATATTACCACGAGGTTGAATTGCCTCATCTATCGCATCCAGCCATAATATCCGTGTCTTCGTCTTGTCTTCGTATTCATTCTTCATTCGAGAGATCTGTTCTTCGTTGTCCTCTGATTAAACTCCCAGCTAGCCTCCCACGCTGTGCCTGTGCTGTACGACGCTGGGCCAAGGTATGATTGTGCTACGTCGCTTACCTGGCTATACCTCCCTCGTTCATAGCTGTTGCACCAAATAGGACCATTGCGATTTATACTCGCACGGCATACTCACTCACACGTCCTGAAGGCACATAGCCCGGACTTCTTCATTCTGTGGCCTGGAGGCGAATCTTTTTCGTCCTTTCGTCTCTACCGGCGCTACTTTCTTGTCAGATCTCAGCTTGTATCTCCGTTGTTGCCTTCACTCGGCAGGCCAACTGCTCGCAGAATATCGCGCAGACTCCAGCCAGGACCTCCTGGCACGATTTCCCGCCATGTCTCGTCCGGTACGGTATCTTCGGCTGGCAGAATGGACCAATTGGGACTCGGTTCGGACTTTAGCCATTTGAAGTCGTCGACTTGATTCCATTGATTCGGAGACATGTCGGACGCTTCTTGTGAATTCATAATCAAGTCGGACTATGGCATGGTTAGTTTGAAGAGGGGCAATCAATTGACAAAGGTGAACAAGGAAAGGACAGCGCGTACGTGAAATTTCGGCAACGTGGTAAACCGTATGCCCGTGCAGTCCTCGATGATAGGTCTGCTGGTGCAGTGCAGGTAGATGTCGACGTTGTGACATTCATGCATGCGGAATTGGCGGCATTTGATGACGAGGATGCTGTTCTTGACGCCAGTGATGTGGGCTGGGCCGGAGACAGCACCACAGAGGAGGAGCGATGCAGAGACGTGGTTGATGGTGATGCTGGCGAAAGGTGCGGTTGCCGTGGTGGGAACGGAGAGGTCGAGGACGCAGTTTGAGAGTCTTGATAGCGAGCACGGTGTTTGGGAGTTGAGTGAGGATGAAGGTAGGATGATGTGCGTATGTGTCTGGTTGGTGATGGAGATTGAGGTTGCGGTTGTTGATAGGGAGGGTCGGTCTGTTGCTGAGTCCCTCTTCGGATCGGCTGCATCCTGTGTCTGTCTTTTGATTTTGGCTGCGTCGATGCTTTCCTCCTCCCCCTCAGTCGCTCTTTCATTCTGAGGCGTAGTATTATATGCAGGAGTATTGGTGAAGGAGGAGTTCGTCTCTGAGTCCGGACTAAGAAAGCCTGGCACGCCGCGACGTTTCCCTGCCGCCAATTCTGCCGCGTCATTTAGAGACAAGGCTGAAGGGCTCTTGTGTGCAGTTTTGAAGGCAAATTTTGGTTTGGGAGCAAAGGCTTTTCGAGTCTCGTCCAGTCTTTCTTGCAGAGCTTTGATTGCCTATCCGACATCAGTGCGTTGTTTCACTGATAACGAACGTCCGTACCTCAGCGTATGTTCTTTGGTCGTAGGGAGGGATATTGCCCGAAGCATCCTTGACTTCATTTGAGAGTCGCGTGATGCCAGCAAGGCAATGGTCTGCGGCGTCCGATCGTTCGCCACCAGTTACAGCGGTATCTGCGAGCCGGTCCATCTGCTCTTGGAGAGCTGCCGAGATAGAGGTGTTAGTCCATGGGAGACAGCAGGCAGAAAGTGGACTGACCGGTGATTTCTTGCTGGAAGTAGTGGAAGAAGCGTTGCTGAGAGTTGAGGTCAACTGCGGAGGGCTGCGACGGTGTTCCCATATTGTAAGGATGTTGTGGGTGTGTTGAGCAGGGAAGCTCTCTCAATGAACAAGGTAAATCCGAAGACAATACACGCTGAGTTTCGCAACTGGGCAGAGAAGTCTGCAGCCAGTGCCACTCCAGTGCAAGATGTCAGTCGATAATAGTCGATGAAGGTGGAATGTGATCATGACGAAATTCACGAGTTTGCGGGGTTCAGGCGGTGATGGGCGTGCTCCTCCGAGCCGAGCAAGCCTAGTAGCCCCAACATGAGCCTAGTGAGCCCCGGTCATACTGTATTCTGTAGCCAACCGGGCGGCCGCGTGCCTAAGCTTAGAATACACACCCTTGGACAGTCGTCGACGCTGCATCTTGAGCTTGGCTTTTCCTGCACGCCTGTTGCAAGATGCGACCTGCATCATAATTCGAGGTCACCACACGCGCTTCGATGTCATCTACCGCAAGCCACAACTTCCACAACCCTTTCTCCTTATCCATCCGAGTCACTTTACAGCTGTTCTGCGCATGCTCTCACATCACGTCTCTCGACGTATCCCTACAGGCACAAAAACATCAATTCGATGTCTAAGAGCGTTCGCTGGCCGACGCAAACGTGCTACACGGGTTGAAATCGTCAATCAAGAACTATGTGGTGAGTCTACCCTTCTCTCTTTCCGTTCCACGGCTGATGAAGGTGACAAGATACTGCGCTGGATCGACTTCGATCCACCCTTCCTGCTCCAAACACTTGCGACATCATTGACGTTAACCCGGGAAGAGGTCTTTGGTCTCAAAAAATCCACAACCTACTACAACCTCGACGCCATGTCCTTGTTGAACCCGACTTCAGCCACTATTCGCCCTACCTTGCTCCCCTTTTGCAGGAAGAGGATACGGTATATCGACACGTTACCCTTCTTGAAGATGCCCTCAACCCTAGCAATAAACTACTGTCCGATTATCCGGCTGCCGTCGATCCACTCCGACCTAATCAGACCCTGTTACTGACGGTGAATCTGTCTGGCGCATATCTCAAGACGAGTGTCTATACGGGCTCACCTGCGCGGAGATTCTTCGCAGATTTATACCTGTCGTTGTGGAAGGCACGCACCAACATTCACCGTTATGGATTGGTACGAGTCCTAGCATGGGTGGCGGATGACGAGAAAGATGCATTCATTCCGCGGACAGTGAACGCTCGTCGAAAGCAAGCTGTCATGTTGGAAGCCAGCCATTCCATCAAAGAAATTGCCGGGGCTTCGGCGAATACGAGAGCTAGTTTCTTCCGGAAGTGGCGTGAGATGGAAGTTGAGGATCGAGCTCGTGTTGCAGCCTTAGAACAAGCCGCAGGAATCGAAATTTCCACGACTAGAACAGATCAGCTTCCCCCACCAGATCTTCTAAGTATCGACCCCACGGCAGCGGCTATTCGAAAAGGGAACTTTGTCTCTGATGCCGAATGGGTCTCAAGCTTCCTCGAGTTGGATGAGCACTTGCGAAAGGTATACCCGACATATTACGCAAAGCACTCTAAGACGAATTTTCGAAGGCTACATCTCCTCGTCCCCCAGCAACGGAAATGGCGAACGTTGCTTACACAAGCTAGAACTCAGCACAATACTCACATGAGAGCTGTCGAGCTTGTTAAAGATCAAAGACTTCTCGAATTGAGTTGGAAGAGGTTCATGGTAGCCGCCGAAGGTCATTGTGTCAATCGCGATGAAGAGGGACAACTACAAGAGCGTGCAGAGGCTCTCAAGGCAAGCATCCTCAAGCTCAATAGAACGGACAGGCTCTTTGCGGAGAAAGCTATTGACGATTATCGAGCACTGGACATGTCTCCACCGGTCCTGTCCTGGAACAGCCGTGAAGCAGAACCGGTTCTTGTTCATGGCGAGGACTTTACGCCCGTTGATGAGCGGTTGGCGCTGCTGGACGTGATGCCTCGACCCGACTTTCTCGCCAAGATCAATACGAATGATAAGATGGTCTACTTCGGTCATGTTTTGAGAGATCTCTTCTTGGCGCCGTCCAGAAGTGTCTATGATGCATTGAAGATGCTGGTGCACGAAGGTGCGGATGACTTTATCAAGACCATTCCCCGGATACGTGACCCTACCAAGGGCGGCTGGTACGATCTATCTGCTCTGCGAGTGCGGTCTCTACCCACAGAAATGGTCATTGAGATTGCGTTGGCATATGCGAAATGGCCCTTCCGCCGGTCTATAGAGAGCATTCTCATGTGGGGCGAGGATCCGCAGGCAGCGTATGCACTTGGTGACAACGAGTGACGGTGGATTAATTGTACATTTCAAGTAAAATATCATTCACTGCTCTCTTTGACTTGTGCTCCCCTGTCTTTGGTATCGAAGACATCCTTGATCGACTTGCGAAGTACATGCTTTGGACTGACTTCCTTTCCAAGCGCGCTGCTTGCTGCAGCAGTCATCGAGTTGCTGTTGCGTTCGGCTTGAAGACTAACTCTGATACCTTGGAATGTGATCTTGAGGCCGCATCGAGGGGGAGTAGAGCATTATGGCCCTGTCTTCTACCTAGGTACGTAATTCCCATGCCAAGGCCGTCTGACCAACGAGCGGCGCTCAACGGCGTACATATTAGGGATACAAAAGTGAACAGAAACACAGTCACTAGGATCGCTCTTCCCGTGGTCCCAATGGCGTCTCATGTTTGCCGCTACGGACCTATGTACAATCCATCTTTCGCCGCTCCATTCCCGCACCATCAATCCCGCGGGAGAACGAGTCGAATCTACTGGTCATCAATAACATGCAAATACTTCTTTGCCTGCTGTTTCTCCCGCGCCGTCGCCGGCGGCAAATCATAGAAGCTACTGCTGCGATAATCCTGGAGGTATTGATACGTAAGGTCCTTGAGCTCCGCAGGCTCGATGTTGAGGTCCTGGAACGTCTTGGCGCTGCGGTCGATGACTTGGTCCAGAGACTCCTGCTCCATCTGGTCGGCGCTCAGAACCTGCCACCACACGACTTTGTTCAGGTAGTGCAAAACCGGCTTAAGCATCCACTTGGGCAAGTTGATGTGGCGGCGCTCCTTAAGGATCTCTTTGTCCACGATCTCTGCGATTTCAGCCATGCTGTAATTCGTGGGACCGTAGAGTTCGAATGTCTCGCCGGCGGTGGTGTCGTCGTAACCGATTCGTTCGAGGGCTTCGCCAACATCAATAGCCTAACGATCGCGTTAGTCACATGTGATCGGCCGAAGCGCGGATCGAAGACTTACGTGGACCGGCCAGAAGCGCTCTTGCATGTTGTTCACGGTCAGAAAGTTGTTCACGCCGGCCAGGCGGTGGAGCAGGTTATCTTCAAACCCGAAGCAGGGTGCTGGGCGGACAATGGTGGTCTCCGGGAATAATTGGCGCGCTACCCGTTCGCCTTCGGCCTGCCATTTCGTTAATCATGGTCTTGTATGAGTTCATACATTCCTACCTTCGCCCTGAAGAATTCGGACGGTGAATTGGGGTCGGCGTTGTATGAAGAGACATGGATGAATCGATCGACGTCGTATTTCGCACATGCTTCTGCTATTCTTTCGACGCCTTCGACGTTGACGTCGAACAGACTGAAGTTCTTGGTCGGATAGTTCTTGCCGATTAAATTGAAGACCATGTCTGAATGTCGTACGCTCTCTTCGATGGACTGTGTGTTTCTCAGGTCGAACTCCATGAAGCTAACTCTTCCCAGGTCACCGGTGACTTTGAGATGGCGTTTGCCCATGTCATCTCGGTACGGTACAACGACTTGGTTGCCTCTCCTGGCTAGTCGGTTGACAATGTATCTTCCCAAGAATCCATTTGCTCCGAAAACTGTGGCGGTGTGTCCTCCTAGTGACGATCTTCCTCCTGTTACTCTAAGTATTGGTTTTCCGGTTCGGGTGATTGCGACGTCTTGGAGGTTTCGGCGTTGAATGGACTTGAGTCGGGAGGTTCGAGCTGCGCGGAGCGCGAGCGTGGTTGGTTGACAGGCCTGCATATTGGATTGCAGTGCCCGTACACCTGTCCACACAGGAGAGCTAGGGTGGCGGAGAGTGATGCGAACCTGTGTCGTGGGCAAAGAAGCTGTTACAAGGTCAATTGAGTGGACTACATACTACCTAGGGATGCAGAGAGCTCCGACCAATCGACCTAGAAGCGCCTTGGCATCATAGAATCCCGTGTGATTTCATCCCCGGCTCGCCGGGTGCCCCTAATTCGTTCATTCTCAGCCTCAAGATCTCTCACTACGTTTGGAACGGGATCAACAAATATTGGGACGAGGAGCGATACAAGGTGAATCACTCAGCGCGCTCTTGCTTCATGGCGGTCTCCACAGCTCTCACATCTTCATTTCACAGGTCGTCTGATGGAAAGATTAGGTCCGCAGTCGAGAGTCGGGCTGGCTAACTATGCACTAATCTCCTTCCATCGTTAATGACCAAAGTACTGCCATTCTTTCATTCTTGCATACAAGCGTGTGTTGCAAAAGGCACATCCTTATATCACAACATCCCTATGAGCAGTGTATCTCAACCTGCTCTTGCCCACATAAATGTTGACGATTGGAGAGGCGCCGAAGGTGAGATGGGCTAAGCTGTCCCTGGCCAGTCAATCTGACTCACTTTTGACGTTTGTCCGTGTCCTAGTCAGACAGACGGCTCTCTGCCTATTGCATGGTAACGCAAAGACCGGTTATTCGATAAGCAACGTAGGAGTACTCCATAGGAGGAGGATGAATGAAGAGGCAAAGAAAAAAGGAAGGCGGATTGGAGGCAGGATAAAGAAGAAATCAGCCAACTGCCGACAGGCCAAAGGCAACTTGAAGCTGCTTTCGAGGAAGAGAATGTTGGGCATTCGACTTCAATCCAACCATTGCGTGCATTTTGTATCACGCCGAGTAGGAGAGCTCAAGCCCACTCCACAGACTTCACACAACATCAACCCTGTGGCTCCTTGATGAGGGAATGATCACCTCAGTCCAGTACTGTTGGCGACGGGCAACTAATACTTGTAACATTCATGCATCGCTTGGTGTGCAGTGAACTCCTTCGGCTCCAATCGGAAGCCAGAGGAGTCGTCAAATCTTGAAGTGGTGACAGTCACAGAGCGATCTGGTCACTGGGGGGTGTGGCAGGATCTTGGAAAGTAGATTTTAACCGTCATTTGAAGTCTTGATGTCGTGTGATTCCGTGTGTATTGTAGTTGATTGGAAATCCCGAAATTCTCTCCCTGAAGCTACTTTTTTCATCGAGTACTTCAAGGTTTCAAGTCTATAGAAATAATCCTCTGACTGGGTGGAGAGCCAGCCCGTCAAGGCAAAAGTTTCGGGATTCGCCCCTTCCCGGCGTGTTTGGCCAGGGGTATGTCTTCAGGCGCCTCAGGCAGCATGGCAGATGCGTGCAGGTGGTAGCTGGTCAAGAATGAAAGGTTGATCATCAGCCTGGAGCGGATGCTTTCCGGGCGGCAGAGCCAATGACATTAGTATCGGAGCATCTTGCCGCGCTCTGATGGAGATGTACTTCCGGGCAGGGTGGTGCTCCCAATCAGCGGCTCGCGGAGAATCTTCTCCTCAGTTTTGCTCCTGGCGGCATGCCTGGGTAGGAGCTACGAGCCCCAGTGAGCCCTCCGGGGCCCTCGCAAAGGGCATATAAGGGAAGTGATCCCCTCCATGGTGTTGATCAAATCCTATCCACCTCGATAGTTGGGTCACCAGGCTGAACTCTTGGCTAAAGAATGCTCCATGCCATGGTCCTTGAAGAACTCATCGATGTTGGCTTCTGATCTAGGTATCGTATCTTGATCAATAATGTTGTAATATCCTCGCAGTTCGGGAAAGACCTCGGCAAACTTCTGGCTAACGGACCAGTTTGCCAGATTGCATACGTGTTTTGCGAATGTGTCTGTCACGATAATGAGTCCAGTTTGAGAGTCAACGTCCATCACTGCGTCCAGACCATACTGCCAGTTGACGCTACATCCAAACGTCTGCATAGCCACGATATAGTCACGCATATCGTGAACGAGGCCGTCGCGCATTTCTGGACTGGATGAACACATGAGTTTTTGTCAACAATCAGGCGTGGAAGACTTACAAAATCGCAAGATCAACTCCTGGGTGATGGGGAACTATTCTTTGAAGTGGTGTCGGACGCATCGCCTCGGGGAGTAGCGCATATGATTCTTCAGAAGGCGCAATCGCCCACTACTATTGGTCAGCTAGGTCCCTCAGCTAGGTCTTGTTACTTCTGATGTTAGAGAAAGTATGACTGACCCGCATGAAGCGCGAAAAGGTGAAGACGAAAGCAAGAGTTACGTATATGTCAAAGTCTTTCAGAAGACGCATATACTGGCAAGCCCACGTATTTGGCGTGTGCAGGTCCCCAGGTCTGCGACCGCGAAACAGCATGTTCAAACAAACTTCAGGAGGGCCCAAGACAGTTTCGACAGATGCTCCCTCAGCCAGGCGTTTTCGTCCATAATCCCGGAAATCAGTGTACGCGGCAGCCAAAGGACATCTTTCTTCCTCGAATATGGCCGGCATTATCAGGTACTCAGGGATGTGGAGGTCGACTTTGCCCTGGGTCGCATTAGGACTCCCCATCTGCTGGGTTAGGTGCGATGGTGCACTTCCGAAGACGCTGATGGCTTTGATGGGCGGGATCTCGTGGGGTTTGGAGCAGAAGATTCGATACTGGTCTCGAGGGTCGAAGTCCATGGGACTTGTTACGCCCCCGCTCCATTGCGTTTGGGCATCAAACTGTCCAGTGCTTGAACTTTCCCTGCTGACACCATCTGTTGAGGGATGCGTGTCGGAAGTTGTTGTATCGCTTTCTTGCGGGAGCAGCGCATGCCGCCTTGTCAACTCCCCGGTCTGGATCATGTCACGATTGCCCTCTTGACTACCCTCCCACACCTGAGATGAAGACCACGAGTCGTGCTCGGTCAAAAATGATTGGGTTACAGGAGCTTCCGGCGCCTCAAATCCCAGTCTCAGTGAAAGGTTTTGGATGTGGACATCTTCTTTCAGCTTGTTTCGAAGCCCATCTTCGCTGGAGTGAATAAGGTCGAGGAGGCGGTTCAGCATCTCCTTTTGGAGCGCCGACTCAGTATGGGCTCGTTCCAGATGGATCTTGCGTCGCTTGTCAAGAGTCACATCGTATATACATTCGAGACCGGATCGACTGCAGGCGCGACAGGGGTAACCACCGGAACACTACAGTGTGCGTTAGCGAGAGCGATTGGAATGAAGAGGGCGGGCACAGCACCTTGGACTTGCGCACTTTGCACTTGAGACAGGCTGCTGAAATGTGCTGTCGTGACGAGCCTTGACCTTGGCCTGAGCCTGAGCCTGAGCCTGAACCGGAGGTGGGAATGTAAGGACGCATTCTGCGATAGGGAAAGAGGCGGGGGAGATCAGCAAAGACACACGCCAGCACTTATGCGTGATTTGACTTTCCAGGCGGGACCAAAATATCTCTGGCACAGTCTACCTGGGCTTGGTAGACGGATGAGGTAGGTTATGGGCTGTTTCTTGGAGTCAAACACGAAGTTTTTGAGTCCATCTCGATGTCAATGCCAGATCGTGGAGATCTGGTGTCTTTCGCCTCGTATTCTTGCCCCTCAGACTGCGGCGCCCATGCGGAGTACTTGGTCGCTACAAGTCGCTTGCTAGGCCAAGTACCCGTCGCTACCTAGGTACGGAGGTGTGCATCAAATGTAGTTGCTGCGCAAAAATGGAATTACGAAGGATCATAACTGACAATTGATTTTCTCTTGTTCTAGGCAGCCTTAACTAAGCTCTTAACTAAAGATCATCTACTTTAGGCGGCTTAGCGCTAGAGGATAGGCGAGCTTTAGGGGTAGAGAGTGAGCTCCGATATCTCCGGGGACGGTCGTCCGGAGCAACGGAAAAGAAAATTAATGGTCTTTTGACGTCCTCGTCATTCAACTTTAGCGCGGCAACTACATTTGGTGCACTTCTCCGTATAGATGCACCGAATACAAGGCAATACAGGCGTCCACGATGCTCAGTCGTGCCCGGCATTTTTTGCCGGCTATTCTATCCCAACGCTACCCACTGGTTCGCCACTGACGTAGCCGTAGTGCCATAGTCGTAGTGCCATAGTAGACGTCAATTCCCAACCCCACCGAGACAGAGCCCTTCAAGTCGGTGATGGGAAGGCGATTGCTGCTGAAGGAGGGAGCGGGAGGGCCACAAATTTACGGCACAATGGCGGCTCCCTACGACTATTGTACAGTACACTCATCTACATACCATCTACTTACCACCTACTAGGCGACGACACGTGTGCCAACGTCCATGCCAGCGACCTCGAACGAATCTGGATTTGGTTTATTGAGTTGGCTCAGCGTGCACTATATCGGAAGAAGATTGCCCTGGCAGATGTGGCTAAAGATCCAATGATTGCCCCACAGAATCGCTGGTGGTAGTCGACGCCTCAAGCACGAAATGGCCGTCATGGGATCATCAGCCTGATTGCTTTCTTGACTTGTCATGATCCTTCGTGAGCTGTAGACCTCAAATCACGATAGAACAGAAAAAAGTGCTATCAAGAGGAGTGAGTTACCCTCATGATGCCCCCAACGTTATTGCTAGCGAATGTCTACCTGAGATTTTGTTGGCCACCAGGGATGAACCAACTAGTATTGATCCTATGACAGTCTGGGTTACTGTCGCACAAGGTGCCACGGTATATTTGCTCTTATGTTGTACGGTTGTATAGCAGGCCGCTGCTCATGGTTAGGCAGCGGGAGGAACTGTTCACAACCAAAGGCTCACTCGGGTGAGATATCTCACCCTATCTTTGCCAAGGTAACACCGCAAGGCAACTTGGCAGTGCAGAATGCGACGTATATGGAAATACTCAGGGCAACAATTCCGAACAAGCTGTAAGTAGATGAAAGCAGAGGAAGATCAACCGCGCAAGGCTCGTAATAAACAAGGCTGAATTTTGGGGTGGATTTTCCTAGCTTGGCATGGACTCCGAGCAAGCTGCAGGCACGACTGAGCGGCGCGTCAAGTGCGCCTAAGTTACAACTTCAATTCCAATCCCCCCTCGACCATACACGGCACATTTTCCATCTGACATCCTCTCGCAGGGATCTTAACATTACAGCTATCATCCACCTTCAGTTCACCGTATCAACGTCGTAATGTCCGGACAGACCGATCCGGAGGCCATCTCCAACTTCCTTGCAGAGCAACGAGACGAAGCACCCACCGAATTGCAACATATCTTCCTGACATTCGAAGATTTGTGGGAAAGAAAGCTATGGCATCAGTTGACCGACACTCTGTTAGAATACTTTTCCAACCCAGAAAGCACGGCGCAAAGATTACCAATCTACAACACATTCATCATCAGCTTCGCCGACAAGATCAATCAGCTTAAACTAGTCAAATTGGCCTTGGGTGCTTCCGCGCAAATCAAAGGTAAGGTTCCCGGTCACTGATCATTTGCAACTGCTAACCGCTACGAGACGACACCGAGCGAAGCCAGTTCCTCAAAACCCTTGCATCAAGAGTGGACAAGCCCGACTCTGAAGAAGCCCACGTCTACACGATCACGGAACTCGGCAGTGTCTATCTACGATTAGGTGAAAAGTCAAAAGCTAGGGAACAGCTGGACAAAGCGCAGAAGACTCTCGATCAATTCGACTTTGTGGAAAATGTTGTCCATGCTGCCTTCTACCGTGTCAATGCCGACTATTCCAAAGCTGAGGGCGACTACACCTCCTACTACCGCAATTCCCTCCTGTATCTTGCCTGCATAGAAGATTCGGACTTGACGCCAGAGCAACGGCAACATAGAGCATACGACTTGGCAATTGCTGCCCTTGTCTCGGATACCATCTACAATTTCGGAGAACTATTACTGCACCCCATCCTGGACGTCTTGAAACCGCCTCATCCGCAATCATGGCTACGCGAACTGCTGTTTGCTTTTAACCGCGGAGACTTGGCAGCCTTTGATCGGATGTCGAACAATTTGAGCAAGAACGAGATATTGGAATCCCATCGTCTATTCTTGTGGCAGAAGATCAACCTTGCTGCACTTACGGAGCTGGTATTCAAGCGGCCGCCACATGATCGCGCCATGACCTTCAAGACAATCAGCCAAGAAACAAATGTCAAGCCGGATGAAATTGAACACCTGATCATGAAGGCTTTGAGCTTGGGATTACTGAGGGGAAAGATTGATCAAGTCGCCGGTATCGCAAAGATCAACTGGGTGCAGCCCAAGGTTTTGGAGCGAACTCAGATCGAGGGCATGCGGCAGCGACTAAAGGAGTGGGATAGCAATGTCAATGACCTGGGTCACTGGATAGAAGGCGTTGGTAAGGATGTATGGGCATCCTAAAAGGATCCTCGCCTCCGCATAGCATAGCAATGGCGTTATGGCGCAGGTCAGTCGCAGAACCACCAACCATTAGCCTCGTTTACGTCGAAGATGTATCGTAGGAGAGCCCTCTTACATGAGCTCTATCTAGTTTGTTGAGTTGCAGGTACATGTTCAACAAAAATTGCACTGCTTTTAATCGTGAGGCTCATGGGGCAACCAGAGGAGATCCACCGTGTCGGATGCTGGCTGCACCCTAAATTTTTGGAACTGCAACCACTACCTCAAGCTCGCGCGACACCACATTTCTTGTCCAGTTACTTTCACTTCTCGGGTCTTCTCTCCTTGCGTTTGACCCCAGTTAGCTTTTATCAAGCAGCCGATGCCAGTTTCCGCAATGAACACTTCAGCAACGACATTTTTCCGCGCCTGTCGCGCACCATCCTCATGCAGCTTCGTCCAGCGATGCCCATCAACAACCAAATCCTTTCGCGCCTCGAATCTACGCCCCAGATACACCTCCGTCCCTCACTGCTCCGCCTTCTCCTCAATACGGCGACTAAATCAGGCACAACCCGTCGACGACATCCCTTCTCCCGCATCGGAAAGCATCGTCAACGCCAACAAAGCCGATGAATCCTCGAATCTCACACAATCCGTTCTCGTGCGATCCGAAACCAAGGCCAAAGAAGTTTTCTTCTCTCCTATAGAAGTGCCTCTTGATGCGGAGATTGACCCAGAAGAAGCGGGACGACGAAAAAGCGAAGAAGCAAGAGCCGCTGCTGACGCAGCCTTCCTCGCCTCGTCCTTGCAGTTGACAGGCCGGGTCTCGCGCGTCGGCACCATGCGCAAGACCGTCCGCGTCAGCCGCACGGTGCAAGTCTGGGACGAGTACCTGCGGAAGAACTACAAACGGGAAGCGTGCGATTTGGTGCACGACCCCAAAGACATCTTGAACGAGGGCGACGTTATCACGTACGGTCCCTTTCCGCCGAGTCTGCTCGAGGCCAGGGAACAAAGAGGCCAGACCGGCGGGAAGAGCAGAGTCAAGTATGTGCTACGGGATGTGCTTACGCCATTTGGCACGCCTGTGGAACAAAGGACGAGCAGAGTGGTGGGAAGCCCCGAGGGAAGGTGGGAGGGCGGGCCGGGACAGGTCCAGAAAGTGGCCGTGAGGAGCAGGGGGAAGGCGAAGCCCAAGGTGCAAGTGCCGCTGTTCAAGAAGGATGGCGCTATGAGTGGGCGACAGGCGGGCCTCGGGGTTATCAGGCAGGCGAGGCGTGAAGCGGCGTAAGAAGGAGGCGAGCTGAAACTCGAACGGGCATGGCTACCCATTGTGTCTTGCGAGATTCCAGATACCGAAAATGCGGAGGACCAGCTCTACAAATCCCGCAGCTCACGCCCACAGACGTGTACACGGGCCGCCGATGGTTTGCGAAGGAGTAACGTCCGACACGTAAGCCTCGATGTACAGACGGCTCGCCTCCGCATTCCACCTCATTCGCGACCGGACGTGGCCAGCAGGGTTGTAGCAAGAAAGTCTCAAAACTAGGCCTTGGCCCGACGCCGATGGGCTTTCTTTCGAGCTCAGAACAGCAAGTATTGAAGTGATATAGCAGTCCTGTGGCAGCGCACTTGAGGCTGTGGGATATCGAGCCTCAAACCCTCAGGAATATACCGGCGTGAGAAAATGATTCCAGCGGTGTCCAGATGCGAATGCAGCAAAGGTTGCCAGGGACTCTGAGACATTGCTGTCTTTTCGAGGGCAGTGTTGGGTCTGGTCGTTCGCCTGTACCGATAACAATACTTGGAGAAACAATTATGCGAATTAGAAGTTCAATAAAGAGCTCCCTTCTAAGTCTATCACCTAAAATTTGCCGCTGTCTCTACGCCGAGTGAACTGTGAACGTCTTCCGTACATGATGCATTGCAATTCTGAATAATCCATAGAGGATTGGTTCCAGTCTATTGATTCCAGCCATGCTTCCGTCTAGCATAATACGGCCCAGCGCCTTTTCTGTGCAAATGAACAGAACGACAAGGCCTTAGTTAGTATTCGACCGCAATGCAGGATCAGCCTGTTCGGGAACAGTATCGCCGTGTTCGCCCTCGACTCCATCTGCCTCAGCAGGTTTAGATGCATTGTCTGTTTGTTCTGGCTCTGTGGTCTGAGGAACAGAAGTCTGGGTTGGATTCCGTACCAGAGATGCACGTCTTGCCTTCAATTTCTTCTCGCCTTGAGCCGATATTCTTGTCAACTCTGCCACGAAAGACTGTCCCCAGAAAGCACTAGTCATCACAGTCAGTACGAGATGTAGACAATCCCTAAGCAGATCGCTTACCTGGTATACTTGGACACATATTTGTGCAATTTTGCATAGTTGATGGCGCGGTGCTCTGGACTCATGGTGACAGCTTCTTGAATTCCGCCAGCCAGCTCCTCGGTGTTCCAGGGGTTGACCAAGATACTACCGTTCAGACTCTGGGCGGCACCAGCAAATTCGGATAAGATCAAGACACCATGTCTTTCCTCTTGCGTTGCGATGTATTCGAATGAAACCAAGTTCATACCGTCTCGAGTGGATGAGACGAGGCAGACGTCAGAGACAGCGTACAGCGCAATCAGCTCGTCGAAGTTCACTGACTTGTGCATAAAGTGAATGGGCATGAACTCTACCGTGCCTGGCCGCTGTTAGCTTTGAACATTGGCGAAGGTAACAAGCACATACCAAATTTTCCGTTGATTCGCCCGACCAGTTCATTGACTACAGCGCGGAGATTTTGATACTCTTCGACATCTTGCCGACTGGGTACAGCCACCTGCACCAACACAACCTTTCCAATCCATTCAGGATGGTCCGTGAGGAAGACTTCGAGTGCGTGAAGTTTCTGGGGAACACCTTTGATATAATCGAGACGGTCCACTCCTACAATGAGTTTGATTCCTTTAAATCTCTCTTGTAACGCCTGGATTCGTTTCTGGACTTTCTCTTTCTTGAGGCCTTCCGTGAATTTGTCAGGGTCAATACCAATGGGGAAAGCGCCAACTGTGACGACTTTGCCTTCGAATTCAACACCATTAGGAGTCGTCGTCAGTCCTAGGATCCGAGAGCAGCTGCTAAGGAAGTGTCGTGCATAGTCATAAGTATGGAATCCTATCAGGTCGCAGTGGAGGACGCCGAGGAGGATCTCATTCCGAACGGGTAGGATCCGGTAGATTTCACTGGATGGGAACGGAGTATGTAAGAAGAAGCCGATTTTGACATTGGATTTTGACGTGCCAATCTCCTCACGAAGCATCTGAGGGAGGAGCATCAAATGGTAGTCGTGCACCCAGATCAGGTCACCATCTTGGACATCTTTGGCAACGGTGCGAGCAAACAAGCGGTTGGCCTCGGTGTAAGCTTGCCAGGCAGACTCGTCAAAGGTGATCTCACCCGGGTGATAGTGGAACAAAGGCCACATGATGGAGTCTGGTCATGGTTAGAATAGTTATTCATTGTTGACAGGTCTGGTCACTTACTGGAAAAGCCATTGTAGTGTCTGTCGGCCAGCTCATCATCCATAAACACCGGAACAGCATTGAATTCGTCTTTCAGTTTGCTACACACGTCGCCGATCTCATCCTTAGGGATTTCCAGACCCGGCCAGCCATACCACTGGAAGGTAGTGCTCTTGGCTAGACCGCTGAGACCTGTGACTAGTCCGCCTGATGACATTGAGAAATCATACTTGCCGTCGGTGGAACGCTTGATGGTGATTGGGAGACGATTCGAGATCAGAAGCAGCCTGGACTCCTGTTTGGGAGCATCATCTGTGGCAGAAGGCATCTTTTCGGTAGGTTCCGAGTTGTGCTGTCGAGTCGTTGAGATGGGTTGTAGTGGAGGTGAGGTCAGGCCGAAGATACGGTTCAACGTTAAAAACCTCGCTTAAACTGTGAAAGTTCGGGTCGTGCGAGGGGCCACAGTGGTGCAGCTCTGTGACAGGCAGCGGACAGTGAATCCACAGACTGACCCTAGCTGGTGAAGGAGAATCCTAGGAGTCCGCGATTGAGGAGTGTCGAGACACTAGGTGCGAATGTTGTGCAAAGAGTTGGAAAGTTGGAAATTGCCACTGCCTACTTTTAAAAGTCAAAGGTGTAGTTGAGCAAGGGACTTGGAAGGTGGTGGTGGTGGTAGTCAAGATCTGGACAGAGTGTAGCAGGCGCCAAGTGAGGCGGGCACCGGACGGTTTTTCTTTCTATGATAAGGATATCCAGTGAGTGAGGACAGACAAGAAGGAGGTGTGATCTGGCGGCTAGAAATTCATAGAAGCGATGATAGAGTCGGCTTCCAGTTGAGGTTGAAGAAAGCTCGAGTCCAAGTTGCCCCGTGTGAGGCCAAGGTCAGAGCTGGTTGGTCAAATTTGGCAGATGCCCTTCCTTGATTCAAATGGGGGTTTTTTGTTTAGGCGTTGCTGGAGTTCAACATCGCATGACTGTACGTCAGACCCTCCACTTTGGTGTAGTGCCGGGACACTCCTCCGGTGACGCTAGAAACCCATCATCTTTACCTACGTGCATAGGTACGAGCTACTTAGCTAAACCTCAACAATGGGCAATCGAATCAACGCCAAAAAGAAAGATGCAATTCTGCGTGTCTTCTTTGCCTTATGGTGCACTGACATGTTCTCGGTGCTTCCCGCTACCAATCCTTATTAGAGCGATTCCACGCCACGATACTGTACTTGGACTTTAGTTTCTCGGATATTATACCGGGAGGCTCCATATTCGACCAGGCTCGAGCTACAAGTAGTACTACGAGTACATGCCCGGACTCTTCCGTCACGACTAACGGCACCATCTTCCTTCCATAGACATGCGAACGTTACATACTAGGTATCTGGGAGAAAGAGAGTCGTCATTTTTGCTTATGGGATCATTTAAGTACCTGGTGTGTTGCCACGCAAATTTCTCGTCTGACAATCCACCCAGCCACCCACCGAGCCACCAATGCAGGCTTGACATTATTTCTGGACCACAACCGCAAACATATGCTCTCACAGTGCTTCTGAAGGCGCCGTTGACTCTCAACGCGCTGACCTTCCCAATCACTATTGCATGCAGTCCGTTCCCCACCTTCGCTGTGTGACAAAAGAAATCATTCAAGTATTTCAGAACTAGATCTCGCCAGAAAAACGATGTGCATCGTCGTGAGCCATGTATTCATGCAAGTTCGTCATTCATCCAATCGGAGCGCGTTAGGAAACATGAAAATCAATCGGTGAGTGGTATCGTCAAACATCTCGGTCGCTCGTTATATCTGCAATTCAGCTTTTTCATCACAGCCGTAAACGCATCAGAATCAGTTCGCTCGAATAACTAGTTTCGCCAAGAATTTGTTCGACAGTGAGTCAAAGTCTTTGCGGTCAAATTTGGCATTGGGTCGTCCTCGGAGGTAGTTTTCTGTGAAGCGAGTGTCAGCCGCAAGTAGAGAGCTAAGAACGTTGACTAGACTCACCATATTTCGTAACATGTTCGCGCACTTCGGTCATAGTACCGCACACATCAGCATTCGACGCCAGCAGGGTATGGTGGCTTGATGTGTCCCATTCAAGGAATGATGGAAGCTTTTGTGAGATGGCTTGGAAAAGGCCAACCACGACACCGACCGGGGTGGTCTCCATATCGCTGCAGAACTTGTCCACGGCGGCAGGATCGGGCACGCGGTAGTGGCAGTCAAATTGCATACATTCCCATACCGCCAACAATACCGAGGCGAGTATGAAGATCGTCGGCCAGTTCTTCAGCTTATCGCCGCTGTAGACGCTCGAGTAGAGGCTGGACAATTCCTCCAGCACGTCTTTGTGCAACTCACGCCACATGTCAGCCATTGCACACTTGATCTGGAAGTTGATCATGACCGGAGCCATGGTCTTGCCATAGAATTTAGATTCGTGCTCGTCAATCTTTCCGGTGAAAGATTCTTCGACTGGCAGGCCCTCAACCATGGTGATATGAAGCGTCAGGTTGTATGCAAGCATCAGCTTGAGGGCCTTCTTGATGATCTTAGACCCTGTCTTGAAGTAAAATCGATAGGCAGTCTTGAGCATTTGGGACAAAAAGGGAGTGCCCTCGAAGTAGTCGTCGACAAACTTCTCGAATGTACCAGTGCCATCAATATGACGGTCAAGGTAGTCACTGAGCATGGTCGTTGAGATTCCCTCCATACCAGCAGAGAGCTTAGCGGTAGGCACTTCAAAGCCATCTTTCTTGACAGAGCTTGCCTCGATCCAGTCCAGCTTCAGACATGATTCGTCCCTAACATACACCTCGCGGGCAGTGACAGGCAGCATATGCCCATAGCCGTGGGTAATGAACAATGTCTTCTCTGTGTCCGAGAATCCCTTGATATTTCCCACAGAGAAGCCCAGGGAAATGTGACGTTCATAGTCGAACTTCCAGTCCTTCAAGAAATAGCCTATTTCTTTGATGTCGATGCGGGTACACGGGACTTGCCAAAGACGAGCATGAGAAGGTTGGCAGCCAGCACAAGGCTCTCCTTTATCACATGTTTTCTTCAGGAATTTGCATCTCAGGCATGCTCGCAATTTCCGGATCTCGCTGGCTTGTTTCCGCTGTTCAGGTCTGAGAGGCCCTTTTCTTCGTCCCACACGTTTCTCTCCATCTGCCTTTCCGGTTTGTGTAGACTTCTTCATTACCTTGTCGGTCGACTTGGCAGCGATAGGGCTCTTCCTCGAGTTTTTCCGGCCTGGCGAGCTCGCCGAACCTTGAGAACCGGGAGAACGTATTGAAGGAGCCGAAGCTTTCGCAGGAGGGATCGGGATAGGACGGACAAGTGCCGTAGGGTTGACACTGGTGGCGGGAGCTGACCCGTGCTCTATTGACAACCGATGGGTATGGCCCATATATTCGTGGTCACTGTCGGATAGGGTGGTCGGGGAATAGACGGATTGAGCATGACTGATGTCAAGGTTCGAGATGAAGGTGGCAGTGTTGTGCTGCTCGAGATCCGAGTACGAAGATTCAGACCATGTCCGATTGTGGACGGTTTGGTTCGGGTCAACGAAGAAATGTCGCTCGTATGTTTCCAGGGAGGATCGAGGTTCAAGCAGAGTCCAGCCATGTTCATCACAGGAACTCGGTTGTGACAACACCTCCAAGTGGGATCCTGTCGGCGAGCTGGTCAATTGTTGGTAGGGTGACACGGCAAGTCCAAGATCCGTGGTTCCATAACTGATCAACTCGCTTTGAAAGTCGGCCCAATTGTGTGGCATCCCTTCGATGCCCGACTCGAGAGGAATATAGGAATGTTCGATGGGGAGCGTCGTCGATAGAGGAGCCTGCGAAACGGCCATCATACTCAGTTGCGAAGAGTGCACCGGAAGGGCATGAAACTGCGTGTCATAGTGCAGCCCATAATGAGCTTGTTGACTTGAGTAGTCGACATTGTGTTGGTGCTGTTGGAACCTCCAGGTATCCATCATGGGATGCTCTGCCATTGTCGTCTGTCGCAGGCCATGGCTACTGGTCTGTATAGGAGAAACATTCCTCCTCGGGTCGGGCCTCGCAGCAGCTACTTGGTCCATATGTAAAGGCCATGCTTGGTTGTGAAAGAATGAGGCACTTCTTGCATCGAGGTCATAGGCCAGATCATCGCCCGTCAGGGCGACATTGCCCGCCATATTACAGGATTTGTCAGACTTGTCAGCCTCGTAGATTCGTCGTTCGGAGGACAGGCGTCTCGTGGTGAAGGTTTCCTGTTGGCCTCGTGAAGCAGGAAAGGAGGGAGGTGGCCGGAAAGAGGGCGTAGAGAGAGTCCAAGGACAAGAGATACAGAGAGTGACCGCCTCGAGGCGAGCACAGCGGAGAGGGTGAACCTCTGGGTTGAGGTGGGTTGATGGTGCGAAGAGGCGGTGAGCGTTGCATGCAGGCTACGGAGAACGTCGAATTGGCGGGGACGTGAAAGTGGGAGGGAAAACCGCCGATGGCCACCGAGGTCGAGAGATGAGTGGCCAGCTGCAAGAGAAGGTCAGGCCCAACTCCAACGGCTGCTGTTGACTGGATAATTCAACGAGTGGCACAGCCCCATCATGTGGTTGATAGGTGATAGGTTTTGATCATGCGGTCGGCGTGCCGGGCGAAGGACTGACAGGCCACGATTGACTTTGGTTCGGCCGCTCTCAGGAGGACCCAGCGAGCCTAGCAAAAAATGTCGATGGCAGGTGTTTGCAAGTCCCGTCAGGTTCAACATCTGGACTCCCTCAGACAGACGGCTCTCCTTGGCGCCCACTGCTCGCTTCGGGGCCAGAACCACTGAGGAGTGCGATTCCCTTGCTTCTTACCAGTTGTAATAGGTCCTTTGCGGCAGCACACCAGGCTTAAAATAAGTTGTGGAGGAAGAAACAGGCCTCGAAGAGCAGGATCAACACCGGCGTGCAGAGGGAGGAGGGAGGATGGATGACATCGAAGCAATTCATACGACAGAGACGAAGGGATGTGCACACATTATCAACAATGGATTATGGAGCTGCGCCTCTCTATCTGTGAGATCCGTCTTTGCAGAAAGTGTTCCTCGCCTCCTCAACCTTGGAGGCGTTCGAAGCGGTCATCTTCTACGAATCCGTCGAAAGTTCCAGTCCCAAGCCCTCATCTCCTTGCAGTGGTACAGACTCGTACAGTGGACAAATTCCAGACAAGCAGGTCGCAGGCTTTTCCCTCGGCTTCCTGCAGAGTCTGTCTGCACCTCAGAACGAGTCATATCGCGAAAATGCCTCCGTAAACCATGCCCATTGGCCATCCAGATATCAAAGACAAGCTCACGCTTATGCAAGTAATCATGACGGCCTTGCCACTAAGTCCAAGTAAGTAAGTCCTAGTCTTCGTGTTCGGTCAAGCCGCTCCGCAGTTAGGTGGCAGAGAATCTGTGCTTCGCCTCACCAGTAGTACTCCGTACAGTAATGTCGTTCTCTTAGGCCTGGTATGCTCGTAGAAGTAGCCTGGTTCATCAGTGATACACATTGCTGCAAGAGATGGGCCAAGCTTCAGATAAAGGGGTTTCAAGTACTCTTTCCGTCAACCGAAAATCCGTGTTGGGGCACATTCCACTCTTTACCTTCGAGAGCTGCGTTGAACAAAGAGCGGTGTAAGTTTTAGGAACAGGCTTTTCCCCAGATGCGGGCCCTCAACAGTGGAAAAGAATTTGCACGATGAAGATCAGGGGACTCAGGAGTGCAGCTTTTGTCGCGACCAAGATGCTTCAACTCATGCGTGCAACAGATGCCGTCTCACATCCAAATACAGCGAGGAGGCCACAGATGCAAGCTGTGGGATGACAATGTGGGCGAGTCAGACAGTCCATGTAATATGCATATGTTGTGTTCCTCTCTCCCTTTGTTACGAATGCATCACGGTACAGTAGGGAAGCTTCTCGAAATAGACCTTGAATTTCACTTGGCTGGTCTGCATGTCAGCCCTCGACATTCAGAAGGCTAGGCGAGCATTTCATATCTGCAAATAATGGTTGTTTCACTTCACCCAAGTTAGTGAGCCTCACCAGCCTCCAAGTGAAGGGCAACTAGGGAGTCCTCTGTAGGTACTCGTAGCAGGACGGCGAACGCCAAGAATCACCCTTGCGGCACACCTTTACTGAAGCTGGACTTCAGGTTCGACATTCGGGCCAAATATAAGCAACATCTAGGTCATAACACTGGCATTGCTTTGAAGATATTCTAGATTCCTTCTTGGAGAACTTGCGATATTTGATCGCTATGTTTGTGATGGACATTCGTCAAGTCCATGACGTAGCTTTCTACATTGCCTGAGCGTCTGGAATTTCACGAACAATACTAAAGTCCGAACGAGTAGACAGTACTGTACTGTCACTGCTGCCCCGAATCCTGAAATGAGGATCTTGCTCTCACGACCTGGTATCGTCGCCATTTCCTCCCTGCTCTGATACAGAGCACGTAATATTCGTCCCGCCATGGCCGCGTCTGAATCATTTTCTTCGTCGATGCCGGCATATTTCCGCCAACGTCCAGCACTCGTCGACGACTTGGAGACCGAAACGTCCAAACTCCAGAGTGCTACTTTGGACGAGTGCTTACCACTTTTGACGGCTGTGGATAACCCTTCAAGGAGTCCATTTGACTTCAATGAGTTCGGATTGCCCGGCCTGGAAAGGGAAGACCATGTAAACTTCCTTCACGAAAACTTGGCCGAGTTCCCTGCACCCTTCGTTGGCATTGATGCTAGTCGCCCTTGGATGGTTTATTGGGCACTACTCGGTCTTTACTTGTTAGGAGAAGATGTGTCTCCGTTTCGAGCTAGGTAAAGACTCCCACCAGAAATGTCCAAGCTGCAACACCCTAGGATGGCTAAAAATGCTGTGCGACACAAGAGCTAACAACTCTGCTAGGGTGGTGAAAACGTTCTATCCAATGCAGAATACGAGTGGGGGCCTCGGTGGTGGGTTTGGACAATACTCTCATCTGGCTGGAACATATGCAGGGTTGCTGTGTCTTGCCCTCGTTGGAGGGGAGGAAGCTTACTCGTTGATTGACCGCAAGGCAATGTGGCATTGGCTAGGACGACTCAAACAAGCAGATGGAGGCTTTCAAATATGCGAGGGAGGGGAGGAAGACGTTCGTGGAGCATATTGCGCCTTGGTGGCCATCTCATTGCTCAATCTTCCACTTACTTTGCCGCCCGGCTCTCCTGCGCGTGAGGCGGGTCTGGAAGCCTTCACAGACGGGCTAGGTCAATATCTTTCCCGCTGTCAGACGTATGAAGGTGGTATTGCAAGCTCGCCAGGGAACGAAGCACACGGGGCCTACGCCTTCTGCACTATTGCTTGCCTATGTCTCTATGGCGTACCCCATGTCACAATCCCCAGGTTTCTCGACGTTGATGGACTTGTTTCCTGGCTCTCTGCGCGGCAGTACGCACCCGAAGGAGGCCTTGCTGGACGGACGAACAAGCTCGTCGATGGTTGTTACAGTCATTGGGTGGGAGGTTGTTGGCCTCTGGTAGAAGCGGCTTTGGCTGGCCCCCGGGATCGTCCCGGGCACATACGGAAAGAAGTGAATGAGAATCTGTATAGCAGCGAAGGGCTCGCAAGGTACATACTTTGCTGTTGTCAAAGCCCTCATGGTGGGCTGAGAGACAAACCTTCGAAGTAAGTCCCATCTTCTCAAGCACTTACCCCGGTCTGACATCACTGCAAAGACGTCCAGATTCTTACCACACCTGCTACAACCTGGTTGGGCTGGGTAATGTCGCACACTCTCACACATATGCCCAGGTGGCTGCGGCGGAGCCATATGCTTCAGCTTTTTCCTGGGAGGCTTCTAGAGCCCAGGTACCCAGTGAAGGCGATCCGGGCAGCATTTTTGACACAGGTGCTGGCGTCAGGGCTCTCAACCCAGTCTATGTCATACCATACAAGTCTGTCCGCGAGATTCGAGCCTGGGCGATATCGCAACCGGTTGATTTGGGAGAATAAATGTGTGGCAACGTGCCCTTTTTGCCTGCAGGTGGCCATCATGTTGAGCTAGTGCCTCCGTAGATCCAGGATCCAACCTCATAGCAAGCTTGATGTAAAACATGTGCTATTTATCAGAAAAGCCCACCTCTCCATCATTCGTTGGCCTTTCCCGAGTTTTATATGGCCAACAATGAGCCGATTGTCAGTCGGGGGAAGGCCCAATTCACATCCATATCGACTCGTTTGGTGTAGCGGTGGGCTCCAAACTTCCGGTCCGCAGCCTTCCTCACCTCGTTTCACCTTGTATTGTCTCGGGGGCTTATGGACATCACGCTCTAGAAAGGCTCTCTTTAAACCGGCCGTCTCTCCAGTCAATGCCGGCTGATCTGGGTCTCTGCCGCAAGAAACCTCAGTGCATTTCAGTTCGAGCCATGCCCACAGCGGCTCAGCGCGACCCAAGTGGGGAGAAGCCTACAGCGCATGCGGCTTGAACTACCGCTCTTGCAGAAGCTTGCATCGCGCTGCAGACGAGCAGAGCTTTGAAAAGTTAGGGGTTCTTCTGCGAGTCTCCAACGCTGGCCCGTCTTATCTTACCTGCGACCCATCAGAAGACTCGTTGTCTATCATTTGTACGTGTGCGTCAATACCTGCCTCAACCTAGGCGACGTCTAGACACGAGTGATCATCCTCATAGCGCCCTGTCTCTCTGTCTAGACCGAGCCCACAAGCTTCAATATCAAGGTGCTAAGCTAACCGATTTTCTCGCTTGAGCTTAAAGGAGAACAGCGTGTCCGTCGGCTCTACATAGTCTTGCTTTTTGGCTCTTGTTCAACGAGACAAGACTTGCAACCTTCTCAGGGAAGGGCATTGAAGCGACAAGCCGAATGGTGGTGCAGCTCGGCCCAACGAGATCTTGCCCTGGACGCCCAGCAACCGATTTCCTTTGACAGCACATTCATGCATCGGCAAGCTTACGACATGGAGATGACCCACCTAAAAACATTGTTCGCCCGTGGGCTTGGTCCTCCAGTGATGAGTGCAATCAACCATGTGTTGCAGCGTGCATATTCGCTACTGCGCCCGAAGAAGTCCGCGGTTTTCAATGGCTCAAACGACATTGCCTAGGGCTTCAACCGACCTAGACTGCGCACGCCAGAATTTTCCTCCTCTAGGGCCTTAACCAATGCTGTTTCCGGGCAAACATCATGCGTTCAGTGTTGCATCTTTTGCCTTGCGTCTAGCTTGCCTATCAAACCATACAACAGTTTTTGATCGAGAGTCTCCTCAACAGGGAATGCTTGACCAAGCCAGGCCTGCAGAATGATACACCTGTTCTCCACCTGTCAGGTGTCTCCTGCTGCATGACATTTGCTGCTTCGGAACAGAAGATCTTTGGATCGATGCAGACTTGCTAATTCCTGTAATCTAGATCAACTCCGAGATAGATGTTCCCTGGCAAGCTTCACCGGTACGCGCACGTCGGCGACCATGGAACTCAAACGCAAGCAAGCACACCCGCGGGAACCGACTGTTACGGGTCATTCTGTCTGGACTTTCCGCGCGGGGTGTTTAGGAGGAGGCCATCGCCAATCACAGCCTGCGTATAGATCTGCACAAGCCTCCAGACATAGGCAGGATGCTAAGAATGGTCCCGAATTCGACCATCCGGTACTGGCTGAAACGAATGCCAACACATCAATGACATTACGATGCCAAAAGAGCGAAAAATGTTCAGCGTCCGCAGATCGACCAATACCTAGCCCCTCGACAGAGATATTTTGGCCACAGTGGAATACTCTTCCCATGCCCCACGCAATTGCCGCCTGTCTCGCATTTGCTTCGCTGGCATCGCAGGATTTCCACCATCGTCAGCCATGAAATATGTGGACAGAGCCACCATGCTTCACCTGTAGGAAAGCCAGCTATATCGATGATATTATTCTTTGCTCTTTGAGATTACTCGCCTGATTAAGTTGATCAAGAGTTCGTGTACTCGTGGCTACACCGTTGTGGACGGTTAAGGTCGTGGTTAAGGCCTGTCATCCGCTGAGAATCCAGTGACTTTGGGTTTTGGTCATCCTCGGACGACAACTGGATGCACCACTTTTTGGGCTTCAAGGCTCTGAATACTCGGCGCAGATATGCTGCACACCGTCTACCTGGCCAGTATGTCTTTCCACTGCGGTTCCATTCCATTTAAGGTCAACATTCGGTTCCTGCAGCCTCTAGTCGGGCTCGCTTTTCGATGCAGGCACTCAGGGGGCACCAGCCTCGCTTGTAGGCCCCAATGGTTCCTGCTAAGAGGCTATGGTGGCCCATCATCCTCATCCTTCCTTGGGACTTTTGTTTGATTCGCTGCGCAGAGACTGACTGGGGATTTCCAGGTTTATGTCAACGTCGCCGATGGCCCGAGCCTGCTTATGATGTGTCCTACAGTCCATCTGGCTACAGGTGCATCGTCAGAGTGAACAACCGTGAATATCAGACTTCGGGTTATCACTCGTCAGAATCATCTGCTAAGGAAGGAGCTGCTTTGATTGCTTTCAACATTTGCCGAAACTTTTCCGCCAACGACGGCATGTACCCAACCGGCTTTGCTCATGGAGGTGTGATTCAGGGCAACCCGGTACCTGTGGGCTCCGGTCGCCACGCCCGAAGAAGTGACACAAGATCAGACTACCGATATGGCGACACCGATAGCTCTGGCAGCAGAAGTGGCGGCAGCAGCCCTGACTGGCGGGAGACTCGCCAGCCAGCCCAGATGTCAACAAGCTACAGGAGTTCATACTCCTCCTCGTCCTCGGATTCTAGCCATTACAGCAGGCGAGGAACCCAACGCTATTAGCTGTTTCAGCTTCCAAAATGATTTGCCTCTCCGTAGCAGGATTCGTGCAGGGACTTTCCACTGGCCGTTTCTTACGACTTTACGACTTACGAGACCATGACGATGACCATGAAAGAGGAAGTTGTTCTCTTCTGACGATTGATATGAAGCGCGACCTTGCATCTCTTTCTCCATTGCTTGCTGTGTTAGATGAGATGTATGCAGGCAACTGTGTGGGTTTCTGTGCTTCATGATTTTCCAAGCATAGCGGCGGGAGGTGGCTCTTCGAGCGTGGATTGATCAAGCAAGCGAGGAAAGGATGTATGAACGATTTTCATTACGAAAAATGCTAGACCGACAAAATCATAGCCTACCCCGATCAATAATTGAAGAAGACTTGATACCGTGGTAAATTCCTATATGAGGCTCTTTTGAAAAGAAGTGGCACTCGCAAGGCTCCCTAAACGCTTTTGCGCTACCCTTATCTAAGCGACAAGTTAGGGGCACACCCCAGCACCCAGTCACCGGAAGCCCCCAGCGCAACGTCCCGACGGTGGCTGATGGCGTATGATGGTGTCGATCTGCCTTTTGACAGTGACGTCGTGCTCCTTTTCAAGCAAGGAATTAACAAACTGTCAAGTGTCAACCACCTTCGGACGATCCAGCTGCAGAGTTGCTCCAAACCAACGGTATGCATCCCAGGCGCGATAAACAATAACATTCCATCTCTGCAGCAATCATGCGTCTCATAAGCCCTGCGAGACAGCTGTTGCAGACTCGCAGCCTCCATCAAGTTTCCCTTCGCGCATCACTCGATCCTCATGCACCAAACCGTGCCCATACATGCAGCCAGCTGCTAAAGAGGCCGCCGCCAAGGTCCCTAAGCAGAATAGGTGTTTCGAAACTTACAACACGAGGCATTTCTGGTGAACAGACGGCGAGAGACTTAAATCAGCAGGGTATTGATGAAGCCCTCTCAGATTTTGACACGGCTATTGCAGAAGAAGGGAAGAACAAGCAACAACGGGCACCATGGCATCGGCAAGGAGCAGATGAACCTCCCGTCAAAAGACAGCGCTCTGCTGGTGCTATGACCAAAGGTAAGAGTCCGGCATACTCTGCGCCTCTAACCCTCCTAACCAAAATGCAGGGAAACTACTAACGACCCCATCGAGACTGCTCAAGTTGGTCCTTCCTCTGACTACCATTGACCAGAACTCCGACAGAAAAGATGTCGCTCCTCTGGCTCTCCTCGTCCACCCCCAACAGCCGCTCTCATACCTAGAAAGGCTGATACAATCCGAACTACCTTCCATAAGCACAGAAAAGGGGAGCAACAGGGTGCCCGCAGTATCTTTTCGAGCCATGGAGTCTACAAGCGATGAGATCAAACCCAAAAAAGAGCTGCCCCACGAACAGAAAGAAGACAAGGAATCTCAAAAAGATAGTCTCGGTGATGGCGGCGTTGAGAGCTACAGTGGTGCTGGACGCGAAGGAGAAGGAGAAGACAAAGGAGATTTTGTGAGATGGAGTGCCTCGACAGAGATTGGCGACTTCATCAGAGATGCGGCAAGGGCGAAAGAATTCGAGGTCGAAATCGAAGGCAGCCCACGAACCATCAAGGTGGCAGTCCCCTCGTTCAACGACCGAACGTTTTACCTGCGGCAAAGACTACGCAGAACGTCCAAGCAGATCGCCGAGATGGCGGCCATCAAGAAAGAATGCGACTTGGCGGCACACAGGAGTGGACAAAGAATAGCAATGGGCGGGTGTGGAATGTTAATTGGATGGTGGTACGTGGTCTACCGTCTGACATTTGAGACAGACCTCGGCTGGGACGTTGTAAGTTCCTCCCGCCTTCCCCAAGGCCTCAGCTTTCTTGCAGGGGCTTCCGTCTTCGAAAGCTTCCGGTTTGGGAACAATCTACTAATAGCATATAGATGGAGCCAGTCACATATCTCGTCGGATTGAGCACTATTATTGGCGGTTATATGTGGTTCTTATACCACAATCGCGAGGTGTCTTATCGATCAGCACTGAATCTCACAATCAGTCGGCGCCAGAGCAAGTTGTATGAACTGAAGGGCTTCGATGTTCGAAAGTGGGAAGCTTTGGTCGAAGAAGCAAATGCCATCAGAAGGGAAATCAAGGCCGTGGCAGGCGAGTATGATGTCGAATGGGACGAGGTCAAAGATGAGCATGACCCAGAAGTCACCAACGCCCTGCGAGAAGAGCGAAAGAAGAGCGAAAAGGGTCAGAAGAAGAAGAGCGACAAAGACAATGATGGAGACGACGATTAACATTAATCACTGCCCAATGCCCAGCATCACCCATGCCTCATCTCTTACAAGAATACAGAGGAACACCATCACAACCCTTTCCACTCTTGATGTCAGCGGCGTACATACTTGTCTCGAGCTGGATCGAAGATTGCTGAATCTGAGCCACCTGATGATTGACCTGCTCGGAATTTAGCCTCTCTCGGGTAGCAAAGGGACGACATTACTCACTTCCACCGCTACTACCTTCCCCAGCTCTACGATTGCGATTGTTGCGAATATCTCTCGATCGGAAGACACTGTATAACAGCCATAGGGTCACCCAGTTCGGAGCATGTTCACCTGTCGTGGCGCCTCGATCGAATAGGGTCCGCTGAATCGTTCCGGGTTTTGCATGCTGCCAGGTGTCGATGATCGCTTGGCGACGACGCTCTTGACGAATATGGTGCCAAAAGAATGGAGGTGATGTTGACTTGTCGGTACGCTTTTCGTCTATCAGACTGGATCGATCGGCATTCAGTCCGTTGTAGACGGTGATTGCCTCTTCCTGTTTCTGGTCAGTCTTGCCAGGCAGAAGACCTAATCTCTATCACTTGGACCATACCCGCATGGCTCGGTAATATCCTTCATGTCGGGGATCCGTGGTGCTCAGACCAAGAGCTTTCATGAAGTCATCTTTGGGTGCTCTTGGTCCTACAGGTTGTGTTTGAGGCATACTGGCGGTGAAGAGAAAAGTGGTTGACGAAACAGCCCGAAATGTATGTGCAAGATGGTACGAGTTCGTGAGCACAACGAGTGAGTGTCACAGACTGGACGGTGTGGTTTTGCCTTGAGCTCATCCTATATATTGCGAGCAAAATTCATGACCTTGGGCAAAGAAGAGAAGAGAAGCAAACATGCCCTCGATCCACATGCGATACAATTTAGCAACACAATTTACCTGCACACGCTGGCACTTCAGTTGGGCATCTGAACGAGCCGATTTTCAAATACGGGCAGTCGGCTGCGCCTGGAGAATGGTGATGGGATTCGCCCGCGACGGCCACCAGTTGAGCCTGAAGTCAAATATGCCCGTACATGGCACGCAACAGCAGGCTTAGCGAGTTTGACATATGCATGTATCCGGCGAGCAAGGGCGCCTCGTGGCCGTCGAATGCGTTGGACCCTTTCGACCCCAAACCGGACGACGTCCATGATGCCGCAGTTTTCCCCTAAGCGTCGCCTTGATGCATGGGAACCGAAGCTGCCAGCCTCATTGAAAATCAGGGACCGCCAAAGTATCTGTACCAAGCCTTGCCAATTCAGCAAGGAGTGACACGGGGAAGCGATTCTTGGGCTTTGGTTGCTGAGACAAAGTGGTTTGACCCCCTGGCACGCGGGGCTGCGGCAAAGTTACCGTGGCCGTATTCAGTCTCATACACTGGTTCGAAGTAGAAAACCTCTGGAAACTTCCTAGCACATTTCGACTGTGATGGAGTACCCTTCCGGTATCAGTCTCCTTGCCGAGAAGCACACGAGCTGAACCTTTCCAGGGTTAGACGGCTTGGTCTCAAGGCCAATATGACAGCTGTTGTGTCACAGACGGCGTCGGTACTCGCTGCTTACGTTTGTCAGGATCTAAAGCCAACAAATCCCGGTCCGCAATAGCATGAGGCATCTTTGGAGCATAACAGGGTCTGATGTTTGCTAGCTTGGAACATGCATACAAAGGCAAACAACACTTGTCGATATGGGCAGACATCTGAGCAATTGAACTACCAGACTGGAATACTTGCACTGAGGGCTGTCCACCACACAAAAACATGTTTCGGCATACCACTGAAGAGGCCGATATTCACCCCGTTGATGCACTACCTGACATGTTACCCGCATAGTCGTGTCTCTCACACACTAATATTTGGTGTCTCTCCCGCTTGAAGCCTAGAGTCTGGCCACCCATGTGTATTACTCCAGCCATTATTGACGTTGCTGAAGCCTGACTAGAGAATGATTCCATTCCCGTTTCCACTCCCATTTGCCGGCAGCCTTCTTGCTGCTGTGTAAGCTGTCAAAAGTCGGCCGGTTGTACCACTTTCGCGACGGCTTTGTACTCAGTGGGAGTCAGTGCGCTACCGCTATGCACAGTCTGTACGACAGAAATTCCCAAGAGAGTCAACAAAAAAAGCCACTGAGGCATAATCTCTCAGCATGCTTTCAAAGACCAGCAGAAGACAAAGCTTTCAATGGAGGCGCCGCTCCTGGTAAATGATGAGCTACACCTGATGGGCGAAGGAGGCAACCTACGAGACGCTTGGAAGCTTCTTCGTGCTGAGTTGGAGTTTGATGGACGCTGATGTATGAGTCCTGTACTCGTACGGATCGGATATAGCACCCTTCGAAACTAATCGGCAATTGCCGAGGCGGAGTGCAGGTGGGAGTTGTTTGATGCCCTTCCGCTTGAGTTGGCCCTATCACGTTTCATGTGTTTGAAGAAGAAGAAGGAAAAAGTTCAACATGGCTGGAGGATGGGGCTGGCTGCAGGTTGTTCCCACCCCCTTACGGGATCAATTGACTGACCCTGCTGGGCCACGGTTTGTGCAACGGCTTGCTCTGTCAGGAGATAGTTTTTGATTCCTGCATTTCCAGGTCTTGAAGCTGCTGGAGTCTAGAAGACAGTACTTCGTATAGTGTGTTTATACTTCCACTTCGGTGCATGACATCAGACTCGACATTGGTCGATAACGTTTCGTCTCCGGAATTTTTTTAAAGTACAGCCGTCATTATTTGCAACCCGTCTTCTGGCTGGATTAGCTTCCTCTTTCCATGTTTGGTGAAGTCGTTTGCTTCTTCAGAGTCCAATCCGAGACAAGGAATACCCTGTCGATTTGATGCGAGTCACAATTGCCTCGTCCTGAAAACCCCTCGCCAACCCCGGAATCGTCGCCGGTATCAGCCATGGCGCCCCTCGTTTAACTCGAAGCATGTCTTACACTGACACACTATCCCAACAACTGACATTCACCACCCGCTCGCCTCACTTACCCGAGCCTCGCTAGACGCACAATTTGAAGCTCCCAAAGGGTCCGGTCCTACCACCCTCCGTCCTAGCCTCGGCATCATCGTCCTTGTTTCAATTCAACAATGTCGAAACCTTCTGTTATCCCCGTGTTGCTCCTCAAAACTCGATCCCTACCTCACGACGGCTACGAAGAGTACTTCTCTACACCGTCCTTCGCGGATGGCGGAAGGCCAATTTTCCAGCCTCAATTTGTCCCCGTCCTGGAACATTGGCCGAATGCTAAGAGCTTGGCTGTGCTAGAGGACTTGTTGAAAAGTGGACACCTAGCGGACAAATATGGCGGAATGATCTTCACGAGTCAGAGGGCTGTTGAGGCTTGGGCTGACGTGGCCAAGAAGGTGGAACAAGAAGCCGGACGGAATGAGGCCTACGGCACGGGGACTGGTATGGTCTGTCCTCCCTCAAGATTGCGAAGATTCCCGAGCATGCGACTGACAGAGGTCTACTCCAGCAGGTGTGACTACCTCAGACGGTAGCGAGGACGCAACAGAGGATACCCCTTCCCAACTGGTCGAGGATGACTTCTCATTCCCGTTCTACACAGTCGGTCCAGCAACCTCGCGAGCGTTGAAGACCTTAATAGACACATCTTCATCCTCAACCAACAAAGTGTCACCGCTAGCGCGCCTTCGTCCAGTCGTTCTAGGTGAGCATACCGGCAACGGCGGCAGTCTCGCGGAGTACATTCTCTCGCACTACAATCAGCTTCATGCGCGAAGGCAGTACACCTTCTATGAAGCACCTCGATTGCCCTTCACCCCGATCCTTGGCCCGTCGCAAGGGGAAAGACTGGACAAGGATGACAATCGTATACAGAAGAAAGCCCTACTTTTCCTGGTGGGCGAACAGCGGAGAGATATCATTCCCAAGACGCTCATGGATGCGGAAGGGAAACTGGACCCGCAGAAGAGGATACAGGTAGACGAGGTTGAAGTCTACAGAACGGTAACCATGGACTCGTTTCAGGATGAGTTTCAAAGAAAGATAGACTCGATCGCACGCCAAGGTTCGAGATTCGTCGTAGTGGTAGTCTTTAGCCCGCAAGGCTGCGAGTCGATGCTCCGGTCGCTTGGGTACATTGACTACTCCAACGCCTTGACAGAGCGAGCGCGGAACAGATGGACACCCGAAATATCTGAAGATCGATTGAAGCCCATTATTGTGACCATCGGTCCGACAACGAGGGACCATCTCAAGAACAATTACGGCTTTGACGCAGATATATGTGCCACGAAGCCCAGTCCGCAAGGATTGGGAGACGGACTAGATGAGTTTCTGCGCAGGAAAAGTCTGGTATAACACTAGTGCAGAAAATGCTCCCGCTCTCAAACTCTTCTCTACTCGGTCTGCTTGCGTCGATGCAGTTTAGTTTCTATCCTGCTCTCATTCTATAACGTGGCCATCTCCCTAATCTTCCACTTCCCTGCGTCGGTTTTAACAACCTTACCATCCTTCCGCAGTTTTTCCAGCACCATCAAAAGTCCATACTCGGCAGGCTGGTACAAGTTTTCTGGGTAATGCCGGTATATGATCCTCACCATTTCCATACTCTCCCACTCTTTGCCTGACACGACCTCCTTACCCACCGAGATCGTCTCGGCTTCACTGTCGCTCTCGCCCATTGTCGTGATCGAATCATGGACAACGCCCTCCTTGGTGCCCGGACGCTTCACACTCCCGTACCGCAGCACGTTGAGTGCTTCTTCCTCGCGCATCCGGCGGTGTGATATATACTCATCGATCTTGCCCGTGACATCGTCGATGACAGCGCCGTGGCCGGGGTACGCTTTTCGTGTGTGACCGGCCTCCTCGCTCGCGCTCGTCTTCGAGGTAAGCGCGGAGACCGTTTCGCTGACACGACGCTTCATCAAATTCAGGCTCTCGAGGTACGTGGCCAGATCTTCGAACACGGCCGTCCCGTGGCCGAGGACATTGTCCGCCGTAAAGAGTGCGCCGATCTCGGTTGGATCAGGAGAGGATGTAACCAGGAAACACATGTGGTCCTTGGCGTGGCCCGGGGTGTGTACAGCTTCGACTTCGAATGCTCCTTCTGGTGTGCTGACACTAAAGTGTTGACCGTCACTGATGTCGTGGACGCGATCGGGGTCGAGGAGCCCGTCGGGGTTCAGGGCAGGTTTGTTTTTGTAGACTTTAACGTCAGAAGACATCTTTTCGAGGTCCTTCACCCCAGCGACATGATCGTGATGCCAGTGCGTCAGGAGGCATGTTGACACAGTCGCGTTCTGATCGTGCAGGACGGTCGAGAGGGTGTCGAGCCAGCGCTTCTCGCCTTGGCCGGTGTCGACGAGGAGGCGGTCCGCGCCGCGGCCGAGGAGGTATGTATTTGTGCCTTGGAGCGTGAACTGCCATGCTTATCAGAAGGGATTCGGGTTTGCTGAGAGTCAACACAGGCCGAGGGTCAGGCTGGGTGTAGGGCAGGGGGGAAGAGAAGACGGACTTTACTTGGATTACCACCAAGGATACGGACGACGTTGGTGCTGACCTGCTCCCAGTCAGGGAGGGGTGGGAGTGTCTGTGCCATTCTGGCTCTGTGCCTGAAGGTTCTCGAGCTTGAAATGGAGGCGCAAGTAACGGGTTTCAGAAGGCAGGAAGGGAGGCGCATATACTTCTTCCTCGAGAGCTGGGAGTGAGCTAGAGGCAACTGGGAGTAGGGTGGAGGCTGCAAGAGGACGGTGACTAGGCAATACAATGGCGACCCTGACTATGAATGCTGTGACCTGGCTGTGGGCAAGGTCCCCTTGCTCGCTGTCTTGTACAGTGAGAATTGTCACTTCACGTCGATGACATTGTGCTTCGTTGAGACTAAATGCTGACAAAGTAGGTCTGCGTATGTCCACAGCCGGTCGAGGCTGTGATTGTTTTCGGGCGAGAGATAGCGGACAACAGCGAAAAGCGCACCGAACAGTAGCGCTGGAAGTAGATATCTTATGGCCAGGCAGGCAACAGTCAGGAGGAAGTGGTAGACCGCAACATGAATCAATAAGCAGTGATAGAATATGCTGCGCAATTTGTGATTGAGCGAGATGCCATGTCGCGATTGCGAATCTCCAAGTGAACAATCAGGATCTCCACAGTACCGTGAGGACATCGTAGTCGTCTACGTGAGACGTCAGAAGGAGACTCGCTCATACCTATCAAGGTCTGCTCCGTACTTATGGCTCCATTAAACAAGCAATATCGATCTATATCATACAACTCGACTAACTCCCTGCCAAACGCAGGAGTAACAATGTACAAAGAAACAGTGTACAAAGAAACAGTACTCATTGGTATTTCTGCTATAGAACATACATAACATCGTGCTTTCAAAACTCCCTCCAATATCAATAACCCGGCAGCACGATCCTTGCATCACCTCACCCCCAGTAGTGTCATTCAGCCAGGCTTGATCTTCCCCTTCCCTGGCCGTATTGAATACTACTGGTAACAAACAGGTTATCCACGTCCACCACCGTCTCTCGATACATTCTTTAGTTTGCGTGTTTCTTGGCCATGGTGTTTAGTGCGCTGCCATTCTTGAACCATTCAAGTTGACCCTCGTTGAAAGTGTGTGATAACTCACAATCCCATGGTTCGCCATCCTTGGGGTGGACTCTCATGGTCAAGGGCTTACCGACTTCCAAACCAGTGACGAGCAAGTCGACCTTGTCATCTGGGTTGATCTTGTCATAGTCTTCAGGGTTGGAGAAGGTCAAGGGCAACATGCCTTGCTTCTTCAAGTTGGTCTCGTGGATACGAGCAAAGCTTCGAGTAATAATGGCAATACCTCCAAGATGTCTCGGTTCAAGAGCAGCGTGTTCTCGAGATGAACCTTCACCGTAGTTCCAGTCACCGATGACAACCCACTTGATACCATCTTTCTTGTATTGACGGGCAGTAGCTGGCACAGCATCCCATTCACCGGTCTTGAAGTTCCTGACCTTGTTTGCCTCACCATTGGCAGCATTGATAGCACCAATCAACATGTTGTTGGAGATGTTGTCGAGATGGCCACGGTACTTCAACCAAGGACCGGCCATGGAGATGTGATCAGTTGTGGTCTTGCCCTTGGTCTTGATCAAGATGGGTAGGTCCAATTGGTCCTTGCCATCCCAAGCATCGAAAGGCTCCAAGATCTGAAGACGGTCGGAAGTTGGCGAGACCTGGACTTCGACTTGGGAGCGCTCTTCAGGTGGTGCTTGGTAGGTGTCACGGCCAAGATCGTATCCGTTCTTTGGAAGAGCATCACCAGTGGGTGCCTTAAGCTTGAACTCATTTCCATCCTTGTCCTTCAGCGTATCAGTTAGAGGGTTGAAAAACAGGTCTCCTGCAATTGTCATAGCCACGGTGAGATCTGGAGAGGTGACGAATGAGTGAGTGGCCGGGTTAGCATCGTTACGACCGGTGAAGTTTCGGTTGTAGGATGAGATAATCGAGTTAGGCTCGCCTTTCTTGACATCCTTTCGATCCCATTGGCCGATGCAGGGACCGCAAGCGTTGGCAAGGACAATGCCACCGAATTCCTCGAAGGTCTTGAGCTGGCCATCACGCTCAATGGTGGCACGGATCTGCTCTGAGCCTGGCGTGACACAAACTTTTTCTGCGTTAGCAAGGAGAGGCCAATAGGATTCCTGGTGAAACTCACACAGCGCTTTAGCTTTAACGCCATGGTCCATGGCATCTTGAGCAATGGAGGCAGCACGAGTCATATCTTCATAAGAAGAGTTGGTGCAAGAGCCGATCAAACCGACCTTAAGCTCCTGAGGCCACTTATTCTCCTTGACGGCATCCTTGAATTTGGAGATGGGAGTAGCCAAATCGGGTGTGAAGGGACCGTTGATGTGGGGCTCCAATTCGGACAGGTTGATTTCAATCATCTGATCGTATTCAGCGCCCTCGTCTTCGTGGAGGTCCGCGGCGTAACTTCGAGAAAAGTCTCCAATGTGCTTGCGCCTAGTAGCGGCAAGGTAGTCGTACATTCGGTCGTTGAAGGGGAAGAGTGAAGTCGTGGCGCCGATTTCAGCACCCATGTTGCACTAATCCTGGTTAGCATGGCGGCTCCGCGGCCTTTCAAGAGCCCCAGCAACCACAAGCTGGGTTTTCGGTGAAACTTACGATAGTACCCATACCAGTGCAACTGAGCGAATTCACACCAGGTCCTGATAGTAAGATATATTAGTATCACAGTCAAATACCATGTCCTCGTGGATAAGTCTGGGTTGTTGATCCCGGGTTGTATCAACCTCAAGTAAGACTTTCGGGGACTGTGATAAGGGAGGGCAGCCAGCTGAGGACGCCTCCACACAGACAATGAATACTACGGTCCTCACGGGTGAATCGTGTAATCAAACTCGTTTGAGTAGGGTGCAAAACAGCCGTCGAAGCAGCAGTTGGACCTCGCATTTGACAGAAAGCCCTCCTACCACACATTGTCGTCGCTGCTGTTTCTCGTCGAATGGCACCCTAGCACCAAATTACACGATTTACCCATGAGACCGTAGTAGGAAGAGAAAAATATCAAGGATTGCTCACCGTGATATTCAACAATCGCACCAGTACCTGCAAGTCGTTAGAAATCTGGATCGGCCAAGCCAGCATAATAAATCTTACCTCCTTTCACGGTGAGTATACCGGCAACCTTGAGGATGATATCTTCGCAGAAGTGTTAGCAGCAGCACAGTGATCAAGTCTGAATTTATTACCTTTCGGAGCAGTCCATCCAGACATCTCTCCCTATTACTGTTAGCAACATATAGCTGTTACAGTCTTTCAGAGAGACCTACCGTAAGTTTGACGCCAATTATTTTGGGCGCTTTCAACTCCCATGGCAGGTTTGCCATAACATCGACTGCATCAGCACCACCAACACCGATGGCAGCCATGCCAAGACCACCAGCGTTAGGCGTGTGAGAGTCTGTTCCAATCATCAGACCACCTGGGAAGGCATAGTTCTCGAGGATAATTTGATGAATGATGCCGGAACCGGGCCGCCAAAAGCCAATGTTGTATTTGGCACAGGCGGTGGACAAGAAATCGTAGACCTCCTTGTTGATGCTCTTCGCTCTGTCCAAATCCTTGTCTCCTCCAACCTGCGCTTCGATCAAGTGGTCACAGTGGACCGTGGTTGGGGTAGCGACTGAGGGCATGCCTGCCGACATGAACTGGAGAATGGCCATCTGTGCAGTGGCGTCTTGACACGCCACTCGATCCGGTCGAAGCTTGAGATATGAGACACCACGTTCGATGTCTTGGTTGTGCGGATCATCCAGATGGGAGTAAAGGACCTTTTCGGCGTAGGTGAGTGGTCGATTGAGTCTGCTGCGGACGATTGAAAGGTTTTCGGACATTTTCCTTGTAAAGCCGGTCTGTCAGCACCGCCATAACACTCCGCTATTCTGCTAGTATTGCATCTAGAAGCTCAACGAGCAAGTAATCAGGATCTTGACATACTTGTAGTTGATATAATGTCCCTTTTCCCAGTTTGTCATCTCGACCTGTGTGAGGTTGTCAGGATTCGAGCCACACTCAGTAGATGTGACACTTATTTTTGCTCAGCGGGTCGTCAGAGACTGTAGCATATCCCATTCTTGACATTCGCAAGGGCTGATATCGTTCGTTAGTGGTGCTGTTTGGCTTTGCAGGACGAGGGGGAGATAGAGAACTGACAGTTCCGACATTGGAGCCCTGGTGGTAGTAAAGCTGTCAGTAATCGATCCCAATGACAACAAACTACCTTGCAATCACTGGACGCCCATCCGGTGGTCATGGAAGGCCTGGAATAGCATGCGAGCAGTCTGCAAGGTATGATGGATGAGCACTTACCAGGCGCGAAGCCAGGCGGCCCAATGGCCGTGTAGACAACATGATTGCGACGATGCTTGAGCTCTAGCAGGCCAAATGAACAAGCTCGACGAAGAAAGATACTGCACAAAGCAGGGAGTGGAGAGGTGGAAGGGAATTGAAGAGCAAAAGCTGTGACGGTGCGGATGAAATGGAGTTGGAAAGCTCTTGGGGAGATTCGGCTTTGATTTGATCGCCTCGGAGGGAGAACAACGATAAGCCTTGGACGACGTCAACCCTTGGGGCACCACCACTTGAGGTCTGCAGATCCTCCTACAACACTCGGTGCTTTGATTCGGGTATACACCAGCTGTAAAGAGATGAAACTGTATAGAAAGAGCACGCTGAAAAGCTTTATATGACCATCCAGCTGTCCGACGTCGCCGCCCTCGAGAAATACAAAGTTACCTAGGCAAGGGAGCCCACCAGAGGCCCCAGCTCCGAGCAAATGCCTCGTTTTTCTTTTGACCTGCAGACCACTTCTACAGCCAATCACCATGGAGACGATTACTTCCATCCCAGGCGTCTGAACGATTTGGTCTCTTCCATGATTTTCGAGGCCAAAGGATCATTGGAAACCTGAGTAGGTGAGTGATAAAGCGGTCTGCCTGCTTTATTCGTTTCCCAATAGGTTCCTTCCATAAGTTTAAACTGCCATTATGGAAGAAACACAGCTGCTGTTCTGCTCTTCCGCTCTTCCAGCCGTCCGAGCTTCTCAAGACTGACATAACGAAGCATACTTATCTCATTGGTGCAATGCCAGCCGCGGCACAGAAAAAACTAGGCCAAGAGCGAGAATCGCTTCCGAAATGGGCCCACAATCAGGATCCCGCTTCACATGCTGAACACGCCGACTTTTCTTTGGCAAGATTAGATGCGACAAGGGCGAGTCCAAATTGTTGAAAGAACATCCTTTCGAACGTCACCATGGGCAGCATCAGGCGCAGCAAGACAAAACGACGAACACGGTTTGTTGACATCTCCCTTAAGCAATCAAGAGCCTCAAGAGCTAATACGAGTTGTCCAGCGACCTTGACCAGGTTAGGGCTGATCTCAAGTCTCCGAAGCACCTCGCCCAGCACAAAAGCACCAAAGCATCTGAAGATCTGCCTGGGCTAGGGGCTTTCTATTGCACCGAATGCGCCAAATACTTCTCCGACAGCCATAACCTGAACGAACATCGACGGGGAAAGAACCACAAGAGAAGGTATTTCACATCTTGCTTTAGAAGGGAATTCAGGCTGACGGCCGCCCTAGGGTACGATTGCTGAAGGAAGAGGCGCATACACAAAAAATGTCAGACGCAGCCGTGGGCTTGGGAACGGACAGCCGACGCCACCGGGACCTGGAGGACGAGCAAAACAATGAAAGGATGGAAGATGTGTGATCTTTCTTCAAAGGTGGTCTCGACGTGACCACTGGTACCCGGGCACACACAACTCGCCAGATTCCTCGCACCCTGAGACATTTTCGACAAAGACAGAGCATCGATAACGATTTGCCGTCTAGAAATCGCAAATGGCCACTGCAGCTTTTTGCGCTGGGCTGATCGTGCCAACCAATAAGTCTTAAATTATGTTGCTTAGCCTTGCAAAGGTTCCAGCAGATGCGGTACACCTTAGCCTGAGCTGGCGTAGAACGCCATGATCCTCTCATAGGCATACCACTGAAGGCCGAGTCAGTAGCTTTCGCACCCGCAGAGAGAGCAGCACCAACCTGAACGGCATTTACGACGAATGCTCTCAGACTACATATCCCAACGCCTCGGTAAAACCCAGCAAAGCCACAAGTTCGCCATACTTCACGCGCCACATCAACAGAAGTCCGGACGTGACGGGAATTTGCATGGGCTCCGGGGAGTAGTCCTTGCCTCTCCGGTTGCCAGGCAGGCTGGGTTTGAAGGCGAGTCTTGATAACGTCCAGAGGATAGATGGAGACCCATGTGACGACACCGGCGATACCCCCGCTAATCAAGACATCTGCAGCCGTAGGAGGGATAAAGGGGTCCGGCTGTCTGGACAGAAGGAGTCGCTTGCTTAGCTCATAAGACCAGAAATACCAACCATAACCGATTGCATCCCGAACAGCAGTGATTGTGCCACCGAAGTAGAAACCTCTAAAGCCCCGATGCTTCCAGATGTCTTTCAGTACTCCATAAGATGAATCCTGTCCATCAACGACGAGCTGAGCTCTGCATTTGATCAGCTCAGATGGCGCAGATACCACAAACGTGGCCAGCCCACCAACGGCTCCAGCCACCCATATCTTGCCAAGGTCGACACCAGCAAGCTTTGTATAATCGAAGATACTTGGATCCATCAATGTCAATGACCGATTGAAGGTCATGAACAAAATCGAGTTCAACGCCCCATAGCCTAGAATAGGAGCAGCCGCACCTCTGAACAATGCTGTAAATCTCTCGAGGTTCGTCGTATAATCGAGGGGGCCAAGATTAATGGTACTCCCACCGCTTGCCTGGGCCCTCACTTTCAGAACGTCGAGCCGGTTTCCAATCAGGATGCCGATAGCACCAGAGGCATAGCTGGCCCAAAAGTCGGCGGACATGCTGAGCTTGAAACCCAGAAACCAAATTAAAACTTGTGCGAATGCCTATGTCATGTTGGGCAACACGTCGATCCTGGTATGATCCCATCCACTGAACCAGATATTTGGGCTGAAAAGCCTGAGTGTGAAATGAGAGGATCTCGCTGCTTCTACCTGCCCTTTCATCAAATGCAAAATGGTGGAAAGAAGGCACAGTGAGCGGGACACCGGTGGAGAAACGGCATCACGTGACTGCGCGTAGAACGCGCTTGTCAAGGACGCGCTCAGTCCGGCTCGCCACATCCTGCACAGCCTATATGATTATTCTGCTATTACTTCCTGCAAGGCGCTTCTGACCTGGAGAACTCCATAGTTCTCGATCGTACCCCGGAAACGACGACTGACAATGTACGATACTGTTCCGCCGAGCCCGTGATTGATGCTGACTCTGCCCAGGATCCGTACGAAAGTCCTCACCGCTGCACATGACAAGGAGAACATCCCTGCACCGAAAGCTGGTAGACTGAGTGTCAATTCTCCTGCCGCAATTGACCGGCTGGTCAAACCCTTCAAATGTCCTGGGTCCGCGAATGCTCGTAAATCCAGTGGCGAGCCTGCGCGGAAGCGCAGGAAGGTCAACTATGCTGAAGCAAATGGAGGCAATGACGAGGACAATAGTGGTGGGTTCAGCATCAATGGGGAGAGTGTCGCCCTCAAAGATCGATTTCCTGTATTCAAGGTCAAAGACAAGGAAGCGACATTTCGCACCCGCTTTGCCATTCCGATGATCAACAAGAATTCATTCGACCCTTCCAGACCAGCACCTAGCCTAGGCATGCGGAGAGGTAACACATTTGTCAACAAGCCTCTACATGACCCGAGCGGCGAATTCGCGATTGTGCTATACGATCCCACTATAGATGAGAAGTCTGCATGCACACCGGAAGAGAAAACGGAAGCAGAGAAGCCAAAGCTTGATACGCCACTTATGCACAAAAGCCTGGCGGAGATACTAGGTATCAAGAAGCAAGTTGAAGGCGAAAGACCAAAGGTTCCGGTTGTCATCGACCCAAGGTTGACCAGAGTCCTGCGACCCCATCAGGTGGAAGGAGTGAAGTTTTTGTATCGATGTACAACAGGGCTGATAGATGACAAGGCCAAAGGTTGCATTATGGCCGACGAAATGGGTCTTGGGAAGACTTTGCAGTGCATCGCCTTAATGTGGACCTTGCTGAAGCAGTCTCCTGAAGCTGGAAAACCAACCATCCAGAAATGTATCATTGCCTGTCCTGCAAGTTTGGTCAAGAATTGGGCAAACGAGTTGGTTAAATGGCTCGGTGAGGGTGCCATCAATCCTTTTGCTATCGACGGGAAGGCCACAAAAGAAGAACTAACGCTTCAGTTGAAGCAGTGGGCAATTGCTACGGGGCGGGGTGTAGCGAGGCCTGTCTTGATTGTGTCGTACGAGTCTTTGCGATTGAATATTGAGGAGCTTAGAGACGTGAAGATTGGCTTGATGTTGTGCGATGAAGGTCATCGATTGAAAAATGCCGAGAGCGAGACTTACACGGCATTGACTGGGTTGAATGTCGACCGACGAGTCATTCTGTCGGGAACGCCAATACAGAACGATCTAACCGAGTACTATTCCTTACTCGACTTTGCGAACCCTGGCTACCTCGGCACCAAGGCAGACTTCCGCAAGAAATATGAGCTGCCTATTCTTCGTGGACGGGACGCAGCTGGCTCTGATATCGACAAACAGAAAGGACAGGCAGCCAACGCCGAACTCGGATCACTTGTCAACAAATTCATCATTCGAAGAACAAACGACATTCTGTCCAAGTATCTGCCAGTCAAGTATGAGCACGTCGTCTTTTGCAACCTTGCACCTTTCCAAAAGGATCTCTACAACCATTTCATACAAAGTCCTGACATCAAGAGTCTGCTCCGAGGCAAAGGCAGCCAACCTCTGAAAGCCATTGGTATCTTGAAGAAGCTCTGCAATCATCCAGATTTGCTAGATCTGGAGAAGGATCTTCCTGGCAGCGAAAAGTTCTGGCCGAGTGACTACGTTGTCAAGGAAGCTCGTGGTCGAGACCGAGATGTCAAGTCCTGGTACTCTGGAAAATTTGCTGTGCTGGAACGCATGCTGGCACGGATACGGCAAGACACAAATGACAAGATCGTGCTCATCAGCAACTACACTCAGACACTGGATGTATTCGAAAAGTTGTGCCGCGCACGTAGTTATGGATGTCTTCGGCTCGATGGTACCATGAATGTTAACAAGCGGCAGAAACTTGTCGACAAGTTCAACGATCCCAACGGGGAGGAGTTTGTGTTCTTGTTGAGCAGCAAAGCTGGTGGCTGTGGTATCAATTTGATTGGTGCCAACCGTCTTGTGCTTTTCGACCCGGACTGGAATCCAGCAGCAGACCAGCAGGCTCTTGCTCGTGTCTGGCGAGATGGTCAGAAGAAAGACTGTTTCGTATATCGGTTCATGGGAACGGGAACGATTGAAGAGAAGATCTTTCAGCGACAGTCTCACAAGCAGGCGTTATCGTCGACAGTGGTCGATTCGGCTGAAGATGTTGAACGGCATTTCACTCTTGATTCTTTGCGAGAGCTCTTCCAATACAGGCCCGACACCAGAAGTGATACCCATGATACATTCAAGTGTAAACGATGCAAACCCGACGGTGTGCAGCAGATCAAAGCTCCTGCAATGCTATATGGTGATACAAGTTCTTGGAACCATTTTGTTAACAATGGCGAGCAGGGTCCGATGGGCAAGATTCAGGACTTGTTGCTTCGACAAGAAGTGTCAGAGGATGCCGTCAGCGCTGTTTTCCAGTATATCAGTCATTAAGAGATATGCATCGTCCCATGGGTTGGATTGTGATAAGCCTGCACTGACTAGCGCCACGGTGTTGGGTCTCACTTGTGATACAGGGACGTCGTCATACATCTCAAGATGATTTGACTCATCAGTCAAGGATGCCATCCCTGGTGGGGAAAGAGACACAGAGCAGTTAATGATAGGTCAAGCTTCGATAGAATCTAAAGATGTTTGACTCTCGATGAATATCGACGAGAGGATGCACAGTAAAGTATGGGTTACCGGGTTGTAAAATGCGATCGAATCGTCGTGCGGAGCTTGTTCAGCAGAAAGGTTGTCGTCAACTGCCCGCCAATTGAATCAAGTGCCAGCGGGACTCGGAACTTGGAACCTCCAACAACACAACTCTAACAAACCTGCATAATTACCTACACGGTTTATTTATCAATTTAAAAACAGAGCCACAAATTAACCTGGAGGCCTTTTATTCTCGGTATTCGATGACAGCCGGAGTGCAACTTGCCAAACACATGTTGTACCTGACGGTGATCTAGATGGTGCTGCCAGATCAACCTCGTCTTGACGTCTCAGCCTGCCTCCGCCTTCGATGATGATCGCACCCGACAACTTCAATCAATCTAGACATCACCATGGATCCATCAGTCCAGCGATTACTGACCGACAAGCTTTATGACAAACGAAAGCAAGGTGCTTTAGAGTATGACCTGAGTCTTCAGTGTATGTCATTCATGAGGATCTGACCAGGTCCAGGCTCGAGCGTTTTGTGAGAGAAGCCATCGCTGCTAAAGAGCACGAAAAGATTCGAAAAACCCTCGAACAACTATGCCATGATTATGCCTATGCTGTCCATCTGCCACATGCCCGAAATGGAGGATTAATCGGGCTGGCCGCCGCCTCGATTGCTTTGGGCTCGGTAAGGCTTGTTTCGCTCTTCTTCTGAAACATACGAGGCTGATGGCGTGTCCACCAGGATGAAGTGGCCCGCTACCTACAAATGATAGTACCACCTGTTCTAGCGTGCTTCACCGATCAAGATGCTCGTGTACGTTATTATGCCTGCGAGGCTATGTACAACATTGCCAAAGTGGCAAAGGGCGAGATTCTAGTATTCTTCAACGACATATTCGACGCTCTGTGCAAGGTGGGATGGCTTGATGTCTCACTTAGACACCTAAATCTCGTGCTGACGGATTATACAGCTTGCGGCCGACTCTGAACTTTCAGTCAAGAACGGTGCTGAACTTTTGGATCGCCTCATCAAGGACATCGTCTCCGAATCGGCCGCCTCCTATGTCTCAGTGCTGAACTTTCAGGACGAAGATGGAGAGAACACAGGCTCTGACAAAGAGAGCGCCGAGTATCCTACCACGTTTTCACTTGCCAAGTTCATCCCACTGCTCGAAGAAAGGATCCACGTCCTCAACCCCTTTACCCGCACGTTCCTGGTATCATGGCTTACGCTTCTTGACACAATCCCAGACTTGGAGCTTGTACATTACTTGCCAGCTTTCCTCGGAGGCCTATTCAAATTCCTTGGTGATCCGAACCGTGATGTCTATGTAGCCACACAAGGATTGCTTGAGAGATTCCTGAGTGAGATCAAGAAGATTGCCAAAATCAAACGGGGCATTGCCGAAAGTCGCAAAAGCCGAGCCAGCAACGTGAGGCCAAAGTCGGAGAGTCAGGACGGTAGTGCCACAGGCGCTGGTAGTGCATCAAACGACAATGCCATCGAGGATTCGGAATCCGGCACGGCTCAAGATGGGCCAGAAGATGCGGGTGATGCTGATGGTGACTGGATCCCAGGACAGGATGTTCAGGTGGACCACGCTGCCATCCTTGACATTCTCTTGAAATTTGTGGATGTATCATCGAGCAAAGAGGGTGCGACGAGTTTACGGCTTGAAGGACTGTCGAAACAGAAAGAGGAAGAAATTGGAATTGTCGCATTACGGTGGATCGACAGTTTCTTTGAGATCAGCCCAGAGGAAATCTTGCCATTTGTCCCGCGCCTTCTGTCTCGCGTCCTACCAGCTTTATCGTCGCAGTCAGAACAAGTCCGAACAACAGCCAGCAAAGTCAACAGGTCCCTGATGGATTATATTGTGAGCCTTCAGGATGAGGGGCTGGCTGAAGATGGTAGCAGCCAAGCGCAGAGCAATTTTGCTCTGCTCAGCACACGGGACGGGGATGCCAACGAGAAAAGACACTCAGGAGCGACGTCGAAGACCACACTGCCGCTATCTACGAAGGAGAATGAGACCTTCCCCGAAGCTCCTACTGAAACCGACCAGTCACCTCCAGAAGTCACACCGAGGTCAAGTGCAGCGCCTTCGCCACAACCTCCAGCCGATATGGACTATGCCGCAGCAGTCAACGCCTTGACCTTGCAATTCCTCAATGAGAACGAGGAGACAAGAGTAGCTGCATTGAACTGGCTAATCATGCTGCACAGAAAGGCGCCGAAGAAAGTGCTTGCGTTCAACGACGGCACGTTTCCGGCACTCCTAAAGACACTCTCCGACCCAGCGGAAGCGGTCGTCACGCGCGACTTGCAACTCCTGTCGCAAATCTCGAAGAACAGCGAAGACGGCTATTTCACATCATTCATGGTCGCTTTGCTGCAATTGTTTTCCACCGACCGCAAACTCCTCGAAATCAGAGGCAATTTGATTATTCGTCAACTCTGTATCAACCTCCAACCAGAGCGGATCTACAGGACACTAGCAGACTGCATTGAAAAAGACGAAGACATTGAATTCGCCAGCATCATGGTCCAAAACCTGAACAACAATCTCATAACCGCACCGGAACTGGCCGAGCTGAGAAAGCGACTGAGAAATCTTGAGAGCAAAGACGGTCAGATGTTTTTCGTTGCCTTGTTCCGCGCATGGTGCTACAACGCCGTGGCCACGTTCTCGTTATGCTTGCTTGCGCAGGCATACGAGCAGGCGTATAATCTTTTGCATATCTTCGCGGACCTCGAGATGACCGTCAACATGCTCATTCAGATCGACAAGCTCGTACAATTACTCGAGAGTCCGGTATTTACTTGTAAGCATCTGGTCATTTGTCCCCTTCCGAGGTGAATCGTGACTGACAAGCGCGTTAGATTTGCGCCTCCAACTTCTCGAGCCGGACAGGTATCCATACCTGTACAAATGTCTGTATGGCTTGTTAATGCTGCTCCCGCAGTCCTCGGCCTTCGGTGCGTTGAAGAATCGTCTCAACAGCGTCTCGGCAATAGGATTGCTGCATACACCAGCCTCGATGCCAACGTCCACGAGACCATCGTACGTCATCCTACGCCTATAATCTCCTTGTCATGCATTGTGCAAGTTCAAGTACTAATGTGAGGTGCTACAGGGTTGTGTCCGGTATGGCATCATCAGCAATCCCCGCTGCGTCCGGGGGAACAGTGACAGGCCGACTGAATCGGGCCCGCGAATCGGCGAATGAAGTCAAATGGCCGGAATTGCTTGACAAGTTCAAGCAAACACAAGAGCGGGCCCGGCGCCGGAATGAGCGGCTGCTTCGTGGTGCGGACGCCGACACGCCGTTGAACGGCGGACCAACGCGAGGTCTTCTTGACGGCGCAGAGGCGGGGAGAACAAGCCGTGCTAGCGCAAGGGACGAAGCCGAAGGGAAAGGCCGCAATGGAACCAGACCATTGAGTATGCTTGGTCCGAGTGGTGGGCCGGGTGGCCTTGTGAAAGCAGGAAGCGGGCTGAGTCTGAGTACGGGTGGAGGGCAGAGTGCGACTGGTGGTGATAGGCCTGCGCCGCATAAGCGTGGGCATAGCCTTGCCGGGGGTCTGGGGAAGTTTGTGTCCCGGGCAGGTGCAAGTCGAGATCGAGACAAGGGGAAGAAGTAGAACGATACCCTGAGAAAGGGGGGTGGAGGATCGGGCTCGGCGTATTGGTTGAATGCGGTTGGGCAGTGAGGTGGGAGCTAGGGGAGTCGTCGTTGCTAAAGAGTGGTTTTGTACGCCTTTAGCGTATTGTGATGGACCCGGTGACTTGCTCTCGTTCCGTAATATGTTTTATATGTACAGGAGGACCAACAGTACACGGAGAGGGCGAGGCTATGGCAGCCGGTAAGGTGCATGGGTTCGAACTTTAGGATGGGATTGCTTCCAGAAGGAGTCTGCTGCATTGGTACAAAGTAGCATGAGTAGGAACAGGAAGTATGAGGAAAAGATAGCAGTATGCTGTATTGACAACAGACACCACGCCGCTTCTCAGATGTATATCATAATGTTGACGAGTCTCCAATCACGTGGCGAAGTGAGGCTACGAAAAGTGTGGAATATTGGCAAGAGAAGACAATCAGTACTTGGCACGTGAGCGGTCCTGTAGGATTGGGTCGAAATCTGCATTATACTATGGCTGATGGAGGTTTTACAAGGCTGGGTGTATTGCCTAGGATTCCAGTGGAAGAAGAAGCCTCACTTACGCCACAGTTGGTGTACTCGTTGGCAAGAAGTGGATTCGGTGAGCCAGCGTCGCCGTGCGTGCGGTGGCTTGTCTGGGGAAGGCGAAACATCTCTTGCACAGCCACAGGCACAGGCACATTGAACCTACGAGTAGCCTCTGAAAAGAGCGCATACGTACTGTGTAGTAGAGTGGAGAAGACGACGTCGTCGTTCGAGGAGCCAAAAGAGTTTTGACCTCGGGCCGGGCGATGTAGGCCGTACTGCGTAGATGAGATGTAATATTAGCAGATCGTATGATGATGGCGAATCGAAGGGGAATAAATAGAAACGAGGGTCAAGGATGCCTTGCAGCAAACAAGCTGCCTCACCTAGGCACTCCAGGGTCTTGCCTTAGGCTAATGGACGAGGGAAGAGGGAAGAGGCTGTTACTGCGGCGACTTGGTGATTCGGATACTTGGCACTGTCAGACCTGCTCGTAGCGAACTGCGCCCGCCCCTGGTGAGGAAGCGCAAGCTGAACAGAAACTCGCCATGCTTCAAGCCAGGAGCTGAACCAGTTTGCTGTATCTGGCAAATCCATACGTTTCATCTTCAACGACTGAGTCGCTCACTTGTCTATCGCATCCTCCCTTCAATTCCACAATCCGTGGCACAGGCGCTCTCTGCGGTCCACTTCCGACTTGGACCAAAGTAAACAGATCTCCACGTATTGAGATCATCCATCTTTGTCACTACTCAGCCCCCTCGAGGCCTCTGGCACAAGGATATTCGATTGCGCGGCCACTCGCAATAGCAGTATCTTCGCATCAAACATCTCTCAAACCGTTCCTTCCCACCACCGCATTCCAACCCTTGACACAGACCACCTTCGTTTGATCTTCTCATTCACTCCTTCGCTACCTTCCGCCTACCATGGCGTACAATCGACTCGGTAATCCATATTGAAACCTTGTCAAAAGATCCCCCAAACACATACTGACTCTTGCCTTAGGCAGTCCGCAACGAGACGGGCCTTATTCCCCATCAGCCAACCCTCATTACGATTCCAGATCGCCTTCTCCTGGCCGACCCTTACAACCCTACGCACATCCTGACGAGTCCTTCTCGAGACAGCAACCTCTTCATTTGCAGATGCCTGGAGCTTCCCATGATCGCCTCGCAATGCAGCCCACCTATTCGGTAGAAAACATAAGCAACACTCAGGGGCACAATCGACAATATGAGCAGCAATATCCTGCTGGAGGGGACATGGGATATGCGAGGAATGACTACGTCGTGTCGCCGGAGGAGCACCACGATTCCTATTACAACCAGCCTTATTCTCCTCACCCACAAGGCGATTATGCGCTAGACCCCTATCCCTCGCAGGGCGAGCCATATCGAAATGATCATGACACCGCTCCTATCCTACAGCCAGACTCTGCCTATGGTCCCGATCCTCATTCTCAGCCCGGATTGGATTATGACGGCTACCACGATGAACCACGTCCTACACCATCCCCAGCGCCAATACGGAGGTGGAAAACTGTGAAGGAAGTACAGTTGTTTAATGGCAACCTTGTCCTTGACTGCCCTGTACCACCAAAGCTGTTGGCTCAAGTCCCACACGCGCAACCGCCAGAGAGAGACGAGTTCACACATATGCGATATTCAGCTGCAACTTGTGATCCTTCTGACTTCTACAATGAACGATTTACTCTCCGACAGCGGCTGTTTGCTAAACCGAGACAGACCGAGCTCTTCCTGGTTGTCACAATGTACAATGAAGACGAATTCTTGTTTGCTCGAACAATGATCGGTATTTTCAAGAATATCGAGTTCATGTGCAATCGGGGAAGCAGCAAGACGTGGGGCAAAGAAGCCTGGAAGAAGATTGTTGTCTGTATTGTCAGTGATGGCCGTGCGAAAATCAATCCCAGGACCAGAGCAGTTCTGGCCGGTCTAGGGGTCTATCAAGACGGCATTGCAAAGCAACAAGTCAATGGCAAAGATGTCACGGCCCATATTTACGAGTACACGACCCAAGTCGGGCTGGAACTCAAGGGCACACAGGTGATGTTGAAGCCTAGATCGGCTACGCCCGTACAGTTGCTCTTCTGCCTGAAAGAGAAGAACCAAAAGAAGATCAACTCACATCGCTGGTTCTTCCAAGCTTTCGGTCGGGTCCTGGACCCCAATATCTGTGTGCTGATTGACGCTGGAACGAAGCCTGGAAAGGACTCAATCTACCAATTATGGAAAGCCTTTGACTTGGAACCCATGTGTGGTGGTGCTTGTGGTGAAATCAAAGTCATGTTGGATCATGGTAAGAAACTCTACAACCCGCTGATCGCCACTCAAAACTTTGAATACAAGATGTCAAACATCTTGGACAAGCCACTAGAGTCTGCATTTGGCTTCATTTCGGTGCTTCCTGGTGCATTCTCGGCATATCGGTATGTGGCTCTCCAAAACGACAAGAACGGCGAGGGACCATTGGAAAAATACTTCAAGGGAGAATTCATGCACGCTGAAGCAGGTGTCTTTACGGCAAATATGTACCTGGCCGAGGACCGTATCCTGTGTTTCGAACTCGTCAGCAAACGCAATTGCCGATGGATTCTGCAATACGTCAAATCTGCCACCGGTGAGACCGACGTCCCCGACAAGATTCCCGAATTTGTTCTTCAACGACGGCGATGGCTCAACGGCTCGTTCTTCGCGGCCGTCTATGCGGTCACACACGTGTACCAGCTCTGGCGTAGTGATCATAGTGCTATACGGAAGTTCATGTTTTTGATCGAGTTCACCTACCAAACAATCAACATGCTGTTCGCTTGGTTTGCTATTGGCAACTTTTTCTTGGTCTTCCGGCTTCTCACAGCATCACTGGGATCACCTGGGCCGCTGGGAACTGCAGGCACCATCCTGGGCGTTGTCTTCGAATTCGTCTACCTGGGAACCCTACTTTACTGCTTCATCCTCTCGATGGGGAATCGACCTACAGGCTCGAAAAAGTCCTATCTCATGATGGTCATTTTCTGGTCACTTCTCATGTGCTGGCTGACCTTTGCCTCCATTTTCTTGACGGTCAAGTCGATTCAGACCGAGGTCTCACAGAAGGATTTCAGTTTCTCAACGATCTTCAATAACAGCACATTTTTCGGACTGATCGTCTCCTTGGCAAGTACATACGTCTTGTGGTTCGTGGCAAGCTTCTTGTTCTTCGACCCTTGGCACATGTTTACGTGCTTCCTCCAATACATTGTGTTAACTCCGACCTACATCAACGTTCTCAACATCTATGCCTTTTGCAACACCCACGATATCACATGGGGAACCAAGGGAGATGATAAAGCGGAAAAGCTCGAGAGTGTCACTGTCAAGCCAGATGGCAAGCTTGATGTCGCGATCCCTCAAGACGATGGTGATTTGAACGCCCAATACGACTCAGAGCTGAAAAAGTTTGCAACCAAACCGGTAAAGGAGGTCAAGAAGGTCAATGCAGCGGACAAGCAGGAAGACTATTACAAGTCGTTCCGCAGCAATGTCGTCACGGCATGGATGATCACCAACTTCATCCTGGTCGCGGCAGTTCTGAACACGGCTGGATTTGATAGAATCAACACAGACAACACAGAGCAGCAGAATTCGACGATCTATCTGGCAGTTATTCTATGGTCGGTAGCTGGTCTGTCGCTGTTCAGGTTTATTGGCGCTTGCTGGTTTTTGGTGGTGAGACTGGTGAGTTTTCCACTGTGATATTTGGTGATATTGATGCTGACCTACTGCAGTTCCGTGGAGTATGATCATTCCAAGACCAGAACGAGTTACGAGTAATGAGAAACATTTGGGAATCTGGATTGGGTCCACCACCTGGCGTCGGCGGGCTGACAAGGATGGATATTGTATGTTGTCGTCGCGAAAGCATCTGCATGACATGATACCCTTTGTAAATGTATCAAATGAAAGCTTCTTTGGAAAGTCTGCATACTGGGTCTTCTGGCATGGTCAGGAAGCGTGCGACTAGCTTAGTAATGGCATTCGGTGACTGTGCAAATCAGGCCAGAACGCTTCCAAGATCTTCCAGTTTCGCTCATTTTACGCTGGAGGGAGACGGAGGGCACCGTCGCTTGGGTTTGTCTTGGGTTTGTCTGGGTCTAAATCTCAAGGCTCACTAGGCCATAACAAGGTCCTCGTATGACTGCACGATGGCAAGCTCGATCGGGTGTGAGATATGACTCTTAAATTGTATGACAGGGCTGTAAGAGGGCCTGATGCGATAGAGAGGGCACAAGATCAGTTGGCCAAAAGCCTCAGTATCAGCATAAAGCTGCTTTTACTCCTGGATGGCAATCATGGCATGCCTGCTCGTGTCTTTGCTTTCTTAGCACACCAGACAGAATGGTCTTATCCACCGCAGGTACAAACAAGTCCAGAGGTGCTCTCAGGTCTTTGACCATACACAGAGTCCAATGCCGGCGCAAACGAAGATCATCCCGAGCAAAGTATCCTTCGTGATGAGCTTGCCTTCAGCATACCATTCGCCGAGCACAGTGAACAGGAATGCTAGTGAATTTGTGATGGGGACCGTGAGGGAGAGTTCTAAGTTGAGTACAGCCGTTAGATAAGCCGAGGATGGACTCTGGACGTGGACGTGGACGTGGACAGGAAAAGTGGAAGTAAATTGGGAGGATTTTCGCCCAGTATACCACCACCGCTACCGGGCCACGTGCTGAGGGTGACGGCAAGAGAGGGAGATGAGAAAAAAAAGGAAAGCAGAAAAGAAAGAAAAAAAAGGGGCTGACGGACCTGCTTGCCCGACCAGCAGAAAGAACCAGATACTCCCGGTCAAATTGAGTAGGAGGGGCACCGCGTATCCAGGACTCCGCAGCAGCCCGATGACGGTGAAGAAGGCTTTGGCGATCTGCCTCGATATCCAGGACCGGTTGGGGTCGGTGATTGACCGATGCGATGGCGGCGTGTAATTGACGGCTGCTTTGCGGATGAAGGGCGTCGTGAAGCCCCAGCAGATGCCGACAAGGAGGAAAGAGAGGATGTAGTTGAAAGGTGACGGTGTTGGTGGTGTTGGTGTTGGCGGAGGGGCCGAAGGATCAGCCATGGGAGACGACGGTTTTGTGGTCGGTTGCGGCAGTCGGACGTTTGGGAATGGAAACTTGGAATAAGGGAGCAGGGCTAGAAGGATGACTTGGTTTATCTAGTCGATGCCAAATTGGATTGCAGGAAACCTGTGCATAAGGCATAAGGTAAGTTAGATAGTACGAGTACATAAGGGAGGGAGCTCGATCAATCGATGGGCAATTTCGGCGGCATCCAAGGCTGTGCCAAGGCTAGTGAGGCGGCGTCTTGTGAGTTTAATAGCCCGCCGTAGATCTGATATTGGACTTCGATAGGGCGGAGCAACCCATCCATACGCTATACCAAGCCAGTCTTGCACTTCCACCAAAAACCAAAAAATGCAGCAATACGAGCACCACCCCGAGTGTCTATCTGGAGCGGTCCGATGCATGTATGATGCAGCATTTGACAATGCACCCTAGCAGGTCATCGATCTCTTCAATCTGGGAAACAGGGGGACCTCCTCATGTGTCGTTCCATCACTCGAATTCGCATGGCCATTGGTCGCATCGAGCCTCTGCTTATGTAGATGCAGCAGCTCGTGGGTTTCCCACGCGCGCGCTGCAAGCCGACCGCGTTCTCTATCTGGACGAAGCTGAAACCTGCGCAAAATCGTAGGCAGCATTGGTCTCATTATAATCACCACGATACCAAAGAACAAGGTGAAGAACATCCCCAGCACATTCAAATTGAAATACCTCGGTCGAAGGGAGGTCTGCTTGCCGCAAAAGCTCTGAAGCAGCGTCGTGTTGGGACGTGTCACGTATGGGTTGTATTGTGCCTCAGAAGGGCCGACGGCCCAGTCGAGCGAGACGCGTTGAAATGCGGCAAGGTAGATCGACCACCATGTTTTCACCTCGGTGATCCACTGATCATCCGGCAGGCTTGTGCGGTACACATGAGTGGCGGCAGTCAGCGAGCTCGAGGCTTGAAGAGCGTCCTGGCCGAGGTTCCAAGGCCCGATGTAGATACTTGTCCACCCGTTCACGAGCCTCCGAAGTAGAGCCGTTTGTCGTTGATTGAACTTTGGCAATTCATTGGACTCTTCAGTATGCGTGGACCGCCCATGGTACAAATCAAGAACCAGATCGCTGATGACACTTGGGCGGAACATTCCTGAACAGGATGACTCAGAGTCCTTGGGCGAGGCTGCAGGATTGCAGAGTTGCATAACCTCCGTGCAGCCGATGATACCGACGCCTGTGGATGATGCCTACAACTCAGCAGAGTACGAGTCCTTGAGGAAGTCTCGCAGGTGGTCTGACACGTTTTCGGTTGCTTCAAAGTAGGGGTCGTAGACCGGCGAAGAATAGAGTGCTCTGTTCTCGAGAAAGATAAGGGAAACGTCTCCACTTGTATTGTTAAGAGCTGGAATCGGCGAGTAACCAACCCGCGTCAGGTACGTCGGCCACCTAAACATCCTATCAAGAATCAGCCGCCAGGTCTGGCAGTTTTAAGGCAGAAGGTTGAGTTTTAGATAGGCGCACAGCATACCAGAGGACGTAAGGCTGGACCGAATCTGATCGGGAGAAATTGCTGTAGTAGTAGGTGAAATTGGCACCAACCGGACCCGGGTGGACATTGCCGTAAAAGAAGTACTTATACTTATCACCAGCAACATAGCTGCGTGGTTCGCCCCCAGGGCCTTGTTGCAAGACCGGTCCAATAGGATCAGATTGCCAGTCACTAACATAGCCGTCTTGCTTCAGAACGGCACAGGCTGCCTGGCTCCGGAAGCCAATTGAGTCGGCCTTCGGAGTGTTGATACCCATGTCGAAGCGAGAATCAAGGATGCCGGAATCAAGCAGGACTCCCGAAGTTTGGCAAATGTCGTCAGCAAATGGACACGGGATTTCAGTAACGGTGGTTTTGTCAGAGAGATCTCGGTGAGTGAACTCCTTGCAACCAGTGGCTTCGATGTCTGCTGTTGCACCGTAGCAGGTCTCGGCATACGACTTCGCCGTGACCACGGCACGATAACCTTCGACATCATTGTATTGAATTTTCTGCCTCCAGTAGTCATCAACAGGGCCAGGGGCTTCTTGAGGAATGATCATCGAATCTCCACAATTCGGGCTGCTGACGAGAACTTCTGTCGACTGGGTTGCAAGATTTGAGGAGAGCAGGCCTCCGGCAACGAGCGCAACTGCATAAACAGTAGCCAAACAGACAATAAACAAGCTTCTCATCAAGGCCCATTTGACCCTACCCCTGCAAGCAAGCGCAAGCTCTAGGTAGTCCCACGCCGCTCGGGAAGGCGACTCCGTGTTGCGTAGCAGGACTTGTTGCTGTTGATGAATATCATGTCTCGGATGCAGAGGTTCTCGAGTTTGATGTACTATGTAGCTGATTATTCGCCAAAGTTCACTTCCCGCAAAGGCAATGAAGAGGGGAAAGAAGGCGATAAGGACCACTGCTTGGCTTCGAGACGTCGTCAGGGTAAGACCCAGGAAAACCCTGTATTTGTGATTGATCCAGAAACCCCGATAAACCTGGATTGTCCTCATGATGGCGGATAAGCAAAGAGCGAAGAAGTAACGACAAGCACAAGCAAAGAAGGAATCCTGCAGAATCGTAAGGACAAAGACGGGAACCATGGCATCGAGCAGGGTGGTCGCATGAACATTTTCAATGCTGGCCTTCACCCTCGTGAGGCTGTAATGATAGTCCCGCGAGCCGTACATCATGGTTACACAGGTTGACTTGAAACTACCAGGAATATCTGGAGTGATAAGCCTCGTGTCTTTCCGCCACTTGCATGTTCTTTGCTAGACTTTGACGGGACTAGTCGTTCTCTCCCTTCGAATTACCTGCGCAGGCGCGAGTAAGTTGGTGAAGACAATTAGTACTCAAGCGGCGCGGACCTTTGGTGTGCCCTACCGACTAGGAATATCCCCTTGGGGATAGTTGGAGGGGCACAGCCAGGGACTTGCCAGGGTGCCCAGACAGATAGGCGACATATGATGGGGGCATTGTCATGGAGGACTCGAGAATCATGCCAAATAGGCCAGAACAGCTTGTCCCTTGCAACGTTGTGTAACGTCGGCAAGAACAATGTGGTTCAGCTCTGTTGGCGGCAAGGCAGCTCTGATAGACGTGTGGCCCCCACATTGGAGCAGCGCTCAATATTTTGCTTATTTTTATCCTCAAGAGCCTCCAGGGTCAGCCGACAGAGAGCTGGCCCAGGGACTACTGCCAGCCCTTCGGGTGCAGTAACCATCGACCCTCTCTACACCGGCTGACTTGGATGAGGCGTCTCGCCGAAAGGACCGTGGCTGGCTGGCTGGCAGACAACAGACGCCAACAGAACTTGTTCGCGGCGGTGATCTTTGTGGGCGTTAGAGGTTATCCTAAGATGAGACCGGGGTAGGAGGAGCAGCTCTCTCTAGAGTTTATCACAGAAAGCATTTTTGCGAAGGCGCATGCCCGGCTACGAGTTGTGGATTCAAGCAGCGCAACCAAAGAAATGGGGTACTGGGTTTGAATTTGCTGACGTTCAATATTTCTTGTGCTACCTCTGTGAGGAGAGGAGGTTCTCGCTCTGTTCTACCGTCCTGCTTTGCTCTGGCATGGAGTGCCCACGGGATTCATTGTTGAAGAATCTTAAACGATCACGTCTGAGTGGAAAAGCCGTCCGCAGACTTTCTGAAGTCTGACTGGATCCTTATAGCCATGCGCTTTGTTCCGCCACCTGCATTCTGTGTCCAGAGAAGCAGCTTGATATGTGGTGACCAGATTGACCTCATGACATGCAGGGTCTCAGCGATTACGCAGGCCAGCAACTGCAGTACCAGTAGTCTCTGGCACCAGCAGTACACGCAGCCGCCATTTGCTTGTCGTTACAACCGGAGATATTGTTCTTGGTTTTGCAGGTGATCTTCGATTGCTCGTTGCTGAATACAAATGACAACCGTCAGTATGTGCTCGAAATATACCGGAATTTGAAATTTGAGGTGAGACTTTGCAAGGGGGTCAAAAGTGAGTTCTTACCAGCCGCAAAATCGGAGACAGTTGTCACCGTTGAGTAGACCACCGCAAGCAGACGTCTTGTAGCTCATCGCAGTCTTGGGATTAACCGCATTGCCTGTTGGATAGCAGCCAATCTTCATCGCAATGAAGGGGTTAGCAACACCTGCCGAAGCGAGGGTGAGCAGGGTGAGCAAGAGGGCGAAGACGGGGTGGAGGCTGATTGTAAGCTTCATTTTGGATGAGCAAAAGATGTAATGTTGTCGTTGTATGGTCAGTGTGTTGGCTCAGTGTGTGGGCTGAAGTGTTTTCGGCAGGTTCTTGAGAGATGGGCAGATCTGGGGCTGGGAGTCGTCGTTTTATAGCCGGATATATGACACGGGAAGGAAGTATCGTGACGCACATGCTTGAAGTGAATTCGCCTCCTGTGAGGGACGAAGACAATGGTTCATGAATGATTGGAGGTGACGAGTATATGAATGGAAGGAGAGGTGGGTTTGAAATCTGTCATTGAGAATTAACCTGCTTGACTGCCTGAGCACGGTCACCTCCCAGACACCTTGGAAAAGGACTGTTGTTAACTTAGATGGACTGTTTGATATGGAACAAACGTGACAAGGCCGAAGAGAAGATAAGGATCGATCTCAGAATGAGTGTACCCTGTGTTTGTCTAATCCTACCTACTACGTATTCATTGAGGTGTTGATCTTCTGTCTCACCCAGAGTTCAAGTGCTCTGCTCTGGTCGACTTTTCACTCAATTTACAAGCTGAACCTGACCGGTGAACTAGAGTGGATGTGGAATTGCGCCCTTCGAGTAGCGAGACATGCTTTCGGCAAGATTGATGGTTGAGTTCCGATGCTTAGATGCAAAAGGGCATCCCTGAAGATCAGACCGTGGTCATAATGTGCCCTGGAAGATGCCGAGCTGAGAATTTTCATTCGCGCAAACCTGTCGACATTTTGCCCGTCGACCAGCAGTTTATGAGACCGTACCTCCGGCTAGATGCTGACTCCTCAGTGCTGTAGCTAGACAGTTTGACATTGAACGCCGACCATTTCCCAACCCTTCGGGCAGCTAAGCGGTTGCAGAGGAAGGACCTGATCACAGTGGTCTCGACTGTTCACCGCTGGACAACAGAAAACAGTCACCAAGTCGAGACCTTCGACGACCTTGGCCGAAGTACCTTTGTATCCCGTCGGACAGCACGTAGCCCAGGAAACATAGGGCACAGTACTGGGAATTACAGACCACTGATAACCCTCGTCGCAAGTTACTCGTGGCGGTGTGCTCAAAGTAGCAGCTCTTCGGTAGATCTGGCCGTTGAAGAGACTGGCTGCCGTGCTTGGAGAAGGTGTAAGTAGCGTAAAGACGGCGACGAAAGCCACTGAAGGCCAGAAGTTGCGAATATTTGTAAAAGCCATGCCTTCGCGGCAGCTGAAGCGGCTTCGATGTTGAACGTGTCGTTGTGATCGGCAGCTTATCTGCGTTAAAAGGAGTTCTCAAGCTGTCAAACGAGGTGCAGAGCGAACCAAAGTATAAACGAGCCTCGTTTGCCCTGAAGTGTGACCGAGGCTAGTGCAAAAATGCAGGAGACGAGATGCATAGTAACACCCTCTGTAAACTTGAACTCATTGGGAGAGGTGGTGGATTGAATTCAACGAGACCCGAGTCTTATGTGACACGAGCACCTTCCATTTCCACTGGATGTGTACTTTCACAGCGGCCATTCAGTACTCACCTCTGCACCTACCTTTAGGCCTTGTGTTGGGCTAGCCTCATTCACATTTGAGAATGCTGCCTGCTTCTGTTGGCTAGCAGCAGGGTTTCCCGATTTAGCAAAGATGGCACAAATAGAATTGGTGAATGCAATGATGAAGAGGAATTTACAGAGTGAGACAAGTAGTTCCGTGACGGTCTTTGAAGTTCTTGATTGGCTCAAACAAAACGACATACCATGGGGATCTTGGCAGACGTATCCCTGGACTGGACTGCATGCAGGGACATCATTGATCTCTCCATCCATAACTTGGCCCCTATCGACCTTCAGCCATCTTTGACTTCGCAACATGGCTACAAAGAAGATAGCACCCACAGACGATGAGCTGCTGGCTCAGCTCGACGATCTGGGCAACCGGGCAACAGCGCGGCCCCCGAAACCCTCTGCAAGAATAACGAAACAGACGCAGCCTGCTCAATCGTCGCAGTCTGAACAAGACTTGCTGGCCGAGTTAGGGAACCTGGCTCAGCGACCTGCAAGTCGACCTGCTACGCCGTCACTCAAGCCCAACCCTCCTTCTGCTGCTGGCGTTCGATCTCCTCAGCGTACATCCACAGCCACCCCTCCACCCGGCCGGACGAGTGAAGAGAAGTCTAGCAATGGTCAGCGGAAATCTGGTGACAGTATGCGCTCATTCCATCAAAGCTTTACTCCAGCAACAACCTCGACTGAAGGTTCAGCAGAATCGGACTCAACACCGGAGCCCGCACCAGCAGCTGCGACCGGCGGAGGATGGTGGGGAGGTATACTATCCACCGCCTCTGCTGCAGTACACCAAGCTCAAGCGGCGGCAAAGGAGATCCAGAAGAATGAAGAAGCACAAAAATGGGCAGATCAGGTTCGAGGCAACGTAGGGTTGCTCAGAGGTTTCGGTACACATACCACATTGTACTTGGGTCGCAAGGGCTAATGACGATACAGGCGGTGAGCTCAGATCAATGGCCATGCCCACCTTCCAGAACCTACTCCAGACGATAGCACCTCCTATCTCATCACATGAACGACTACAAATTCATATCACACACGATCTGACGAACTATCCGACCTTGGACCCTCTCATCTACCAAGTCTTCAGCCGAGTCATGTCGCAAGTGGAAGGTGGTGATTTGATGGTTGTGCAGAGAGGCTACGAAGCCGGGCCCAAGCGCGATTCCAAAGAATTAAGCCGGCCACTGGGTTCATGGCATGACGGTCCTTGGTGGAGAAGTGGTGAAAGACGAAGTATTAATGCCATCAAAGGCGCGGTCGAGGGCAGCAAGCTCGTAAGAGCATCCGCCGAAGGATACGCTGAAGAATACTTTGCGAGCAGAGGAGGTGTCGAACAAGCGGCCAAACGTGCCACAGAGACACTATCCGATTCAAATCCCACCAGGGATAGTGAGATCTTCCTTGCCATACAAGCTATATCCCAGCCAGTCGCCAAGGATATGTTCGTGGCAGCCCCAAGCTCCGAGCCAGAGGGTCAGGTCAAAGAAGCAGCAGATGAAAAGAACGCGGAGGAGGTTTTATTTGCTGTTTATTTGCACGATCCCATTCACGGCATCGCCTTCCAAGCTGTCTCCCAAGCACTTCCAGGACAGTGGATTGAATGGTTGGACGCACCAAGCGGCGGTGAAGGTACTTTGCCAGAGAGCATTGAAGAAATCATTGCTAGTGGTGGAATCGATCCAAGAGAGTGGGTGAGCGAGTGGGTCGAGGAGACATTGAGTCTGGCGGTTGGTACCTTGGCTCAGAGATATGTCGCTAGAAGGATGGGGGTCGGTGAGAGCGGTGGCAGGAAGGGCAAGTTGAGAGCCGACTTGACTCAAGAATCCATGATTGAATCGGGTGGTGGTGAAGCTGCTCGAGCTGTGGCTGGCATGTGATGACTAGCGGGTCTATTTGTTCCGGGATATCTGGTTTTCGGTATACCAATTGCGCGTTGCTGGAGTCTGGCGTTGCGAGACTGGACAGACATGCTTCGGCGCCCTATTTGATGTTTTCGATAACAGTCACAGACAGGGCCGTGCACAATCGTCTTTCCCGTTCTACTCTGGCCGTTTGGGTTCTGTACGGAATTTGTCCGGTGGCGATGATCGCTCACTGAACCCGTTGCAACCCTCTCTTGACGACCAAACCCTGACTGACGGTTGAATTCCATTGCCGTGCGCAGACCGCGACACGAAGCACCCGCTGTAAGATGACTTGCACCAGGGCTCTGGCCCATAACGCTCCGCGGACGATATGGGTTCGTTGAGTCTTGATTTCGCAGGGTCACCTATGGTTTCTTCCCACTCTTCTTTCCGCTCTTGCTAGCATCCGCACCTGTGTTCTTCTTCCTGCCATGTCCCAGCAACTCTAGATGTCCCACCCTTTCGCCGAGCATGGCTTCCGTCTTCGCTGTCAGGCCAACTGTGTACTTCTTATTGATCTTGGCTTGTTTGAGCAGCTTCGCCTTTTTCGGCGTGACGGTGCCACGGCCTTTCTTTGTCAGGCCTGCGGAGGATTTGGACGCCGCAGCGGGTTTGGAAGGTTTCTTGATCAGGCCTTGAGCCATGACTCTGACTAAATGCAGATCAGAAGCCCGAGGTCGGTGGGACGGATGAACGCGTGTAGGGCCGGGTCACGAAATGTTTGGTAAAGCTCGAACAATGAACGAGGTTTTTGGAGTTGAAAAAGTGCAGAACTGGAGCGAGAAGTTCAGCCTTGCATGCCCATCACGTGGTGTCGGTGACGAGGCTGCGCCCCCAGGATTTCACTCTAGGTGGCGAGAATTATTTGACATAGTTATGCGTCCAGCATTTACTTGACGCCGTTTGACCAATGGATCGGGCCACAGTCGAGACGGCCGCTGCACAAAGACTTTGTTTGTCTATGTGGACAATGGCAGCACATAATGACTGCTTCCCACGTGTCGCCTTGACTGCTCTGAACACAAAGGCGCCTTGGGCTTTTTATGGTCGAACTTCGACGATGGACATTGCAAGAACTTCATCATCAGCCACCACATCAGAGTTGACCACAATAACAGACTCATTCATCTAATTTCTCAACAATACTAGATTCCGCAGGAATCCTCCAACAACACATTTCCAAAAAAAATTCAGATCAGCAAGAATGCCATTCTTTCGCAAGAAGAGTAAGTCGGAGAAGCATCCAAACATGACTAACAAGCCCCCTTCAAGGCCCGGGACCGCTGACAGCTTCTTCCTTCCACCACGGCCTCCACCGCCTCCTGCTACTGTGCCGAAACGAAACGACACAACAAGTCCGGCCAGTTTTGCATATGACAACGGGTATGGCAGCCTCGACCATCGACTGATCGAGGAACAGCAAATACCACCACACATCAGAACCACAGACCAACTGGCAGACTTCATCAGATCTCGACGGCAAGACGACAATGACCGCTCATCGATCTCGTCTTCGCACTATTCCACAGGAGGCTCAACCTTCATCTCCAGCGCCGATTCCGCGCGGTACACGACCTTCAGCGTGCAAGCGAATCCATATGAGCTTCCGCGGCCCGGATCTCAGCGCTCCAGAATGGCGCCGGACTCATACGTACCTCCTCGGCCTTCGGTGTCGTACATGCTTCCGCGACCTGGTCCTCACATTGCTAGGGTTACCTCGAATCCGATGATCGCCGGTCTAAGCAGACGCTATGTTTCCAGTCCGGTTGTTCGTGTCCTTCCAGGTACGACTCGCAAACACCCATATCAGGGGTACTGGGTGAGCAGAGGCACTATGAGGAAGGTGCCTGAAGCACCCGACGTGAATAATTGCGGTAAGCGTAAGCGTAAGGGAAAGAAGACAAAGTCGGCGGCGGAGAAAGGCCAATACGTGGAGACCAGTGGCTGGTATGACGATTGAGCCTCCTATGTATCATATTTCGCCAATTTCTAGAAATTTCCGCCGACAGATACTAGTAGGGGCAGTGCTTGAACAGGATGGCGGTTTAGAGTATGGTGCAGAAGTTCCTCGATATTGAGCAAGTGAAGTTGTCCATTTCAGCAGGCCCATCTACTAGGTAGTCTGCACAGTAGTCAGTCGATTGTTGACTGCCAATATCATTTATATGAAGAAAAGAAAAGGGAGTCCGTCGACCGCAACAGTGCATATACCTCCTCATTGCGGGAGCAAAAAGTCAACGGGCCAAGGTGTCTGCTCACACCTGCTGCTCTACCCAGGATTCCCTTCTCTGTCGTAGAAGACGAGGCCCCGCCCGCCAACCAAAACTGGCCTACCTTCGAGGGGGAATCCCGGATACATACCGCTAGACCACCGAAGTAAGTCTAGACTGAGTGCGACTCGAGGCCTCTACCATCGGCCAATTCAGAGGGAGATTCACTGACTTTACTCTATGACCTGTTGAGTTGATTTTGGTGCGGCGAACGGTAAGGGCTTTGTGATAGAGTGGCAGTGGCAGTTTGCTGGTGAATGTGTGGCAACGGAGATGTAGTTTACTGTTTGTGTTTCCGGGCTCTTCCAAAACGGGATCAACGAGCTGAGCCATACAAGGCTGTCCGTGCGACAGGGTTCTCGTCGCGATGCTCGCGATGCATTCTTCTAGTTGTCATAAGAATAACTGACGTCGAAGCCTTTGTGCTGGGCTACTGTGGAGACTGGGAACGTGTGTCGTACTTGATGTACTTAGTGCTGGGACCATAGTGCGAAATCTTATCCGCGAGGACGGCGAGGTCCAATCAAGATGGATAGCGAGACAAGGTCCACTGGCTTCCCCAAGGCTACTCGGGTGTAACTCACGTCTTGTCCATCCATCATATCAACATGAACATCTCCTGTCTCTTTCGGGCTCTGTAACGGCCGCAGGACATGCTCCGCATCTTCTCCCTAGGGCCAGGCTGCAGCATTTTTGCTGCTTGGGAGCCATGGGTTCCCATCACGTATGGCACGTATTCCTCTCCCGAGAGTGGATCGTTTCCATAGCCACACTCTCAAGTGTCTTGTACTCTTGCTTCATGATACAAAATTGGCATATATAGAGAGCTGGCTCTTTCTCGACCAATTCCCTGGCCCCGTCCCAGTTGAAAGATCAAGTCCAGAGTACTCTCAAATACTTCCTTTGCAGCCCGCTTGTTTTGTCCTGCCATCTCCATACCAGGCTTCATTCATACCAGATTATATGCACTTGGTTGTATGGGCGTCTTAACGTTAGACACCAAGACTTGTGACCTTGCTCCCAACAGCCTCAAAGCCAAAACCAATTCAGCCTCATCCCTCCCGACTCAACAATCAGCCCCTCGCAATTGGCACTGACAAACAAGCCCCATCGAGCGAAGCCAACCTCTTCAGTCGGTCACTAGTCCAGGAAACCCTGCGCAGAATGGCCTCCTTCAACACGAGGCGCGATACCCCTTCCCCAGACGAGATCGATCCGTACTCCTATAACCCTTCCTTGGCCCTTGCCATTGTCTTGACCACCTTCTATCTCATCCTCTCAGTCTGGCACATGTACCTGAGCATGATCTACTCACGCAAACAACCAATCCGGCACAAATACACAATCTGCCTGTTCGTGGCTGCCATTATGTCGCTAGCTGGATGGGGCATGCGCATCCTGTCGATCGAGTACCGACACTCGTGGCCCATGTCCGTCATCTGGTACGCCTGCTCACAGTCCTGCATTGTGATTGCACCAGTCTTCGTCTGTGCAAGCTTATACCTCCTCATGACAAGGCTGATCCGTTTCAACCTCCCTGCCGATGACAAAGAAGGCGGCGGTGGTGGGAGAAGACCCCAGGTCTTCTGGGGTCTATCTCCAAAACGGCTCGGCTACCTCTTCATCATCTCCGATTTTACCAGTTTCAACACGCAAGGTGGCGGCAGCAGTATTGCGGGTGCAGGGAGCTGGAAAGGCACTCTGCGGACGGTCGGAATCGACGTCATTCTCGTTGGTCTAGCATTACAGGTTATCACCTTTACCGGCTTCCTTACCGTCTTTGCCATGTTCCAAAGCCGGGTCAACAACATGAAGGATGTCAGCTTGCAGCCGGGTGCGAAGAAGGTTATCACGGGAGTCTGGATTGCTTCAATTCTTGTACAGGTTGGTATCCTCTCGGTCCTCTCTGCTGATGATTCTGATGGTAAGCTGACACGGTGTGCACTGTGGAAACAGATCCGAACCGTCTTCCGTCTTGTCGAGTTCGCGATGGGTGATGACGGATACCTGATGACCAGAGAATGGTGTGTCTATGTGTTTGAAGGAGGGCCGATGGTGACAGCGACCGCCATACTCGCCGTGTATCATCCTGTCCTATACATGCAGCAGGTTTCGCACACTGAAGCCAGCGATGGCGAAGTCGCATTGGAGCCCAGGCTCTTGAGGCCAGGAAGCTCACAGAGTCTGGAAAGATGTTAATGTGCCTCCCACTTTCTTCCCTCGTGTTGCTGGCGAGTGCTCTGCTCTTTGTTTCATAGCTCATTGGCTTACAATCAAGAAAGGAGGTTGCTTTCGTCGAATACGAGGACTGATAACATGACGGCGTTGGTGGTACGGACGCACAGATGAGGAAAAGGCACGACTTTGCCGGGAACGGCCGGTGGTCTGGTAGCCTGGTACGATGCTGTTAACATTGGAAGGTCCAAAAATTTTGGATCTTTTGGTGTTTGACAGATAGCGGGTGGGTGCTTGGATAAAGAAGTCAGCATACTGCTGAGCGCTGAGGGTTCTTTCTTTGGCTACTTGCAGCATCAATCATGGGAATGCTCGTCGGATATGTTGCCATCGTTATTGCCGCCGCAAGCATGGCTGCGGCTTACAGCTTGGAGGTCGAGGATAGCTGCAATCGACTGTCCGTATCAGACAGATACCTCTATATCGATCAATGAGTGGCCGCGTCGATGATTCGTTTCCGCACTTCGTCATTGAATGCCGTCCCAGCTCCGTCATGACTTTCTACGCTCATCTCAGCATCGACAGCAGCCTCATAAGCCTTGATGACCGTATCTTCATCTACCCTCACGCCTTTCTCCGCAAGTATTCTGATGCACTCTGCGATCCGTGCAATTTCCCTCCGCGTTCCTTCTTCGATCTTATCATTCTGGCTAGAATAGATTGCGCTGCTGACCACGTCGTCGAGATTCGAGATGCTGACGCCGCCACTCATTCTGCTCTGGTCCTCGGCTTGTTCGACATGTTTGCTCAGCCAGATGTATCCATTCACTCCCAGAATGACGTCGACGTCACCCCCTCCTTGCGCACCGCTGTTGATAGTGAACACCTGTCGCCTACTGCGCACTACTCCACCTCCGCCGCCTGTGCCAGTGACGGCGAGAAAAGTGCCATTGCGCAACTTGCCGTATTTCAGACTTCGAGTGTGTAAACTTGCAGTCCCGTCACTGCTTCCGACTTGTTGCACCTCCGCAACCAGTAAATCTCCTTCCTGAAAATAATTTCGCATCTGAAGTTCGTCTGCAGTCGTTCTTCGTCGCAGGACACCGCCCGGCAAGTTTATGGATGAGAGGGGTAATTGTGCTAGTAAAGGAGCTGCAACATCCACTTTCCAACGATTCTTCTGAACCTCAACAATTCGTCCAACCACCAAGTCGCCTATTTCAGGAGTGTATCTCGCTCGTAGAGGTGCGACGGAGAGTAGCTTGTTCGTTTGCCGTAATGGTCCTGCCAGGGTAGCGGTCATTATTGTGGAGGCGTCGCTCGTATAAGTGCCGTGTCCTCTATAATGCGGTCAGGACATGGCGCACTCTCAAAACCGTGCAAAACAGTGGTACCTACCTCATCCATTCTGTCTCTTCGGTAATGATCTCACCTGGAAGGACCATTTTTCGCGAGCTTGAGGGCGACAGTCGAGCACGTTTCAATGGTCGACCATCCTCGTCATACATCGACACATCACTGTCTGACGGGCTGTCGACATCGTCAGAGGGACTTTGCACCACCACCACATCCTCTTCGGGGTCTGGAGGAAGCACAGCGAGACCCATTGTGAATCTTGCGTGTTGTGAGAAGCAGTAGGTGACTTGCTCGTCCATGCCAAATTTCAGACCAAAGAATTGTCCTTCGTATTCTCCGGACAATGGCGGGAAAACCTCGGCAACTCACGTGACGATAAAGATCTTTGCGCAGCCTTATCGCAAATATTCGCCTTTCGCTGAGGTCATGCAAGAATGACATCCCCATTATGACAACTTCATCTTGACATCTTGAACCTCGCCTTTCTCCGTCTAAAACGTCGCGGTCGCAAGTACCAAGAAACATGGTTCGCCACAAGAAAGACAACTCGTCCGCCAAGGCAAAGAAATTCTCCACGAAACCTCGACACACAGCACGCTCTACAGGACCTGGAGGCGAAGATGGTGGCGCTAGTGAGCGCCCTCCTTTCAAAGCAGCATGCTGGGATTTCGGCCACTGTGACTCGAAAAGATGCAGTGGGAAACGGCTCATGCACTTTGGCATGATGCGTGAACTACCCATCGGCCAGAAGTATCCTGGTGTCGTCATCTCGTAAGTTCCAACTTCAACTCCTTCCCAAAGTTGTGTACTGGTGATTGACAGCCCTCTCAGCCCGAACGCAAAGCGAGTCTTATCCCCCGCTGATAAGGACTTACTGGAACAATACGGCGCAGCCGTAGTCGAATGCTCATGGGTCCGAGTACAAGAAATTCCCTGGTCACGCATCGGTGGCAAATGTGAGCGGCTACTACCTTATCTCGTGGCTGCGAATCCCGTCAACTACGGCCGACCATGGCGGCTGAACTGCGTCGAAGCACTGGCCGCGTGCTTCTGCATATGCGGCCACCAAGACTGGGCGGAGGTGGCACTACGACATTTCCCGTATGGCAAGCCGTTTCTGGAAATCAACTCGCAGCTATTCAAGCGATATGCCGCTTGTCAGGACGAAGATGAGATCAAGAAAGCGGAGGAGACGTGGTTGGCCAAACTGGAGAAGGAGTACTCGGACAGTCGACTCAAAGGACCGACCGACGACGATGATGATTGGGCCGGAGGCAACTCAAACAGACGCGAGGTGTTTGCTTCAGACGAGGACGAGGATGAGGACGAAGATGACGACAGGAACTCAGAAGAATCGGAAGACGAAGACGACAGCACCTCACATCAGCAAGGCGTGCCACTGGGTTTTCCACCGGATGAGGACGACGAGGATGAAGAGGCCGAAATGGCAGAAATTCGCCGCAAGATCCTGGCATCAAAGCCCTTCTCCGAGTCCATTCCGTCGGAAAACCGCAAGAGAGAGCCGCAGCAAGGACACGCCGACAGCGCGGCTACGATGCTGACTACAGAACCTCCAGCAGCGCTTGCAGAGTCTGATGCAGAGTCCGGCTCGGGGGAGGAAGATTACGACGACTTTGACCAGATCGCCAACGCCACGCCCGTGACAGATCGGACGGGCATCGTCGCACGAGAAAGACAGAAGAAGTTGGAGCAAGCCAGTGCGTCGTTCTCGAGGACCATAGTCTCTGCCCCCAAGAAGTGGTAGTCACGCCGCAGTCGGATATGCCATTGTAGTCCGAACAGATCAGCGGGTGCCGCATTCCTGCCTTCCACTTCCACTTTCACATGCGGTCGATAAAACGAGGCCCCATCGTCCTTTTGCAGTACCTGCACTGCACGTTATCTCACAGCCCTTCTATCCGTAGCTGTACTCGGAATTCTTGGGCCCCATGCGCTGCACATCATTTCGTATAGCTGTATGTTTTCAGGGACTCTTGGACCCCTACACAGGCTGCATCCATGCAAGTGGTGGGGACAACGAAAAATAAATCCGGCCCCTGCAGAGCCAATAGAAATGCCCGGAGTGCGCCGGCTGCTCTGATGGGTTGAAGAATAATGTATCCCACAACAGCCGTCGGAAGCATTGCCGTTCCGCTACGGCTGTCACTGGTGGTGGTGGGGTGGGTGGTCAATCACAGGCGATAAGGAACAACGATCCGTCGATGTAGCTCGTACTACTGGAGGCTCTACTCGTAAATGGTTACGACGATCAAGCCCTTCTACCTAAGGTAGGCAGGTAGGTTGTTGGATCAGTCATCTACGAGTCAGTGTGCTGTGGACACGCTCTGTTCTCGCATCATCCGCGAAAATCAATACTATTCGTCGTAGGCCGTGGAGATATTACAGCGAGGGGTGATGATCCTCACACCTGGTCGACCTCTAGTCAAGACGAAATCGTAATTCTGATCGCCGCTGATGGGTTGTGATCGAAAGAGCATCAGTGAGCATCCCACCCGTGCCCACAGGGAAACCAATCAGGGTAATGCTCAACGAGGAGACCCTGGCAAACATCCGGGCCTACGCGAGGTCGCCGACTCGCCACTCCTAGGGTTTTATCTGGCCATATTGGACGCTTGACGATCGACGAGCTTTTGAGGTCCAGACTGGTACGAGTACACTGCAAGAGTCCCCCGATGCAAGGTGAAGCCAGTGGCAAGAAGAGCCCTTCAAAGTCAATCAAAAAGACGCCGGACGTTGTGACATAGCATACATTGCATGTCCAAAAGAGCTGGATGAGGAAGAAGGTCGTCCACGACCGAATGGTACCTTTCTCCGGGACCTCGTGGTCAGCTACCGTCAGATTACGGTTTCGCGACGAGGCCTGCATTCAGGTCGCTGGCGCCACTGCGGCTGGTATTTGCGGGTTCAAGGTAAATATTACCATGTACCACATACTTCCAGAAACACTTTTTCTATCCCCCTATCCTTCGTACGTGCCAGCCCCGTCCATAGAAGATCCGTGTCGAGCTGTTGAAGGTTTGTTCGCACAATGATCTGACCGAATTTGGAGGATATTGTCTTGGACATGTTGCGGATATATCAGATTTGTTGTAGATTGGCGGCTTTCTGATTGTCCAAAACCATGCCCTACCTGGATCGTCGAAACTGCGCCTTGCCGAGCTCGACTGGGTGGCCTGTAACACGAGAGTCTCAAGCGATAACCGTGGAGAAATCCGCACTTATACTCGTACAACAGGCAGGCATGGAGATGAAGACTCCCCACCTGCAAGATATCACCCTTGTCATCCTTTCTCTCCACTGTCCAAACTCCCGAGAGAGATCGGTAGTTCGATGATGCACTGTCCAAAGGCTAAGCGAAGGCTTCTCAGGATATCAAAGAAAAGTGACTGTCCCAACACCCGGAACAAGAATCTGCATTGTAGGACTGTACAAATCGTCCGCGTGCGGACATGAAAACGAGCGCTAGCCTCCCATCGCTCTAGCATACCATGGTCGACGAAGGAAATCCGCTTGCCCCGTACTCCATTACACAACGAAAGGGTTTCGAAAATTAGACAGGATCCACCGATTGATAAGCTGCAGCCAATGAGCCAGGCCAAGGAGAAAGATAGCCGTCAGAAACTGTGCCTTCCACGGCTTGCTGTTCTGGTAGGTAGAACTTTTGGGCTTGTTGAAGACGAGGCTCCCAATGCATTGCTTCCCCGAAGTTGTCAGCCGGCTGGAAAGTGTTGGGAAAATCACAAGAGCTTGTATCCAAAAAAGCGTCCACATCAAGATAGGAATCAGCGTTCAAGCCGGGACCGGGGCCCTTCAGAGCAGGTTGCAGTTCGAGCCTCGGGTGTGGCTCGCATGTCGACATTTGTGGCGATTCAAGGATATCCTGTGGTTGCGTGTCCATACTCAAATTCAAGTCGACTTTGCTCGATGTGGGTGAATGTAGCGAGGGGCTAACAGTAGATATCTGGCGGGCGTATGTGGAGGGTGATATGGTCATCGGGGTTTGCGGGATTGCTGAATACTCGTTCTGGGCGAAGCCTGACTCTGCTGGAGGTGTTACCAAGAGTTGGCCCTTCTCGTGTGTATCATCGTGCTCCGTGGAAGATTGATGCTGCGTGAGCGTCACTGGCGATGTAGAATCGTCTTGATCCGGTGTTGTTAAACCCAGCCCATTAAGAATTGCCTCTGTGGTAACGACACCGGTCGATTCATCCGGGATCTCGCCGGGGAATTCCATCTTGTGTCGACATGCCCAATATAACCGTTGAAGAGCTTCATCCAAGACTTCACGCATCCGACAATAACTGATTAAAAAGGTCAGTGACTCTCACAATGAAGACAAGAATCCTGGGATCGCCTACTAGCTTCTGGCTTCTCGACCTCTTCGAGCAGTATAAGTGCAAGCACTATTGTTTGCTTTGCAGGTTCCGCATTTCACTCCGCCGTCACACTTTGCTTTCTTGAGACGACACCGATCGCAAGCCCTACGTGTCCGCCGTTTGCGGCCGCCACCTCCTTTCCCAGTGGCTCCTGACTTTGTTCTCGACATGCTCAATGCAAAGGGGGTTAAGGCTTATTTTTCCGCAACAGTCGCAAAGGAGACCCAGTCTCAGATGGTTAGCGTTATTGTGTCTTCACGTGGTACGAGGTACTGCTTGGTTTGCACGACGTAGACACAACATCTGGTGTTGTTTTATTCTAGATACAAGATCTGAAAGGCTTCAGTCTTGGCCGCTGACATCATAAGGAAGTACGAGCACGGAGAAGGCAGGTTCAGGAACACTTGCACACTGTGGGGAAGGAGAGGATTGCGATGGCAGGAGTTATTTCCCATATGTCAATGGGACGGTGTGAATGGTACGTTCAACATGCCTCACGTACTAGTACGTCTAGTAGTGGTTGGTGACTGACGAATCTCCGCACTCTGTGGCAATAGAAGTGGCTCGTGCTGGGAGGATTTCCGCGAGGTACCTGTGTAGGGCAGTGTGGGCAGTGCATCGTGGGTCCCTTGGTTCCGGTCTTTGGAACCGTTGGCAGGTTGGTGGACGGAAACTGAGTGCATGAGGAGCGGACACATATACTTAGTGCCACGCGAGGGATACTGTGTTAGTCCAAGCATTCAGTTTAACTCCTGTCAATGAAGGATATCAGTCTCGGCTCTCGAGAAAGGTTGCAGGCGGGCATTGGATTGGATATAGTTGATCATCCCTGTAGATGCTTCATCTGGACTGCGAGGGGCAGGTCGGGTACGCACTTTGGCCTAGTGAGCCTAAGTCGTTCGGTCGGTCGAGAACAAGTGGTGCGATGGTTGGTGTTTGAGGACCAGAAAAGGCGAACAACGACGACGAGACAAGTCCTCAGCGGTTGGACTAAGCTCAACCAATCATCAGCCGCTGGAAGTGCAACTCCGCTGTGGTAACCGGAGAGGCTCGAAGAAGGATATATCAGTCCGCAGTGCTACACGTCCTGTGTCCAGAGGCGCCCAAGATGCCTCCCAACATCCATAACCATCCATTCATTCTCTTTTCCTTTCCAGTAGGTGCCAGAGGCGTGCATTCGGCTCTGCACGATGACATCTGCGCTACGTTGAGGAGGTGGGCCGCTCGGAAACCACATCCACGTACCTAGCGATAGTCTTGCGGTGCTCCAATCAGCTGTTTTGGTACTTGTATCCGGGCGACTTCACAAGTCCATGCGGCTCGAACTAGCCTCTCTCAAGGCACCCCCTGTCAGCTTCCTTTGATTCCTGCACAGCGGCACGGAGCACCATTATTCTGCAGCAAAGTCCTTCGTCCATCGGACAGTGTCGTGAGCGTGTAGCGAATGCTTACCCCTCTAGCTCAGTAATAGTCTTTCCCCGCAGCATCGTGCGTTTCTTCCAGGGAACCTCGTCCGAAGGTGGCCGGTTGAAAGATCCGGGCTTTGATGTTCAAGACATCGGCAGTGCAGACACATGCGTTGAAATCGCTGGACACGCATGTGGCGTCGCTTGTCCTTTGGTGACGACACCGGTGAAGTGCAACGTTTATAGGTCTTTCTGGTCTACTGCAACATAGGCTGGGTTTCTAGAAACCTCATCCACCTTATCTTTGCGCTTCCTCGTCGAATGCTGATGACATTCGAAGCAGTCTAACATAACCACCGACCCAAGTGATCACTTGACACCCCACCAAACCTCAGACTACCACTATGGACGGAGAAACGAGCTTCCCTCAACCACCCGTCAATAACGTGAATATGTGGCAGTTCTCGGTGCCACCCGACTTCCAATCTCCCCATACCTTGGACTTCGAGGCCACATCTGTCTTTGAGAGTCGGGATCCTTTCTCGCAATCAACGGCAGAGCTGTCCTCGACAGCATTCGCACCCGACCCAGGCCCTCGCTTCGTCCAGCCACAGGAATTACATGCTTCCTCCTCTACATCGGAAGCCTCCAAATCCCCAGGAAGCCAATATGGCTCGTCAGATCTCAGCAGGCATGGCTCGCTGGATTCCACTCTGTCCGAGTATCTGTCCGTGGACCGTCAGAGAGCCATTCGAAGGCTGTCGTTGGCAACATCCGACCTGTCCAACGATTCATACCGGCCTCGCAACACTCCAGCGAGACCCAGGAAATCCGCTTCAAGCCGCATCACTCCACGCTCCGAGAAGCATGCTCGAGAACTGGAGCTGAACCGGAAAGCCGCCACAAAATGCCGGAATCGACAGAAGGCGTTTATCGAAAACCTCCAAGCACGCTGCAAGAGAGAAGAAGAAAAGATGCATGTGCAGACTTCCCTTGTGCATGCTCTGCATGACGAGGTTGTGGCCTTGAGGAATGAAGTTATGCGGCAGAGTTTCTGCGATTGTCGGTTTCTGAAAGGAGCACCCAACCTGCTGTCGACGTGACAAAATAACGGTCATCCGTATACTTGGATGGATGCATGCCGAGAGATATTCCGCAACCTGGATGATTACGCAACCTAATGACACCTATCTTTTACGATTTTCTTTGCAGTCCACGGCGCTGCAAAGACCAGAGTCTTTTTTTTGATGCCGACGCAGCGCGTTTTGGGTGGTTTTTACATAGCTTTTTCGTGCAAAGGGTTCTTGCCGATATGGCTAACGTACTGGGCGGCCTTGTATGGTCATCAGCAAGGCGTTCTTTTGGACGGACAGCAACAGCTCCAGTTGCAAACTAAGGTACTAGTGGCTTTGTGCAGGCGAAAGCGTACGTCGACCGAGAGGCGTCCGTACAATGCAGTGTCTGCCACGCAACCTTTCCTTAGAAATGGAACCAGTGACAGTCTTTCTCTCTACAGAAACATGTTTCCGTTGCGCGATGATCGATCCGGAGGTTTCCACAAATACTTAGCTTCGGACTCTTTTTTGCTGATCGAGATGAACATCAGCTTTCCTTTTAGGCGACTGTCACTCGTATCCCCCTCATCCCCGACGGAAACTCGGGTACGTACGATGGAGGATCTGGGCTTCGATGTAGCGGAATCACATGCCATGAGCTTCTCAACAGAAAACGTTCCCCCGAAAACCGGTTTTCCGAAATCGAAAAGAAAAGAATCCCGAGATCTACAAAGGCGTCGAGGACGATGCAAAAAGCGAGGAAAATCCTCGTCCCCGCCATCATCACCGATGTAAACCAATCTATAACTTAGCGCCTACTCCTGTCCTCACCTTCTCTTTCTTAGCTTCCTCCCTAAGGATCCTTTTCAGTATCTTCCCCGAGGCGTTTTTGGGTATGACATCCACAAACCGCACTCCACCCTCGAGGCGCTTATACTTGGCCAGCGCGGTGCCTGCGTACTCTACAACATCTCGATCCGTCAGATCCGCGTCACTCACTCCCGGTCTACGCACGACATAAGCAAGGGGCACTTCGCCGTCGATCTCGCTGACAGCCGGCACACCAATGACGGCCACATCCACGATATCAGGATGTGTTAGCAGGACGCCCTCGATTTCGGGCGGCGCCACCTGGAACCCACGAACTTTGATCATCTCCTTTTTCCGGTCGACTATATACCACAACCGGGTGCGTCCGTCGCAGTACATGACGTCGCCTGTATGGAAGAAGCCCTCGTCGTCGAAGCTCTCCTTGTTGGCCGCCGGGTTGTTGAAGTACTCGCGGATCACCGTCGGACCTTTGATGCACAACTCCCCCGCGACGTCGTACCCGGAGATGTCCTTGCCTTCGTCGTCGACCAGTTTCGCGTCAATGCCTGGCCGGACCCGGCCAACTGACCCTGTCACGTCGTCCTCGGGGTAGTCGAACCAGGTAAGTATGCACGTGGACTCTGTCATGCCCATCACCTGTGTGAACGGCGCGTCGTGTCTCATGTACTTCCGAATCCCTGCTTGAGTCTCCTTGCTCAGCGGGGCGGCCCCGGCAAGCGCTTGCCTAACGGACAGTAACGAGTACTTCTTGATCAGCGGTGACATGCAGATAGCCACAGCCATGGCGGAGACAATGTACAGTTCGGTGACCTTGTAACGCTCAATATTGGCGAGAAACGGCTCCAGCTCGAAGCGCCGCATGATGTACGAAGTCTCGCCGTTCTTGAGCGACGTGGTGTGCACCCTCGGAGCAACCGCGACGTGGAAGAATGGCGCCGCGAACAGATGGACAATTTCGTACGGGCGTTTTGGGCTGGCAATGCCATAGACCAATTCGTGCTGAGCGATCAGGTTTCGGTGCGTCGTCACTGTAGCTTTGGGCAGGCCCGTCGTGCCGGAGCTGGTGAAACGTGCCGCGGTCGCATTGGTGCAGGTGTCTAGGTCGTCGAAGCGCACCCAATCTTGTTCCCCGTGCTGCATCAGCTCGGTCCAGCTGGCGATGTCATCCGGACAGGTCTGGGTAGGTTGAGTGTTGAAGATGCGGATGTGCGACTTGGAGATACCGGTGTCCTTCGCGGCTTGCAGCAAGGATGCGAGGAGCTCGGGCTCGCAGATGAGGAATTTGGCCTGAGTGATTTTGACGTGGTGTCGGAGTTCGAGAGGGGTGTATCCCGGGTTGGTACCTGCGAAGATTGCGCCCGAGCCGACGATGGCGAGAAACAGGAGCGGATAGTAGATGTCGTTGAAGGAGTGGACGATGACACAGTCACCCTGCCGTACACCCATGTTGCGAAGGCCGGCTATCAATTGGCGTATGGTCGTGCGGGCTTGCAGGTGTGAGATGGAGCGCTGAGGCCGGGATGCGTCAAGTAAGATCTGCAAGGTCAGATAGTTTGTTCTCGGAGGTCTCTCTGTGTCCCTTCGGACGGCATCGTGGCCGAGAGGTGTCTTACCGGCTTGTTCACATCATAATCTGGAGCGTCAAATATCCATGACAAGATATCCTTCGTGGGCAGCTCGGGTGCCGGTGCCGCTGCGAAGAATACCATGGTCGCTGGTGTTGGAATGAGGGGACAGGATCTAAATGAAAGTGTGGCCTTAAAACAAGGAGCCCTACGCCGTTGGTGTAGAAGGAGATGGACTGGTCTGCACGGACGAGAAGGAAAGACGACAAGATATACTCCTTTTTAGCCAGTCAACCAGGAGCTGACCATCCGCAATGAGCGCTGGTGTGTATGAGTAAGAGCTTTTCTAAGACAAGCTTGCGGCTCTGATCTAAGCAAAGCTTACCTGGTAGTGATTATACCGTTACGACCGTACAGTGCTACGCAGCAGAACAGGGGATTGTCAGGACTATCACCGCGGTCTCGCACCGTAGTTGGGGGCCTGAATACAAGGCTGGCCAACCCTGTGGAGGATGACCCTCCGTACACATAACCACAGTACATGCTGTTTCAAGTTCAAGCAGGTCATACCGACGGCTACCTGCCATTGGAAGTGACATACGACGTACGGAGTACTCAATGAGGATAAAGCAAGAGTCCATACCAAAACCCTTCACGAAAGCGAGGGCCACGAGGGCGCTAAATACCAGTTATTCTACTTTGTACTATTCACCTCATCCCCATAAAGTCCTTTCCACGTTGTTCCACCGATCGGATGAACCAACTCTTTTCCTGCGATTGTCCACTCTTCTTCCGTGTTGGCGACGTGGATGTTACGTGGATGTTCCATGCTCTCCCGGCATATGTTGTCACAGATGACCCTCTGCCTGACCAATTTGTTCACTATTTCTTGCAGCGCCTTTCCATTTTCTTCAAGTCGCTCACTGTTTGGATGGGATTTGCCTGGTCTCTGCCCGCTGTTCTTTGCTGGAGGAAGGGACGTTGTGGGTATCAAGCCCATGTCTACGAAGCATCTCCTGCGTCCGCTTTAGGTCTTGCTTGATGGCAGCAATTTCCTTGCCCTAGCCCAGAGGAAAGAATTGACGTGTCAGTTGACTGATTATACTTAGGCTAGTAGGCGTCTGGTGTTCTTGAACTCACTGTATGTTCCTGACCAGCGTCCTGCTGGCCTAGTGCCACTGCGGCTACAACCATCTGGCCCACTGCAGCGGCGGCGGCGACGCCAGCGCCCACCCCGGCGATCATCGGCCAGTGATCAGAGGACATCGCAAACACCTTTACCAGCAGAGGCTTATCAAGCGACAAAGCCTGACCGCCGAGGGTCGTGGGCAACCTCACTTAGGAATCAGCCGGTAAGTCGCCTAACAGAATATTGAAAGGAGACAAAACAATACAGTTAAGTGCTCAAGGTGTGTCAAGAGTTTGTATCTTGCTGCTCGCTGTTGTCTCTCTTGTAGGCGTGTTGTCTGAGGAATAAATAGGTTGCTTGAGGTGTCCTTCCTGCGCCCTGCCTAACATTGGCTGACCATTCGGGACCCTTGCACAGCCTCTCGTGTTCGCTATCTCATGTCCGGTGTCTGATGGCCAATAACTGTTGCTGTCCACCTACTGCTGATATTGGTTCTTATACTTGCCTCTCCAGATCCCAGGCGAGGAAAGACTTCAGAAAGAGACACAAGATCTCTACAATCGCCAGGCACCACAACGGAATGTGACAAGCCTCACACGCCACCAAAGCGCTCGACCTGCGTTGTTATCTTTTGTAAACAGTGAATAGACGTCAGCTTTCGATCAAGAGCGCCCACAACAAGTGACATGCCGGCAGATGTTTAAAGCGATTTTACTAGCCAGATGGTGTTCTGAGTTCTGCCTTGCTCACCACTGACTCCATCATCAAGAACAACAGGGAATCGGGTGAACCCTAGGCGGGCATAGAACTTTCCGGCTCCGTCATTCGCTGCTGCCATCCCCAGATGAACACCTTTTGCGCCTTGCTTCCGAGCAACATCGCAGAATAAGTCAATCAGTTGTCGGCCATACCCCTTTCTTTGGAACTCTGGTAGGATGTCAATGTGCAGATGCGCAGGCCATGACTCCATCAGCTGAGGCCATTCTTCGTGCAGCATTCCTTGTGGATTGTACATGATATGCCTCAATGCGTTTGGTAGATTTTCATTCCAGCCGACCGGCTCGTTTGGCCCGGGTTTCTCCATGCCTCGTGACTTGATGTATGGAGTGAAAGTCTCCCTATATTTTTGCACAAATGTTGGCGTATGCGGAACCCCAAGGAGATAGCCTACTGCCTGGCCAGTGCCATCATCTAAGACGTAGCAAGTCTGAGGTTCTAACATGAAGTAAGGACGACACCAGAGGTAGGAGCCATAATCGAGGACAGGGTCGCCAGCTTCTCGTAGGTCCGGTGCTGCAGTCTCTCGGAACTAAAGGCTATCAGTGAGATTTCGGCGCAGTTTGGGGAGCGACCTACAATATGGACCATTGCATCCTTGTCCGATTCCTTATACGAGCGTGTGAAGGCCATCTTAATCAGTAGGGTCACGAGAGAGTCGATAATAGTGCAGTATGATACTCTTGTACAGCAGAGAGCACCCTCATAATGTACGAGCCATCAGGGACATAGGACAAAACCCGGCCGGCACACGGCCGCATCAGATTCTAGCAGGCGGTAGTCCGACCGCTTCAGAGGCAGAAGTCAGTAGTCGTAAAGATGCCTCGATGGGAAAGATACCTAGGTAGGAAAGGTGAGATGATGGTGGCCTGCAGATGGAGACGACAGCCGATGTTTATCCGGGTCATTTTCTGAGCTTACCATTTGGGTGCCATTCTACACTACCTTCTCTCTTCAATGCCATGGCTGCTGATGAATGTACAGTATCTCCCTTTTGATTTGGGGGACTTGAAGAGAGCACACCTAGTCTTACAAAACAGACTGCACATCCTCCGCCTGGTGCACCAAGCTCTTTCCGAACTTCGTTGAGCTGCATTGACGTTGTCATTGTGGACGTGGTCGTTCAAAAGGACCACCGAACTTCCCCACTGTCTCGGCGCTTGGAGATGATAGGCATGCTCGCATGCTCGGTATGGTGGACAAGGCCGCTGTAACAAGTCTTAGCTCTTGCATGCCGCCCGGTCTTGCGAGACATTCCCTGCCCGGCGGATTTTGGACAACGATCTCATGATCCTCCCATTTCAGAGGCTCAAATCCTTCCATGAGCCGACATTTCGCGCCTCTTCCCCGAAAAAGCTCGATCCTACAAGCTGAGGAATTCATGTTCAGTCTGACCAATGCAGGAAGTCGTTTCGATTATCCCGTTTCCTGCAGGCATATCTGCTGACAGGATGACTCGCAGCCAGTGTTCGGGCTTTCAAGCTGATGTGTCCGTACAGTGCATCCTACCAACGATCGACAATGCATATGCTGCTTTCGAACTCCCCGCATGTCCTGGCTGTTTCTTCTAACTTGCTCACCGTTTCGTGGATACCTCCCCTTCCCAATGAAAACCTAAGATTCTGCGTGCATGAATGAAACTCAACTCATCGTTTCCACAGGCAGCCGGGACTCGGCACCCTCATCGACCTGCTCGGCTACCACAAGCAGACCTTGAGAGGCAGAAACTCATCCTCACTCATGACAAGAACAGGAGCCCTCTCCCGGTACAGAGGTCAAGCAGCCAAGCCCACAGGCAATGCTTTGTCAAGAACCTGGGCCATGGCGAGATGGTACGGAACTTCTCCTTCAAAAACACCGCTCGCCGAGCGTCCAATCGAAAAACAGTAGCTTGTCAGACAAAATGCTTGGCAAAAGTGTGGTCGCCAGGAATCCGAATTTGGAGATAAATTTTCGGACATGACCAGGGAATTTTGGAAGGCCTCGAGGCCAGCAAATTCCAGGCAACTGAAGGCGAATGTCGGATATCTTGCCGAAATCAGCATCCAGGGCCCCTAACCTTTTAGGCAATTATGAACCCGCCGAATTTTCTCCGCCCACTAAACTTTTTGCACATGCAGGACGCACAACTCACCGCCTTTTATCGCATCCTATCCTCAACGTCTCAGAGAACGACAGTGTGAGCAGGACCAAACAACAGGCAGGCCAGACCTGGTCGATCACTGATAAGGAACCCCGCATGCACGCCGAACAGCCAGGACATGCATGTTGAGTGTGATTCGAGCACAGTTGGGCATATGTGCATTCGTGACGGTGATGGACTATTGCTTTGCTCAACGCCCCCGCTGGCTCTTGTCCATTCCCTGCATTCCTCACCGCCAGTGCAACGGACATTGACACCTGCCTGTGAATCGTTGTATTGCTGTGCAATCGCCAACATGACAAAAAAAATGGCCACCCACCGGCGCCGAAGAAAGAATTTTGTTTTGCTTGAAGAATTAAAGGTGGGTCGGACCCATCTCTCGGGTTTTGATCACCGACTACTGTAAGGATACGGAGCACAGTCGTAGTACTGCGGTGATGGCGTCCGAAGCAAAAAGGCCTCAAGGTATCAATCACTCTGTCAAAAAAAAAGTTTGGTGGTTGACTCATAGTATTTTATCCACATGTCGGGGTTCTGGCAGAAAATTGTTTCAGAGTACGACGTAGTATGCCACGTTTGCCAATGTGCGGACCGGACCACTGTCGGCGTGTTCAAATCCACCACCGCGTGGATGTAGTAGTGTCGGATGGATGCCACAGCCTCGAATATCGAGCGAAAAAAGCCATGAGGGACGCCCGGGCCAGGTTTGAATGGGACTGCACCTAGACCCGCGAGCGAACTTTTGTGGTCGCATGTGCGCTGCGTCCGACAAGGCCTTACTGCCACAGAAGGGACGCAACTCTGCGTGAAATGTGTCAATGTCGGTGTCAGTCGAGATGAGTATGGATCTGGTCCTGGATATTGGATGTTGGATCGGCCCGGAGTGATAAGGATTTTTGCTTTCAGGGGGTTGGACTGCTCAGTAGGGGTAGGGTTTTGTAGGGCGTGCAAGGAAGCCACATGCATACTGGCTTAGACAGCGACGTCGATAGGCATGCTCCGTAGAGAAAACAAGACGCTGCGCGTGGCAACAAGGTATCGTGCAAGACCGTAGATATGCGATGGCTTCACATGACGATGATGAATGTTTGGTATAGAATTTTTATTTGATTTCACTGTTTCTGTTTGTTGAATACTAGCAGAATAGCAACCATGATGTTGATAACATTCCTCCCTTTCCACGCCAGAAACATCCACAGGGCTGTCGTCGTTAACTCCCCAAGAAATGAGATGCTCAGCCAGATGCAAACAGTTGATCGCAGAGAACGTGACACAGGTGTAAAGCACGAGGCTTATCCAATAGCCTGCGTCACGACCTCTGTTCTCAATATGTCCGGCTGGCGAACACGAACAGTCGTCTCTGGGGTCGTGTTTCCAGCCCGCGTCGTTGGCTTGAAATCCTCCCTTCCTCATGTTGGACCTCCTCAGGAAAACTCCTTGACGCAGCAGTGACAATGCACCTCATGTCGTCGAACAATAGGTACTTATGGCCGTAGTTTTGTCCTTTTTCAAGAACAGCATCGGCTTCGCGTGATGGATCCCATCCATCCGTCCATCCATCCCATCAATCAATTTGCGATCTCAAATGTCGAGTTCGGGTATCATATAAAAACCGGGTTGAAGCAAAAAAATCGTAAAGTAAAACAAGGTCGTGAGTCGTGAGTTCGGAGTCGTCGTCGTCGTCCAGGTCATTGGTGAAATGATTGTTTCAGTGTGCAAGATTTCACCTCCTCGGCCGCTTTGACTCGGTCCTCATCAACATCAATCCACCTAGATCCTCCTCGCCGTCTCCCTCATCGAGTGGGAAGCCGTACTCGTCGTACTGAGGCCCGGAGGAAGATCTCCGTCTTTGCTCCTCCCTTGACGGAAGCTTCCTCTCCTCCTCCAGCAAGTACTTCTCGTCTGTCGGTGACATTTGCAGTTCTCGTTCCGTCCGGGCAATGTCTTGCAATAATAACTCCAAAAGATGGTCGTGGCTGAGTTTGAGTCGGAGGTCCTCTCGGACTATTTTGTCCGAAGACTTTCGTCGTGCCGTGTCGGCCAATTGATATGTGACTTCGCGTGATAATCTCCGAGTGGGAGAAGGGCGTGTTGCGATATCACGTGAAGGCGGCCTGCTGAGTGGTTGCATCATTGATAAAGGCATGGTTGCTGATTACTTTTTGTTTTTTTTCGATTGTAGGGATGTCAAGAATAGGATAGCGAGATATGAGAGAGAGATATGTAAATGTCGACGAAAAAGATTTGCTGGTGGAGACTGGATTGAAAGAGAGGGAAAAAATTGCCTGGCCTTGACGGCAAAGATGGAGTATTTTAGTTAGGTAGTGTTTACTTAATTGAAGTGGTTACGCGTGGTAGCCTCGCCTTTTGACATGTGAGGTCAGGCTGCAGGAAAATCCACCGGACTTTTGTCGTCACCAACGTAGATGGCAAAGTGATCCCAGCGAATGGTAAACTTTTCCTGGTGGATGTAAATATTTGGCAGGGGAAGATGGAAAGAGATCAGAGAACGAGGTTGTGGTTGTATATATCATTTGTCGCTTTTGATTAGCCTGGTGGGTGCCTGAGTCACAATTCGAAGCTATTGCTCCGTAAGCCGTATCCGTAAGTACGTTAAGGTTGAGTAAACGCCGTTCTACGGATCATGTACGTGAGCACTTTGGTCGGGCTGCGCTGCGAGGACGCGGGCGGATGGGCGCAGCGAAGGGCGGATCTTGCGAGTAGGGCGCAAATGTCAAATGAATAATTCGGAAACAAGTGATCAAATTCAATCAAATCAGCATGGGCTTTTGACTCACGCCTAGTCATGCCCAGGCACGGCAGGCCATGGCATTGGTTCGAGGCGTCGATGGCGCGATGAGATTGTTCATCCGCTCGGAAGAAAAATGCCGTGAGCGAAGCTTGGAAGCCATCGAGGTCATGACCTGTGCTCACCGTGCTCACCGTGCTCACCGTGCCGTGCGATGCTCACCGCAAAGAGAAAGCCAGCCGATAGCCGGAGACAATTGATCTGATCATCGATTTCCCGGGCCACCTCGATACACCGGCGGATGTTCGATAGCCCGCACTGGTCATGGCTTATCTCCCGCTTGTTAAGAGCGTCAGGACATGCTTTAAGGCCGAGACGCACCCTGCAAGTGTTCCGCATCATGTCTGCGCTTCTGTCTGTGCTGTCCACTATCGGCTGCACCATGCAGTCGTCAGAGGTCGAGAACCAGATAATGCAGCCAGGATCGTCTCCTGTCACACTCGACTCGTTCTTCTTCATCAGGCCGATAACTCGACGACGTTTCTCCAACATAGTCTGATGTGACGACCACGGCGACTCGGTTTGCAGATAGTGAACCTTGTGCCACGGCTTCGGCCAATTTCAGAAGCCGAGGTTTGTTGTCAGGTCCGGTGGCAATTTCGACTCGATGCGAGGAACTCTCTCTATCCGCCCGCAAAAGCATACGGGGTCTGCCTGCGAATACGGTGTAAGATACGAGGGTCAGTCGGTCAGATGATTGTGAGTCTGCTTGACCGTGTACGATCCCTTAAAAAGGAACGAGGTTTGTTGTTTGCAGATCGCCAGCGCTCCTTCCTTGCTGGCCATTCTTTCCCCGGATTTGTCCGTTGTCCAGGCTTCACTCAATATTGCTCTGCAGAGAGGCGACCCGCTGCGAGCAGTCACAGCAAGGGCCATTTTCATATCGTATTCAGCAGGGGTCAGCTTACCACAGGCTTACTATTCCTTTCCCCTTTCGCATCGACGACCACGGCCCAGGGTTCTTTCAGCCTGCTGACCCCAGAGTATCTCCGCGCTTCCGGTTTCCGCGCGACATATTCTGCGTTGTCGGGGCCCGCGGATGCTGCTTGACTGGCATGGTGCACCGCCTATGCTTCTGTCCAGTGATTTACATTACGTCGAATGACGGAGATATATCATGTGTTGCATCTAGGTGCGCTTGGGCGCACTCGGCGCGAACGAACAGAACGACTCCGCCCTAAACTGCAGGAAAATCTCGATGTCCCGTTCGAAGATACTACTAACTGCGACCGGATCGCACTGCCAAAAGCTAAGGGCATGGACTTCTTCAGGTTTGGTGATTGGAAGCATATGCCCGGTTTGCCCAGGGTGGGAGGGGGTATTCGAGCCACTGAGTGTGAGAGAGACATGCTGTCAGACTTTCCTTCGCCCTTCTGACATGACCAGAGCTGGCCATGAGAGTTAGTTGCAACCTGGATATCTCAACCACAAGCTAGACCCGTCGATCATTGACTCACCAGGAGGAAGACCTTGAGGATCAGCATATCAATCCACAACTAGCAATGCCTTCCCCAGAGTCAAAGAAATGCTGCATAGGCGCTAGCACGAACTTGTCGTTGGAGTCACTCAAGGCCGGATAGTAGGATACTGACTCCCTTAGAACACCCGGCGAGAACTCCGACTGAGCTCTACCTTCGGCGTGCCCCTCTCATGAGCCACCAGCCAGGTGAGTTCAATGGAAGAAGAAGTGTGTTATTGCATCGCACTCTGAATATCAAAAGCAGAAAGCTTGTTGTTACACAGACGTCTCCATCTACTATCCCTACTAGTCAGGTATGCCCCTAAGCTCCCCGGAACCATTGGAAATCACTTCGATAGTGCGAGGCTGAGGTCCCCTATGTCTCGCCCTGAATTGCTTGCAACCATCAAACGCCACACCCGACGCCTCAACGTCAGTGCATCCGATACACTGTCGAAGCCGAAACGCCAGAGCCCAATTTGCGGCCTCTTTTCGGATAAGGCTGAAGCAGAGAGTACCTCAACATGTGGTGTCGCAGCCGTCGCGATGGCCTTCGACCGCCTGTGAAGCACTGCCAAGCGCTACGGTGGAAGTGCAGTGCATGGCTCTGCCACGAGGCCCCTCTACTTCCCACCCAGAGCCTGCCTTCTCAGCGTTTCTCTCTTGTCACGTCTTGACCTCTTCCGCTTCTCCGGTCTTCGAGCTGTCAGTCCGAGTACCGTGGTCGGACATCCCCTCTGTCTTTCCAGCGCCCAGTGCCCTCCTGTCGGTGCCAGCATTTTCGTCCTCAATCGGTCTCCCATGGTTGAACAAAACCACACTTGCTCTTCGATCCTTTGCAGCCTTCTCCTTGGCCAGGAACGCTTCCTGCTCCTTTCTGCTCTTCTTCAAATCCACAAAGAAGAACAATAGCAGGAAGCTCAGCAAGCTTAGACCGAACAGAAAGTAAAACGGCAGACTGGCGTTCCCATTAGGACTTGCGTCGATAATGGCACTGGAAACTAGGGGTCCAATGAAGGCACTCGTTTTGCCGACGATGCTGTAGAAGCTGAAGAATAGAAACTCTTTGCCTCGTGGAGTAACCTCGCTGATCATGGTCTGGCTGTACGCGTACCATTGGCATACGAAGAGACCGTATATGGTCTGGTATAGCCAGAATTCCCACTCATTGTGGAAGCCGAATTTCTGTGTCCAGATGCCGATCATGCCCCAACCGTCCAGCAGGAGAATACCTAGCATAACCAGGTCCAGCATGGTTTTGGTGCTAAGACCGAAGCGCTTCTGGATGAGCCAGTACCCTAGAATCCCGGCGAGTTGAGCCGCGATGCCGACAATCAGGAGGTACGTTAAAGTCAGGGTATTATAGCTGACGACCGAATTTTGCAGCGTGGCGATCACAGTGACTGTTGTATTCAAGGTATCACCCAGCAGGAAATATCCTATCCAAACCCGGTCAGTACTCATCATTAACAGTCGCGCCGGAAAAGTGTCCATACCGATCAGATATAACAAGCTCTGCTTCAATTCCCAGATTTGCACCAAAGCACGCCAGAGGTTCCAAAACCCTACGCTAAGCACATTCATCCCAGGTGGCAGCGTCTGCCCTGGCCGTCGCTTCTCCAGGATGAACCAGGGGATGGCGAGCAAGATCCAGACACCGGTTGCGTATGCGATGAGCACCGAAAGACCCCACAAGTTGTTGGCAGCGCTGGCGTTCACGTCCAGCGCAAAGAGGATACCAACGAGAACGGCCAGGATGATGATCTCGCCGGCGCTCTGCATAATAAAAGCGACGTTGTAAATTTTATTTCTCTGCATCATGTCCGCAAAGTCGTAGTCGTCGCGCGTGATCTCGCCAGCTTCGTACTGCTCGGCCTTCTTCCGCATCTCTGGTTCATTCCGGGCCAGACCTGGGAAGGCAGCCGTCCAAAATGTAATACACATCTGATATGCAATCAAGCCGACCATGTAGAGGCCTGTAGCGACGGGCCACTTGTCCTGGGTGTGCACGCCCAGCCAGCCAAAGCCGAGGGCGAAGGCGACGACGGACCAGAATATCAAAATCCAGGGTCGCCATCGTCCATAGTCGGCCATGCTGCCGAGGAAAAGGAACAAGACCACCTGGATCGCGAAGGAAATGCCGTTCGCAAGCAGGACGATACTGTTGATAGTTCGATAGGCGCCGAGGAACTGCAGTCTTCCGGCATCACCGGCCGCCTCATACAAAAGGTCCTGGAAGGAGGTGGGCGCAAAATTGAATAGGGTCAATCCATTGTTTCCGATATAGAAGCAGTAATATGCCCACCGCTCCCATTTGGTGGTCTCATAACGCGGATCAAATTGATCTGGCGCGATGGGCCGCTCTTCTTCGGCCTCATCAGGCCCATTCAGCTCTGGATCCCTCATCGCATCTTCTGCTTGCGGAGCTGTGGCCGCGGCAGCTATGCCAGCATTGGCGACGGACATTATTTTTCGGGGGAGAAATTTTCCCCTCTATTCCTCTACCCTAAGGCTGGACGATGAAACCCAAGGGGAAGAAAAAGCAGAACCTTTCGAGGCGAAGCCAAAGGTAGTAATCAATGCATCTGTATAAGAAAATTGCGAAGCAAAAAACGTGGTGAAAAAACGATACAGCTGCAAATAAGTGAGGTGGTTAGCTTGGAATGACGAATATCCCCAGATGGCGGGTGTAGAGATTGCTCTGAGCATTTTGAATGGTCGGCCGCAAGGATTGTCCTTGTCGAGTTAGAGTGCTACCTCGTAGAGCTCAACGATCACACACAATCTATGGGCAGCGCGCAGGCAGAGTTACAACGGGTGAACGGGCACGGCTGAAATTTTCTGCGGACGGATGAGTGGCCAATCGCGAGTGCTTCAGATCGGCTGAGGCGGAGAGTTCTCATTGGCTCTTGCTCGGGTCGGCAGATAAGCTTCAGCGGAAGGAAGATCTTGAACGAGCTTGAATCTGGCTGAAGAATTTGTCAAGTACACAGGGAGAGTGCAGGTGAGTTGCAAAAACATTTGACGGCAAGACGACGGAGAGGGGCCCAGCAAGGGCTCTTGTACTCGTAGTAGTGTCCTGCATACTGGTTCAGTGTCCAGAAAGCATTGGCATTTTCATCCTGAACAAATCATCGATGGGTGGAAGAATACCTCCGTACTTCTGCTGCAGTCCCGTCCGGGTTGCGGATAACGTGTATCCACGTGACTGATCGAGCACAGAGTACGGAGTACGGAGGCGACGGAGGTACTCCGTACAGTCGGAACATGGCGAGCTCGTGGAAGAAAAGGGGAACTCCTGTCTCGTTAAGCAACTGTCTCATTTCGTACAAGGCCATGCCCTCCTAAAGATGAGCCCCCTCGGACGTTGTCATAGTGAATGAGGTGCGATCTCTTCCGTCCATAGGTACGAAGAGCAACACCACCCTGTCAACGGTAGCACTGGGTCGATGGAAAAAGAATGCGAATGATGGTGGTGTCAAGGTCATCCACATGTGAAGGGAAGTGTGAAAAATCACTGAAGCTTTACGGAAAATGAATCCTGGTTGTCCCTTGAGGGATTCCAGAAGTTCAGGGACAAGCTAGGTCTGAAGCGAGGCCACCGAGGTCCAATCAGGTGCTTAAGGACTGACTGCGCTCTGCCAAATGCTGGATTCATCGCCGATTATTGTATAGCGGCTTTGGCTGAAACGACCTTGGCATGTTTGTTGGCTCAAATGAGGAGGGACTGAAGGACTTCTGATCGAGATCAATAGGATGCAAGGCACGCAAGGAAAAGTGGCATGATCTGCAGGAGACGAAATGCACGTGTATGTCGGGTGGCATTCTGGGACTATTTCTGAGCAATCGATGAACCCAAGGTGTCGAGTCAAATGGTCTTGTTAGATGGCACGATGGAGGACTGAGGATCGATGGCCGACTCCTGATACAAATACTGTGGGAGTGGCAGTGATGAGCCATCGCACCAATCACTGGGCGTGTGAGAGAATCGTCGATGTTCGTGGGACTCACGGCCTCGATTCAAGCCAAAGGTCTAGATCAGCAGCATCATTACTTGGCGGGTTTGTTAGATCTCAGCGTTATGGCCGATCGGTAGCCCTGTTTTCTCGACTACTCTTCTCAAGGCTCTCGAGATCGAACCACACACATCCTCCTATTCCACGTTTGGATCTCACGACACACCCACCTAGACAAAAATGGCGTCCCCTGCTGAGTCCACATCGATCTGCCATCTAACCACAGCTTCTCGTCGCCATTCTGACTGCGACTTCTCTTCCAACACCCTCGACGAAGCAAGACACCCTCAACATCAGTCCATACCGAAGCCGGAACCCCTGCACAACGCAAGAAAGCGCAGGAAACCCACCTCGGCCTCTACACCCACCAGCAGACCCACGAACGCTCCTACTGCCCTTCTCCTCACGCCGTACAATCGTCTATACAGCCGCCTACGAGTACCATCAGTCATTCCTTCGAGTTGAGACAGTATCGTGGTCCCCTGCGATGACGCAGTATGCCCAACGCAGCCCCAATATCGGCACCATCACCTAAACGCCCCTTCTACTCCATCAGCAGCCCCAATCCTCGCCGTACACATCCATCACAGTCCAAATCTCTACCGAAGAGCAAGAGGGTGAAACTTGAACACAATTCCGATGGCTCGGGCAGTGGACAAGCCGCACCTCAAGCCGGGGTTAGCAAAGTGCCGGTTGGGGGAAGCCGTGACTCAAGTAGTGATCAGAGCGCAGCCAAATGGTTTGACAGAGTCAATCAGAACGTGGAGCCATCGCATAACAAGGTTGGAAAACATGAAGGTAATCTAAGAACACGGTCCCTTGTTATTTTTGGCTGATGATGGATTAGATGAGTCCCCGTTTTTCATGGCTCAACAGGATAGCTATCAGCAACCCGGGCGCCTTCAGTCGGTAGCTGACGAAGCCTTCGGCCAGGCGGCCCAAGATGACAATGAGAGGGATGAGCTCCGCGGTGTCATCGACGACTTGACCGTAGAGAACAAAAGATTGAAGAAGCTTCTCAAAGACTGGCAGTCTCGCCCGGGTCCTTCTTCATCTGGTTCTGACAGCATCATCGAAGTTCGGATGCATGGGTTGCCTGCGGAAAAGAAGAGAGAATTGGAACGACTGCTAAAGACCTTTGCGCATAGCTTGAATGGAGAGTCACCGTCACAGCCAGATACATTCGCGCCCGTCGAGAAGTCACCGCCCAGCCCGGAGACAAGCCTTCCAACTGGGCAGAAACTCGAACATATGAACACGGATTCCGGATATGCCTCCATCTCCAACTCTGGCTTGAATTCCTCTTCTGGAACAGCGAAGCTCCATGAGCCGGTGTCGAAGCGGAAGAAGGACACGGACATCAAGAATTATCTGCACGACATTCCCGACTCGTTGTTGCCACAGAATACCACGTCTGTGAGTGACAGCGCAAAGATGGCTCTGGTGGTACAGAGGTTGGAGCAACTGTTTACTGGAAACACGGCCCAGCCTGGAGAGCATAGCCTGCCCGTCCAACAGCAGAAGATTTCTCGTGATGCCGCGAAGGCGGACCGCGCCGAAGATCGTCGACAAAACCGGACAGTCAAAGTCGAAGGGTCACGTGAAGCGAATGTGCTGCCCCCCGACTCCAAGATCAATTTCGATGCCATGGAACAGGAGCAACAGACAGCATCCTACAGATTCGGCGACAAAGAAGCGTCGTCGTCATCAGGGACTCCAGGGTCGCTAGAGCGCCCTGTGTCGCCCAACCAACGGCCAACACGGCCTTTGGACCTTGATATTCATCGGGCACAGGTTGCTGAAGACAATCTCAAGTACATTCAGCACTTGGGTCTTTCGTCATCCGAAGTGGGACGAAGTCCAGACGGCAGAAAGCAGCCCTGGGTCTACTTAAATCTGCTCATCAGCATGGCTCAACTTCACACGCTCAATGTGACCCCTGCCTTTGTCCGAAAAGCCATCAAACAATTGAGCACTCAGTTTGAGCTTTCCAAAGACGGACACAAGGTACGCTGGAACGGCGACGCATCGTACGCCTTCTCGCCTAGCTTTGCGATGAGCCCAGACTCGGTCGGCCGGCGCATCTCAGAGGACGTACCTGATGAAGGTGGTCGTCGCAGTGGAAGTGCCACGAGCACGTTGAATGAACAATCGTCGACGTCGCACTCAGACGACAAGAAGATGAGAGGGAAGCCAAGTACCACGACTTCGAAATTGGTCACGTCGACCACCACGTCGTCAAACGCCGCCATCAACCAGCCTTCATCAATGTCCAAGTCCTCGACTTTTGACTACAAGCCCATCGTCTTTAAGGGAAAGAAGAAACCGTTGAAACCCAGCAATTCTTACTTGGACTCTTCAAGCTCTCATGAAGGCTACTCGCCAGATTCCAGCGGTCTTACACACGTCTTAAGCCGTTCGAGCCTCAGGTCCAGGGACGATGCTCGAGACGGACTGATGACCTTCTATAGCAACCCCTATTTCTGCACAGACTTGAGCGGAGATCGATCACCCATTAACATGCGGTCTTTGGATTCTGAAGAGGGGCGAGAAGTCTTGGGGTTGGCCAAGGAACGCCAGCCGGAAGACGAGATCAAACGAGATGTTAATGCTTGCTATTTCACAGCCAGAGTGGACAGGCACTTGAGTATTTGGCCGGCCATATGTCCATCAATCAAGATGGATCTCCCACCTGTCGACGCGGCTGGAGAAGATGAAACGCAACCTATTGAGCTCGAGGCATCAGGGATTGGCGGTATCCGACCAGAAGATAACTTTGCTCTTGATGTCAAGGTCGCCAGATGCAGACTCAGGGGTAGTGAGCGCAAGGACAAAGGAAAGGGAAAGGGAAAGGGAAGAAGAGGTGGCGGCCAAAGGTACTCGTATCGGACTGAGAAGTGCACCAAGCTCTCTCTTCAACCATCTCGCCTCCCACCGCCAAGTTACGTCTTCTTCGCTACCAGCTCTAGTTCGAGCGCTGATAAGGGCCATTTCTACGGAGATTCAGAGAGCGAGTCCTCTGTTCATGATGATTCACCTGCTCCTGCCGGATTACTTTGGCAATGGTCTTCGACCTCGAATGAACGACAGCTTCCGGACGACGATTCGGAAGCCAGCTCGTCCTTTGGTGTACTCGAAGCAGCACGGGCGAGGTTGCGGGATCCAAGGACTGTAGCACCACAAGATCGTGACTACATTCTCGATCCCTCTGGCAGGACGATGAGCGGAAGTTTGGCGGCAACTGTGGGTGCGAGCTGGTCTGCAAGATCAGTCGTCGAACCAGAGACAGCGCTCGAGGAAGGTGACCTATCGAGTGACATGAGTGTCGATGAGGACAGTCATTGAGGATGGTTGGGGGCTGATCTGACATGAATTTCCCCGGAAGCATGGTGCTGGTGGTGTTTTGATTTTACTTGGAGCGAAGCATTATCCAACTTGCATAGATACCCAATTTGTCAGTTTGGACAGTGGTGTTCTGGTCGCGTCTGAGTAACGAGAATGGGGCAATTCATTGAATCCTTGATCCTCGAACCGTTTTACATGATCGCACTCTCAACACTGGGTTGTTATTTTCTGCTCGTGTAGCCCCTGCCAGGCCCTCTTGATTCGATAATGGTGCACGACGACGGGCATCCTCGGGTTGTCTCGATCTATTTGGCTTTTTGACTTTTCGGCCCAGAGTGCGAAGATGCAGCGAAGAAGCGAATAGCCTACTCCGTTCTCCATAGAGTAGGGGACCATCACCAGGGGGAAGGATCCGAGGTCAAGGTCGTGATCCGAACACCTGCATGGCGTCCTTCTCCACATCGGATCCGTTCTTTTCTTTTGGGGCCTCGTATGTGGGAGAAGCACTCTTCCACCTTCCAGGGATACTCCGTACTTCTTCTCCGCTTTACAGAGCCGAAGCTGCTCACTCGGACGGATATTAACAAGTCGAAGGGAAGCATGAAGCCGACTTAACCTCAATCCTCCAACTTCCAACCTCCTCCCCTCTACCTTCCTTCGTGTCCTTCTCCTTCTTTTATTTCTTCCTCTTCCTTTGGCTCGATCTTGTCGCAGTCCAGTCGAACCGGTCTCCACCATGTCGTCGTTCCTCGAATCTCCTCTCCGCACCGGCAGCAAATGCTGGCGGACAGCGCGATACTTTACTCGGGACCAGCGAAAGGTTAGCATACGCCCGACTACTCAATCCCACCCAATCTGCGGCATCGGGCTGACCCGATCCCTGGTGTGATCACAGGCAAACCTCCTCCTCACACGATCCTTCTCGTCGACCCTGCGCCGGCATGAAATCAACAAGATCGTGCCCTCGGCCGCCGAGGCGATCAAGGACATGAAGTCCAATTCGACCCTCCTCTGCGGCGGATTTGGCCTGTGCGGCGTGCCCGACACGCTCATCGACCAGGTGGCCAAAACGCCCTCGATCACAGGTCTCACGGCCGTGTCCAACAACGCAGGCATCCCCGGCGCCGGGCTCGGCCAACTCCTCGAGTCGCGCCAGGTGCGCAAGATGATCGCCTCGTACGTGGGCGAGAACAAGGTGCTCGAACAGCAATACCTGACCGGCGAGATCGAACTCGAACTCACGCCGCAGGGCACGCTGGCCGAACGCTGCGCAGCGGGAGGTAAGGGGATCCCGGCCTTCTACACGCCCGCGGCGTTCGGCACCGTCGTGCAGACGGGCGAGATCCCGCTCCGACACAACAAGGACGGCAGCATCGCGAGTTTCGGCAAGCCGCGCGACGTCAAGGTGTTCAACGGCAAGAGCTATGTCATGGAGGAGGCCATCGCCGGCGACTACGCGTTCGTCAAGGCGTACAAGGCCGACAAGTTGGGCAACTGCCAGTTCCGGCTCGCGGCCAACAACTTCAACGGCGCCATGGGCCGCAACGCCAAGTTCACCATCGTCGAGGCCGAGCACATTGTCGAGGTCGGCGAGATCGACCCCGTCGCCGTGCACCTGCCGGGCATTTACGTCACGAGCGTGATCCAGAGCACGGCCGAGAAGAAGATTGAAAAGTTCACCTTCCGCAAGGAAGAAGGCGCCGACGTCAAGGACAGCCTGGGCAAGGGCGACGCGGCCTCGAAGCGCGAACGCATCGTCAAGCGTGCCGCGCTCGAGTTCAAGAACGGCATGTACGCCAACCTGGGCATCGGCATGCCCATGCTCGCACCTAGCTTTGTGGACCCCAGCGTCGAGGTCCAGCTGCAGTCCGAGAACGGCATCCTCGGCCTGGGCCCGTACCCGAGAAAGGGCGAGGAGGATCCCGACCTGATCAACGCCGGTAAAGAGACGGTCACGCTGAACCCGGGCGCCAGTTGCTTCGGGTCCGAGGAAAGCTTCGGCATGATCCGGTCCGGGCGGATCAACATGTCGATGCTCGGTGCCATGCAGGTGTCCGCCAGGGGCGATCTGGCCAACTGGATGTTGCCCGGCAAGGTCAAGGGCTTCGGCGGCGCCATGGATCTCGTGTCGAACCCGGAGAAGACAAAAGTCGTCGCCCTGATGGAACATACCGACAAGAAGGGCAACGCGAAGATCTTGAAGCAGTGCGAATTCCCGCTCACAGGCCGCGCCTGCGTCAGCAGAATCATCACTGAGTTGGTAAGCTTATTTTTCTCTCTCATAAAAGTCCCGTCCCTTCCCCCGCGCCTGAAAACCCCCTCGGGAGGATATACGATCCAACGAAAGAATGTTTCGTGCTAATCGCCATCCCTATCTCTTTAGTGCGTGTTCGATGTCGACTTCACCGATGGCTTGACGCTGATCGAGCTGGCCGACGGCGTGACCGTCGACGAAATCAAGAGCAAGACCGAGGCGCCCTTCAAGGTCTCGGAAAACCTGAAGACCATGCAATCAGCATAGAGCATTGCCACGGCCTCGTCTATCTCCCTCTACCTGTCTCTCTGTGTCCCTCTACACAGAACATTTGGACGCGCCCACTCACGAACGTGAGGTGGCCTCTGCTTCAAAAGAATTTTCATTTTCAACTATAAAAGCCGAGTTACAGATTACGGATTCCAGGTTCCAAGTTTACGGTCTTGCACGACTTCTGGGTGCGAAGTCCGATGCCATGCATGGTGCAAATCCCCAAGGGCTTGTTGGCGGAGCAGAACAGACCAGGGTGGAACGACGTCCAAGAGCTTAGCAACCTTCTAGTTGTTTGAAGTACCATGTACAGCGAGGTGTCAACACTCCCATCGGAAAAGCACGAGACCATGTTGACCAAGTTGACCAAGTTGGAATCAATTATTCACGATTTTACAATACGAAAAGCGGAGATGGAGATGGGGATGGAGACGCATGAGAGACCGTTCAGCGACGACAACACCAGGCCCGAGTCTGTCTTCACCGCCGAACCTAGCACTCAAAGTTATTGGGCTCGATGTCGAGTCTCTGAAACATTAGCATCCTTGTCAACACGTCTTTGTTTGTTGGAAGGAAGGACAGTCAGTGTTCAGCATGTACTGGTCAGTTGCCTAGGTAGTACTGTCCTTCGGTAAAGGCGTCCCAGGTCTACTACTTGACAGTCACGCGTGTAGAATCTCCAATTCTGTTGTTTTGAGTCATCATTGCATATTCCATTCGTTGACGATATTGCTACCTGCGTGAAATACTCCTCAGCACTATAGTGACCTGGAACGATTCCCTTGACAAAGAAATAACCCTGAGTTGCCGGAAGCACCATGCGCCATGCGCCCTCCGCCAGTGCACCAGACTCCGCAGCTGGTGTCAAGCTGGAATCAATGAGAACAATAATGATAACGATAGGTCTTGTTCTGTTTAAGAAAGGCCATACTGTGCAGTTGCCGTTGGGGTGGTGGTTGTGGGATTCGAGGCCGAGCCGGACAACGGACCGCGCGCCGACAGATTGAAAAACATAAAACACATTGGGCCTGACATATCCGAGATACATTGCACAGAAAGCATTTGCGAAGAATCTTTGAAGCTCATGTTGATAATGATGGGGCTGAAATGCAAGTACTGGCCTGCGAGCATGACTCTTGCCTTTCAGCGGAGCGCCGGGTGGCTGCTGAGCGGATGGGCCGTAGAATGTCATAGGCGTGTCAATCGAGTCATTTGGAGACATCAGCGACTTTGTAAAGAAATCGTGCTCTCGACGAGGGGCTCGGCGGAGGCAACGACCTTTCCACACGAGGCTCACGATGCAAGAGCCGGCGCACAACACATCGTAGATCGGAGGTTGTTCGTGATGAAGGACCATTGCATGCGTGGGCGTTAATTGGACTCTCCGGGTGATATTCAATGTTCACTCAGCTCTCCAGTTCGTCTTGCTCGCCTCTGGCTGATCCATTTGTTGCAACATCGCTAACATAGCCTAACTGCTCAGAAGCTTCACGGTCTTCCTCGAGCATGTCAATGGCATCTTCGAGGTTACCAGCAGTGGCACCGGCGACAGCGATCAATCTCGTCATTTCGTCTTTGGTGGTACCAAAGCCCATGTCTTTTAGCGCTCTGATGCACTCGTTGACAGCTGTGCAGCTGGTGGGTACAGATGGGGGTACTCTTGAGCTGCCGCGTACGCCGTTGGACTGTGGTGTTGCATAACTTGTAGGCACATATGGGGGACGAGTGGCCGGAAAAAGAGCTGGCCATGGCGCATATGGCTCAGGCGCAGCTCTGGCGACGAAGTTTTGGAAATTGTTTGTTTGCGTTCCAGTTGTTGGAGGCTCAGGTGCATGTGGAAGTGGACCCTTTGGAAGTGGACGGTCAAGAAATGTCGGTCTCAAAAGACGCTCACCTGGGGGAGTGGATGTATTGGTTGAATCATGCGAGGCAGTGGTCCCTGACGGGTACAAGCCTGCTGACTTCTGGGACCCGGAGTTGGAGGATGCATCACTGACGCCGGCGCGCGGAGACTGGGGAGTTGAACCATTCGCTTCTGGCTGATTGGTTGAAACCGCCGCGATGTTGCTAGTTTCACCACGGGCGCCGAATGGCGAGAAGTATCGGACACCATAGCTTGGGCCTGGCATATGATGACCGTCAAACCAGTTGTCCTTGGGACTTTTCTTAGATGCAGCATACTCCCGCGCACGGTCCAAGTAGACGGACGGCGAGACGTATCGGGGAATGTAACGGTCAGTGTAGTTGACGGTTGCACTGCGCTGGGGGAAGAAAGCAGGCAGACTAGGCTTGTGTTTCATGGTATTCTCCGCGGTTCTCGTCCAGCCGTTCAGGTCAGGTTGAGATCTCTGGGGACGAGGCTGCAGGGACGGATAGTGGGCAAGAGGATCGAAAGGTCCATTGAGTCTGGCAGCAGGATTTGTTCCGGACACAGTTTGGTTTCGTCTAGTGAAGCCTGGGTTTCGCCTAAGAGCGTCAGGAAAGACCGGTGGTCGAGGGTACGGGATGCTCGAGGGGTGGTCTATGCGTTGAGAAGCGCCAGCTCGACTTTGGAGGCTTGTAGCTTTGCTTTGCCGCGACAATCGCACAGTCTCAGAGCGGGGGCCCGTGTTAGCGGGTAGAGCGGACATGTCTTCGGTCTGCAATTCTGGCCAAGCACCAGGCAGCGGTATTGGCGAGTCCGGATGAAGAGATGGGGTCTTGAGCGGGCATGTTGCTGATTTCTCTGTCTCAACATCCTCCTCAACAGAAGGCGGCTTGTACGAGTCATTCTTCCTAGGTCTGAGCTCAGGTTGCCAAGGAGTCTCTTCTCGAGACTTTGAGTCGGCTAAGAGTTTGAAAGCAGTAGCTCGAGCTTCCTGCTCTAGCTGCCTCACGCTGGGGTAACGAACAGCAGCGGATCCTAAAGCTGTGTTAGACAGAGTAGAGGCTGTACCTTGAGTCGTCTTCTGCAACTCATTCACACTTTTGGCCTTCCGCGGACTGAGCAACGGCGGATAGCGAGCAGAGAAATCAGGGTCGGTGGATTCCATGTCCATGATGGAATGTCTAGTAGATGAAGCGTGTGTCAGTTGAGGAGTCATACATCTCTTTTGTCCTTCCCCATTGAGGCTGCACCATTCGAGGACTGGAGGAGCCGGAATGGACATTGGCTTCTGTGCCGAGGATGTAGACGCATCAAAGCTGACTCTCTTGCGCGCCGTATCTGGTTTGGAGGGAGCGTGAGGCTTTTCCGGCTGAGAAACTGGGGCCTCGCCTGGTCGTGCGACCGTCTGCTGATGAGCATTTTGACTCGAGGGACTGGCCTGTCCAGCCTTGCTCTTCTCAATCTCGTCATTGATTGTGGCAGCGACGCCGAGTCCAAATTCTCCCACCTGCGTCAAGATGTCTTTGAAGCCGCCCAGGACATCTTCCAAGGCCGAAGAGTCGGAATTCGCAGTCTTGTCAGCCAGTTTCCGAAGGCCATCTGCGGTTGTCTCGAGGAAATCAGCCAACGGACCGAGCCTGGATTCTATGCCGTCAAATATTCCAACGAAAGCTTTGTCAAGCTTGGTCGACAGGTGTTCTTCTCGTGGTGTAATGAGGCTTTTACCTGAGAAGGCTGAGGTGGAGGTGGAGGTGGAGGTAGCAGTAGTGCCCGAGTCTTGGGTCGCTGCAGCATTTGGCTCGACAGTATCGGCGTCGATGGATGCGACCTCGTCCACATGGTTGTCCGTTCTGTCGCTCCCTTCGGCCTCCACTTGCGATGGGGCTCCAGCAGGGTCTAATGCAGGGTAGGCTAGACTGGTGCTGCTGGAGCCTGCAGATGATGTAGTCTTCTCTCTTATGATCTTGCTGGTGTATGCTTCGTGCTCCCTCCACACAGCCAGACTGGCACTGGTCTTCTTGATGTCAAAAATGTGCATCAACCTATTCTCGCTGGACTCGTTCGAGGTTCGGAGTGCGGGGATGACAGGCAGGGTGGAATGCCTCGCAGGCTCCTCGAGACGTTGGCCAAGTTCGAAAGAACTCCCAACGGTGATGATCTCTCCGTCATCGTCGTCGACATAGGATAACAGAGCCTCAGGATAGGCTGAGATGGTGGTGTCGTACTGGTTGTCGAGGAGCTGGACGACGCCCGGAGGAGCCTCTGGACCATTTAGATCGCGAATGCCAAAGGCCGGAAGGCTTGGACGGCTGGGTGTGGGGGACGTCATGACGGACAGTCTTGGCTATGAAGATGCCTATGGACCGAGTCGAGAGCGTACATACAGCGAGATTGGGATGATGAGGAAACGATGGAGGAAGAGAGAATTAGAAGTAGTCGAGTGAGAAGGGAGTGAGAGAGACACGAGGCTGCAGTGAAAGCGTAACAGTCGTAGTCATGTTCGGGCAGGCAGCAAGTTTCGAGGCCACCGAAAGAAGAAGTGCGGGGTCTCCTAGTGATGCCCGATCCTATCGTCATGTGCGTTTTGACGGAGTGCTGTGTACTAGGTAAAGTACTCGAACCTGTACCGTGATAGGATGTCCACGATGCCTTCATCGTCCCTCTAGTTACTCCCGGAGAGCACGTGTAGCCTGGTGATTCTTCCACCAGTGGCAACGGTCGAACAGGCGTGACAGGTCTAAGTCCGACTCATGTTGGGAGAAAAATCACCTTGGGCTCGTGATATTACAGAATAAATGGTGCGAATCCCATCAACCAATATATAAAAACGCGCCAAAACATATAATACAGTGGTATCCTTTCCATGCCATGACATGCCATGCCAATTCATCTTCAAGTTCAATTGCTCGTTCAAAAGGCCCACTCCAGGCTTCAATGTCCATCAGATTAACTCCATCCACGGCATCCTGCTCTTTCTCTGTCAAAGCAATTGCGCTTCCAAGTCGCTGGTCTCTGCTGCATGGTCGCTGAGATGGTACAATAAACCAAAGGGGAAAAAAGGGTGGTATTAAAACAGTGGTGGAGAAGAGGCAACCGTCTTCCAGGTGAGTCCAGGCAACTTCGTCAAGGCCGAAATGCTTTTGTCTCGTCTTCGCATCGTGGTCGTCGTGGAAATCTCAGCTGTGCCTGCTGGTCGTGCTGTGGGAATCGAAACGTGTACTCTTGGACTGGAAATCTCTCGTCGCTAACTTGGCTTTTACTTCTTTCTCGCAAATCGCTTGTTGAGAAGAGCCAAGACTTTGGACACGTCAAACTGGACGTATTCGAGGTCCAGATCGTCTTGTCCATCCTTTTGCATTTCGAGCAAGTCGTCCAATTTCAAATCCAGCTCCAGCAGACCCCGTGCTCGCCCTACCCTCGAGTCAGTAAACAATGTAACTCCTCCGCGTTGTGAAACCTCACCTTTGTAGTGCAGGCTAATAACAAAAGTGCCTGCTAGAGGACTGCGGAACATGAAGAAGATATTGCCTCGACGGTTCTCCGGAACGTTGCTTCTTGTAATAACACCGTCCTTTTCCAGCTGGGTATGAGTAAACTTGTACGGTCCAAGCTCTCGGACCTTCTCTGCCTTGCCCCTTCTGATGCCCTCGGATTGACTTCGGACATTGTGAAGGTAGTTCTTGTATGTGTCCAGTTGCGACAGCAGGTAAGAATTGTGGTCACGAATGGTCTTGAAAACATCCTCCAGCTTGGCTGTTTCCTCGAGGACCTTCTCTTTCAGCGACCCAAGATGAGCGAGTTCTTGATCGACTTCATCACGGAGTATGGCATAGTCATCTGCACGGTCGATGACGCCCATCTCCGCCAGCTGCGTCAGGAGCTCCATGCATCTGATGCCCTTACGCACCATGACTGCATCGTTCTTCAGTGTCCCTGCGGCCTCGGCGACACGGTCAAGACGCAGAGGTCGTCGCATGACCGCAGTGGCTTGGGGAATACTTCGCATGATCTGTACAAATGTGCTTTTGGCTTCCATGAAAAAGATCTCTTCTTGCGTGATATCCAGGGCATGCGTAAAGTCCTCGAACGATGTCTCCCACCGGCTGTACAAAGGAAGTGCGATGGCTCGATTTTCTTTTCGAGGGACTTGTGCGGGAGCTGGACCCAAGTCTTGGAGCAAAACACCCAGGTGGGATGATGGGTCTTTGGCCAACTCTGTGTTGTGCTTCTCGAGCAGGGCGTGTGTAGCGTAGACCTCGTTCAAAGTAATGTTGAGTTCGAGGTCACGCTTGGACAGCGCAACATAGTTGTCCATTTCCAAACTCTCATAAAAGTCTTGAACTTCACACAGGTCGAGCATGAACTTGTTGCACCGATCTTTGTTCCCTTGGATGAACGGCTGCAGCTTGGCCATGTACGGCTCTTTAGCGTACGTTGGTTTGTTGGCCAGGTTCTGAAGCATTTTGGCAATGTAGGTCAGCGTGCGCTTGGGTTTCTCGTCAGGCACCCTTTCGATCAGCATATAGGATTTGGGAGTGACAATGGCAGGATTGATGAAGCGGAGAAAGAAGAATCCTCCGATGAGAGTGCAAATCGCCTGGTCCTGAGCATCCGGATATTTGCGTCGTGAAAGATTTCGAATTTGTTTGCAGATCCATCGAATACCATACGGAGTGTCTTCCAAACAGTCGATGATGGCCGACAAAAATCCTTCCGCAATCTCGGTCAGCATCTTCAGTCGTGGCGCAATAATAGCTTGCACCTGAGCATTCTCGGCTGCAAACTCGGCCGTCACCGACCTGGGCAGATCATCTGGAAGAACGCCATTATTATCTTCCTCGATCTGCTTCACCATAGCTTCGTAGACCTTCAGAGGGTTGATTTCGAGGTCGACATCGCTCAACTCGGTCAAGGAATTGATCTTGTCGGCAAGCACCTCTTTCAAGAAACTCTGACCGGGCCCACGTCGAGTATAGGTGGTCATCATCCTGGATACTGGTGTATTCTGGCGCAGGAGGGACGAGTACTCCGGTGTAGTTTCGAACTGATGTGTCAAAACGGATTGAAACATGGTCAAGAGGAGATGTTCTTCTCGACTCTCATATTGGTTTCCGTAAATTGTGAACATGACTGTCTGCAAGAGGGAGTCGATCTCGGCCATGGTCACCAGGCGGCACAAGTGAGCAATGTGCTTGGGTTCTGATTGTAACATGAAGAAGAGGTTGCCGTAGCGTTGCGTCTTTTCGTCATTGGGAAATGTGCCCTCTTGTAGGTCGTCGGCGTCGTCGAGATGGCTTGCAACTTCATTTTGCTGGGAAATTGTCAGTCTGCATGTCTATTCGGCGCGTAATCAAGTCATACCTCTTCCAAGGCCATACGGTTTTGGATCAGTAGCGCAATCCTGGAGTCGAGGTACCGAACGTCCTTCTCAAGAACGAAGTTCTTCTTTGACTGGGTGGAGATCTTCGCCTTGAGGTCCCTCAGGGTACGTTGTGCCCTAGCCAAATCATCACTAATCTCCAAGTCCTTATCTTTTGCGCTCATGCTAGCATACAGCGCGGTCATGCTAACGCGCTTGCTTTGGCGCAGCGAGCGGGCACCGTCATGGCTGGAGTAAGTGTTCTGGCGGCTGACAGGCTCAAAGGATGAATTGGTCGAGGTCGAGCCTCGTGAGGCGGGTTGGAGCATGGTTGCGACCGACATGTCGCCTGTTTTGCTCCGGTGTGAGCCTGAGCTGCGATGCGATTTTGTGCGTTCCTTTGCGCTGCTTACACGTCGGGGGACGTCTGAACGCAGTGAGGAGCTCATCTACTCATATGTTGCAGAGGAGAGGAAGCAGAGCAAACAATGTAAGCCTCGGGGGTTTGTGATGTTGGTTGTGTTTCAGAATGGGCCGCAGCGACGCACAATACTTCCCTTCCGAATTTGTTAAGCAGGCTGAATTGAAAGCCAGGTGTCAAGGTAATATCTTGCAAGATTATCGGTGTTGATCTGAACAGGGTTGTCCTGGCCCAATGCGACCAGCGCGGTAGCAGTATAGTTACTTTTCTCCCTCTCCCGGGACTGAAGTCGATCAAACACAGCAGAGGTTCCACCCGCAGGATATTACAGATGAATCTGATTGCGATCGCGGTAAGACACGGGTCTTGTTTTCTCAGGGAACTGGTGGGGTTGTGCCTGAAGAAGGAGAGAGTGTCGTGGGCAAAGTCTTGGTCGTAGAGTGCGGTGTGACTGGCAGGGCAGGCGTTTGTTTTCGGGAGTCGAGAGCTCGTTCCGGCGCCGGCGCGACAATTGCAGAGGAAGAACGGGAAGCGCAGGGTCGACGGCGGTTGGAGGAGGAGGAAGGAGACAAGAGAGTCGTCGAGGGCGAACGGTAGAGCGAGGAAGGATGCTGAGCAGGATGGTGTAGAATCAGAAGTCAGGAACCAGGCACGATAATGAACGAATGAGAATATAGATGGCCGCGATAGGGAGCGATGGAGGGGGATCAAAGCGTTTGGGTGAGCGAAGTTGAACCTGGATATGCAGGGCCAGGGCTGCGATGCTCAAACCCGTCCAGGCCGCAAGGGAGGCTTAATTGGCCATCATGTCGCTCGCGTGGAGAAGAAAAGAGGCGTCGAGCGTGTTGGAGTGGAACCCAGAGAATGGGACAATTGAAGGGTGGATAGGGAGGAGGCAGAGACGGGTGGATGCGATGGTGGTGTTGGTGGTGGAGGAGGAGGAGGAGCAAGAGGGATTGCATTGAGGAGCTGTCAGTTGGCCGTAGGGTGTGTGTGTGTGGAGGAATTTGGTCTGCCTCGGGTCAGGGGTAATTTACATATCATCGTCCTTACGGAGGAGGAGCAGTTCCCAAAAGAAGTGCAATAGGAGGCTAACCAAGCGTGTTATCATCATATCATCATAGATATCCCTACACATATACGGAGACTACCTTACCAAACCATGCATACCGTAGGTCGTCAGTATTGCTTGACAACGAGAGAAACCGAAATGGACGGGCATCTCCCTGGGCCTCTCTAACCTCTACTCTCACGGGGTTGTATTGGTAACGTGGCATCATGTGGTAACCTCAATCTTTCTCTGCGCATCTCCTATGCATCTTTCCGTCGGGGGACATTCCTCGGCTTCAAGACACTTTGTTCGATCTGTCCCGATATCCCTTTGTCTTTGTTTCTGTCTCGGTTTTTACCCTTGACGTAGCCTATCTGACCATGATGGCCGCCCTAATTCAATTCCTGCTAAATTTGCACATTCCAGTTTGGCCGGCTTCTAATCTATTTGCATGCCTCAGGGAATGCTCCTCGTATGCCAGGACTTGGTGACATGCAAGGAGCTCCTCATGGCAAGCCCTCCATTCAGGCACGATCCAACCACAACATAAGCCGCCAGCTCGTTGCTCGTGAGCTCGGACCTCTTCGCTTCAAACGAAGATCAGTCTCGGGCCGGTAAGATACGCTCGATGCCAACGTTAATAGTCAATTGATCATCCCATAGCCTTGTTTACCCTGGTTCTTGAGAAGCAGTTTTGGGCCAATGTACTCGTAATGTTCGTCTTGGATGCAAGCCACTTCGGACGGGCAAAAGTAGGATGCTGGCGTTGCACAACGGGCGCTCGTCATGCCCATTGGGTAACGCATGGAGCATTGCTGCTGTGTCAGGTTTCACAACCATTTGCTGGGGTTGGCGTTGAGGGCTGCCAGGGTCCCGAGCTGTGTCTACCCTGAGTTTCAGATCTCTGCAGCCTCAAACCCTCGGGCCAGGCTGTAACGTCAACGTCCTCCCTGCCGACCTTTGCCCAATTTCTCGGTGGTATCTGCCTGTAGAAAATCCAGGACCGAGTGACTTGGCCACTTGGGCAGCCTTGGAGGCCGGTTGTTTCCTTGTCTGCTCCTTCCTGAGCGGAGATCGTGCGTCAGTCTTAGTGCTCGAAGACCTAGGCTCGTCTGTGGCTGCTCGTCATCCGCTCAAGCACGTGGTTGGCATGTCACAGGTAAGCTGAAAGATGACGAGTCCATCATGGACAAAGTGGATATGAAGTCAGAGGCGTCTTTGGGGAGTGCTTTGCTTTTCCATACACGGCGCCCACGGACAATAGAAGCAATAATAGTGTCGTAGATCATACGGGGAAAAGCGAGATTTGTGATGATCTCGTGAGTCAACACGACTGCAAGCGAGATGGAATTTTGTGGCCGGCTGCTTAACTCGGTGATCTTCGGATCAGCCGCAACAATAGTCGGGCTGACAGAAAGTCCTTTGGGAGGTCTGTGCATAACGATTCGTTGGAAATAAATTCAACGACCTTTAAGAGAAACGTGGATTGCATGAACTAATGTCGGATGGAGGACACACAACGTGTGTGGCACACGAGCAGTGGATGAAAAGCAAGTTGTGACAGCGGCAAGCAGTGGGAAATAGGGGCCAGCTACGGAGCACTTCCTACTGTAGGTGACTGCCACAGCAAATGCGGAGGGCGCTACGGAGTACCCAAGGATAAGTCCAAGTAAACTGAGCACATGCAGGATCAATATTCATTCACATGTGTGGTACTCCGTATTCCACTTTCACTTCCGATGGTAGTTGTTCGCTACTTGGGTGAATAGCGTTCTGGCAGACCAGCACAGATGATGATCCGCCATGTCGCACTCATCCTTTCTGGATCCAGGGAGCCAGCGTCATCATCAGAGCCCTGTGCTTTTTCCCACCGAGGGTTCCAGTCATGGTATACAGCAGGGTACGCTTCCTGTCACTAAAAAACGTGTATCCTGCAACACCATTGAAGACTGGAAGTTGGAGTTAGTATGTTCGAACACTCCAACTGAAGCAATGCAGCCGTTCCGCAACGCGATTTGAGCCAAGCGCATCGGCCCTTTGCCAACCTATTCAAACTTCTTTCGCAGATTGTCGTACCTGCTATCAGGGTATTCCAAACAATTTGGTCGCTCCTCCATTCGACTTCGTCCTCCACTGTGCAACAGAAAAGTCTCAACCAAGCTTCCGGCTCCCACCGGTTTATCTGCACTGGATTCCCACCACATTCCACTGCGATGTCGTTAGCAGTGAAAATTTGTATCAAGGAACACAGAAGCCCTTGAATGCTCCCGTAGCCGTATCAAAGGTACATCGTGCGACTTACCCTCCCAGTCCATAGTCTCGAACAAAGGCGGCTTTTTGCGCCACCAGCGCAGGCGTGTCGTAACTGATCATCGTCTTGGAAGCTGGACTGTAACTCCAACTCGCACCGATCTCGTGATCATGGTATTCATGGCTGTCAGACTTGGGAAGAGCTTTGTAGTCCCAGACTCCGTGCTCCCAGCTTCCCTCTCCCACCCCACTAAACGAGTGGCCGGGTCCATTAGTCGACGTGAATGCCCGACCATACAATGGCATCCCTAGGACAATCTTCGATGGATGCACACCGTGACTCGTATAGTGTTCAATTGCTGCAATTGTGCTGAATGGTGTGAGCTGGGGTTGAGACACCGACGGGAACAGGTTGGCTTGATGGGCCGCCCGCCGATCCCACGATCCTGCATAGTCGTATGCCATCAGGTTCCAAAAGTCGAGCAGCTGATCCATCTGCGGGATCTTCAATCTCTCGAAGTTTGCGGGTCCGGCGGGACATGCCACAGTCAAATAAAACCGCGTATGATGCCGCTTCGCAGCTGCTGCATCGAGAGCTTTCCTGGTCTCATGTAAAAGTTTGACAAAATCTTCAGCCTGCGCGTGGTCCTGCGGATACTCCCAGTCCACGTCAAGCCCATCAAAGCCAAGGTCTTCTAGTAATTGAACAGCGCTCCGGGCAAAGGTCTTCCTACCATTCTCCGTGCTTGCGGGTTGAGCAAAGTTGGAAGAATAAGTCCAGCCGCCGATACTCAACAGGACCTTCAGATTGCGGTTTCTCTTCTTCTGAAGGAACAATTGCTTGACACAACCGTAGACATTGGTGCCGACGTCATTCCAGCTGTCGCCATCGTAGTGTTTGTCGGTGTCCGACCAGGGATCAGTGAGATGAACTTCTCCAGTTTCAGGTTTCACGTTGGCAAAGGCATACAGGACGTGGGTGAGGTTTTCGACAGGGAGGTCTTGTGGATTATGATTGCGACCATATGGAGCCCAGTTGACATAGTAGATAACAGACCGTATACCGTGGCCGCCTCCCATGTTGAAGTCGATATGATCAAGTTGTAGTTCGGGAACAAATTGGGTCAATATCAATGCAATGAACTGGAACAAGACGAAGATAGAAGTTAGGGAGAAAAGCATGCCAACTCAAACGGCTGAACACTAAGAGTTATTCAGCGTGGATCCATTTCATGTGATGAACAGTGAGGCTCAGTGAGACACGCTCGTTTGATCTTCAGCTGGTCGTCCTGGGACTATGCGTCTGCCTGATGCTGACATGGCGTGCATGGTCATGCGTGGTGGAAGCTGGCCGTGGCTGGACGACCCCATCATTAACCCCCCTCTCGATCAACATGTGGCTGTGTTTGTGGCTGGTGAGGCTGAACAGTCTAGCTAAATCCAGTCTGGTACGATCTGGGATAAACGTAAAGCCGGTTGACATCAGCCTCGGCTGCAGTGAGTAAATGTCCCTGCCCATATCTTCTCTCTCCAATGCTTTTCAGAACCACCTCGTTTCGTTGCTTGCGCTCAGAACGTTCAACGGCAAGGCTTCTACAATCAGTACACTCTGGCCCTTCTACCGGCATGCCACTTGAAATTCTATTCCTTGGGGCTGGGGCTATCGGAGCATTCTACGCCTCCAGAGTCGCCCTCAGTCCGGACACGAATGTATCCGTCATATGTCGGTCCAACTATTCTGCTGTAGCAAACAACGGTTTCAAGATCACTTCTCCTCAGTATGGCGACTATAACTGGAGACCAACCCGAACATTCAACTCAATTCAAGCCGCCCATGAAAGCAAAGTCAAATGGGACTATGTCGCGGTCTGTACGAAAGCACTCCCCAACATCTCTGACGACTCCAGACTTGTCGAACCGGTCATCACGCCGAACACAGCTATTGTACTTATCCAGAATGGTCTGGGAGTTGAACAGCCTTACGTAAAGAGATTTCCGCAATCTACTATACTGAGTGCCGTCACAATCGCCTCCTGTGCACAAGTATCAGATGGCCACGTCAAACATAATCGTTGGACTCGGATCAACGTGGGTCCATACTTCTCGGAGCCATCTCCGTCGCCAAATGTGAAGGACAGAGCCACCGCGCAGAACCAAACTTTCGTCAATCTCCTCATCAAGGGTGGAATCAAAGACGCTATCACTGACACCCACGAAAAACTGCAACTCGTCCGGTGGCACAAGATCGCCATCAACGCCTCGATGAACCCTTCTGCTGTATTATCAGGTGGTAGCACCAACGAAGAGATGGCAAGCGACTCCGAGCTCTACACCCACCTGAAAGGTGTAATGGACGAAGTCCTCTCCACAGCACCCAAGGTTGTGGGTAAGCCGTTCCCGCCGTCGTTTGCCTCCTCAGAAGCGATCCTTCGTTCGACTCAAAGGAACAAAAGCGGGAGTAAGCCAAGCATGCTGATTGATTGGGAGAGCGGCAAGCCAATGGAGTTGGAAGTCATTCTCGGCAATCCCATCAGGCTGGCGCGAGAAAAGGGGTTTGAAATGCCACGGATGCAGACTATATATGCTCTGCTCCGGATGATGGAAAAGAACAGGGAGCTCAAGAAGCAGAAGGGGCAGACTAAACTATGATTGTCTATCTTCTGGTTGGATGCCGCGAGAGCATGTACACTGCTTCGCTATCAAGGTCAACCAGAATTTCTGGCTCACGGCTTCATGAGGACGCAAGATGGAAAAGAGCGAAAGAGTAGCACCTGGGAGGCATCTCGACGCTGAAGTGGTGACGACACGACATGCCCCGATAGTACTGTTGCACCGCAAGCGAACCGCCAGTAATATGATCAGTCATATCATCTCCTATTATTAGTGCTATGGGCCCAGTCACCCAGCGTGATCAATGCCGCTCACGATCTGCTTTTTTTCGCCGTCGATGTCTGTTCTGCAGTCGACACACGCTCCGCCACATCCTCAGTTGCAAACCAAGAACTAGCTACAAGCGTGGCGCCTACCAACCACGCGGGCAGCCAGATGCACAGGACACCAACAGGCACGCCCCAACTTCCCCAGATATTCCAACCAAAGGCAAGCCTCTGCAGCCAGTCGACCAGCAAATCATCCTTGCCTGTAGAGAGGAACCCGTACCCGACTAAAGAGGCCGCAAGACCCATTGGACTCACAATTACCAGTAGCAAATATTGCAGCATCGCGACAACGCCAGGCCGACTCCTATCGACAAATGCAAGTGGCATACAAAGGACGCCGAGGAACATGCTGAGACTGAAATTTAATGTAGCCAAGACTGTGAGGAACAGGCCTAACACTAGTAAACTCAGGGACTTGATCAGGACGTATTGTTCTTTCGTCGGGGCGGAAAATGGAGGCAAAGTTGTGTTGTTAGGCATATCCGCGAGTGCTGATGCCAGAATGACAGGCAGAGCGAGAAGTAGCAGTGTCAGTAGGAGGAACGTCGACGGCATAGCTCTCACACTGAGATGTGTGAGAAGGTATAGCGGGACCAATGACGCTAGATATATCGTAGCTGCCAAAGTTATTGGAAGAACAAGTTGTCTGTCTTTTGGTTTGAATTCGATCGAAATCTTCGACTGCCCCTCCTGTGAGGTTGTTGGCTTGTTAAGCGAACTGTTCGACTTTTCCGTGGTTTCGATCTCTCCATTCGCGGCTGGCGTTGACTTCTGAATGACTTGATAGCCACTCAAGACCCATAGATAAATCGCCATGATGGTGTAAGCTGCGGCGATGGTCATGGCACTAGGAAGGTAAGTACCAATGCTCACGAAACGATTTGATTGCATCAACAAATAAAAGAAGAAGCTCTGATGCAGCTTCTCCAGTAGATTGTTGAGACTCCTGCAAATACTCTCAATCGTCCTGCCGAACGCCATCTCATCTTGCCATCCTTGGCCAACGGCTGTCAAGGTGATAGCGTCTATGTGGTAAGTCATAAAGCTGGAATGAGGACCGGTTGCCTGACCCAGAGCCTGAGACGACATCCCACGTACGAGTGTCTGCAGGCGAGACTGATACGCGCTTTGGGTATCCGGTTTGGTGTAAGTATGTTGTGATTGAATCGAAGTGCCTATGCCCATCTGACCGGAGGCGATGGTCACAGCAGTGTTGAACAGATCAAGATTGGGAAGGGCTCCATTGATTCCATCGTAAGCAATGTGAAAAGTCTCGAAGCGATGTTCGAATGGGTAGTCGATGCAGACGGCGCCCTGCAGCGCTCCGGACTTCAACGAGAGATCTTGCACCTTCTCGGGGTCGTGCGTAGAGTGGTATGCTTCGATCCATGCTTGTGGTCCTGCCGAACTATCTGGCGTAACTAGGAAGATAATATCCTTGGACCAGAGTGACCATCGCTTGAAGTATCTGGACAGTGAGATGAGGAGCGGCACTCCGTTGACATTGACAGCGCCTTCAATGTTTTCCAGCGCTGCAAGTATTACGACTGCTTCTGTCCCGTCTCCTCGAGGAGCATGCAGCACGGCATAGACATTCTCGCCCTCATACGTCCGACCAGAGGAAGTGTAGGAGTATCGTTGTTTTGCAGTCTTCAGGCCAGCGTTGCGGAATAGCTCTTGTATTTTTTTACTTCTGTTGTCCTCCGCTTTCCGCAAATCGTCTTTTGTCAGGCTATTATTGGCACCTGAGGTGAGAGGGTCCAGAACGGTAGCTAGCTCGTGTCTGTATGCTCGAAAGACAGTTTGTTCGCTTCCACCGAAGTATGTGTGTACTTGACCGGGTAAGAGCGCGTTCTCGGAGATATATGTCCTTCTCGAGTACTCATCCAAAGGAAGAAGCAGGATCCAGATGATGCCTCCGAGGATACAAAGGGCAGAAAGGTATGGAGGGATTCGAAGTAGTCGCGGGTCGTCTTTGCGCATGTTGAAGAGGAAGTTCCCTGTCACTAACTCAGTTTTTCGCCTCTTTGAAAATGCAACCTTGTTCTTACGGATCAAACCCATCTTGGACTCGCTCGGCCAGATCGAGCTTCACTGCAAGGCATTCGTAGACATATGCCCGTCGTGGACAGACCTACATTCAGGAGGGAATCTGTACTTTCTGACTTCAATGCCGGAGATTACCCGCGCCGCAGCCACACCAAGGTGACCAAGGTACCCTTCATGCAAGCCCTTGCAAGCCCTTCAGTGGCTCTTGTAACATCACGCCTGGGGGCTCGTGGGTGCTACTCGTACAAAGAAGGATTTGCTGCGCTTTTGGCAATCATAGTATTACTGATTCGTGATACAGTCGACATACTCCAAGGCATAGCGCCGGCTAAACCGTGCGAACCCAACCTTCCACAATATACAAGATGTATTCAGCCCCTCGCTATGCCATGATAGATCCAGCAAATGGTGATAGCCAAGGACCTCCAAGCCCTTGAGGTCAAGTTCAAGGACCCAGCCTTTGGCCACCAGCACCCGTTCCTCCCACCCAGCCCAATCCAACCGGACTCATATGCTCACTCGGTCCCGCCGTCGAGCTCGAAGGCAGAACACCATAACGTCCGTAAGTCTTCTGGTCCACAGAAACATAATGAGGCAATCTGCCGAGGAGATTGAGTTTGCCTTCAATCCAGCGGAGGATTTTCTCTGGTGGTGCAAGAAAGCGGATGTAGCCCAGCCCCCCTGTCCTGCCGTCAGTCATTTGTCACGACACCACTATCGCAGCTCTCCGGTCGGGAGATACTTACACATATAGCCCGTAATGCAACCACTGAGATGTCCAAGGAAGGATGTGTTCGGTATCAGGACCGAAGTGACAACCACGATTGCTAGCGGCGTGATCCATGTCGGAATCTTCTGTCCCGAGATTCTATCATCCTTTAGCAAGTCTCTCTTTGATCCCAATTGCTCAGAAAGTGCATACTCTATATGCGGATTCGCGCGGTATGTCTTGATCGATTCAGACGCAAGAAGCAGGAATACCCATACACTGTCAACATTCAGTCAGCCACTTTTCTGGTATTTCTGAGCCTGCGACCTCTCCCCGTACCTTGATCCAAGCACGGGGGTGTTGTCCCTCAGAATGAGGCCGTCAAACACTAGGTACAAGACTGCTGGTATCTGGCCCAAAGCTATAGTCTTTGTCAGCGCGTTCAATCTCTTCTGATCCCTACACACGCAGCACTTACGGCCCAAGAAGAGCGCCAGTGTGGTCAACGTCCCCCATTCGGCCTCAAAGCGCTCCAGCAAAGGCACAAGACAGATGGTGTCTACCAGCATATGCCAAAACCCCATGTGTATCAGAGCGAACGTATTCAGTCTGTACATTGTCCCTAACCCAATCTCTTTCGGTATTAAGGACCCCCATTGTATTACACTCCAGACGGTCTGCAGTTCGAGCAGCCAGAACGCGACGATGGCCAAGAGAATAAGCCGCGTAAACAGAGGGAGGCGGAAAAGGTATGAGCGCAGACGGGATGGGTTGATGAGCCGGGTCGGGAGAGGAAGGCTGTTTGTCGATATTCTCGGAGGCGCCGTCATTGTTGGATCGTGGACTCGAGAAATGTGTAGTCGTGATTGAGATCTCGTGCTCGGGTTCGGGGTCTGACTTCGAGGGGCTTTGAGGCGAGTATTATAGGATGATCTCGCGAGCGGATGGAAACAATGCTATTGATCAATGTTTACTATCGTATGCGCCATCACCCAGTCATATACCGCGCAAGCAGGCCTTCGTCCTCACGTTACTGTCAAATATATTGGTAAGGAACTGCGGCTTAGAAAGATTTCATGAGTGCCTATTCCCCCAAATTTGCGGAGAAGTGCCGCGTGCCCCTTTTTGTCTTGTTGCCGGCCTATCCGTCAAGGAATCTTTTCAAAAAGGGGATCAAAAATAGAGAAGTACGTTTTGGTACGAGAATTCCATCTTAATTAGTCCAATCTTGCTAAGCAACAGTGCTGACAATGAGTACGATCTATAAACAATGCCTCTAGGTTGGGGTATCAATAGCCAGAGAGTGCAGGACGCGCGCAGGCATCTTGGGTATCGTTCAAAATTCAAGAATCCAATCCCCCATTATGAATAACCCATTGCGGATTCGTCAATGTCGTCAATGATGGTATCACTTGCGGACCATGCAGTATTAGCTCCAACCGTCCGGCAGAATGATTGCGAAAAACATAAACACCTGGGTATTTTGATATTACCTCCTCTTATTCTTTTCATCTCCAAAATTTTTGGACCTGCGACGATTCAATCATCGACGAATAGCTCAGTATCGAACTGAGGTTCGAGCCGCATTGAGCTCTTTTCGGGTCGCCCATCCCTTGAGGCAGAGCACAAAGACTTCGTAGGACATGATGAAGGCTGTGAAGCCCATCACGACAGTGAAGACGAACATGGCCATCAGATCCGCGCCTTCCATGAAATGGATGATGTCTCTGGTGCTGGCCATGAAGACGAGACCACCCGAGATCAGGCAGAAGGCGGAGATCAGCTCGGTTGGTGGTCGAGAGGGATAGACCGAGCTTGGTGGAGAGATATAAATGATCACATAGGTGACCAAGCGGGCGACAGCGAAGCCACCGAGGAGGTTACCCCACTGCTTGTGAACTGTGGTCGAGGTCATCGAGTCCTGGTGATGAGAAGACATCATAAGACCCAACAGGAGGATGATCAAAGCAGGCATTGGGTTGAGAGATGTGCCATATTGTTTTGGAGGGCTGCGCAGTTCGAGTGCTTCACTAGGAGGCACTTCTGTTCGAGCCGGCATGTTATCAACCACGGTATTGAGGCATCTTCGGACGCGTTTCGATTCGACAAGCATGCCCAACTGATGAAAGGTTAGATAGGTTGACGGGCAGCATCAGGTAGTTCTAAACTTACCAGGCCTCCTCCGAAGAACATGATGGAAATGGAGACATGTTCGAGATCCTGCGCAGTCCATTGATGACCCCAAGCAGCAAGATGTTCAAGGAAGACGTTGGTACTGCCATAGAGCCAGATGACGAAGGACTCGACGAATTCAGCCGATGGGATACGGGCTTTCCATTGGCCCACCTCGCTGCGGGTCGGCTTGAGGTTCCATGCCCAGCCAAACTCGGCAAAGCACCCCATCCAACGTCCAAGTGTTAACAATCCATACCAAAAGAATATTCCTCCTTTGATAAAATGTGCAAGTCCATTGAAGACGTTGTTTCCTCGCTGTGATATGGTCAGCCAGATACTTGCTGGGTCGACTGCGCCCCCTCCTGAGGGGCTGCGCTCCGGGTTGACTTACAAACATGCCAGCATAAGTTACCACTCCCGTGGTCAGCGCGATGAATCCGAGGATCAAGATGGTTCGGTCGATAACTTGGTAGACGATCTCAATCGCTCGCAGAATCTTAGCTGAGAGCAGATTGGGGACACGAGACGAGAGATATTTGTCAATGACGTTGATGCGCAACCAGGCTACTTGAGGCTGATGTCGTGCTGGCAGTGGCTCTTCTCCCTCATCGTCCGGCTCCTGCTCTGGCTCTGGCTTTCCCAAACTATCGTCGGTGTTTCGCCGCTTGAGCTTGGTAGGAGAAGCATCGCGGCTGTTGAGCGTGGATGAGGCCTCGGTCCCTTGGCCACTATCCCCGGACCAACGACACTCCGCATATGGCTCCATGTTGTGCTGTACCATGTTCTCGGTGGAAACGGGCAAAAAGGCTTGTCGCTCAGGAGTTGAAGCCTCTGATTGTTTGCCCCTACCCGAGTAGTGGAAGACCAGGCTCATAATCACCTGAGCGGTAACAATCCACGTTGCGATCCAGCCGATTTTGTGGTGGGCATTGTTCTCGTATAAATCCGGAGTATTAATGTTGTATATTGTCCCGAACAGCACTCCAAACCCGTTGAGGACGAGGAAAAGGAACTGAGCTGGGAGAGCATATCTGGATCGTGCGGCGCTGAACATGACGCCTCACCTCGTCAGTATGCTCCCTTTGCTGACTGCCTGGCTAACTCACCAATAGGTAGGGTGAAGATCCATGCGAGTACCATGAAGACGATGTGTGCCAGCATCATGTTTCCATGCATTCCAAGACCGGCATAGCTCGGCATGGCATAGTAATCAGGTTCACCACCCTCATTGTGGGCTTCCGGCTTCATCATACCACACATATTACCATCACAATGCTCATCGTCGCCGTGAGCCACAGCCTGTGCGGCGAGTTGAAGCAGCACAGCTGCGACCGTACACCTTGTGACAACCATCCGGGCGCTTTATAGCGGTTGTACCACCCAATCTCTTGTCACAGAGGCCACCGGGGCCTGTCCAATGCCTTCGACCGAATTAAGCGGCGCGGAGGGTCTTGTGAGGTGAGCGACGGTTCAGGAGGCTGGATGCGACCCGGGGGAGAGACGAGTCACAGCGAGGGTTGCGATATTGTCTATAAGAGGGGGCAGATAGGAATAACGCGAGACTGTGCGCGAGGGTCAAAGGGTAACAGTATGGTAACGGGGGACAGAGACACGGAGAGAAATCTTTGACCGCAACACGAGCGCAAGGATTATTAACGAGCTGAGAGCCTTGGGAAGCACCTTCCCTGGCCGGAGCGAGTCATCGGTCATCGGAAAGCGTCGTCTGAGGGGGCGCTCAGAGCAGCGCAAAAGGACGGACGAATAGGTCAGCGGCCGGATTTGTCGGATGCGCGACAAGGCGACGAGGATATGCATGTGGTTATCGCCGTGATGGAAGATGCGAGGAGTTTTGACAAGGCCGAGGATGGATCCCATCATGATTGGCGGGCGGCGCCAACGAGGGACACGCCAAGGGAATTTAGTCAGTGGTTTGCTGGAGCCCGGCACCTCTGGAAGCGTCATTTGGACCAAACTCCACGACGGCACCCGCCAGGTGGATTCACAGCCTCATGCCATTCCGCCTTTTACCTCTAGTGACCTCTACTACCACAGTTGGGTCAAAGCAAAATGTCAGCACTCGATTCTGCACCACAATCGAAGAGGAACGAACGCCATAGACGCCGACACAACCGGGTCCTACCTACCTACCTACCTACCGACTTACCTAGGTACGTATCTACCACGGTCTCGCTGTTGTACTGTGCACAGGACTGCGCCCAGGGCATCCTGCCATCCGCTGGCACGAGCACTATCCACTATCGAATGATTTCCTCACCATTATCATGCCGACCGTTCCTTGACTGTGGGTGTTTATTGTTATTGACAAGCCTCGATCGGGCCCCTGCTGACAAAGACCGGACCCTCCTTGCGGGACTCCTCTCCGGCGAAGTTGCCATCATCGTTCATCACTACTGATTTTTTTCTGACAGCATTTTCTCTATCTCCGGGCAACAGATCATGATGCAAATAGATGATTGATCTCTTCGATCCAAAAGTCCCGTGGGAATGCTACGTAGTCTCCCGCCCCGCTCTGAATCATGCCGCTGGGAAAAGAATTGTTTCCGGACATAGTGTCCGACCTAACCTTCGTCGCCAGCTCAACGTCTTCTACGGCTAGTCGCGAAAGAGGTGGTGTGACAGGCATCGCGACTGGTGTGATCAGGTCGGAGGGATAGTTCCACTACATGGGCAAGAGACGCTGAAGCAATGGGGGCCTAAAGAATCCGATGCCAGTGGAAAGCGGTGAGTCAGCGAGCGACCGCGTCCCCCATCCGACTGGTCGTACTGTAAGGCAGCAATCCCAATGCAGTAGTTATCAGACCAGGCTGCCTCATTAATCATGTGTTGGCCGCTCAAATATTCAAGGGCTTCCTTTGATTCTAGGCAGATAATTTACGAGTACTGCTGTCGTTCTCTGGTCTGAGGATGAGACAACTGCCCAAGGACAGCGAATAGTAGCTGACTTTGGTCCTTCTTCTTCCTGACGCCGCCCGCTCTTGGTTATTCCACCATTCAGCATCATTCCAGACATCTTGACTTTCGTTTGTCACCTACTAGTACTTCACCATGACACTTTAGCTGCCTTTGCTCTTGCGCAGGTCACCTGGGAGCTCCTCCTAAAGCAGGGTCGCCACGTGAACGACCCGAGTGAACTCCTCCGTACACAATGCCAGTTTTTGACGATATGGGAATAATTCCCTAGAAACTCATGACAGACTTTTTCTTCTTTATTCCATCGATCCTTCGCCGAGTGTAACCCGCAGAGCCTCCATTGCGGAAATCGATGACTACACAGTCCTACAACAGCTTATTCATCGCACAGGAGGCCGATGCCCTAGCCCTTCTGCTCCGTGGAGTCCAAGAGTCAAAAAGCACGCACAGCAAAAGTTTGAGAGGGTCTGAGCATCGTTTCGGCCGATGTTTCTGTCCGAGGCTCCGGGCGTGCTGTGGCTGGTTGCCGATTGAGCCGATTTCTTGGACTTGACTCAGGCAGACAACGCCCTAAGTCTTCTCTACTGTGTATGAGATGTTGATCGGTCAGCCAGCATGGTCGTACTAGTACAGTTGCAGGCTGCTATTACATGCATTTGACTTGCTATCCCCACGACCGCGCAGGCTGCAATTCCCCAGCGGAGGTATCCGCGCCGTCCCTGTCTGTTACTCGTATGGACTTATTATGAAAGCAGAAGCGACTAGCCAAGTATAACCGTCAAGCTACTGCCTAGCCCAGATGTTGGCGCCATGCAGCTGGTCATGAGAACGGCCCCACGTCGACGATCCTATGCATACTCACGATGCATAATATATGCCCAGGAATTTTATGCATCGTCAATCCGATGTTCCTGCTCTAAACCACGCTTAGACCTCAAACAGTACCCACCATCTCTACTTGTGAATGAAGAATTTGGCGAAACCCCTCCACGACCAGAAGGGGGCATGATGGGGGCAGATTTGAGCTATCTTCATTGCTCTTCAATCCAACGGACAATGGTCAGAACGCACTGTTGGTTTCCCAAGTCGCCCAGGCTTGGTGTCCAGCGAATGAAGCACACACGGACGTACTCGAACTTTTTGAAGGATACCAAATTATCAAGATGTATACACGCCGGCCTACGTCAACGTTGTTTTCATCTCCTCGTGCTAATTAATGCATAAATTTGCCAATCTGACCTACAGGCACACAGGGCAGCTCCGTGGCTTAAAGTGAAAGAGCGGAGGGCCATCCAGGGCTATGTCCAATACGCCGCAGATTCGACCGTGGTAAGCTGAGGCGATGAATCTACCGCAGTCAGGTACGATCTTAATCACAAGACTTTGATTTTAAATCCAGGGTCATCCATAGCTCTGATCCATGCTAGGGGTCTTTACTCCAACCTGAGGCTGTCTTTTGCTATGCCCGAGACTCTTCGCAGCTGTCGACAAGACCCTCCGTTTGTTTTTGCCACATATTCGACTCGCACTTACTGTAGCTGATTCCCGGCTGAGTGGTATAATTGTCATATTTGGGGTCCAGGGCGACTGCGAGGTTATTCACCTTTCCCCTAGGGTGCAGCCTCCACCCTTGTGACAACGATTAGCACTGGACCCTTCACTGGCACAGTCATTGACTACAGCATACCGTATGGAAAAAGCGACGTCAGCCACATTGGTGTCGTGTGCCATCTTCCCTGTTACCGGCTGACGCGGGAAGGACAGCATGCTGCGAACCTACAGTTTTGCCTCCTGAAGTAAGTGCCTTCATCTCGTATCTGCCTTTGAGTGATCGGTTGGTGGTCGGATGAGTTGAGGTGGAGGTCTCGGTCGTCAATGAGTATGAGAATGATGTTCGCCCTCCTTGCTTTCCTTGCAGGATTGGCTGCAGAATATGTTGCAAGCAACAGCGTCACGAGAGGCCATATCGACATAAGTGCCGGCTTTCCAGGGAGCCTTGCACCTGAAGATTGATGGAGTCTTCACGACCAGCTTCATCTTGCGGGAGATGTATGTACGGCAATACAAGCATCCGCCCTCTGCGAGCTTGTGCAGCCATCTCCTATATTCCGTCCTCGATTTCCGGAAGATCGGGGGTTTTCCTCTGGAGTTCCAGCAATGTGAGATACCGCATTCCCCTTATTGAAGCTCAAGCTCAAGCGATGCGCAACTCATTATGGTCTGCCAAGCAGCAGATTCAGACTGCAGAGCGTGGCTAGGTCCTCTTTGCCGGCTTTGACGGCTCTATGCACGCCGGTCGGCAAGATGGCCGAGCAGCTTGTGGATTGAAGAAGCTGAAAAGAGTCGTGAGTCCGTCCATATGGAGTCGGTCGGGCAGAGATAAGATAGCGCAACTTGCACGAGAGACTTGATTCAGATGCGGACTGGGAGAAACCGTTCACAGGTTGATGCGCTTACCATCTTGCTAATTCGCTCCGTTTTCGAGCTCTTCTTCGTCCGACATTGCCGACGTTCCAAAGAACCTCCCCGCAGCCTTGCCCAAGCGAAACCCCCGGCTTCGATAGGTACTTAGCCCTGGGGTTCCGGAGACTTACCCCAGAGCGAGCCCAGCACAAGCCCAACTACTCCAATGGCGCTTTCTCTCTGCCTTACACCTTCACTTTGCCGGCTCAAGCCGCTGGAATGCACGAATGAGCTTGAAGGTATATGCGAGAAAGCGATCTTTTTCATGGTCATGGAGCCGTTCGCATAGCCGGAGCAGCCAGATGGGGTGGTTCTAAGTTCCAAGACCAGCTCATGTCCATGCCCATTTATCCTCGACAAGCACCGTCTGAGAATTCTGCTCGAAGCCACGAATCCTGCTTGGGAAGAGCCCGCTTGGAATCGGAAACAGTCACTACACCTTGAAAGGAACCTGCCTTGGCAGAACAGGTTACAGCAGCTGGACAAGATGGCTCCCTCATTGAAAGATGTCTGGTCCAAAGATGCCGTCAAGGATAAGCCGCTTGGCATTGTGATCCTCGTCCTAGCGGTCGCCTTAGTGGGTAAGCTGATCATACAGGTACTATACCAAATACTCACTTCGCCACGCTATTGTGCTAACAATTACCGTCCAGACCATATACAACATATTCTTCCATCCGTTGGCGCCAGTGCCTGGTCCATGGCCAGCAAAGACGTTGAAGTCTTATCTTACTCCTGCTCAAGCAGGCCTCCACAGGGCTCAGGTAAGTCTACAGTTACGACATGATTGACTCAGCAGCACTAACTCCCATCCTGACCCTCCGCAGCCTCCACGATAAATACGGCCCAGTCGTCCGTATTGGCACCGACGAAGTATCCATCTCCGAATGGACCGCCTACCGCGCCATATACAGCCACAAGGGGAGCAATAAGACTGTTCATTTCTACGAGGACACCAAGCTCGCCACGAACGGGCCAGGAAACATCTTCACGTTTCACAGCAAAGACGCACACTCCGCCCGCCGCAAGCTTCAGAACCCTGTCTTCTCACAGCAAGCCGTGCTCGAAAACGAAAGCTTCATAGCCGAAAAGGCGGATGTACTGGTCCGACGAATGATCAACGCTGATAGCAACAATGCTCAGAGCAAGACCAACACGACCGCTGACGTCTTCCTGCTCGACGGCCTTTTCAGCCTCGAAGTTATCCTCAAATGCGCATTCAATAGACACTACGGCGACTCCCCCGCCGGCGACTCGCTCACGTATCTCCGCGCCATGGACAGCAGCGCGGTGGGAATCCAGGTCCGCGCGGCACTGCCATTCATCACACGTGCCGTCGGCCGCCATATCCCAGGTTTTGTGGGCCGGTCCTACCGAGGCTGGGATCTGTGGGAGACTATGACCCGGACACTGGTGGAGGGATTTCAAGCGAATGAGGCCGCGCACGACACCAGACAACGGTTCATGGCGACGCCGGCCATTGTGAATGAAGACTCTTTCCTGGGCAGAAAACTGAGCCAGCCCGAATTGATCGACGAGATGATGAGCATTGCCTTTGCGGGATCCGGCACCACAAGCACCACCCTGACCTACTTGATGTGGTCTCTTGCACAGGATCCAGTGAGGCAGGAGCGTCTGAGGGAGGAACTCGACGCCGTGGGCGAAAAGGCCGGTCTTAGTGAGCTGCAAGACCTGCCCTTTTTGAACGCGGTGATCAAGGAGACTTTCCGGCTTTATCCTACGATCATATCTACGCTGCCAAGGGTGTTGGAGCAACCACTCACGGTGGATAAGTACGTCTTGCCACAGGGCACGTTCGTGGGCATGCAGAATTACGTGCACCATCGGGATGCGAAGTTGTTCGCACACCCGGACGAGTTCTGGCCGGAACGGTGGCTCGATGCACATGGCGCAAGGGTGAAAGATATGAATGCCGCATTGACACCGTTCAGTCTGGGCCCAAGGAATTGTATTGGCCAGAACCTGGCGAGGGCGGAACTGTATATCGCGACCAGTAAGGTGTTTAGGAAGCTGAGGCTGAGTGTCAATGGGGCCATGACGATGTGGGATATGGAGATGGAGGACAGGTTTAACATCGCGCCGAAGGGGAGGAGATGTCTGCTTGATGTAGAGGTTTTGAATTAGAAAAGGCACGTTGGGCGTGTCCGTGGGTATGAGCGAGCGTGGGACGGCGCTGGGTTTGTGGACTGGTCGTCGTTCCAGTGAGAGGCGGCCATCGATCTGAAGGCGAGCTGGAGCAACTGGATGTAGAGGTCGTTGGGCCGTGAAAGCGATGCGGTAAGAAGTAAATTGTGGATTTGACCTAGGCAGTCGTTGTTGTTATCGGATGTCCCAGAAGCCTGTTCGGCTGTTGAGGCCGAGGACGACGTTATTCTACCCATCAGTTCCGAGCAGGCAGACCATAAACTCCCGGGGACTGTGTTGCAGACTGGCAGAGAGTATAATGGCTGGTATGCTCCTGAGATGATGCAGCCAGTGACTGTCAGTCGAATAGACCGGTTGTGACTAACATTTTGACATGCAGTGGGAGTCGTCTCGTCACGACTATCAGTAGAAGCTATCAGACTGTGAGGCAGAAGACTCACCCAAGTGTCCTGTTTACCTAGCATGAAGTATGGATACCTATCCTCCGCCGCTAAGACCTAGGCGCCCGGGGCACCCTCCCGAGTCTTCCAATTGACCGCCTACCTTTCAAAGTTATAGAGAATGGGCGCCGAATTTCTAAGTAGCTATTAGTACTACCACAGGCGCCATATCAGTAACACCCGCCTCAAAACTAAGACTGAGTTACACGAACGTCGCAAGTTCACAATCTTGATATCAGTCCGGATTTCACACTCATTTCCTCTAGCCTGACCTTTATCCTCTAGTAAACTGGCAGTATCAGTACGATATCTGGCGAGAGTGACCATTTAGTCCTACCATGCGCCAAACGAATTGGCGAACACACTCTCCGTCGTCCAACACCAACTACCAAATCTAGGCCAGGATATTGCCCACTTCGGTCCGGCTTCTGACAGCCGAACCATTGTCCAGCAAGCTTGGACAACAAGGCAACGTTGCGGCTCCGTCCATCAGATTAGGCTGGCTTTTCCGACTGGTGGATTAAAGATTTCGGCATCGGTAATGGCATGACAAGCCACACAGGCCTCCAATCCGTCGAAACCTGACCGCAGTTTACAGCCCTCTGTCACCTCCTCGCTCATGCCCTTCTATCCCTCCCTAATGGCTACCACTCGCCAGCGCGCCGCAATGGAGGCTTCTAGGCCTGCGCAGTCGCAGTCAAAGTCGCAGCCCAATTCAGATCAAGACATTATCGTTGTCGACTCCTCGAAAAGACAACCGAATGCCGATGGCGCTGACGGAGAAGTGCCGGTGGAAGGGGAAGAGGAACTCCTAGAAGGTGAAGAGCTGGAAGAAGACGAGGAGGAAGAAGACCTGGAAGACGACGACGACGATGACTTTGAGAAGTGAGCCAAACCCTTGGATGTCTTACTTCAATGTCTGATAGTTGTGTGTAGTTTCACCACCTCGGAAATCGTCACCGTCTACGTCGGCCATAAGCGCAAGCGCTTCTTCCTGCATCGCGAACTCATCTGCCAGCGATCGCCGTTCATGGAAAAATGTCTGAAGAAGGATAGATTCGACGAGGGCTATAAGAACGAGTTGTACCTCCCGGAAGACGATCCCAAAGCGTTCTCCATCATCGTCGAATGGATCTACCGCAACAAACTGCCTGCGCGGACGGACCCGACGTTCGACCTCGCCGACCTCTCAGCGTCTTACTGTATGGCAGACAAATTCGCCATGGAAGAGCTGCAGAACAACATCATGGATGTCATTCGATCCAGTTTCTCTCGACGTGAGAATGAGCAGTGCAAGCCACCTCACTTTTCGGCGCTGGCGCTCACACACCTTTCGGGCCCGCCCAAGTCGCCACTAAAACGCTTCTACATCGAACACCTGGTGCATCATATGATGAAGAATCCGAAGTGGTATCACGAGTTGAAGCGCAATGAGCCCAACCGTGCAGATCTGGAGGAGTTGTTCAAGATTCCGGACTTGGTGTCATACATTTTCAAAAAGGTCTGGCAATTCCAGGCGGAGCCGTGGAAGGATCCGGCCATGTGGGATAAATGCTGCTATCATGTCCATGCCACAACGGTCTGTCCAGCGAGGGCGGCGGCTGCTACGTTGGCGAAGAATGCAAAAGACGGCATGAGTCAGAGTGTACGGTTGGGATCCGGTCTCCCCGGCGTGCATGGCCTCGGGGCGCCGCAGAGATCGTGGCCGCCTACCGCGATGGGCGTCTGGAATCCTGGTGTTGGATGGTAGGCACAGCCAGCGAAAGATGACTGTGTGAGCTTGCTCTGCCTTGCTATTGCATGGCGAAGAGCATGAGGGAGACTTTACGAGAACCGACTTTTCATGTTTCCTATGTCAGGTCTTGGATTGATTGGGCTTTTATTTCTTGCTTTAAGACCTTGGGTTATGCTTGCATGGCGCTGACGGTTCGGGGCTGCATTTGCAAATGATTGTTGTCATTTCTATCACGGGGATCATGATGAGTTGAGCTGAGTAACTGAGACTGATTTTCTATGCTGGCAGTGTTTGGTACCTAGGATGCTGAATATAACCTCGCATTACCATTGTGCACGAACTTGTCTCCTTGTCTCGACCATTGTATTGGATGCATGCTGACTTGCCGGATTATATAAAACGCCGGAGAATCTACCTTTCAACCTCAATATTCCATAACAAGATGCTTTCGCTACTCTCCTCAGACGTAGATCTCTTTTCACCGACCCTGACGATCCGTATCTAGGAGCCAGTCTTATCTCGTAGCTCTTCCGTGATGTGGCTGATCTCATATGTTTGGGCTTTTCCTGCTGGGGCAAAGACCCGAGCGACGCGCTCAATGGCGTTCTGGGCATGCATCGATCGTCTTTCCCATCAAGCTTGAAGCTTCAGCTCGCTGGGATCTTCAACCAGCTTACACGGTGAGATATCCCATCAGGTTCTACAATCAATTTATCTGTTGAACATATCATTTAATCAAAGCGCACATGTTTGGATCTTGTGAAGCGTCGAGCCTCATTAGTCTCTGCCCCAGAAAGTCCTGCTTGACGCCTGCAGCAACGACGCGCGATCGACGACACTCAGCGATACCGATCTTTCCAGCCATTCGGCCATTCCAGTACTAAAGTCCAGCGATATTGTTAGCGACTTGCGTTCTTTGCCAACCAACGACTGTCGAGTCGACTCTCTCGTGGTTGCACAGCATCTTCGTCCAGCTTGTAACGGATCACAAAGCTCCAACAGGCTTTCTTCCGAGAAACAACTTTTCAGAAGCTGTTGCCTTGCGTGCTTCGTTCCATCCGGCTAAATTTCCGTCAGGGACAGCCTTTTCAGCAGGATGACCAACGAACGTACTCCCCTCTTGGGCTCTTATGCCTACGGTGACAGCGACGAGTACGCGTCCGTCGACGAGCATGCACAATTTTGTATGCTGGTGGGTATCCCCTCTTCGGCGCCAGATGCCGACCGGAAACACCGTTCTGTACCGCCAAAGTCCCTCTACGGTCGTGTCACTCGCCAGCTCCGTAGCCAACGCTGGACGTATTACACGACAGCCTCCTTGTCCAATATTTTACTCCTGTCGCAGGTCATGTTAGGTGCTGCCCTCACAGCACTCGGCGCTTCAGAGTCCTCACATATTCTTATTACTGTCTTTGGGGCGATGAACACGGTCATTGCGGGGCTTGTCGCTTACCTGAAATCTCGTGGCCAACCGATGCGTGCCCGCATGTACCGCGACGACCTGGAACGAGTGGTTGACGAGATCGAGAATTCCGAGGTGATGTGGCTGGGCATTACGCGCCATGTGCATGGGTATGACGAAATCGACACAGACGATGGCCAGGTCAGTGTCCGTAGTGAGGTTGCAAGGTTGACCAGGTTGTATGATCGTGCCGTGAAGAGCAATACCATGAACAATCCTGACATGTACATGGCTGGTGGTGGGTTCGACGGCAATGGTGCACAGCTAAGGTCGAGACCCCAGGGTGTATCGGCACTCCCTATCACGCCAGGTCCTCAGCCTATTGTTGCTGCACCAGTTCTGGGGCCGAGTGTGCCGGCGGTTGCGGGGCCGGCACCTGCTCAGAACGTTGCAGATCCTGATGAGAGTCCCGCAACCGCTGCTCCCAAGCCCAAAGAGGAGCCTAAAGAGGATAAGAAGGATAAGAAGGATGATGCAGGCGATGACGTTCAAGAGGCAAGCAAGGAGCAGAATAAGGACACCAAAGAGGGAGAGTCATCGTCTGCCTCAAAAGCACCTGCAGCAGGTGCGACACAGGCAGAGACCAGCTCGTCGAAGACTACGCCGGTACCTCAACAGCCTGACCCGGACGCAGCACCAGCGACAGATCCCAAAGTCCCTTTGAAGAAAGACTAGGCGGCTGGACTTGGCGGCGAAGTCTTGGAGTGAAGCTTTCCTTAAGTCACTATGAATGTGCCCTTGTCGATCGATTCTACCAGACAATTTAACATCTAATACCCAGGTGCTGTCGCAACAACGTCCTTCTATCAGCAGGTCCTCCAGATTCTTCAGGAATGGCCATTCAGCCACCCATAGGCAACAAAGGGTCGAATGCGTCCCTCCAAGCTTTCACCCTGCCAACGGCAGACCCGGCAGCTGCCTCTTTGATTTCTTTGCCGGGCTTCTTCAAGACCTCCAGTGTCTCCCGGGTGTAATCGTCAAGTTCCATTGGCGTGATAACGTGCCAGCGCCGGTCCGCCGCGTCCAGGTCAGTCTTCACATATGGTGGGACAATCTCGATTATGTTGAGGTTGGTGTCTTTCAAGGACTGCCGAAGTCCAACCATGAATGAGTGGACGCCTGCTTTGGTGGGCGAGTAGACGGGGAACATGCCCAATGGGACAAAAGCGATGCCGCTGGAAGTCATCATGAAAGTTGTCTCGCGCTCCAACGAAAGCAGATGTGGGATAAATTGGCGTGCGAGCATGATTGGTGCGGTCAAGTTCACCGTGATTTCTTTCACGATCTTCTCATTGGTGAAGTTGTCGAGAGTTTTGAAGTTGCCTTGATACTGGACGCCTGAGTTCACAAAGACTGTATCGATGTCGGGCCACTTGGAGAGGATTGTCGAGCAGTGCCTTGGAATGGCGGCCAGGTCGCTGTTGTCCATGCTGTAAGTCCCAAGACCGGGCAATTCCCTGGAAATTGCGGCGAGTCGATCTTCCCGGCGACCGGTGATGATGACTTTCTTGTTCATCTTGTGGAACGCCCGTGCAAAGGATTCGCCAATTCCACCTGTTCCTCCGAAGATGAGGATCTTGGACATTGAGGAAGTCATGGTGATGTTGCCCTAGGATTCAAATGCAGTCTAAATGCGATGAGACCCACCAAGAGACGGTGAAGTTGCGAATTTACTCAGTCCTGCCAGAGATTGAAAGACTACTACGACTGACTGTGAGACCACGGGCCCATGGACCCTTATATACACATATACCGAACCCATACTGCTACTATCAGACTGCTCAGGAGCCGTCATATCTCCCGCTGGCGGAAATCGGATGTCATTCTCAACGCCATTCACCCAGAATCCTCTAGGCTGAATCCGGCATATGTTCAGCGCCTTCCCGGAGCTAACCTTGCAATGGAAAAAGGCCCGATACTTCATGACTTCGTCACCCGGGTACAGGTGGTTGAGACCCTCCAAGTGCCAATCTAGAATCCGGGTCTATCTACCGATCTTCTGGTCGAGCTGCACTGCACATCCAGCCACGCCAGGTACAACAATCTTTGTTCGTCCACGTCGCACTAGCCATTGAGGGTTGCATTTGCTGCTTGAGGAATGAGTAGCTGCCATGTTTTTGTCTAAGCAGGCCCAACTGTCCGAACAAGTTGAACCGCTGTTGTGGGTTGATCATCCTTGCAATTGAAGCTGGTGTCTGCAACAAAGACAGCCTGAAAACACCTCCCAAGCATACACAGGCAAGCGCATTATTCGTCTTCACGAACACCTCGACAGTGGATCATGGACTGGTTGCACGTGCCGGTACTAAGAGCTTCCGCCCTGTTGTGCTCTTCACTTCCACTTATTCACGACTGGATATAGAGTTCTCCGTGAATACACGCATGCTTGTCGTTCACATGCAGTGTAACTCATGCCTCACTTCGGCGCCAAATGGCACATGCTGCCCCCTGTTTGCTCAAGCATCAACACGTTTGATGCAAATTCAAAACGCATCTCAAAAGTCGTATACCAGGCAGACCATCCCCACAGCCGGCTAAGGACAACTAATCATGGCTCTCTCATACGCAGGCAATTTTCCGCTCAACATCACTCAACCGGCCATCAATGTTTTCTTGTCCTCAAAGCAGGACGATGGTCAGATCGACGGTCTAGTCTACTGGCAAGTGGCCAACGGATATACAGCAATCGCTCTGCATGAGGCCTGGTCCAACACCTCGTCGAACACCGATATACTCGAAGATCTCGTTTCGAAAGTCCAAAACGGACAACAGGACTGTATCAATGACTACAATGACGACAGCATGTGGTGGGCGATCAGCTTGCTGGAATTATATGAAGTGACGCAAAACATCCAGCACCTGACGGTTGCTGGGGACATCTGGAACCACGTCCGGAATTCCGTGATCGTCCCCGGCGAGCATGCAGTGAACGGTGTTGACATGGCGGGCGGAGTCATCTGGACCAATAAAACCGACGAGACGCAGGTCAACGCCATCACTACGGGCTTGTTCTCTGAACTGTCAGCTAGGCTGTCACCGAAATTCGAGGACGCTTCAGCTCGAGAAACACTCCTGGAATATGCAATAATCAGCCTGGATTGGATATACCGTTGCCGCTACATCGAGGACGACTATCTTGTTTTGGACCACATCAACCTTGCCACCAATCAAACTGTTGATTCGACCTTCACGTACAATACTGGGCAGGCGATCGCAGCCTCGATTGCAATATACGATGCAATCAGGGCCAATAGCAGCGATCAGTTGTCGACTGCGCAGACCTTTCTGGACTTCGCAGGCATGATGGCGCTCTACTCCATGAATCGGACTAGCTGGGTCGACGGAGATGGCACGCTCACCGAGCGAGACGCATATCCTGGTACCGGCGCCAACGCCACACCAGCCTGGGAGGATTGTGACGGTCTTGGATTCAAGGCCATTCTCCTGCGGAATCTGGCCAAGCTTTACAGGACTCTACGGCGTGACGGCGTCAATTCGGAACTGCAGGGCAAGATCAAGAGCTTTGTTGAACATCAATTCCGGAGTCTACAAGATCGAAATACCAACGGTCACGATCAGTACGGACCGTGGTGGGCTGGACCAATGGATCTGGCAACAAGTCATAGCCAACTCGCTGCGCTGGATGTGATGGCTGCTATCCATGGGGTACAATGATGCGACGGTGGCATTATGCAAGGTCCATGTCTCTAGACCGGAGACTGGAGAGTACCAGGTCCTGTGCTGAGGGGTTCTGAAAGCGAGTCACGGATTTCAGGATATTCCCTCGCACCTTCATCTTCGCGACAGCCCCATCATCTACACAAGTAGAAGCTGGACGTTCTAAGTGAAACCATATATTCCTTCACCAGCCGCCACCCACCGTTGAAAAAATCATCGCTGTGAGCCGACAATTACTGCTTGCCTTTTGTATGCAAGCTTCTTCTTCAACCGATTGTTGCTACTCCAAAACCCACTCGGCATTATCTTCTATCCTTCCATCGGACAGTCTTTGATTCTTTCCTCCGGATCTGTAGAGATGCCTTACATAAATGAGGCATGTGCTGTTCCCAAAAGGGATGTTGCGTTGTGATCGGGGCGTCAATCCACTTGTGATGATGACAAATGAGCGATCAATGGGTCTCCAGCATCGGCGTATCATTCGACGTACGCACAGTAGTACTCCGTACCAGGAGAATGATACCCCTGTTCGAACCTGTTGACGGCCCCAATGTCTATGACGACGGAGATTGTGGTCTCCCCAACATTTAATCTCCGTGATGTCCGTTTTTAGGCCCAAGCAGTACTACTACAGGACATGCCAGGAAAGAAAGATAAGTACCTGCGTGACCATTGTACAAGAACCGTTGTGTTGGAAGAGTACAAGACAGCTTAAAATCCGTCCAATCCTACCTACCACAGTACAACCGTTCGCGGAGCCAGGCACAAGACTCTGCCCCCTGAGCATTGAGTGAAAGGGAGAGAGACAAGCATCAATACTACCACCTATATAGCAAATCTCTACTCTCGGCTGGAAACCAAAAGGCCCTTACCCATACCCTGCTGGACGGCTTACAACGATATCAAATACTAGTATCAACCATGGCACCCAACAACAAAAAGTACAGGACCAAACTCGCCAACGCCTCGGTCCTGGTGATCGGCGGCACATCCGGAATCGGCTACGGCGTCGCAGAAGCCCTGATCGAGAACGACGTGGCGAACCTGTACATCTCGTCATCGCGACAGAGCCGAATCGACGACGCCGTCTCGCGCCTCAAAAATACATACGCAGACGCTACCGCCACAACGAACATCGTCGGCCTACCCGCCGTGGACCTCGCCGACGAAGCGAGCCTGGAATCCAACATCAAGGCCCTCTTCGAGGCCATCCCGTCGGGCACGGAACTAAACCACATCGTCTTTACGGCGGGCGACTCCTTGGGCATCAAGCCGCTCGACGACGTCGACATGGCGTTTTTCAAGCAGTGCGGCATGGTCCGGTTTTTCGCGCCCTTCTTCGTCGCCAAGTACGGCAGTCACCGTCTCACCCCAGGTGTTGGCAGCAGCATCACGCTCACGACGGGCGGGGTCAGCGAGAAACCCATGCCCAACTGGACCGCCATCGCGCCCTGGATGACGGGCCTGCACGGCATGTGTCGCGGCCTGGCGCTCGAGTTGAAGCCCATACGCGTGAACCTGGTCAGTCCCGGCGCCGTCGCGACGGAGTTGTGGGACGCGAGTTTCACGGACCCCGAAGCCAAACAGGCTGCCTTCGACAGGTTTGGGAAGAAGATGGCCACGGGCGCCGTCGGGCGTGTCGAGGACGTCGCGGAAACGTACCTTTATGCTATGAAGGATAAGAATGTCACGGGCACGGTGCTTCGGTCCGATGGTGGGTCGTTCTTGTTGTGAAAAGTGAAGTGGTCAGCGGGTGGCCTTGTGCGTGAAGGAGCCCATTAAGAAGGACGGATGGTGGTACATGGTAGAAGATGGCCTTTTGAGGAAAATAGGTGCCAGAAAATGAGAAAAATCTCCAGGCTTTTCTTTGCTAGAAACAAACCATCAATGGCTTTCTAGCTCCGTTTCATTGCAATTCGGGTCGTGGTCAAACTGCGAGCCATTCTCGGTCTCAAAGCTACCACTTACAAGCCATGAAAATCTATATTCGACTGTCGTCATTCACGTCCGAGCAACCACCCAAGACCTGCGGTTCTGTCGGCCTTCCATTTTTGTGCCTGCTTAATCCAGCTGAACACGCTCCAGAAGACATGCGGCGTCCCGGGGTAGACGTTCGTTCTGGTCTGAACACCAAGATTCTCGAGAATGTCGGCGTAGATCAAGCCATCATCACGTAGCATATCCATGCCGCAGATGGAGAAATACGCCTTTGGCGCAACGTCCGCGTGCTTCGACAAAGGCGTCGTGTTGAGAGCCGCGTACAGTGGCGACGTCTGGTCGGCCTTGTAGGCTTTGTCGAACAAAACTTTCGTGTCGGCGTCGAGGATCGGGGCCTTTAAGCATCGCCCGTCGGTGCGCGACCGGTATCGCGCCTTGTACTCGGCCGGGACGCTGTCAGGATTCATGAACGATGGAGCGTCAAAGTAGAGCCCGGTGATTTTCGGCGTGGTTGTCGAGGCCTTGGCCTGCAAGGCAATGAGGCTGGCCAAGCGGGCGCCTTGACTCACGCCGCCGACAACAAGGCCCGCTGACACATCCGCCGAGACGGAGTCTGCGTTGGTCGAGATGTGCTCGAATGCATCCCAGGCGTCGTGCACGCCGGCTGGCCATGGATGCTCGGGAGCGAGACGGTACTGGGGGCTGACGACCACGCAATTGTGTGCGACGGCGAGGTCACGGGCCAAATTGGCGACGGAGTATGGATTGCCCATACAGCCACCGCCGCCGTGAAAGTAGATCACTAGCGGTTTGGGCCCAGGAGCAGGGCTTGCTTGGTGGAAGACATGCAGGCTGAGTTCGGTGCCATCGCGTGTTGTGAATTTTCGGGAGGACTCTGCGACTTCAGGAATTGCTGGCGCGGGAGGAAATAGAGCCTCAAGAGAGCGAAGTTGCTGGATTCCCGCCTCGACTGACGAGAGGTCGAGTTTGGGGATGGGTAGCTTGCCAGATTTGAGGACCTGCGAAATCATCAGCTCAAGAATAACCGAGCGGGAAGGAGAAGGCAGTCTCTCGTAGAGCGTGAATATCAATCAATTTTGGAATTCTCACAGCATCAATTTCCGGGTCAATGATTGCTAGAGCGTCCAGCTCTTCTGGACTTCGTGGAGCCATGATTGACTAGTTGCAACCTGCTGCAGTGAACAGCCTCTCTGAGCGTGTCTCAGTCAGGCATGACCATACGAGACGCAAGGAGCCTCTTTATAGGATGATCTGACCCTGCTCTGCATCGGGAAAGAAAATGTGAATATCCGCGCGACGAGGTTCTCGGATAGGCAGCATCGAGGGCTGCCGGCCGGATCAGCCAGACTTCCAGCGGGTCGACGGACGACCGGTTGGTCCGAGAAGTAAAGACGAAGTCTCCCAGTCAAGCCTGGGTAGGGGGTGTGGCACTGTATTACTCCGTACTGTAGCGGAGTGGGCAATGGCACGGAAAGACTTTCATCCGCCTGTCAGCCAGCACTGGTACTCACCGATAAGCGAAGCAGAAGCAGGAGATCTTCATCCGCAGTGCACGGAGGGCTCAGAAATTGATGAGATGATGGCGATATACACAGTAACAATCCGAACAAGACTACCTGGCAAGCGACGCAGGAGTACGCGAAGTAGCCGTCATCAGCCGCTACCGATGCGAGACATCCGCTTAGGTTACAGTACCACGAGTACTTCATCTACACTCTATGGTAGTATTGAAGATCATAGCTCCACCCCTCAACCTCAGTGACTGACCATAATGTCCCTCCACGTCCTTCTTGCACCCTCTATCCTTGTCTTCACTTGAGCGAATACCAAGACTAGAAATGGTAAGACACCTACGTGCCTCTCTGACTACAAACCTGGTGACTGGTCCTAGGCTGTCTTTTATTTGAACGGGAGCAGCCAACTTCAGGACCGGAGCTCTGCTGCGGGAATCAATCAGTGCTCCTAACCGCCCTCAAAGTCCTTGAGCAAGATCCATCTGGTGAAGGGTTCTCACACCTGGATATGGATGGGGTTTTCAGGAATTTTGGCAAGGACGGCAAGGTCTGGAGCTACCGAACATTGAATCCCGAGGAGATCAAGGAGATGGTCAACCTGTTTCCGGCAGACATGCGAAGTCTCTTCGAGGAAAAACTGGAGGGCGTTGATGGACGGAACGTCAAGGACATAGCACAACTGCTCCATCCTGATGCAGACATCATGCCACCACTCTCCGAGTCGGAAGGATTGGAACACCAGCTGGCAACTTCAGCATCGCAAAAGAACAGCGCAAGTTGAAGAGCATCTAACAGGCCGGGCATCGATTGGAGGTATCCGGTAGCAAGAGGCCATTCCCTGCCAGCATCGGTAGCGCAGGGCTATCGCCTCCTATATCCGAACTGGAGGCGAAATAAGAGGCGTCGAAGATATATTGAGAAGCGTTAGAATCCCCATGTATGAGGAACTGTCCGCACCTGTCATCTTTACCTTTGAGCATTGTTGTGATATCGAGGGCCGGATCTGAATATTGGAGCCCTACAATTCGAGATGTGCACCCTACTCCTCGATCGTGAAGCGTACTAGGGGACTGCAGCAGAAATTAGATCATTGCGGCGTGGGTACCTGGTAAGTTAGAGCGTGAGTCGAAGGGTGAAAAGAAGGTGAGTCGCGAGTACTGTAGGTGGTTTTAAAAGCGGCGCCGTGATGGACTCATGGTGAGCGTCGGCGGCGTCGCATGAGCTAAGCCTAGTTAGAACCATTGCTTGAGCCGCCAAGCGACGCTCCTGATGCTGCCATTGGCCTCCACAAAGATCCTGGCACGTCCACCGTAAGGTAAGTGATATCAGTCTGTTCATACTCCTGGACTCCCTCTCCTCTCGATATCTCGTTGTCTTGGAATACATTATCTATCTCCGCTCTTGCTTTCCCCAACTGGCTAGACCTGTGCTCCAGGGTTTCGAAAGAGGCTTCCAAAAAATGTCCAACCATCGCGACGACATCAACGCCATCCTCGACACGCACACCGAGCTTGACCCATCCCAGCGCGAGATATCCCACCCCCCACAATCATACACATACTACCATGCGGGACCATTATTCACACTTGCCGAACTGCACACCAACACTTTATTATCACAAGCCATCCAGAGAAAGTCACGGGGGAAATTCATCCCCATATTGCCACAGGACTTGGAGCAACGCGACCTAAACCCCCAGTCGATCAGAGACGAAGATCTGCGCGCCTTGTTGGCTTGTGACCTGGCAATGTTCACGTACGACGGGGCCGAGCTGGACGCCGGTACGGTGGTGGAGTATATGGTGTCCAAGATGGCCGACATCCCTGCCGTGATTCTGAGGTCGGATTTTCGGGGAGCTGGAGACCAAGGCGGAAAAGGTGACTCGTGGAACTTGATGAGCTCTTGTTGGCCTAGGACTGTCGGTATCTCTGTCGACGCCATGTTGGAGTACAAGTCCGCTCTTTCGAGAAGCATGGGCCAAGGGAACGGCACGACTGATCCAGGTGAAAATATGGTTGAAGAAATTGCACAGAGAGTCATCGACGGCTTTGAGCGAGTCTTGAAGGAGCCCCCAAGGTTGCCCAAGGAGCTCAGGGAGAGCGTGTATCATTGGCTTGCACTTATGCCTGGTTTCAAAAATGGCGGTGATCGCAACAATGCTGCATTACTCGCCAAGTTGTGTAGCGACAAGCAGGCAAAAGGACTACTATGAAGCGGGACTTTGAAATCGACTCAGAAAAATGTGGTTGTGGCTGCCTTCATGCTCTTCTCGACCAGTTACAATGTGAGTGTTGAACAAAACTCCGTGTGTGGACTATGCTGACGATCCGTCTGCAGATGGCAGCGCCTCAATTCTTACTTCCTCGGGGCCGAGCTTCCCAATTCCGCTCTTCGCGAGAAGACGCAAACATTGGGGGCTGCATGGAACGTCGTGTGGGTCTTTGTGACCAATTTCACCATCCCGTATATGATCGACGATATCCACTTTGCAGTCGGATGGGTGTTTGGTAGCGTTTCGGTCGTGGCAGTGATATTCACTTTCTTCTTCCTCCCAGAGACGAAGGTGAGTTTGACGTCCCACGATATCCTATTGAAGGCAAGCTGACGCATCCTTCTCTTTGCAGGGTCGTGCACTCGAGGAGATTGACGCCATTTTTGCGATCCCATTTAACCCCTTCCGCAAAACCCCATTCATTTCACCAACGCAGAGCTACGTGTTGGCCAACTCGAAGGGGACAAACAGGTGGAGATGACTGGTACGGACAACATTGAATATGCCAGCCCAAAGTAGACTGGGAGACTTCATGTCGAAAGACAGTGTGAAAAAAAGTGATATATTTGTAGCAATATTTTCCATGCATCATCTTTGCCCTGGACCTCAGCTGTAGAGAGAGATATCTCACTTGGCCGACTTGTAAGCAGGTCTTCCTGCCGTGTGACCTTGTGCCTTCCGGGAAAGCTCAACGAAGGACAACCGCCTTCAATTACTCCTTCCTCAGCCTCCCGGAAACTGCAGAACTTCGAAATCAGTGATCACTGCATGAGAACGGTCAAATAAACAGATCAATTATATTCACCTCCACCTGAAAAGGGTACTTACGCTGGTACTTTTGGTTTATGTTCTTTCCACTTTATGATATTCTTCAATCACGATACTCCACCAGCACCACCACTGTACCTCGAGCACTCCCGAGCAGGACGAAATGTCTATACCGAGCTTACCCGTTGAAATCCTATACATGGTCGTCCATCAGATAATAAACGATCTCTATCCTGATGCGGATCGGGGCACCGGTCATCGACGGTAAGTACCCATCTGTTTTCGCAACCCTTGCCCCGACTCACAGGAACGTAGACTAGTCTACTCAACCCTCCGCAATCTGCGAGACATTACGCCGTTCTGACACGCGCAGCTGCTCGCTCGATGGACCTGATGTTCAAAGCACTTCTCCAATGTTTATGTCTTGTACAACCACGACTGGAATCCATATATTTCAATGGCGACTTTAAGGAAACTTTCACCAGAGATTGGGTCGAGTCGTGGTGGGACAATCTCAGACTGGATTATCTTACAGCGCTGTACTTTGACGGCATACCTTTCAACAACGAAGGTTACATTGAGGCGGAGGACCGCCAGGAACGTATTGAAAATGCTCAGACTGCACTTGCTGCTTGGCTGGAAAAGTCGCACAGTACCCTACAGTCTCTTGAATTGGACCGAACTCAGGGAGAGCACGAGCGGATGACATGGCGGTCTATCTCGAGACTTGAATTTCCTGAGCTTCGATGGCTTGAGCTGACAGGTATCTCGATTTCGCCGGCCCTGCTAGCAGGAGACCTGAAGTGCCTTCCTCGACTACAGGAGGTTCTCCTGGAGGACTGTTACACCGAAGGAGGTAGTAGCGCATGGAAGGTATTTTTCGACACCATCCGAGAACATTCAAACAAGGTACGACTCGTCCCCAAAGACATTGATCCAGTCGACGACCACTTCCAGGAGGACATGATGTGGAGTTTCGCCTCTGATGGAATGGGACCTCGTAAGGATCAGACTCAGAATCCACTTTCCGCTGCCTTGGATAAAGAACTCGCTCTCTATCTTTCAGATCAGGGTCGTTGGACCCAAAGCATGGAGGACTTCTTTGCAGACTTCTGAGACTCGGAGGATTACGCTACTGTCCGGCTGCGGTCCAAACCAGCGGGACTACTGCTAGCACTGTTGAGCGATTGAGGGGATACCGCCGTGCGACAAGTGTGTGGAAGTAGCTACGAGAGGCGTCTGGTAGGAGCATACCCAGCACACGCTTGTTCAAAGGATAGGGGCTTGTGAGATGGAGGACAGTATTGATAAGATTGCTGAGGCTGTGCAAACACGGCAAACACGGCAAACATCTTGACGGATCTTCAAAGTGACCAGATGAACTTCATTTGATGACTGTACAATAATACCACTGTGGCAACCATACAATGTAGTCTTCATCCTATTATTGCCTTTGGAGGCAATTCACAACGCATAATGCATTTCTCTATCGCCACAGGCGTGGTTCTTCTGCTCCAAATCCTCTTCGTCGGCTGCGACCAGCCCCAAACACCACTGCGCAGTGGCGCCGCGTCGCAATATAAACCGCACCGTATCGCCATCATTGGTTCTGGACCTGGCGGATCTTCTGCTTCGTATCACCTCAAGAAGTTCGCGCAGTCGTCCTCCCTTGAAATTCCCCTTGACATAACCGTCTTCGACCCGAATCCCTACATCGGTGGCCGCACAACGACGGTCAATGCTCTGGACGATCCCCGCTACCCTACCGAACTCGGTGCCAGCATCTTCGTGAAGATAAACCACATCCTCTACAATGCCACGCGGGACTTTGAGCTCAGTCCGTCGTTGAAAATCTTCGAATCAGCGCCTGATGCAAAGTACGAGCTAGGAATATGGGATGGCACCCAATTCGTCTTCAAAACGGCCGCGGAAGACGACGACACCAGCTCCTGGCGCGGCTGGTGGGACATTGCGAAACTACTCTGGAAGTACGGTCTGAGTCCGATCCGCACGCAGCGGGCGACCAGAGCAGCTATCGGCTCGTTCCTCAAGTTTTACGACGAATTTTTCCCATTCACCTCCCTGCAGGATGCGGTGGACAGCACGGGATTGGATGCATACACGGGCCTGACTGGGAGGGAGGTCCTGAAGAACGCTGGCGTGAGCGGGACGTTCGGCCGCGAGATCATCCAGGCGAGTACGCGGGTGAACTATGCGAGCAACCTCGCTGGCATCCATGGGCTCGAAACGCTCGTGTGCATGGCTATTGAAGGCGCGATGGCCGTCGATGGTGGGAATTGGCGGATCTTCGAGCGCATGGTTAAGGAGTCGGCGGCGCGGGTGTTTTTGAACACGAGCGTGACGGACGTGAGCAGGTCGGATACCGCTGATACCGCTGCCTCTGCCGCAAGATATCATCTACGCACGACGGATCAAGACCTCAATGAATACCTGACTGGGGACAGGGACGATGGCATCCGCATGCGGGGAGACGGAGACGGTGATCTTGACCTAGTAGGCGAATATGGCCACGGATATGACACGGTCATCGTCGCGGCGCCGTTGCAGTTCGCCCATGTATCCTTCAGCCCTGCGCTGGTCAATCCGCCCGAGAAGATACCCTACGTGTCGCTGTACGTCACGCTGTTGACCTCGCCGCACCGTTTGGCGCCCAGTTTCTTCGGGCTGGACAGCCAAGACGACGTGCCTTCTTCCGTGATCACGACATTACCAAAAGATCTGGACGATCAGCTCGGTTCGCGTCATGGCGTCGACGGCGTCGGACCGGCCGGGTTCTGGTCTGTAAGTACGTTACGCGTTTTGCGACCTGATTCGGATGGCACGTTTTCTGTCTCTTGCGACAAATCGAACACATCCTCCGCGGCCACCGAGGAGTACGAGGCGACAGGGGAACCGGAAGGACAAGCGCAGACGCAGACGCAGTATTTGTACAAGATCTTCTCTCCCGCGCCGTTGACGCCGACGTTCTTGTCTAGTCTGCTTGGCTTCGACTATGAGTATACTCCGACTTCAAGAGGTGGTGATGGTGGTGGTGGTGGTGGTGACGACGACAACGAGCGATTAAGCCAGCTCCCGAAAAAGGATATAACATGGCTCCATGAGAAAATGTGGCATAGTTATCCCTACGGACTGCGCAGGACGACGTTTGACAATTTCACACTGTCGATGCCCATGCCCGCGTTCGGAGGAGGAGGAGCAGAAGAAGAAGAAGAAGAAGAAGAAGAAGAAGAAGAAGAAGAAGAAGAAGAAGAAGAAGAAGAAGAAGAAGAAGAAGAAGAAGAAGAAGAAGAA